AGTAGGCTTGACAGAGCTGGTGGGTTTGACAGAGCTGGTGGGCTTGACAGAGCTGGTGGGCTTGACAGAGCTGGTGGGCTTTGCGGAGGAAGACGTAGGCTTAACAGAAGACGATGAAGGTTTCGCGGACGACGAAGTCTTGACGGAGGACGTTGGCTTAGCGGACGAAGACGAAGACTGAGAAGAGCTGGAAGTGATAGTAGGACGCGCTGAGCTGCTGCTGCTGCTGCTGGAATCGCCACATTTGCCGAACTTAGGGTTGCAGTAGGCGGCGCCGCAGTAGCTCGCCGAGCTTCCGCAGTAGCCGTAAATGCTGCAGCAGTCGCCGAACAGGGATTCTGCACAACCGTAGCCGTTTTCGGGACCACATTGACCGCCGGGGCTGATAGCAGTCGGAGTGGGGAAAGAGCTGCTGGATGCGATGGACGACGAGGTAGGCGTGGGACAGGTCGCGGGCTTGTAGGAGCCCTGCAGGATGGCTTTCATGTTGGTAGAGTAACTTGGACCATTGCACGTGTTCTTAGCGTTGAAGGTAGCTTCCCACAGCATCACTCCGCCGAACATCGATGGATACTTGTTCTTGTAGAACGTGAGGACCTTGTTGGCTTCAATAGGCTCGAGATACGAGGTTTGGTCATTCGGCGCGGCCCCCTTGTCTGCTGGTAGACCAAGGTAGAGCTTCACATTAGGGTTGACTTTGGAGTTGGCCTTGAGCCAGGTGACCCAGTTGTCAAATGTGAAAGTGGTCACAACACCGTTACTAGCCACGACGCCCTCGTATGCCCTACGTGCACTGCAAAGTGCCGTGTTGTAGAATTGCACGAACACGAAATCGAAGTGCGACTTGCTGATAGCATCGGCCAACCTCGCATCCGGAACAATGCACTGGGGTGCGCCCGAGATGTAGAAGTTGCCTGCCTTGGTCGGGAAAAGGACGTTCTTCCACCGGTTCACGAGGTGTTCATAATTGGCGGACAAGTAACCAGTGAACGGTTCTGGGGTCATCAACGCTTCGAGGTCCAGATCGAAACCATCGACGTATTGGTCTCCGAAAGGACGCGGCCCCATCCAGGTGGCGTCAGGGGGACCGAAAGCACCCCAGAGGAAGTCCGCGAGATATTCTGCAATGTCCTTTGTCTTGAGGTAGTAGTCAGTGGGATACCCTCCTCCGAGACTAAGCAAGACCTTCTTGCCGTTGTCACGGCATGTCTGCATGCCTTCTATGATCTTTGGGCAGCTTGAGCGGAGACCTGACTCGTTGCCAAACTCGTCCTTGTAGAAGATGTCGTCGCAAGCGTTGGCTAGGAACAATTAGCTTCAGAACACTCTGGCAATGACTGAGGATGATAACAGGGTAGACGTGATCACATACCGAAGTTGGTTGCCGGATATTCGCCTCTCTTCTTGGGGAACTGATTTACGAAAGCCAAGTTGACTATGTCCACGCTAGGGTCGTTGCAGAGCTCCTTGAGAGTGATCTGGTTGCTTCCCTGACCCCAGTACATGGCAACATTGTTGTTGGCAGATGCATCGAATGCTGAGACGGTCGAGGCCAGGAGGCCGAGGGCGAAAGATCGAGAGAACATGGTTGAACAGGTATTAAATATTAATATCGAACAGCGAGATCGTAGCGATTGGACGGCCTGAGGTATGGCCAGTAGTGAGTGTGACGGATGACTTCCACAAGGAAAGGACGCAAGCCAAAAGGCTGCTGTTGGATTAGGGAGCGTGGGAGGAGGACTAGGAGCGACCTAGTTCAACCTTTTTTGACGAAGCACTGGACGACTGAGTGACAGCAGGGACAAGACGGACAAAAGACATGGGAAATTGCATGATTATTAGTTCTCCATCACCTTCGGTACCTGCAGAAGCGCGGCGGGGCCGGCATCGAAATGTGTTCGGCGGGTCAGGCTGCCGCCTTCCCTCGTATTCATGCAGTCGGCTTGGAGGGTTCGAGCAACAGACGAATCGCACAAGGTCTGACTGTGGATTAACCACGCCCCATGAGGATTGAGCGGCTGGTCGGGTCGAAACGGCCGTAGGACGTGTGATTTGGCCCCAATTGTGGCTCGTTGTAATTCGTCTGACTGGCGCGCGAACGACATCTGGTAGGCAACAGTGCTCGCTTAGGCAGGTTCGAGTTGTATCGTGGACCTAGAGCAGAGGCTAGAAACCTTTTGAGAGCTTCACGCTAGGGCTGAACCAGATGGGGCGTTCGCGGGACCAGTGGCTGCCGCAACCTGACCTCGCATTATACTGCCTCGGCTGGCCAGACTGGGCTGTGAATCAAAATGCAACTGACCATAGTCCAAGTAAGATGACCGCCGCTCGCGCGCGAGTGCGTCTTGTTCCTCGCAGCGCACACCTCTTATTTTCCATGGCTAGCTGCAGCCGAATAATCAAGCAGAAGCTATTGTTAGCACATATTCTCAAGAAGCGACGCCTCGGGCTAGGCGACGGTCGGTTGCATGGTTGTGCTTGGCAGGGGTAACATGCGATGGTTGCACCCGGTTGCACGATTTCGGTTGTCGGTGTTGCCACAGGTCAGCGGGTTCACATATCCATGTGATGCCAATAACCAGGCAGTGTGTTGTTTAAAGCGATTCGACGCCTCTCGACTTTCAGCGATATGTCGTCAGCAACCTGGTGAAGCAGCATGGTCAGGAACGATCTGGAGGCGCACGCCACAGGCGCCTGCGATGGGCAGCGGAGCCGCGCGAAAAACCAAGAGGTGGGGGATTTGTCGACCGACTCGGTTGCGCGCTAGGTAGATGTGGCAGTTGTCGCGACGAGGCGCCGCGGCGGAACAAAACCAGTAGAAGAAGCACGAGCGATGTCGTGTTGTTGAAGGCTATCGCAAGTATCGATGTGAGGCGTTGCAGCCTCGAGGGCCGAATGACGTGCATTTAAGGCCTTGCAGATCCAGCCAAGCTCTGGCAAGATCAGCGGTCGACGTGCGTGGTGTTTTGGTGGGCATGCGTCTGTGCGGCTCTACGCGGCCCTCCAGGGTCTCAGGCGCCGATCTTAACGTTTGTAACCAGCAAGGTGGTTCCACTGTTCCTACATATACCAGCACAGTATCACGACCTGGGATATCGATGCATGCTACAAGCATAGATGAAGAAGGACCGCCTGCGAGTGCTCGACAGAAACGGTAGTCCTTTCATATATCTGCTAAGCCGGAAGCCGGCCGATCAATCGCAGTTTCCCGGGCAGCATGGTCACGATGCACTTGTGGGCTTCACTCAGGTGCAAGTGTCCTCAGACAGATACGGGATTGGTGGGGTTGTGGCGCACTATGCGATGGGCGCTCAAGAGGAACACTCGCGTCGACCCGGACCTGTTTGCGCTGCAGATCAACGTGCGTATAGCATCGCTGTGCGCATGAGCAGGACGGCAGAGCTTCCTAGACAGGCACCGCAGCACCGGCGGTAAACGCGATCAAGTTGCTGCTTGAGCATGGTCAGTCATGTGAGCGCTCTGCTCGAGGTCACGGCGCAGCGATCAGCTGCGCGAGAAGCTAGCGCAACCCTGGCATGACATCAGTTTGGCGGGCGGCACCAACCAGACCCACCACAACCGGGAGATACCCACAACAACCTCCACGTTACCGTGTCACACTGGCAACTGTGGACCCTTCACCGCCGTGCGCCATGGCTGCGAGAGATGCGACGTCTGTAGCCTTCTGTTGGCGCCGCATCTCTTCTCACGACTGCACCTGGACAAAACCGCCGCGTCCGCACCGGTCCGAGATTCTTGCCTCCATTAGCTTGCTCATGCGTCGGCAACCTGAGTCAACTTGATCCTCGAAGCATACTTCGGGGTCACATACAACGCCATGGCGGGGTTCTTCACGAAGAAAGCGCCAGAGGTGCCAGACCACCAAAGCGAGAAGGAACGGCCCGCGAGGAAGTCTCGTCTTGGTATCCTGACCGCCGACACCGATGAAGTCCCTGGTGAGCAATCCGACACACACATTCCGTGGGACCCAGACTAAAGAGATTCTACAGGCTCCGTGATCCTGCTCTCTAGCGTCCACAAGAGGAACGAACCGCTCGGTCTACAGCACGCTCATGCCCGCACTTCGTCTTCCTCTCTTCCATCCCCGTATGGGCCCGCACCTCGCAGCGCTTCGGCGGGCTCGCGCGGCTCGGCCAGGTCGCGCAAGCTTCGGCAGCAGGAGAAGAAGCGTACAAAAGATGGCAAATTTATCCTGGAGCCGCAGCCAGAGGACTCGGCAAACGATCCTCTCAACTGGAACCAGCTGCGTCGCGATGCCGCCCTCATCTCGCTAGGTCTATACTGTATGGTTGGTGGCGGCATGACCCCCGTTCTGGCGGCGGGCTTCAAGAATGTTGCCGAAACTTACGACGTCACGGTGCCTCAGGTCGCTCTAACAACTGGACTCTACATGCTGGGCCTGGGCCTGGGCAGCGTCGTGGCCTCTCCTACCGCCATATTGTGGGGCAAAAGACCTGGTAAGGCCGTCCGCGCCACAACATAGCACACGCTGACAAAACTCAGTGTACCTGGTTGCGATCGTCCTCTTCTGTCTGGCTTCCGTCTGGTGCGCGTATTCGCCTAGTTGTAAGTCATCGGCCCTGGGACCGATGGACCGTTCTCACAAGTCTGTCAGATGCTTCACTCGTTGTGGCCCGCATCGTTCAAGGAATGGCAATCTCGCCAGTCGAGTGCCTGCCCTCCGCGACCATTGCCGAGATTTTCTTTCTCCATGAGCGTGCCTATCGATTAGGAATATACACACTCCTACTCTTAGGCGGCAAGAACCTTATTCCTTTGGTAAGCGCTGCAATTGTCCAATCGATGGGCTGGAGATGGGTTTTCAAGTAAGTGGATCACTACCCGGTATTGTAAACATATCGGATACCCTTCTGTTTGATGCGTTACAATTTGTTTGACGACTCGGGCGCATGCGAAGGCAGGAGGCTGACCCTGATCAGGATTGTGGCTATCGTTGTTGCCTTTTGCTTCTTCTTGATCTTCTTCTGCGTCCCCGAGACGTTCTGGGATCGCACTCCGCATGCGCGAGGTCGCAGCTCGAAAAGAGCGCGCAGTCGTAGCCCTGGAGCACGCCACCACTTCCATCTGCCGTCACGGCAAAGCCATCGAAAGCCAGATGGTCATGCCTCAGTGCCGCTCACTCCGTCCTCGCCGGTGTCACCCGCGGCCAGCCCCACGCGACCACCTAGAGTGCATAGAGTGGGCTTCGCTTTCGACCCAGCATCACAGACAGAAAGCAGCATTGCGGCGACTAATCCCGATCACGACTACTTTGGGTCCGCCTCCCACACTGCCTCACCAAAAGATGTCCCTATTCCCGATGCCGCATCATATGCCATCCACAGTGATTTAGAAAAGCAACAACATCATCATGATGCTACTACGGATCATGCATTGGCCACGGCCGGAACTGAATCCCATACCGACACTGACCACGCATCCGTGGTCTCGTCCATACACTATACCGACTTCTACCGGGAGGCGCCCCGAAAATCATACGTGCAGTCACTCAAGCCCTGGAACGGTCGTCTGGTCAGAGATACTTGGTTCAAGGTCATGATTCGCCCTTTCATCCTCTTTGCTTACCCCGCCGTTCTATGGTCGTCAATGGTGTACGCTTTGGCCGTAGGATGGTTGATTGTTCTCAGCGAATCGGTGGCCGAGATCTACCAGAATCACGAGTCTTACAATTTTACGCCGCTCCAAGTTGGCCTGGTCTACGTCTCTCCGTTCGTCGGAGGAGTGCTTGGTACAGCAGTGGCAGGCAAGATCAGTGATATCGTCGTGCGCTTCATGGCACGGCGCAATGACGGAGTCTACGAACCAGAGTTTCGTCTGGTCATGGCGATCCCGATTGCTATTAGCACCGTCATTGGTCTCATGGGCTTTGGGTGGAGCGCTGAAGAAAGGGACAATTGGATCGTGCCCACGGTTTTCTTCGGCGTAATTAGCTTCGGCTGCTCTCTTGGATCTACCACCTCGGTGACCTTCGTGGTCGACTCATACCGACAATACGCCGGGGAGGCACTCGTGACCCTCAATTTCACCAAAAGTAGGCTTCCCCACATTCCTCAGAATGACCACTTGCTGACATCACCCAGATGTTCTTCACGGATTCATTTTCTCATTGTTTTTCACGCACTGGCTTGCGGCTAGCGGCCCTAAAGACACTTTCATCGCTGTCGGCGGTATTCAGCTCGGTTGCATGCTTCTTTCTATTCCCATGTACATTTACGGCAAGCGTGCGCGGATGTGGACAGTCAGGAAGAACTTTATGGAGAAGTTCTAGAGCGGCAGACAGCCTCGCTTTTCATCTGTTTATTATTTTCCCGTTCTTTTGGCAGCGGCTCGACGGCTATAGAATACGGCTAGCAAGGGTGGAGTACAACGCGCTTCCACTTGGCACGAATACAAACTATACGCGTTGATAAGGCCGCGCACACTAATGCCCCTCATACCTGGTGTAAGTCGGCTCACGTTTCACCCAGGCGTTTGTCCTGATACTACTATGCGTGCAGATCAGCAAGACAATCTTGATCTACCTTATCCGCATCTAGCCGCCGACTCGGGGGTATGAGGCGGTGTAACTGATAAAGGATGCGGATCCGCGTGTCGGTGATACTCCCGTATCTCTGCGTGTGCTCCTATCACAGCGACTTCGAAGCTGCCTCGAAGCCTTCGAGACGCTAGGTTATCTCACGCGACAGTTTCTGTGTTGGGTGGCGGCAGGAACGGTCTGTCCGAGGTGGTACCGACCGCACTACTCAGCGAAAAGCTGGGGGTGGTGGACCAGTGTGGAACAAAGCTTACGATGAGCGCGTTGTCAGTTGGTAGAGAAGGCCTCGCTTGGGCTGGTCCGGCCTGCTGCTGCACAGCTCCCGGTTCTTTGAGGCACGGGTTCATTGACGACCAAAGGCCTCTCTTTATCGCTACGGTGGCCCCATAGAAGAACGCTAGAAGGCTTGTAGCGCTTCGGTAGTTCTCGCAAGAGGGTGCGGAGGCGTTGGTGGCCATCGATAGAGGGTCCAGATTGAAGCCATTGCTCCTCCAGACGCAGAGCGAGGTCGACAAGGTCACGCCGATGCACAGAGGGAGTTTCTCCATGTCATGGCGCCGGGGGATCCATGCAACTTGCATCGTGGGGAGTGTCATTGGTGCTGAGGTGGCGATGATGCAGCGCCTCTGGGGAAAGCCACGACGGACGGACGCGCGCCTTCCCTCATCGGGCTATGCTTTCCATCGCATCCACTTGTATGTTGGGGCAGGTCAAGTGGGGTCCGCCGATCCTGCGATATCGAGCCTCCGTTGCCGAACATCACCAGCTTCATTTTTCGCAGTTTGGCAGGCGAACATGCATCAAATCAACGCGCGAAAAATGTGTGCCGTCGATGTGCAGCCGACCGCCTGCACATGCGTTGGAGCGAGGTCCCCAGGCCAACTTTGCAACATGGTGCTCCTCGCCAATATCCGCCGCCCTAGACAATGTGCAGCACAGATGCTCCGTTCTCGGCTGCCCGCCGTCCAACCCAACGACCACGTCGCTATCTATCAGCTGCTGCGTATCATGACCGACGAAACTATCCGCACCGTTTCCCATCGGCTGACCTAGCTCGTCAAACGCACATTATTTTAAAATACCCCGGATCACGCTCCTCTCAGCCCACATTCGCCTTCTTCACCTCACCGCTTCACCACCCTCCCCCACTCTGCTCGTTAGCCGAAATGCCCCCATTGGCCCAGGCCAAGGCCAAGCATGCTACCAACGATCTCAAAGTGAAGAAGACAAAAAGCAGAAACGGATGCGGGAGGTGCAAGATCAAGAGGGTGCGTCCTTCCTCCTGCTGCTGGCCACGTAAGCCACTCACTGACATTATCGCAGCTCAAGTGTGACGAGACTGCGCCCGGGTGCCTCCAATGCAAGAGAAGGAACGTAGCCTGCCCAGGCTATGAGAAGACACTCAAGTGGTCGACCAAGTATGAGGTCTTCCAACCGACACATTTTGCTCCAGTACCACATAAGAATGGCTCTACGGCCACCGCCTCCAAGGCGAGCTCCAAGGAGAAGTCTCTCCAAGTGACACCTGACGTGGAGCGTCACTTCGAAGCACTGGCTGCTGTCCTGCCTGCCGGCAAGCAGACCGACGCAACTCACGCAGAAACACACCAGCAGTCACCACCGCCGATGCTTGTTGGTTCTCTAACTTCCTCGGAGGACTCGACACCTGAGCCTAGCGATGGGTCACCTCCTGAAATGGACCCGTTACCTGAGCCCCTCTTCTTTGACGATCCCCTCGATCTCGATCCCCTGATGATGGATGGCTTCGTTGATGTCATGGATATGCCGGACGATGATCTTACATTTGGGCCTCTGGATGGGTTTGAAATTGATCCAGGACCATCGGAGTGTGTTAACTATAACACTGAAGCACTACCGCAACCTGCAAATGACGACATCGGTTCCAGCCCCCGTCTGTCTCGGTCGCTGCTTCTTGACTTCTACCGCCTACCAAGCCCTTCTTCCTCTTCAACTGCCGACGATATCGAGTCGGTTCTAGTTCAGCACTACTTCAAAGAAGTTTGTGGCCGTTTCTCATGCTTCGATTCTCATCTCAACCCCTTCCGGACCACCATTGGCCGTATCTATCAACACACACCTTCCATTTACTATGGCATCATGTCCATGGCGGCCGCCCACCTGGCCAACACTTTTCCTTACATGGCACAACTCGGCGTAGACATGCAGCGCAAAGCTCGCGACGCGCTTCTAACCGAGCTTCCGCTTGCACAGAATGACTCAATTAGCTGCACAAAGGCATTCCTTAGTACCATGCTCCTCGGCACCACAACAGGCTGGCACGACAACAACATCCTGGGTGAAGAGTTCCTGTCTGCTGCTCGAAGCCTGATACTTCCAAAGCTTCTCAACAATGCTGAGGGTGATGGAGGGAAGCAGCGGGAGACCCAGTTCTTTGAAGAATCTCTCATCTACTGGGAGATGCTGATGGGCTTCGTCAACCCAGATGCCATGACCTTTGCTCCCAGTGGGTTGCGTTCTCGACCTAAGAAGATTCCTTCGGCGCGAAAGCCTGACGGGAAGATCATGCCCCATCCGTGGACTGGCATTGCCCCCACCATCATGATTCTGTTCGCTGAAGTTGGAAGGCTTGTTCGCAGAGAGCGTATGCGTGACGGGAATGCCAGCATCGACTTTCGACGTCACCACGAGAACCTTCTGAACGCAGCTACATTGGAAGAAGACCTCCTCGCTGCGGAGTACCCTACGACGGATGAGATAGCAGAGCTGGGCGACGAGAGAACATCAAAACAAGACTTTGTTGCTGTCGCAGAAGCTTATCGGTGTGCTGGCCTTCTGGAGATCTACCGCGTCTTTCCCTCAATACTTCGAAAACGTTTGGGGACGAAGGACTCCCACTCGGGCGAGCTCGCAGACTTCAATACGTTTCCTATGCCCCGCTTCGAGACACCTTACGAAGATACGGACACCAAGCTATGGCTCAACTCGCTAGCCATGCATATCTTGAATCTCATCGATTCGATTCCTTCATCATCCGGCACCATCTGCATCCAGCACATCCTGATCGTCAGCGCTGCCTCTGAACTCCGCTTCGTGTCTTCCGTGGACTTCTTCGATGTCTATGCAAACGACACGAGGGTATGTCAGTCCAGAGAGTTTGCTGTCAAGCGTCTTCAGGAGTACTCCAGACGCCTGCCAGCGAAGCCCTTCCGTGGGATGATCGACCTCGTCAAGGAGGTCTGGCGCCGCCAGGACAACGGCGACAGCGTCTTCTGGGTCGATGTCATCGATGACCAGGGTTACAAGTCAAACCCTTTCGTCAGGTAGACGACCATGCGGAGGCGTTCACGACGTCAACAGCAATGTTGGAGTTTCCGGATCGGTGCCGCGATCGAGAAGATCATCCGTGCCCTACTGTGGCAGACCGTCGCATCCGTTATCTGACCTTGCTCTTCGACCAATTGGTCCTTCAACCTACCTTTATTTCTTTTTAAATCCTTCCTGGACTGTATGTTTGCGATCATTGTTACGGCGCTTGGAGTCACAGTCTGCTTCCAACGGCCCAGTCGCCCTCGACGCCGTACCTCGATGACCTGTACACGATTCGACATACGGCATCTACTTCTCCGATAAATGGTGTCGGCACTGCCACCATCCTGTTCTTACGAGTTTGTAATGAACGACGTTCCAACAACCTACCTAGCCAGCATCACCGGTGATGTTTGACGACCGACACGACCCACGCGATTTTCCCCTATGATACCCATAACGATCTTACGACCATGCCTTACGATACCCATGCGACAACCGTCCATTGCGATAGACACCCCTCCGACTCTGCATTGCTGGCCCGTGCGACACTTCCCAGCGACATTGCCTGGCCCCTCCACGCGACTGTTCCACGCGACCCTGTCCCATCGACGCTTCCACGCAACCTTATCCATGCGACAGACAGTTCTTGTCCCGCGCGATCGCCGGCCTGGCGCCGGTACTAATAAAGATACCCAACTCATTTTATAGACTTTCCTATCTTCTGTACTGCATCCCTTAGATGTATGTATATATTGGCTTATCAGTGCGGCGACGCACGACAAGGTGAAGATACGGCAGGCCTCACAGCTTCCGATGCATGCATGCCCTTTGCGCACGATTGATACCCTGGCGACTTGCACTGTCCCTTTCCTCCCCTTCATGCACTCCTCGGCCGTGAAACGCCAATGAGACTTCCTGCGTAGATAGAACCTTCTTTCGGCGTTCCCCGCTCGCTCAATTAGTCACACGCACGAGATTGACGCGCGACTACTTCCGATGCGCCAGTTTACCCTAGCATTAGCAGCAGCAGCAGCATCAGCATCAGCATCAGTCAGCACCGCTAAGCTTCACTCAGGTACGCACATGGGCGGAATGTGGGTCATGTAATTACTATGCTATCCGCCCCGCGCTTTCCTTTTCGGAGCACGGCAGTCGGAGGGAGACTGCACTCAACGAGAGCGAGGCTGCAAGACGCCTTCGTCTCAGATGTACCATACTACACCATAACGTTAATACAAGAAGTGCTACAACGCGGCGATCAAATGATTGAATGCATGATGAACATGACATGTTGCGTCACATGACAGGTCTGTTGAACTCGTCGTCCTCGTCCTCGATGTACGCATACCGCTGCGCTTTCCAGCCCGGCGATGCATACACGCGCAGCTTCTTTTCGACGCCCGGGCTGCGCATGTCGAACTGGTCCAGCACGGGGATGGCGAGGAGCCTGCGCTCTTCGCCGCTGAGGCGGAGGCGCGCGGGGCGTCCTGGGATGGGCAGCGGGAGTGTGATGAGGGCTGTGGGTGTGCGTGCGGCCATCCTGATATCGATTAGCATCGCCGTGTCTAGCATGTGCTCTGGCGGCCGCAGCGCCAGCGTCAGTGAAAAGGGGGCACGTAGAACTCACCACCGCATGCCAAACATGACGCCCTCGGCCACGCACGCTACGACGACCAGCACGACAACCACCTGCAGCACCACCAGCGTCACCCAGCTCACTTGGTACGCGGACCACGCTTCCTCGCCGCCCGTCTCCGCGCGACACTCGATGCGCTCGCCGCCGTCCCGCGCCGGCGCGCCGGGCAGAACCACGCCCAGGTTCTGGAAGCCCTGCTGTGCGGCGAGCCGGAGTAGGATGGTCGTGCTGAGGGGCTTCTGCGCCGTCGTCGCGGCGGCGAGCTGCTGGGCGTCGGTTTTGCTGATGTAGGAGTCGTACAGCGCGGGGTTGGCTGTGCGCAGGTTCTCCAGGGACGGGCCGAGCGCGACGCAGAGGTCTGGCGGCGTGGACGTGGACGCGACGAGGGTGTCTGGGTTTTCGAGGGAGTCGTGGTAGGTGGAGGGGGGTGAGGGGGAGGCGTCGGCGAGGGTGATGGTGCAGCGGCAGTGGGTTCTTGATGGCAGGGCCGTGGCTGTGGAGAGGAAGAGGGCGCCGGCTAGCGCCGAGAGAAAGGTATTTGAAAGCATGGTGCGTGGTTTGCGGGCGGGTGTCCGGAAGTAGGTGGCTCTGGTAGAGACTTTGAAGTGGTCGTCCGAGTAGGGAGGAAGGTGCTGTGCCGCGCGGCAGAGGCCAGATATTAAAACAAAATGAGACGGTTCGGGGGTGAAGGATGCGCGGCTGGCGATGTGATGTGGTGTAGGCAAACGGCGGCGTTGTTATGTGCTGCGCTGTGGTGCCCCTGGTGTCGACTGGATAGCTCTTTCAGTTGTTGTGAGCGCTGCCGTGGAATTTGCCCGAATTGGGTAGGACCTTGTTGGCGTCGACTCGTGCTCTTGTGCGGTACTTTTTTCTTCCTCGCTGGAGCCTCAATTGCTAGACGCGCCCAAGAGACAGGAAACGCTGCGAGACAGCGGGCGGCAGCCTCGTATGTATGTATGAGAGGCGTGCTGGTGCGGAAACAAGCGGAAACAACGCAGCCTTATTAGCTCGGCACCCAAGACGCGCAGTGTTCAAGCTTTTGGCCTCCTTCACAAAACGTTTCTTTGCGTCAGGTTATCCGAGGCGTGCACTAACCACCGCGGGATCCGAAAATTATGGGGGCGCAGAGGCAAACAGACAGCGCGGTTCGTGGGTGCGTATAACGGTGGCGGGCAGCGGAACAGGCACCTTTCTACACGTCGATCAACCACTATAAGCTGCACCATGGCGCAGGGATCATAGCGCCCGCGGCTGGCTTCGAGGCATCTGAGAAGGCCCGAGTACACACCATGTCACGAGCGGCCAGGCGTGTCGCAGCCGCATGCGTCTGGCCGGCCAGCACAAGCAGCCGCATCCCTCGAGCGCGGGGCTAGACTGCGGCACAGAGTTGGGCGCCCGCGCTTAGTGGGAATTAGGCGTGGTAACGGTGAGGCTGCGAAGGGCGCTGGGCCGTGGTGGTTAGGCGTGTGCGAGCAGTAATCAGGGGCGGCTGGCGAACGTGCCTCCCAACTAATGCCATGGCGAGGTGGGATTGGGCGGTGCGTACCGAGGACGTTCGGCACGGGCGCGCGCAGGCCAAGTCGTTGTGTCGGCAAGTATCGACTAGCCTTCCGTACCTGGAGTTGGAGTCGCGAAACGTCGCGCACAGCATATGAGGCCATCGCGGCGCGCCCGTTTGGGCACAGCGCCGTCCCTCACTGCGCTGTCGTTTCACCACCACCATGCCCAGAGTCGCGCACCGCGCTGCCACAACATACGCCCCTCGCCCGTTGATTCGAGCTGGCGTGCATGGCATCCAGCGCAACAACTCACTGCTGCCCATTGCCCTCTCGACATGCAGCGCGCCACGTCCCTCAAGCGCTGCAATGCAACCAGAAGCTTTCCCACCCCAGTCCCAGTCCCTGTCTCACATCTGAAGCTTAGCCCTCCCTTCAAACATGGCCTCGCCGACCGCCCCTGCCCGCCAACACAAACGCACATGTCTTTACTCTTGACTCGACTTGTCACATCGGCCGCCCACGCGCGGAGGCCCAAACCGTTTTCACCGCCGGCAGCTGTTTGAGCAGCCAAGAAATGCCGCAGAAAGCTTAGCTGTGCATGCGAACTGTGGTCTCGCACCAGTCCCCGGCTCGAGCGCCCATGCATGTTCCCGGCAGTGCCCTCATCGAAATTCGAGACCGGCGGCCTCGAAACCCAATAGACGCACGCTCGGACCGCGCTGCTTTTTCACAGCAGCTACCGCAAACGGCGAGGTCACGTCACCTGACTCTCGGACCGGCTCCAGGCGCGCGGTGCGCCACGGGCCCCTTTGCCCAAGGGCAGACAGCGTGGCTGAGTCTGCACACCAAGTGCAAAAGTGGCGCCGAGATTTTCGATAGCGCCGTGTTTGATTGAGCTGCGGGCCAGCGCGTGGCAGCAAGGGGGCCTGGGAATGGTCGGCGGTAGACAATCAGGCTAATTATACCCAGGCACACGCAAGCTTTGCGTCTGGGTGCGGATTGGGTTGTAGGTAGCGGCGAAATGGCAAAGCTTGAGTGAACGGTTAGCTGCGGATCAGGGTACACGTGTTGCTGTGTTTGGAGGACGCCAGAGATGGTTTGTTTTGGTTTGCGAGGGAGGGTTATTTTAGGTTGTTCTAGTGAGGACATGTAGAATTTGAGGTTGTCAGCAGCGACATCTTTTAGGATGGTGAGGGCTTGTTGTTGCAGACCACTGCTTCGATTCGAGATGGGTATTGGACGTTGGGTTTGCGGAACGAATGGGGACGCTACCGGTAGTGTGGTCGATATCATCCCGAGACCTCGCGCGTACACTTGCTGCACCTCGTCAAGCCATCTCTGCCATCCATCCGTTTTTCTGCGCCTGCTTTGTGTGGGGTCTTCTGTGGCTCTCTTCGTCCGCGGGTGTCAAATTTGACTGCATGAACGTCCACACTGATGCAGCAAAATCCGCTGTTAACGATCCGGCAAGATCCGCAAGAAGAGATGGCGGTTGGCAGTCCAGCGCCATGAGAACAGCAATCAGCTAAGTTATCCTGAGCTTCCTTTGTGGAAGGCCATACATTCGCAAGCCATGCAAAGCTATGCCTACGTTGTTCATCAATGACACATTTAGTCCACAGCATTGACTAGGTACCAGAGCAGCGCCGTGTATAGTCTCCTTGCTTTACACGCAGCTAACGATCTCTTTGCGAAGCTCCCCTTCAGTCAATTCTGGAGACGTCGTCACAGAACGTAGATACATTGACGAGCGCAACACCCGCGTCTCTATAGTATCGTGCGAACCCTGAGCCAGCAATTCGTTTTGGTCTGTAGATCTTCGATGAACAACATCGCGGCGAAATCTTGCCAAAAGCAAGGCAGCTTCCTCACCATGTACCAACCATTGCCAGTCGTCCCAGGGTCTACACTCTTATCTGCTTACTGCAGGACACAGCACGAATTCGTATGCACTCTACAAGGGTCTGGAATCACTAACCCCGCCAAGGTTCATCTTCTACATCAGCAATCTTCGAAGAATTGCGTATGTAAACACGTTTGCAGCACTGACCACGATGACTCAGGTCCCCCTAGACCCTTGGCCTGGGTATACGGACGTGACGAACGCGGGATGTCGTTCGACCCCGAGTACATTTGAGGATTCTAGATTCCGCAATCGTATGTCTTACGCACGAGAACAACGCTGGTTTTAGAGATGATTGTTGTGATTATCTCCACATCACACGAGCAGTCTGAAAGCGAACTTCGAGGATGCGAGGAGCCGCGTACATGATCGATCCTCTGGGAGTGAAAATTGCGACAGGGCGCTTCGACGCGCGGCTTTGCTGATGCCCAGGCTGCCGTTGGCTGTACTGTTGCAGGAGCGCTGATTCCAAAGTTGGCGAGAGTGCTCTTGGCCCAAATAATTTGATACAAACCGGCCCGGATGTTGTAGAAGACCCAAGTCTTCGAAGGTCTCGCCAGGTAGAAGTTCGTGCAACGACAGCATTTGCATTTCTGGACCACTATCACCCAGGGCTCTACTGAAGAAACATTGCTTCGTGAAGTAGCTATCTTTGAACTGCAGGAAGCAAAGCTAGGGACATATTACACGGGAGAGCTTGCACTGAGTGTGGCTTCTCTCAAAGCTGAACATAACACGACTCGCCAAGTAATTTTATTGTAATGCATCTGGGTATTGGGAAGTCTTCGCGCCCCACCCTCTGATTGGCTTACGGACCGTAGCGGCCCGTCCCTTCCTCCAGACGCTTCCTTCTCTACTAGTAAAACGTGCTACATTGCATGCGCGCTTTCGATAGACACAGTGTTCAGACAAACATGCGCAACCTTGAAGTTCCTTTGTTACATAGGCGTTGCAGAGATGGCTTCCAAAACGAACGGCCCGACTAGTATGTGTCCACACTCGAGATCCCATTGGCCCCCAAAATCACGCGGGGCAGGACGACTGCCTCGCAGCCTCAGCTGTCTCGACATAACTTGATCTCTTACCATCGACACTTCGATATAGGCGAAAATGACCGAGCAGCAATCTGAGCTCACGCAAATCTGGGAACAAGCAGTAGACGAATACCTGAACAAGTCGAAGAGGGGTTCAGTAGCACAAAGGTGGAAGGTACCGATCACCACGCAAGATGATCTCAACAAATTGATTGAGCAGCATGAATCGGATTTTCTGCGTTTCCGGAAGTCACGCAAGAGATTCTGGGATGGATTAATGGCAACAATGGGTCAATTGCAGAATCTCGGAAATGTCGCGCAAGCAGCCCTCCAATTGTCTCCCTTCGCACCGGCGGCTGTTGTTCTGGAGGCGGGACTTTTTCTTGTCAGTTCCGGCGCAGCTGTGGCTGACACCTATGACTCTCTGGAGACTTTATTCCGAAGGGTCAGAGACATTACCGATCGACTGGGCGAGTACTTGAAGGTGAGTCTTGATCACAAGCTTCAACAAGTTGTAATCAAGCTGCTCAGCTCCCTTCTCGATGTCTTTGGCGAGGCTGAAGCTGCTATTCGACGTGGAAGAGGGAAGGAGATGATGCGACGGGTCACCGGCAAGGAAAATACTATCCAGGTCGCACTTGATCGGCTCGACGAGTGGGTACAAACGGAGATAGCTCTGATCACAGCAAAGACCTTTGCAACAACCCAACGCATAGATGAGAAGGTGGATAACGAAAGGGATCGCTTATTACTTCGACGATCGCTCTGTGCGGAAGTTGCTTCCGACAATGAAGCATTCGGCAAGAACATCGAAGCTTCCCGGATTTCGCGATCCGGCGACTGGATACTTAAAGAACGCCTTTTCGACAAGTGGTTCCAAAGAGAATTTCCAGTATTATGGGTTCTGGGAAAGCCGGGTACCGGAAAAACCTACCTCGCGTCACGCATAGTCTCGCACATACGACAGAACTCTGGACTTGCAAGTTTTTTTTACATACGCGAAGGCATGAACACCCAGCACGACCCCGAATCCATCCTGAAGGCAATTGCCTATCAGGTCACTGGGCTTTACGGAGCGTACCGTGAGCAGGCTGTCGCGGTCTGTAATGATGGAGATAGCCTCCTTCTTCCGGAATCTTTGTGGGAAAGTCTATTCGTCAAGCCATTCAATACGGGTGCAGCCAAGCCTCTCTTCGTTGTTATAGATGGTCTGGATGAAGCCACGACGAAGAACCAGGAACTGATCGTGAAGCTGGCTAAGAATCTGTCAGATATGCGATCCAAAACTCGTAAAAATCCGGTCATTCAACTGTTGTTACTGGGCCGTCCTGACCTTGATTATAATGTCTCTAACGTTTGGAGAGGCGAAAAGCGACGACCGAAAATTCTGCATATCGAGCCGTCGATGTCTAGATCAGATGTGGAAAGGTTTATCAAGAAAGGAGTTACTGAAGGCATCCCGTTGCTCCAAAAGATGCGTCCAGGTCCTTCTAAGCGACTCAGAAGAGAAATTGTTAAGACCCTAGGCGATAGCTCCGACGGCATGTTCATGCTCGCCAAGCTCATGCTCGCCGAAGTGAAAGACATGAACAAACCGGAGCTGGTGAGGGAAGCCCTCTCAAAGCCTCCACAAGGGCTTGACGAAATGTTCAGACGTGTAGTTGCACGGCTCGATGTGACCGGTGGATTTGATAAGCAAGACTTGAATGAATTGATCATGTGGGTCGCATGCGCTAAGCGCGATCTTCGCCTTGGTGAGCTAGATCTTGTTCTGAAACTGAGGGACCTCCGACAAAATGGTATTGTTGGACTTGAGGACGAACTGAGGACCAGATTTGGATCCTTCTTCAGCATTGTGTTACGCGACACAGAGGTTGAAAGCGAAGACGAAGGAGAAGGAGAAGAAGAGACAGTGTCTGTGGCTGGAAGTGACACGACGTTGGCAGATTCTGTTTCCAAAGATAGTGATCCAGGAGACGAGTCCGATGCAGAGTGGGAAGATGAGCGTCAGTCAGACAACAACCTGAGCGACAACGACCTTGATGATTATGAGAGTGATGATGACACACCGCCTCAGTTCTTCACGGCAACTGTCAAATTCGGTCACGCAAGTGTCGGTCAACACTTTCGCACAGCCTCCATACACAGGGGAATAGGGATGGACCTCCATTTTGCTCAAGCACACATCGCGTTAACCTGCGTAGGCTTCTTGACTGATAACATCCCAAAAAGAAAGCAAAAACCCTGGCGCGAGCCAGATCTCTTCAGATACTCTTCAGATTATTTCCTCGATCATTTTGTGGAGGTGGACCTTGACGAGCTTGAGATTACCCAGCCTGACCTTTTCGAAAGTCTTTCAAAAGAAGTATCGTACCTCTTCAACGACCATGATTCGCTCGGTCGATGGTTTCATAATGTTCCTGACGAGCAAAGGTTCATGTGTCAGCTATTCAGCGAGAACGTGTGTTCAAAACTCCGCCAGTGTTCCATGAAGACCAATACTCATAACAAGGACACCACGGAGTCGCTTAAGAAAGAATCTTCAACATCTGATTCGGTACTGTTGGAGCCGTTCGCTCACTGCGTCGCTAAGGCCTGGCTTTCAGATGAATCCTGTGACAGTATGGTGGCTGTATTGTTTCTTCAAGGCTACTTATTCCTGGTATGTCCATCTCTAATTTATTCTCACACCCGCGTAAACACGAACACCGGAAATAGTGTATGATGTCAAACCTCTAGATATTTATGGTAGCCTGGTTTATGCTAGGCTTGACTGTTGCAACCCCGATGAAGCCGCGCTCTGTATCCTTTCTTCATGTTGACACCAGAGCTCTTACTCAACAATATTGTAGCGTGGTGGCACGCTCTGCACGTCCAGAACCGAATCGACTAACACAACCTACAGCGAGATCGCAAAACGTTCGGTCAGTGGACGCTGCCACCGAACCGACCCTTTGAGCACATAGCAGAAGGTATATCACCAGAACAAATCCGGAAAATGTCTGCACTGTGCGGCTTGGAGAGGAACATGCATTTCTATCTTGCCCTTGGCTCCACATTCGCTAAGATTAGGACAAGCCAGCATCTTCTGGCAGCTGTAGACGAATTTGAGCATGCTATCCAACTGACCGAGTACCCGGAGTGGATATGGCTGGCATATAAGAAGAAGGCCAAGGTTCTTTCCAGGCTTGGAGAATCCAGAGATGCAATCGTGGCAGCTTCCAAGGCCTTGGATTTACTTCCCGAGGACCGCTTCTACAAGAAGAAGAAACTCCTCCGACTGATACAGGACGCGTATCTCCATTTGGGCAATCGAGACGCTGCCCTTGCAGCGGCTGCCAGCGCATGGGAATGTGCTCCCTCTGATCCAACTGCAGCATTTCGCTTGATATACACTGCCCACAAGACAGGAAGCTATACAGAAACAGTCAAAATCATGAGGTCAGCTCTCGAATCCAGTAATGGGGCCAAATTTCTTGGTCGTATCATAGACCAAATGGTCCCGCAGAGGTACACCACTGAATATATGTCCATTGCATGCGCGAAAATCGGAGATCTGGATCTAGCTAAGGATGCTTTCACAGCCGTCAAATCTGAGGCTAGGGACTCCGGAGCCGAAGAAATCATGGCTGCAGCGGACGAAGCGCTTGCTCAACTGTATTTTGGCTTCTACCACGACGAGGAGAAGGCTATTGATCTGTGGGAAGACATCATCCGAAACTATCCAAGTACAAGACCTGCTTTCGAAGCGTCATATGCTTTGATGCCCTGGTATTTCACGAAAGGAAAAGAAGCCGACCCGACCGAAGCACACACGTGGTTGTCAAAGATGGAACATCTCGTGGCTGCGATAGAAGCTATGACTCCTAGCCCGAGCATGTCTCTTGCCCAGTACGAAGTAGCGGCTCTGTTGGGCCGATGGTTTGCAGAACAAGGGGAGACGGAGCTGGCGCGAGCCAAGATCCACCCTTACGTGAAGGCAAGCATTTGCAACCTTACAGACCGGGACGACAGCAACGACTACGATGCATATCACAGTCTTGCCCGAGCTCTTCTTTGCTTTGGGCATCGAGAGCACGCCGCAATAGCCTGGGCGTTCACGAAGCCGATCCAGAGCGCAGAACATCTTCTGGGGGAAGCAGGACAACACGTCCCCAACGCCAACATAACGACGGTCCCGGCCGTTGATACCGAGGTCGCCACGCCTTTTAGCTGGCTCGGTCGCTGCGACGGCGCGTGCGACCGACCTGAAGTCGTGGTCAAGTCGTTCAGCATGTGTGAAATTTGCGTCGACGTTGCCTTCTGCGATGAGTGCGAGCAGAAGCTCCGAGATGGGATGGGTACCTTCACAATATGTAATCCGGCGCATCCTTTTATGGAGATCTACCCACCGAGAGGCTTGGTCACGAAGGATGCGGAGGGGTATAAAGTCCACCTTGAAGAGGAAAAGGTAGTCAGTGCAAGCGAGTGGCTAGCTATGGTAAGTCGGGAATGGATTGGGGAATAGTTCTGTAGGTATTAGTGCACTCCTCTCCCTCAATCCCATCCTGGTCCGCAGATGTGGATCGGACTCTATTTATACCGCTGTTGGTTTTATTTTTACTAAATCGTAGAAGAACCCGTAATTCGAATAATGCATGCATATTCCTCATATACGACGAGGGTGGTCGTCATCAAGTTAGCCTACGAGTACCGCCATATCTTGAGAGTTCATTCTGGGACGACTGACAATTTACCGATTTGAACTGCTGTCGTGATCATACAGAACAGTAGCCAGGCAACCATTCATGTCGCTCCCACAGTTTGGAGACTATCCACAACACAGCACCACCTAATGATTGTGCTTCCACGTCACGCCCCTGCATAAGTCTCGGCCCTGTTCGAAAGCCACCACTACCACCTCAGGCAAGGCCACCTTCTCAAAATCCTCTAGATTCTGCTTCAGTTGCTTTTTACTGCTCGCTCCTATAATGAGCTTGTCGCCAAAACTTCTTATCCAGCTGCGAGTGATGCATCATCCACCGAAGTGCCGCTTCGCTTTCCCGGATACCCTCCTGCTTCGCTGCTGCCCCCAGTATCTCGAGAGCACCGAAAAACTCATCATTACAGTAGCGTGCGCAGTACATCTTACCTTGCATTTTGTTCGGATCGAAGTGACTGCCTGCCTTGATGGAGGACTCTTCGGTGCCGCGGTGATATCGGTTTGTCAGATACCCGCCAGCAAGCGGATTAAACGCTTAGAAGGACGTGCTGTACTTGCGCAGACAAGGCAGAAGCTCGTTCTCGATGGTGCGCTTCAGTGCGTCGTACACACCCTGATACACCTCCGGGCGCCTGTAGTCTATGCGGGCGCAAATCTCGCAGATCGCGGCTATCTCCCAAGACATGTACCGGTAGTTTGAGACGCCCCAGCAACTGAACTTTCTTTGTTGGTACAGTTCATCGACGGTCCTGAGGGTTTCCTCGCGCGGCACACTTCTATCGGGCGCATGCAGATACCACATATCTAGGTTTTCGGCGCCGCCCAGCGCTTTGAGGGAGGTGGATAGGCCGTCGCGCATGCTCTTGGCGTCTAGGTGGGTCACGTTGGGGAAGAACTTGGTGTCCATGACAAGCCCGCGGTCCTGCCATTTGAGATCGGCGAGGTAGTTTTCGGAGGTGCCGCCACCGTAGAAGCGAGACGTATGGAGTCCGGTGTGGCCGTGCTTTTGGAAGGTGTCGAGGATGGCTGCACATTCTGAAAGGGTTGAGGTCCGGACTTGTTCTTCACCTAGTGGGCGCTAGAATGAGAGTTTTTCTTTTACGAATGATGTTCGGAGGATACCTTCTTTGCCAAATATCATAGCACCGAAGTCGATGTCGAGCTTGGTAGTAGACGCCATGATGTCTTGATGTACCTCTGGTACTTATCAATTGGCTGCGGATATGTTGCAGACAAGAACTAGTGGGACGGTCACAGTGGGCTTTCGAAATGTTTTATACCTTTACACCAGTGTGGGATATTGATCCGGGCTCCACTGTGCTTGCATCTCCATGGGCTTTTATAGAACTTTGTCAGACTTTCTCGGATATGAAATTTTATGTGTCGTGAAGAAACCCTTCCCTTAGCACTCAGAACCGGTCATCCACCTGCACATGTTGGAAGGAAGTCTAGCGTCGAACTGCATGCTTATTGGTTCTAGTAACAGACATTGTTCATGGTGCAGAATGCACAGCGCTGCTATGTTATCCCACATCACTCCAAGATGCGCTGTACATCGTTAGCCTCATGCTCTTTAATTCCATTTTCCTCCCTCCATGTCAACCTCTCGATGCTGGCAACGCCAGGTCCCTTGTAAACGCTGCCGTATTCGCCACTGGCCCAATCCTTGCCCTCACCCTCTGGCTTCGCCTTCTTACGGTACCACTTGCCGTAGGTAAGAAGGTAATAGAGCCTAAAGCATAGCAGAGCAAATTTATCACGCTCCAGATCCTCAGGATATTGGGCGCCAAGATCTACTGCGGCTGCAATACCGCTCATGACAGCGACTTCGTGGGCGTTGACTAGGGTCCATGAGGCAGCAAAACGTGTGTGCTTGCGACCATTGAGCAGCCACATCCATGGCACCACGAACGCGTAGTGCGTCCACGAGTGACAGAGCTGGTGCCACCAATCCTTTCGGATGATCTTGTTCTCGTCGATTTCGTCAATGGACCAGAGCTTCTCGCAATTCTTGTTGAGATAGATGGTTTGGAAAACATGCCTGTCGAACGGAACCTCGGGCGGGAATTGGCTCTGGTAGTTGGTGCAATCAAAGCACATTTCCAGCTTGGAAAGGTCTTGAGGGTACATCTTGATGTAGTACATAGGCTTGAACATCTTCTTGGCGAAGTCAACGCGCGTACTCTGGTCAACGCCGGAAAGCGTCTTGACAGATTGTTCTTCGTTGTAAAAGTTTTCATAGTGCTTCTTCATGTAATCACTGTCCCAGTGAGTTACTGTGATATCATCTGCGAATTTGGCAGAGCCAAGGACACGCTTTTCGCGGAAAGTTCCCGAACGGCCCAGAATGTGTTTTGCGGTATCGGCCCTAAGTCGAGTTAGCGGAAGATCTCAAACATGGAACAGTCTCACTAACAAAACGCAGAGAACAAGCTCATCGTAATGCTCAGTCTCTTCCTTTGCATCGGCATCGGTAGGTCCATTCCGAGATTCCTGCGGGACCCATGCGCTGTTGGGATTATGTGCATCCGGTTGTGGCATGCGCTTGATGAGGTTCACTGAGACACCGTTTTTGTCCCTCTTGACCACCTGCGTAAGTTCGGTAGATAACCGCACAGCTACACCCTTTGACTCCAAGTCTTCCCTCCAACTTTGATAAAAGTGCTCGAATCTTGGAAAGACGACCATCGGAGGCTGATTACTTGCAACGCTCAGCTTATCGCCGGGATACCACATTCCGTATGTCGGGCTAGTAATGAGTCTCTCCAGAATAATGGCGGGGACGTCAGGCGCATACTGGCCAGTACCGAGGAACAATGCTACCATGGGCAAGGCGACGGTATTAGTGAACTCGTCCGAAAAGAAGAACATCTTCATCAAGATTTTGATAGGTATCAATGCGAAGAATACCTCGAACATGCGGACAAAGGATATCATCCACTTAAATTTCTTGATCTCTTTTTGGTGTCTTTCGAGGAGTCTCGTGGGAAATACGTTGCTCCAGAATTGATCGCCTTTGCCGAAAGAAACATGGAGCTTCACTGGATCCGCGTGGTAGCCCTGGCGCGCGAACATGGTCATTGTGTGGTGGAAGATGTAGCCGCCGCCCTGCACACCCTGATTCAACCAGCCTGCGCCATGGCGTTCTTTGTCGATTGGAATCGAAAAGGCCTGCCCGCCGCAGTAATCAACAGAATCGATCAAGGTCACATCGAACTTGTCGCGATGGTTGGCAAGATGGTGGGCGCACGACATGCCTGAAAGATATTGAGAACAGCAATCTCACCCGGCCCGTGAATGCACTTACCAGCAGCTCCCGCTCCAACCACCAGGACGCGCTTCTTCCCAGTGCCAGACTTCCCGTTGGTAGCCATGTTAGTGGGTAGGATGGGATCAGTTTCGCGTGCACGTCGCAGAGGCATGAGGAAGAAAGCAAAATGTCTGGACTCTAGCTTTCTGGCACTGCCATGGCGCTTGCATTTGTTCCTCCAGGTTCACGAAGCAGTGCGTCATGAAGGACCAAAGATGGCGTAGATCTAGTGCGCACAGACCCTGCATTCTAGATCTCTAGATCTCACAATCGTGGGAACCGATCGGTCTAGCTGATTTAGGCTCAACACCATGCAGCAGATCTTAGCGCGTGCTCGCCATTTATCTATTACAGCTGTTCGTTAGTTTTCGTTGCTGGCGAAGAGCGAGCGCTATCTGACGTCATGTGCTTTTCATCCAGCTTGCTCCCGCCCTCTCGCGAGTAGAAAGCTGCACGATGGGCGTGGCTCAATGTGATCACGGCCCCGGAAAGCGATCACGTTGTCATGGTATGCTGCTCGAAGTCTGGGGTGGACGACCCTACCGTCGGGAGAACGATATCATAGGTATATTATCCATTTCAGGTCGCCTCTGAAAAGAGGCGATACTATCAAGCGAATGCTATCTGTCTGCACACTCAAAGTATCTACATGACAGGCTTTGCCATATGCACAATGAAAGAAGCCAAGTATAGACTGAGAAGCGAAAGCGCGGGTGGAGTGCAAGATATTCAAATGCCGTCGTCATAGAGACATTAGACGCTGTAAACCTTGACGGAGTTGACGAGCCAGTATGAGTCTCCAAAAGATTGAGGCTGCTGAGCCACGTAGGCGTTGCAGCTGGGGTTTATCGAAGCACAAGACGTGGAGCCCCAGACACCTCCAGCCCAGTCGCCGCAGAAGGTAATGTCGAAGATCTGAGGTGGACCTGTGAGCACGGTAACTCATATCATGTGACAGAGCTGCTACTTACAATGTTCATGTTGGAGAACTTCGCGTCGAAATTGCAGCCAGCAAAGTTGGCCTGGGGAGTGCCCCAAGTGTTGGGATCGGGGTTGCCGGACCTGATGTTCGCTGGAACATCTCTCGCAGCAAAGTACCAGACCTTGATGCCTGAAGACGTCCAGAGGGTGGCGTACACGCCGCCGCCATTTGCATTGAAAGCAGTGCCGTAGGAAGTAGGACTGTTCGACTGAACACCGCAGCCATTGAAACCGCCCCCAGCGCCACAATCTGCCTCGGAGACGTGAGTGCCGGTCTGACCTCCGTTTTGGTTGTACACCGGTACACAGCCGGGAGAGCTGTGAAGAGTCATCTGGTTGTAAGTGTTCAGGTGGACACCCTCGTAAATGTCGATTTCGCCTTGGTTAGGCCAGTTTGGCCCGACCATCCAGCTGTGGAAGTCAGACTTGGAAAAGAGAACAGCGGAGGACGAGGCTTACAAAGCCGGCCAACTCCCGCAGTTTGAGCCGGGAACATGCGCAAAATCAGCGATGACTGTTGGGGCATATTCGTTAGTGACTATGTGGATGACGGAGTACAGCTGTACCCACCCAAGCCATGAGTGTAAGCTCGGTTACTCTGGAGGCGCACAGAGTCGCGACCCACGCCGTTAGGGTTCAAGACGGTGCTAGAATCGACACCGATGTAGACTTGGTTATTTTGCGTCCTGTAGAGGCCCTTCGACTGCGCTGTGGCTTGGTTGACGTAGTTCACGAATCCATCTAACGAGGTTAGCCAGGGCGAAAGATCTTGAACAGGCCATAAAGCATACGAGTAGGGTCAGCAATCTGGACTGTGGTCAGTAAGTGAGACAACCTCTGGATCAGGAAGAGCATACGTTCTGCACGCTGAACTTTGAGAACCAGTTGCTCGCGTCATAAGTTTCTTGCAGTGCATATGCTTGTACTGATTCCGCATGGAAGTCGAGCTCGACTGTTGGCGAAGTCTCATTGAAAATAAAACTCGGTCCTCGGGCCGGAGAGACCTTTTGGTCGGAAGGCTTGAACGGCGGCTGGTTGAGAGGTGACGCGACCGCGGAACCCAAAAGCGGTATCGAAGCGACAGCAGCTTTCAAGAACATGTTTACAGGTTGGTACAAGAGATCGTCCGGCTAAGAGTGGAGCTCGAAATGCTGATGATCATAAAAATGTCCGTTATTGTCCTCTTTATACGTTGATCTGGGTGCAGTCCGCGGACGATAAAGCAGATACTGCACAGACACAACAGCGCATCTTATGTTTGTGCCCAAGGCATACCAGGTGATGAACCATGTCTCTAAATGTTTTATCCCTTATTCGTGGAGATGGGCTAGGTGCCAGTCAACGCCGTGGCTCGTTACATTTGACGCTCTCGTCCGCTCGACAGTGATTCAACGTGCAGGGTTATGACGGGAGAGCAACCAAGGTAGGAAGTTCAGGTGCGTGATAGCGCTTGTGAGTATGCCGGCTGACGGATCCAGACAGCTGTGCCCATTTACGAAACCGCCCAATTAGCGTTTAAGTGGAGTGTGATGTTGAGAAGGAGAACCGAGCCCACTAGAGTCCCGAACCCAGGATTAGCTAAGACTTCGCTCGGTCGTTGATCATGATCAAACTCAAGCCGTCTCCGCGGTTCCACCATGAGGCAGCTTAATGGGTTTATAATTTTTGGTATTCATTCCAAGACGAGTCTCTTAGCACTCGCTATTTCAACCATTCGACCGGACCACGATCGAGATCATCCGAGGAGCTCACTGTACACAGTTCGTCGTGCCCATCAACCTAGACCGCGGTAAACAGCATTCGAGAAGCTAGTCGGCAAATACAGGGGTTTGGCCCTTGAACTTGGCCTGCGTTAAGGAGGGTTGCACTGGCAGTTAAAGCAGTGGGGGCTGGGCGTAGTCCAGTAAGAAATCGCCTCAGAGCAAGGGTGACTGGCCCTTCCAAGTCCGCTATCCTGATTTGCTCGTGCATATGACCTTCATCTTGTCGGTGAGTTCGGCGACGGCATTTGGGTGGCCGTCTTGCCACGCTAGGTTTACGGTCCTACGTTTAGCAAAGCGCATTGGTCAACGCATTCAGACCGCTAGGCGCGCGAACAGCACAGGCAGGCTCGGCACTAAAGCCGGATCGACGTCGGAGCCGTTCGCGCACAAGGCGAGATCATGCTGCTGTTTTGAAGCTCTCGTGGACTGCACGCGACGAGTGCGTGCGCGTGACAACAGTAAGTCGAAGGATGACGGGGTTACGTTGCAGGTGATCGCGAAAGTGACATGTGGGATAAGGGCCTTTCTGGTAAATCGGTTAGAAACGTTCAGGCCCGGGAAAACTGAAGTCCGCAACCTGGGCGTCTTCGAGACGAGATCCGGGGTAAACGTCCGCATCCTAGAAGTGGGTACCTGAAGATTGCCGTGCACTAGAAGGAAATTGCGTTGATAATGCGAAACATCGGGACGTGATAGGTGGAGCATGCAAATCGAGCAAAGCAGGGGTCTACAATCGAACACCACCTTCCCTGTGGTGAATGGTCTAGTCTGCCATGGGCCACACTGCCCACGTTCTCGCGCCGCGGCTTTGACGTTCTTCTCAACGCACTGCTGCCCCTGATTCATAATACAAATCGTGCCGGGAAAAGTCTATGAAAGTTGTGCCGGCGATGTTGATCTCGATCCTCACGATGGTTTTTCGACTCGGTTTATGTTTAGACCAAGAAACTAAGAGTTGGAGCTGGCGATCATCGACTCTCGACTCATGTCAGGAACCCTGACGTGAAAGAGACCCTCCAACACACGTGTCACCAGGACATGACACCTTGCGCTTATCTATCGAACCCTGAAGGCACAATCGAAGACACGACGACCTGCGATACCGCGGATGGGACATAACCAGGCAACGTATCATGTTTGCGCTTCCAATGAAGACCTGCCGTTCCGATGTAACTCAAGAAAAAAGCTGTTCCAGTATCTAAGATCATACCCATGCTAGTTCCCCACAACATCCGCAAAGTTCCTGGTGCTGCGATGCCGTGTGAGTTCAGTAATGGGCGTTGATTGCCGAAGGTAATTCCATGAGCAAAAGTTACGGAAGGCAATTGGCCTTTGTGCAGTATTCTAGATGTATTTTCGTCAAGCGGGTACTACTCCTTTTGACCGATCCTCAAACTGATACCATAGGTATGTTTACGATGCGATCTTCTGCTCAAACTGGACTGCTCCACTAAAAGCCCGCGATCAAGTTCTATTCCTAAATGTACGTATCCTAGATCGTTTGTCGTTCCACAGCTTCTTAAGCCGTGGCTGTCCTCGCTCCCGAGTCGATCTCCCGGCTCCTCTTGTACGATTGCGGGGTAAGGCCAACCGCAAGCTCCCTCCCGCGTGAACGGCATACTCCGCAACAACGGCTGACGCCAGCTCGCAGTAATTATGTGATGTCGACTTGCATTACTATTACTATGTGAGATTCTGCAGAAAAACTACGGGTTGTAACCACACAGTCCCAGATCTTGACGTTAGGTAAGGCAGTCCGCACGTTAGTCACCAATCCTAACCTTCGCGATAGCATCGGCATCGGCATCGGCTCACGACGGCAACGCGGTAGATTGGCAAAGACATTCAACCTTCTAATTCGAAAAAGCCTGCTATAAAGCGTAACAGCAACCAGCACGTCTCAGGCCCTTCATCACAACTCCCTTCGCCAATCCCGCTCCGCGTGCAAAAGCTCTTGACTCAAGTACCATCATAATGGGCGACTACACCGGCACCGAAGGCATCGACTTCGCCGCGCACCCCACGGCCCAACAACTCCTGTCCCGAATCCAGGACTTCTTCGACGAAGTCGAAAACCTCACCCCAGGCCACGCCCTCGAAGCACACCTGAACAAGTCCTACGGCCCCGGGAACCCCATCTACGACGACCTCTGCGCGCTGACGCGCAAGGGCCTGGAGGAGGGCTGGGTCGCGAACATTGAGATCAATGGTACACTCTCCTTCACCCATGCGCAACTCTCATCTCAGTTTCGACTGCATCCATCGCGATTCCTGTCAGATGCCTAATGAAGGCAGGCCCCAACTACCGCCGCTCCAAGATCGCCCTCCCTTCCTCCTCTACACGGTACATGAGCATTACAACTGTGTACATGAACAGCAACACCGTCTTTAAAGGCCAGTACCATAGCCATCCCTACGGCGAGATAAACTGCGTCGTGCAGCTGGACCCCGGCGCCGAGCTCATGGGGATGCAGGGCTGGCAGGGTGCAGGGTGGACGAGTCCCGGGCCGGGGACGCATCAGTAAGTTGTACTTTATTCCGAAGCATATGTAGAAGTGAGAAGAGGAGAGAGGTTAGTACTAACAGGGGAATAGTTACCCCGAAGTCCGCGGCGGCGCGCTGATCGCGCTGTTCTTTCTGCCCGCGGGGAGAATCAGCTACGGCGCAAAGCCCGGGGACCCACAGCCTCACTGCGTGTAGTAGCAGGCGCTCACGGAACAGTACTCGAATGCAAGTCGTCATGAGGCTAAAAATGTCGTTGAAGGTGGTATCTTTGGGTAATGTACAGTCATGGTCATCAAATGAAAATCAGCCGCTGTTCCCAGTCGCCCACCGAAGCGCCAACCATATGCCCAGAACTCCAGCTTCGACGGTCCAAAGCGCGCGGAAGCAAATGCCAGCAAGGTTATCCGCACATTGCTCCCCCAGATGACCCACATCCACCTGATATCCAAATAGTCCTCGTTCTCAGACGAGAGGCGAGGTCGTGTCTCGCTGAATGCTTAATGTCGTAATGATAATCCAATCCGCTGAATCCAAAACTCATATGCTCATGTGAAAATGCCAGAAGATGATCAAATGTGGTATCAAGGACCCTCTTGCACCCTAGTACGCCTTGTAATACCGCCCAATGCTGATGATGTGAGAAACTTTTCGTGAAGAAGCCCAGGTTTGCAAGCTTGCTTTTGGAGAGAGTAAGAATGAACGCCGGTGTCAAGAGACAAGACCAGTCGGTTGGGAAAATTGGTCATCACCGCAGCGATAGGCATTATCGAATGACACCCCACTTGTCCATGGTATTGTTGAGACTTCCGGTTCTCTCTTTCTTCTTAAAGCAATTCCAGAAGCGAAGGGTCTCATCTCCTGCGCCAGTAACGATAGTCTGGCCATCTGGGCTCATCGCCAGGTAGAGAACACGGTATGTGTGGCCAGTGAGCGAAACAACTTGCTGCATGTTGGGATACTTCCAGACGATAATCTGGTTTTGGCTGTATCCGTGGGTTGATACGATTTCGTTGCTGTTCTTCGACCATGCCAGATTACAGACCTGGCTACCGGTGTCTAGGCTTCTGATGAGGTTGGCAGGTGCACTCTGCTGAAAGTCCACATCGCCGGGACCCGACGCAGACGCTGCGGATGAGGCGGCGGCAAGCGATGCAGAAGAAGGTCCATTGGAAGAGACCAATGTGTTCCAGAACTTGATGGTCCGATCAGCCGTGCCGCCACCGCTAGCCAACAAGCCGCGCTGATGTGGACTCCAAGCAATGGCTTTGACAGCGGCTTGATGCTCGCTCCATTTGTATGTTGGTTCTGCGTTGAGTTTCTCCCACACCATTAGCTTATTGTCATTTCCACCTGACGCGAGTTGCATGTCGTCATTGTTCCACTTCAGTCCGCAAACTTCTTGCTTGTGGCCAACAAGTTTCCGGAGCCATTGTTCTGGCTGTCTGACATCACGATGATATATTGATCGATCTCGTGAGCCAGAAGTCAGGATATGTTCGTTCCAAGCAAGAGCGCCAACACGTCCAGAATGGCCAGTCATAGTTCGTAGACGACGCTGAGTAGTTGCATCCCAGATCTGCACGAAACCTCGATTTGTACCAATGGCGAGATGAGAGCCCTATGTTATGTCAGCCATGTTGAGAGCTATAAACGTCGAACAACTTACGCGTTGTATCCAGCTGACACTTGTCACAGAATCGTCAGTCAGTTCACAAAGTTTTGTGACGCGTCCGCTTGAAGAGTTCCACATGTACACGCAAGACCCCAGTCCGACACCAAGGATGTTCTGACTACCCCAATCTACTAGATTGAGATAGAAGTCGTCTGCTAGGTCTGGCGCGTCGAGTACCTTGTAGGGCACCTTGGAAACGGCGCGGGGGGTCCTTTGTGGGCTGAGAAGCATGCGCTGGCTGTTCAACTTGATGGGTGACAAACTGTACAGGTCAGATTGCGCATTGAGATTGATTCCATGTCGGCTAGAAGGAGTTCTTGATGGTGTCGGTTGGCCTGAGTAGTTGAAGAAGTTCTTGTGTGGTGTTGAGGGTGTCAAGTTTGGCGCTGGTAGTGATGTTGCTGCATGAGCTGGTGGCGTATGTGAGCGCCCGGAGCGACGCAGATTAGCACTGTCGGTGGGGGACAGGCTCTGCGGCAAGGCTTGGGGTACAGATCCCTCGAATAATTCCTGCCGTAGGACCGCCGAGTAGGTCCGATTTGCTTCCTCCGCTGCGCATTCATTAGCGGAAGTCCAGTCTGTATCGCTGGGCTGAACTCACTCCGTTGAAAGTGCAACTCGTTGTGTGGGGCGCGTTTCGCGCTTCGTGACGGCGTGGCAGGTGAAGCGTCATCATGGAGCAGTGAAAAGCTCGCCTGGAGATCCTGACCAGCACGATTGGGGATGAATCTGCCACTTGTCAGCCTACACTATGTACTTGGTTGCCAGCAGACTCACCTATCACCGTAGATACGCTGGCGTTTGCGACTAGGACTTGCAATGGGTCGCTCCTGCACGCGCCCTGCTCGCTCAAAATGTTCCAGAGCCTTGCTCAGGGCCGAAGCATCCACTGGTTCGGAATTCCGATCTTGCGCAAAGTCGGCTTGGTTGCGCTTGTGGGTCGCCGTTGGCGGTGTCTTGGACTCGGGCGGGGAGATGAGCGCAGGCGTGCGCGCATCGTCGACTACGCGCTCTGTCGTCGCAACGGCCGTCACGGTATCTTCAGAAGCCATTGCAGTGCCTATACGCCTTGTCGCAAGCAGCGCACTCGTGGTTCAAGGGCGGGAGCGGTCGGGAGGACCACGCTGTCGGCGGCGGGGGCGGGGCTATCTATCGCGGGAGAAAGAGTGACTGGCGCAGCAGCTTCACCAGGCTTCTGGTAATTGTGCGCTGTAGCGATATGGTCCAGGAAGGATGCGATTGTATGGTGAAGGCGGGATCGCAGGCGGTCGAGGGTCCCTTTGTGCTGCGTCACCGCGCGCTCAGCCAGCGGCAGTCGTCGGAGCGCGCAAAAAGTATCGCAATGGTCCTCCTCTTCACGCGCAAGCGCAGCGCATGGCAGTCGAATCGGCGTTGTTTGCTATTGTGCAGCGGCGGGCAGGAGGCGGGGGCTGTTGTGCAGGCGGCCGGTGTTGTTTTGACGCCGCTTGGGACAAGCCGCTAGGGCAACGCTCGCTGGTTGCAGCAGTAAGGAGCGGGAGCGGCGTCGATGCAGCGCCGGACAGTGCAGGGCAAGCTCGAGCGACGGGTGGCACGGCCGAGGGAGGGACCGCACACGGTTGAGGTGGAAAGGACGTTGGGTGCGGGATGCTGGAGGTCGGACGGGAAGACGCGCGAAGCTCCCGCGGTCGGCTGGTCACGTCCAGCTGTTTTGCTTGTCGCTGTTTTGATGTTCCTGCCTCCCAGCACGCGTGCCCCCGTACCTGCCACCCAATCAAACGCGGCAGCCACCCCGGCCGCGCCAGCAGCAGTCGCGACCCTGTCACCTGTGCACCGTCAACCCCACACCGACGTTTACAGCCGCCACGTCCTATCAGTGATCCCATGCTCAACCCGCTGCGAGCCGCCCTACTGCATATTGGCCCGCGAAGCTGCACACACGTCGCTTTTCCTTTCCTCCCAGCCTGTACTGCACGCACCATGTCTACCAAGCCGTCCCTCGCAGCCGCCGAGGACTTCCTGTCCTTTGTCAACGATTCACCCACCCGTATGCTCCACTATTGATGTGTAAGAGGCTTGCATTAACTGTATATAGCCTTTCACGCCGTCAAATCATCCAAGGACCGGCTGGAAAAGGCCGGCTTCAAGCAGATCAAAGTGAGTTTGTGCCGTCTCATCATCGTCGGACGAACACAGCATCTGCCCCAGGAGCTCTCCTTCACTCTTGTAGAGAGGATGGGCTCGGCTTCTTAATCAATGCAAGTACACAGAGCACTGACCCGTTACACCGTAGGAGCGCGACTCGTGGGCGTCCGCCCTGCAGCCCGGCGGGAAGTACTACCTTACCCGAAATGGCTCCTCCATCGTCGCATTCGCCATCGGCAAGAACTGGAAAGCTGGCAACCCCATCGGCATGATCGGTGCGCACACCGACTCATGCTGCCTTCGTCTCAAGCCTGTTTCGAAACGCCAGAGCGATGGGTTCCTCCAGGTGGCATGCGAGACATATGGCGGTGGCCTTTGGCACACATGGTTCGACCGAGACCTGTCCCTCGCGGGCCGGCTCATGGTCCGCACCGAGCAGGGCAACATCGAGAGCCGCTTGGTCAAGGTTGAGAGGCCCATCTTGCGTGTCCCGACCTTGGCTATCCATCTCGATCGCCAGGAAGATTTCAAATTCAACAAGGAAGCTCAACTGTTCCCAATTGCTGGCTTGGTCGCGGCAGAGTTGAACAGGCAGGGCAAGTCCGCTGAAGCTGCCAAAGAGGAAGAAAGCAAGGAAAGCCCTGTTGAACCGCTGGCTGCTCCTATGCAGAGACATCACACGTACCTGGTCGAGATAGTTGCCGAGGAGGCCGGAGTGGACCCCAGCGATATCGTAGACTTTGAGTTGGTCCTATATGACACCCAGAAGGCTGTCGTGGGCGGTCTGAACAACGAGCTTATCTTTTCCGCGCGCCTCGATAATCTGATGATGTCCTATTGCAGCGTTGAGGGTTTGATCCAAAGTCTCGCATCGTCTTCTTCCTTAGAGAAGGATTCCACGATTCGTTTGATCGCTCTTTTCGACCACGAGGAGATAGGAAGCCGAACCGCACAGGGCGCGGACTCCAACCGTGGGTTACATACTCCCCACTTCCACCTTCTCAACTAACTTCCATGTAGTCCTCCCCGCTGTCATTCGTCGTCTTTCTGTGCTACCTCCTTCGGAGGGCTCCCACTCCGACAAGTCCTACGATAAGCTAGATGTCGATTCGGCAACAGTCTACGAGCAAACCTTGGCGACGTCTTTCCTGATTTCCGCCGACATGGCCCACTCTGTGCACCCGAATTACCCCGCAAAGTACGAGTCACAGCATCGGCCCGAGATGAACAAGGGCACTGTGATCAAGATTAACGCCAATGCCCGGTACGCGACAAACTCGCCCGGAATAGTGTTGGTGCAAGAGGCAGCTCGCCTGGCTAAGAGAGGTTCCGCAAGCCCTGCTTCTGTCAAAGAGGGCGTGCCACTTCAGCTTTTCGTAGTGAGGAACGACTCATCCTGCGGAAGCACCATCGGACCCATGCTCTCAGCCGCCATGGGAGCCCGCACACTAGACCTCGGCAACCCTCAATTGAGTATGCACAGTATCAGGGAGACTGGTGGAGCGCACGACGTTGAGTATGCCATAAACCTGTTCGACAGCTTTTTTGAGCACTTTGAAGATCTCGAGAAGAAAATTATTGTTGATTAACTAGAAAATCCGAAGCTATAGGTGGAGAACTGCATAAAGGGCAATAAGAGTAGATACCCTAGTAACGAATATACGTGTATGAAAGTACTTTCGGAATTCTTCCCGAACAGTTCCGAGTCTGACCAGTCCAACGCCAAGCACCCCCACCAAAGTGTTGCTCACCAACAACTTTCTCACCACGTTGTTCTTCTTGCCTAACAACTTTTCTCCTCAAATCCAGAGCTTCGAAAGATCATGTCACAACCAAAGTTCCTGTCCGGCGACAAGGCGGGCATTGACGAGTTCCTCGACCGATTCGATGTGAGTAGGAGCTCCTTTTCGGGCTACTCGCATAGCTGACGAGCCACGAAAAGGTCTTTCTCTTCGATTGCGATGGTGCGTGCGACCAGTTTCGATATGAGCTTGCGTGCCCTATACGCCACAGTTTGACACGGAAAAATATACCAGAGAAAATCGCTGATGGTGAAGAAGGATAGGCGTCCTCTGGTCTGGCGATCATATGTTCGAGAAGGTCCCCGAGACACTGGAGATGCTGAGGAGCAAAGGTATGATATCCGTCTGCAAGAATGACGGTTGACTAATGTAGGCGCGAAGGCAAGCGATTAGTCTTCGTCACGAATAACAGCACCAAGTCGCGTGCAGACTACAAGAAAAAGTTCGATAAACTGGGCATACCCGCCGAAGTTGTAGGTTGCGCTTCCGTTTCCACACGGTTTCTACCTGACATGCGTGCACAGGACGAGGTCTTCGGTTCGTCGTACAGCGCCGCTGTGTACATCGCTCGCATCATGAAGCTTCCGGCTCCGAAAAACAAAGTATTCGTTATGGGCGAGAGCGGTATCGAGCAGGAACTCGAGTCAGAAGGCGTGCCCTATATCGGAGGCACAGACCCTGCACTCCGTCGCGACATCGAACCGGAAGACTTCACAAACATCGCGAACGGGTCCATGCTAGACCCCAACGTAGGCATCGTTCTCGCCGGATTGGACTTCCACATGAACTACCTGAAGACGGCGATCGGATTCCAGTATGTGCAGCGCGGCGCACAGTACCTCGCGACGAACATTGACAGCACGCTGCCCATGTCACATAGCTTCTTTCCTGGAGCTGGAGCTAGTGGTGCTGCTCTCGAGAAGGCGGTTGGAAAGACGCCTGTGTCGTTTGGCAAGCCCAGTCAAGCTATGATGGACGCCATCGAGGGCAAGTTCAAGTTGAACCGGAGTAGGACGTGCATGATCGGCGATAGGCTGAACACAGACATCCAGTTTGGCATTGACGGAAAACTAGGTGGTACCTTGGCTGTGCTGACTGGTGTAAGCAAGAAGGAGGATTTCCTTGCAGACGGTGCGGAGACTGTGCCGTCGGCATACGTGAATGCCATTAGCGATCTGCTTGGTTGAACGTGAGCGTACTGAAGGGCAACGGTTATGGCGTTCAGTTAGAACTAGCAATAGAACAGCAGCCTAGACATGTGACGATCTGCACATGGCCAATCCTGGAATCGGCGCTTCGCATCCTCGCATGACGCGCAATGAACTAAGTCGCGTCGCGTCTCGATTGGGCTTGGCTCGGAACGCGACACGCATTTCGCGTTTCGCGTTTCGCGTCCCACTTTACGCGCTCGTCCAAGCCCACAGCACGCATCCAGTAACTCACAAACAAACCGACTTGGGACGCATCGACAGACACACCGCCATGATCCGCCACGATTACTCGCGAGTAGAACCAAAGCGTCGCGCCTATATCGATCCCAAAAAGCGGCAGTTCGCCAAAGCGGAGTTTGCGCAACAGAACTACGAGCACCGGCTCAACTTCTATACCTTGCCGCCCACGGCAGAGATCACGCTCGAAGAATTCGAGACATGGGCAATAAACCGGCTGAAAGGTGAGCAACAGGCCATCAGTCTCGCTGCGAAAGCTAACGTCCTGCCTTAGTTCTCTCCGAATTGGAGGCGTGTAGCTTCCGCAACCGCAGCCAGGAGGAGACGGCAGAATACATGACGAGCATACTGAATAAATACCTTCCCCTACGATCGAATTCATCACGAGGGGCGAACCTTCAGGAGGAAAGGAAACGGGACCACTACTCGCACTTTATTCTCCGCCTCGCATTCTCTTCCACCGAAGACCTACGGCGGCGGTTCTCACATCTGGAGACGATATTGTTTCGCTTAAGGTTTAGGGAAGATGACCCGAGGGAGCGACAAGATTTCGTCAGGACTCTAGATTTAGAGTGGGAGGAGGTTGGGGAGGATGAGAAGCGGGAGCTGCGAGGCCAGATGCTGGCTGCGATTGGGTCGAAGAAGGGAGAGGAGCAAGACTGGTTCAAGGTCGACTGGGAAAGGGTCCCAGAGCTCGTCAGCCAGAGGAAGGTGCTTCTGAAGCGGGGAATGGCATACGTGCCGGCACGAGAACAGACAAGTCTGGTAGTGGCCGAGTTCACCAAGCGATTAGATGAGCAGCTCGAGGTACGCATGGCCACCGTCACATTCCTTGCGATACAATTACTAACTTCTGCGATAGTTGACTGCCCGCGCGCTCCCACGCCTAGACGAAGACGACCGCCTCGCCCCCATCCTCGCACACCTCTCCCAATCCTTCACCGCCCCCGAAGCAGCCTACTCCTCCTCGGACGCCAACATCGACGGCCTCTCCGCCATCAATGCCGGCGCAATCGACACCCTTTCCCAAAACTTTCCCCTCTGCATGCAAAACCTACACATGACGCTCCGCGCAAACTCGCACCTCAAGCACTACGGGCGTCTGCAGTACACGCTGTTCCTCAAAGGCATCGGTCTTAGCCTCGAGGAATGCATAATCTTCTGGCGGCGCTCCTTCAAGCTTATGACCGACGACAAATTCCACAAAGAATACAAGTACAACATCCGCCACTCGTACGGCGACGTCGGCGGCGACGCCAACCGCCGCGGCCGTGGCTATACACCATACTCCTGCCAGAAGATACTGACGGAGGCGCTGCCGGGCCCCGGGCAAACCCATGGGTGTCCCTACCGAACATTCACGGTGGAGAATCTCACGGGGCTGCTTCAGCGCGTAGGCGTGCAGGACAGGGAGACGCTCCAGGGTGTAAGGGAGGATGTCAAGAAGCAGCGGTACCATGTTGCGTGTAACCGCGTGTTTGAAAGTGTGCATAAGAAGGAAATTAAGAAGGTGAAGGATGAGGGGAGCTGGAGCGCGACGGATTTGGATACCATTGTGCATCCGAATACGTATTTTAAGCGGAGTTGGTTGCTGAAGCACTTAGGGGAGGGGAATGCGGGGATTGTGGGTGGAGACAAGATGGAGGAGTAGCGATGGGCTGAGGGCGGTCTGCATGGTTGGAGTTTGGAGTGCGTTCTACTGGGTGTGAATTGGGACCCGTTTGGCTTTGCGGGATGTTCATGACGGGTCTAGCGTACTTGCTCTTGGCACAGGTTGGTGCTGTTGAGCACTTGCTTGCTTGAGAGTATATTCAGGCTTACTTTGAATCACGCATAATAGCTCCATTCCATCATTCGCAAAGTGTGAGAAATGCTTGCATGTGGAAACGTGAGCGATAAAACACACAGCAAGTAGTTTTGTGTCATTTATAGCGGCGAAAATTGATGCTGTTCTCGACCACTAAGAACCGCACCAAGTGCCGGTTCTCGACAAAAGTTTTTCATACACAAAGGCTCGCTGTCGCAGTCGACGGGCCTCATCTTGGGGGCGCAAGCAGGTCGTCCGAAGTCTCGATTCAGCACGAGTGAACAATTGGTGTATCGGCACAGTGATGGCTACCACCGACGGTCTCAGGAGGAAATCAACGACGTTCGGGTGGGGCGTCTTGATTGAGGAAGTAGGCTGTGGGATAAGCGCAGCTGCTGGAGTTGTCGTGTAGGTAGTGTCGTCTCCTAATCTATACGCAAGCAGCTGTTACATCAGGTCCAGTCAGGTCAGTTTGGTCGGCTGTTTGCAGGGGAGAAGTGAAGGCTAAAATATTCGCAGAGAGAGACGACAAACGACTGAAGTACTGGATCTATGCGAACAGTGGCAAGTGATTCAGGTGAGCTGATGTCTATTTCATACCGGTCGGGTTGCTCACGCGTACTCGACCGTGTTTCGCAGTGTTCCTATCGCATTGATGTTGACTTCAACGACATCCCCCGGCTTCAAGAACTGAGGCTCCTTCATAGCGTAGCCGACACCTTGGAATGAATTAGTGCTTCTTTCGCGACATTTGGAGTGATCTTGTCGTTCACTTACCACTGGGAGTACCTGTCATAACGACTGTCCCCTTCTTCAGCGTAGTCCCCTGGCTGCAGTAGCTTACGATAGTATGAATCTTGAAACAAAGATCGTCGATAGTCTCACTCTGCCTCACGTCTCCGTTCACAATGGTCTTCAGATAAAGTTTCGAAGGGTCAGGCACAACCTCAGTGCTGACAATCTGCGGTCCAAGAGGCGCATAGGTGTCGAATCCCTTGGAGAAGTTCCACTGCGGCACGGTGCCTGCAAGTTTAGGGTCGCGCTGCAGCTTCCTTGAGCTGACATCGTTGCCGCACAGATATCCGCCTACGTAGTTGTAGGCGTCTTCTTCGGAAACGTTTAGGGCATCCTTGGAGATGATGAAGCATAGTTCACCTTCGTAGTCGGCCTGGTTGTCCTGCGCGAGTTTCGGAATGACGATTGGTGCGCCGTGGTCGTTCAGGCAGGTATTGGCCTTGATGAAGGTGGATGGGTAGGGCGGCAGTGTGCGACCACCTTCCTGGACTAAAGGACATACTCAGCTTGCAGTCTGTATCATGTGAATGGACCTTCATACTGTGCTTGATGAAGTTGAGCCCAATGCAGCGAATGATGGGGACTTCGTCTGTAGTCACGGGACCGAGCAGTTTCTTGACGGTTACTTCTTGGTCCGTGACTTTAGTCGCAGGGTCGAAAATATCGTTGTTGGCAACCTCGATTACTTTCGCTTTCAATCCCGTCTCTTGTGTGGTGGTACCCACATCGAAATCTGGTGAGGGGAGGATCGGCTCGCCCCGCAGGGTCTTTCCGTCTGTGGACTCAAAGCGTATGAGGCGTTTCCAAGACGGCATCGTGAAATCTGTGTAATCGAGCAAAGGTATGCTATATTGTGATACTAGTTTCTGAAGTCCAACGTGAAGATGTGCTTCAAATGCAGGGCGACGTCGGCTTTGTGTTGTGGGGGAGGTGCGGACTGGTGGCTACGGAAGACTAAAGCCGGATAGTGTTTCGGCACTCCATCATTGGCCGGAATCAAAAGTACCTCCACCACAAATTGTGGAGGTGCTCGTTCGTACAACGAGAGCACCAGCGACGGTTCTCTTGTACGTACCCGACCGCATCGTTTCGGACGCAAAACAAACGATCGTATAAATTCAGCAGAGGACAGAAGACACGGCACATTATGCAATTAAAAATTAAAGCACACTTCTTTACGCTGGAAGAAGATACCGTCACTGGCTGCCGTCTTCAGCACCTTCGTTTCGATAGAAACCGAGCGCTTCAATCATCGGCTTATCGTCAAACCGATACAGGTACAAGGTCCCGTGCTCACCAGCGAACAGCTGATACGGGTACCACGATGGAATGCAGAAGGTATCCCCTTGCTTCCATCGCAGCGTCTGGCCATCTATTATTGAATGACCATCTCCCGAAATGACATGATATACGCAGGATGTCGTCTCGCGCCTCAATCTTGACGACTTTCCAGCTTGAATGCGCTCTGCCGATGGACCCAATGTCTTGCTCACTGTGATAAATTAGATTGTCCTTACATCTCAAGAGCTGGAGGGTCTCACCATAGCTTCCATCAGCTTTCCTATACTCCTGCTTCGCCCACACTCCCAGGTCACTATCCAGCTTTTCCTTCATGTGTGCCCAAGGGAATACGATTGGGCTATTCCCCGAATCCACATTTTCAGCAGGGTATCTTTTCTCCTGGAAGTGCTCCACAAAATGGACAGGAAAATGCTGGAATTGGGGTAAGTCCAATCCATCCAGCCAAATCATCGGCCCTGAGCCATCCTTTCCATGGTCGTGCCAGTTCCATGTGGGCGTGAGAATTACATCCCCGCGGTTCATTTGAATGCGCTGCCCATGGACAGCGGTAAAGCCTCCATTTCCTTCGATGACAAAGCGCAATGCAAAGGCAGTGTGGCGATGCGCTGGTGCAGTTTCATTTGGCATCACTAGTTGAAGGCCTGCGTAGAGCGTGTCCGTCGTATATGGGCCCTCTATAATTCTTCTCAGCGCGTTCCTTCGTACCCGGCATACGACCAACCAGATACACACCTCGTTTAGGATTGATCAACATCAGAACTCTCCGTTCTGCATCTTTCTCTTTGACAAGCTCGCCAGCCTTCAGTAGATACGGGCGGACGTCATCGTATCGCCAGATATACGGGATGCATTTCGGATTCGGCTTCGGGGGATTATACTTCACCATCTGAGGCCAAAGTGGTACCGCATTGTATTTTGACGCTCCCTTAATAACATCATCTACGGTCTCGACGGTACCGTTGACTCCATTTGTAGCCATGCTGTCCTGGGTGCTAAGTATCGGCTTGGTCAGCTTATGGACTATCGCAACGTGTCTCACGCTTACGCACCTGGAGATGACTTGCTCTTACTAAAATGTGTAGATTTGTCGCAGTATAAGCGGTACAATTAAAGATTCAAGATATAAAGTCTCGCAATCGCATAAGAATGCTCGGTTGCCGATCGGTGGTACAGTTTATGTCGGCTAGTTTTCGGTTCCCCGCATTCTTGCCGCGTAGCTTTCACGTACATGGCTGCGCTTTTGATTGGTGGCGGGTAGCCTTTGTAGCAGCTCCCGTTAAATCCTATCTCCCCGGCAGTCGCTATAATTCTGGTTGCCGCCCCATTACACTGCGACCTCGATCATAGAGCAGTGATGGACAACCAGGAAGAACAGCTCGAGAAATGCAGGAACCATATAGACTCCTTATTGACTGGCAAAGGGCATGGTGGTCTTCAGGCAAGCTCGAACTCCTTCGCTCGCAAACCCATTTTGACTGAGTTTTGTAGGAAACATCGTATCCTTCTCGAAGCTTGAACTTCTTGAAACGACTCCAAGGCGCGCCGCAGCGATTCGACAAGGTACCAAATCTCGCCCGTGACGCGTCCCACAAAAAGATTCCTCCCAAGGTAGGAACTGTAAAACTCAGGATCATCGTCGCGGGTGCGGGTCTTGGTGGTCTCGCAGCTGCTATCGCGCTCCGTCGACGTGGCCACGAAGTCACCGTTTTCGAAAAGGCCCCAGAACTGGGAGAAGTCGGCGCCGGAATCCAAGTGCCACCAAATTCCCGTCGTCTCCTTATGCGGTGGGGCCTGGGTCCTTACCTCAAAGGAAAAGCTGTAGAGCCGGACGCAATTCGCCATCGACGTTGGCAGAATGGCGAGATCCTCTCTCTCACCAAGTTGGTCCCGGAGTTCGAAGAGAAGTTCGGAGCTCCATATTACGTTATCCACAGGGCGAATCTCCAGCGTGCAATGTATCAACTTGCTCTTAGTTTGGGCGTTCGCGTGAGAGTCAATGCCGGTGTTCGATCGTACAATGACGAAGCTTCGAGCATTGTGTTGGAGAACGGAGAGACGCACTACGCCGATCTGATAGTCGCTGCAGACGGTGTCAAATCTGGGGCGAGAAAGGTCGTCCTAGGAGGTCAAGATCAGCCTCCACAGCAATGTGGGTACGCTGCATACAGAGCGATGGTCGACACGGATTTGATCAGAGCCGATCCCGAAATATCGTGGTTACTCGATGTTCCAGGGCAAAACTTATGGTAAGTGGTAGTCGGTAGTTCAAATATTGTTACCTGCTTGTCTTACGCAAGCATGGAAAGAGCGGCTCTCTGACATATGCAGGATCGGGAAAGGACGGCATGTCATGGCCTACTCGATCGCTGGGGGTAAGTCTTTTAATATGGTACTCTCGCACCCTGAACACTCGGACCCTTCCACGTGGAATCAACATACTGTGCTCGAAGACATGAAGAGGCACTTCGAGGGCTGGGACCCATGGTGAGTCCCTCCGTGGACGAAGTTTTGTCCAATAATTGATGTCGCAGTCTTGTTAAAATCATTTCGCTCATCCGGACAACGCTTAAATGGCCCTTACTTTCTGGAAAACCGCTTCGCAGGTGGCTATCACCATCTGGCAGCTTGGTGATTATTGGCGATGCTGCGCATAGTATGGTGCCGTACATGAGCGAAGGAGCAGCAATGGCCGTGGAGGATGGAGCCGCCCTTGCTGAGGTATTATCTCTTATTGGTTCGCGCTCAGAACTCCGCTCTGCACTCGAGGTATTCGAACGTCACAGGATATTACGAACAGGCCAAATGCAGGAAGCTAGTCTCGTTAACGGGAAGCTGTGGCACTTTGCAGACGGGCCTGAACAAGAAGCGCGGGATACAGCTATGAGGTCCGCAATGTCTGGAGACATCGACGAGAACCCAAACCAGTTCTGTGACCCTGTGACTGCCCAGTGGACATATGGATTTGATGCGGAAGTTGAGATCAGAGAAGCGTGGAGCAAAAATCGAGCGGATGTATCAAAATTATAGGAATAGAGCTCTACGTCATATGCTTGGGTAATATACTTGCGGTGACCCTGGCCACCGAAACCTTTCACGTATTGCTTGATTCTACGAATCGATGTTCCACTAGGTTTATTTTCATCATACCGTGCAATGGCACGCTACATTTCGAGCTTGTAAGAAAGGGACGGGGTTTCTGAAGAGAATGTGAAATCTCGAAGTTGGCGCAACCCAGAATTGTAGGGGCATTTGTAGCGGATAAGAAAATGGCTAAATCACTGAGCCCTTGCGAAGGAGCAATACCCCTGGGCAAACGACGCATCCCTGTAGACCATCATCGAGTTGTGTATGCCCATATGTGGCACAGCGTAGTAGTTTCAATGTAAGGTGTGAGTCTGCAATGCTGCACGTGGGATTCGTTTGCGATGCAGTCTCGCTTACCAACTGCTCGGCCTTCGGCTTTTCACTTCTGCGACTTCCACTCCCCTCAACATCACTGGATATCCTCGAAGACCCAAAGATCTTAGAGCGCGCAACACCGAGTCACGACCTGCCGCCACTCCTATTAAGGCAGTTCAGCGGCCTGCACCTACTCCGACCTCACCGTATGCGCACAAATTCTTCCGTCTCAGCTCGCATGTCGGAGGGCAGGTTCCCCGCAAAGTGGTGCACGGCAACACCGGTGTGGAATTGGATTGGAGCTGTGGCTTGAAACTTGCAGCTGCTGTCCGTTCACTCAACGACCTCAGTCTTGTGACCTTGCAGCTAAGTCTTGAGAGTTCAGGCGCTTGGCCCCATCGAAAGAGTTCCCGCCAACCATTTCATCGTCTCGCACGTAAAAGGGCCAGCGGAGGGCTCGGCGTAGACGTGGCTGTGGCAAGGCGCATACTCAGACAGCAGGCGCAGTTTCCAATGGCGGTATGTCGTATCCTAAAGGGGCCAGTGAGGCATCCCCTTACTGCGCGAGTATAACTACAAATGGCAAATGTTCTTTGCCTCATTAGATCTCGTTTTATGCCAGAACGAGTGTGAAAGGAAATGAGACTGCGTCATGGAATGGAGAATAGCCGCCCATGGACTTCTCGGTTCGTTGCCAAAGTATCGAAAATCATCCTAGCAGATGTCACGGGATATGTGCTGGTGTCAAATTGGGGTGCGCCAGGACGATGTGATCGAAACCAAGCCCCTTCAGTGCTCACGGTGCCAGACCGAAGCAGTAGAGACTTTTTGTAGCATCTTCAATCATCAAACTAATCCAGGTATCTTGTCCAGGAACCATGATGCGTTCTGCCATATGTGTCTACTAGTTCCCCTACAACGCTATGTTCCAGCCCTGTAAGCATTCGTACGACAAGCGTATGGAATCTCAAGGGCATGACCGTCGTGGGTTTAGCACAATTTATGTCGATCCAGAGAACTGGGACAATGTATGACGTTCTTGGTGCATGCTTTGAAATCCTTCGGTCGGCCTCACCAGGGAAACTGCGATCTCGTTTACCCCGCAGGCACTAGCTCACTCTTGGGCTTGCATCACGTAGGAGGTGCGAGGCGACGCAGCGCGTAGCGGAGCAGGGCCATCTACTGCCCTAAAATTACGCATGGCTCCAGCATACGAGGCTTTTAAGCTGAAGACTGCCTCAAGTGCATTCCCCCTCTCCCCTTCGTATCTGCTTCTGCTTCATCGCTTGCATCAGTGACTTCACGTTCAACATCGTCATCGGAGCAACATCACGTATTCGCGCCTCACAATCGGACCGGACACGATGTCGCTATCAGTCCTGCCGACGGAGCTGCGACAAATGATAATCGAGGAGGTGCTCACGACTCCTCTGTCACCGCCTAGCGTCCCCAGCGAAGTCCGTGGTCAGAATTGGTTCTATCCGAACGAGGAAAACAAACGAAGATACTCGCTAGACGCCGATGGGGGTTCGGCGGAGCAAAATCCTGCTATTGCATTCAACAAGCAAGAGCCTTGGGGGCTCCAATATCTTCCATTGCTGCTGATCAACAAGGCCCTCAACGCTGATACCGAGGATGTACTGCGACGTGTTGGACGACACGTTCCGTCGACCCTCGATGTGATGCTTGAAGATGATGGCAACTTTAAGGCTACGTGGTTGCTGGTTCCACCGGCAGCGACAGAGACAGAGCGTCTGGATATCACCATACGAACTTTGAAATGCATGAAGACTTTTGGTGCGGAGGGCTCGGAGAACGGTAAGCGAGAATCCTCCACCAGCGGTCACCTCCTCGCTAATCGGACTGATCCAGTGCCTCTAAAGCGTAATGCAAACATGTCGGTAGGGCGGCTGCTCCAACGTATCACCAGCATCGGTCTCAGCCCATATGCAAAGGACCGACAAACACAGGGTACTCAGGTTCGCCGGCTCCGGATTACCATTGTAACTCCGGCAGACGGGAAGATTGGCGAGACTGAGGACGAGAGAGCGCCACTCGCAGCAAGGCTGAGCGAGTACTTCAGCATGGGCTACTTCGAGGATCTAGCTCAGAGGGTTAACGGTATTGAAATCTTCGTGGATGACCGCAAAGCGTATGCATTTTCGAGCGCAAAGAGCTCTTTCGTTATGGAGTGGTCGCACAAGTGGCGGCGCGACAGTGCCATGGAAGATTGAGAGATGGCAGATAGTCAGAGGCTATTCTGGTGAAGTATTTGTAGTACCAATGACCGAGATTTCGATGATGATCAAGCGCTTTTCCACACATGGTGCTATCGCTTGCCAGTGTACGTTGTACATGATGGGCGTCAGATTGTTGCCTATCGAGTAATTACGAATGAATGTCAGTAGGTACTGTACGATCCAGTGTTCCAAGGGATGCTAGTATGGTAGCCATGTTGTTGGAGAAATATCACATTGGTAGTACGAAGACAGGCTGGTGCTATGCGGAGTTACACCGGAGTTAATTGGCAGCAACATTGCATCAACGAAGTTCCCCACAACCCGCGCCTTTGCGCAGGCGCAATGCCCACATCACCAACGCGTGTTGACGCGCACGCGGTCGCATCGTCCTCAACCCTCGACCCCAATCTTCTAGCACCTCGAGATGCTCTCTACGGAACCGCAGTTAGCGCCGCCTGGAGCGCGAGAAAGCGGAGGGAGAGAGCGCGCAGTTCAGACCGAAGGCGGGAAGGACAGTTCAAGAAGCTGCTATGGTTCAAGCAGCCTTGTAAGCGTTCCAGTGTACTCAGTTAATCACTGGCTAATATTGAAGGACCAGTCCCCGACAATTACACGGACGAGCGGACGTTCCTCGACCACCTCCAGCGCAACCCACGCCTTCAGCCCTACGAGTTCTGGTCGCTCATGACTGACGCGACTGTCATTGTGCAGCATGTCGCTTCTGTCGCTATATTCTGCTGCTGCTTCGTCGCAATTTACATGGAGCGCGTGTCGCCCATATCGGTCGTGAGCTGGGCGAGCTTGGGCACATTCTTGGCTTGGGTGCTATGGGACTACTGGATGGTGCAGGAAGAGGCAAGGACTACGACCAATCCCACCAGTGTATCGCATGAGAAGCCGCAGCAACCACACGACGACGTTACGGCATCGGGCGAAGCAGAGCAAGCAGAGGATCCTTCTGATGGGAAAGAGCAACCGACGGCAGGGCACTCACCCTACCCTCCGAACGTGGATCCAGTCTCGTCATTGTCTCCCCGCAATCAGCAACGGTTAGCGACAGCGAGATCGGCCCTACTCATATACGCTGCCTTGCTGGGATTGAGTCCGATCCTCAAGTCACTCACCAAGTCAACAACAAGCGACTCAATCTGGGCGCTGAGTACGTGGCTGCTGTTCATGAATGTGGCATTTTTCGACTATGGAAGTGGAAGTGGTGCTCAGTGGGTTCATCATTCATTCATTAATTTTAGAGCGTGGTCTAATCCAGGGCAGTCTACCAGCCTCCATCTCGACCAACTCGGCGCTTATGGCCTCCACAGTGCTTGCCTCCCGACTACCGTCCACGACGCACGTCTTCTCGTTGACGCTGTTTTCCATCGAAGTGTTCGGTCTCTTCCCACTATTCCGCCGCCAGCTTCGTGCGAAATCGCGCAACGGCAGCATCGCCCTGACTGTGGCGCTGGTCACCACAGCTGGTGGCGCTGTATTCGCGACGCTGACGGGTGGAGGCCGTGGTGCTTGGATTGCAGGTGTGATACTGGGCAGCATAGTGACCTTCCTCGCTATGGGCATTTGCAGCTGGTGGCTTATTGGGCTGCAAAAGTACAAGAACGAAATATACGGTCCTTGGGATCCGGCTCGACCCATCATTCGGCGGCGCTGGGATTGATGCCCTTCATGGTAGGCTCGGTAACGTCAGAATGGCGATTTTGGTACGCGAACCAAGTGCAGGAACCGCTCTCAGGCCACGCATCCGTATAGCTGTTCCTCGTGCATGGGCCGGCCCATTTGCGATCGATGCATTTGACGAGGTACGATTTTGTGATGACCTCCAAGTATAACTTTCCATTTTGACGTTCCCATCTCACCACTTTGTTGGCGATGTCGTCTTCACTGCCACGCACAACCTTCCACATACGCTCGACCAGATCGTCTGACCCAACATCGTCACCACCAACAAAATGAACGGGTGACCAGGGCGCATGTGCGATCATGCCACGACCTTTGCTAGCTCCAATGATGACTACTCTTTCTAGGCCCTCGACTTGCATTAGCATGCTCCTCAATAGATTCCAGAGCTCAGCTCGGAACATCGGAATCCTTGGCCATGACTCAAAGTTCAGCCGCAGGCACTTCAGCCCTGGCGCGTCAACACGAAGTGAACCCAGGATCTTTCCCCAGTTTCCTTCCCCCCATGCCAGGTAATGCAGCCACTCTCTTGCGATCCCTGGGTGGTCGGAATGGACATTTCGAGCGTCAATCTCGATATCTTTGACGCTGTCTCGGTATAGCTCGTATTGATCCAATGACCTGAAGAAGCAGCGAACTCGGTCGACGGTTGAGAAACGGAAGCGGTTCTGGGCGAACAGTGGGCGGCGATCGGCCTCGTAGTAGACGCGGCGACAGGTCTGGAGAATATCCACTCCAAGCTTGGGAGCTATTCCATCCTCAGGTCTCGGACATCCCACGATGGCATCGACGATGGGCTCGACGGCGTCGAAGCAGTAGCTGTAGATGGTGTTCTTGATCTCCGCAGGTAGACGGAGCAAGGGCGATTGGAGCTGGAGGTTCGTTGGCGGAGTGATTGGCACAGATGACATGTTTGGTGGGTGAAGAATGGACTACGGAAAAGGCTCCGTCCGGGAATGACAATTCCATATATATATCCTGGCCCCAAATCTTTTCATCCTTGAATCACAGTATGACATGTAGCGTGCTCACTGGCGCGCTGGGATTTGTTGTTTTGCGTGGCTGACCGCGTGCACTGGGCATTTTCTGACCGCGTCTAGCAGCTACAATCAGCGGCCGGGTCATGTTTCGCCAACACGTGTATGAACGCATATGCGATTTGCTGTAGGGTTTGCTCCACTAAATTTCTTTTTCTAGGAGCTTTTGTAGCGCACCCGCGGGCGGTGAGGTGAGGACCCTGAGCTACTCGTTAGGGCAGGCGAACGGACGCATTTTCCGTAGCAGGCACGCGATTTCTTCCGGCTGGTTCCTCTCAACATGGTCGATGCGGCAGCTTGAGCGAAGAATGACGGATGGACGCGGTTGCGGCGAGACGGCTCCAGCGCCCACGAGGCTGAAGACGATGGCGCGAGCCGGCATAACGATAGGCCCCGATACGGCTGCTGGGCTGGAGAGGCTGCGAGAGTAGCCAGGGTGGTAGTTGGGCTTACCTCCTGCTAGGTCACTTTTACGAGATCTAGCCTTGCGGGCCATCGTACTTGAGGCTTGTTTTCCTTGCGATCAAGTCGCTCAAGAAGTACGAGCATTGTCCTGATCAGATGTGGCCCCCACCAGCTTCCCCGGGCCCACAATGCACGGCCAATGGGGATCGGATGAGAAGCGCGAAACGAGGCTCCCCGCCTTCGCATTTTCAGCCGCAGCTTCGTTCCTGGCCACTGACCTCGTGCCAATCGCGCATGCGTCTGGAGCTTTCAACTGAGTCCCGATTGTCTCTCTGAAGTGAGGTCTTTGCTGAGCGTCCTACGCTCCTCTTCCGGCATTATTGCAAGTTCACGGGCCCGTCCGATTTACCGCCATGTCGCTTCGACCGGACGACCGCAAAGGACGCTCGCGTTCAAAATCCCCAGGAAGACGCGATCGGTCACAGAGCAATGCGCGAGCACCGTCGCCTGGTCCAGGGTATTATGGGGGCCACTCAGCTGAGCATGGGGGAGCTGCAGCCCCGCAGCAGTATGATTATGAGCTTAGGCAGCCAGGTCAGCTATACGAGTGAGCTCCCCCAAACATTTTGCCTCTGTCGCGACCCCAAAAAAGAAGCAAAGAGAGCTATCTGGACACTCAAGACTGAAACATGGCTGCTAGACCGACGGGTAGCGAGCCCATCACCATGGGCGGATATGCAGATCTGCCACCCGAACAGCGGCCCGGCTACCACGCGGCCTCACCCAGAGGAGATCCTCGATCGCCCAGCGGGCCGAATGTCTCGTACTCGCAGCAGGGACACGTCCAGTATTCGACGGGACAATACAACTACAGCGCAGCACCTGCGAGTGTGAGCCAGGCTGGACCTGTGCGGGCGCCGTCGCAGCAGGGCGGCTTCCAGTATGCATCGGCACCGCAGAATATAACATTCACAGCGAAGCCGGTAGTGCCTACGAACCCTCCTCCGCCAGTAAGACACACGTCCCAAGCCGCGAGTCCACCATACCCTGGGCAGTACGCGATGCCGCAAGCACCCCATCCGAGTTCCGCAGCACAGCAACAAGCGTACCCTACTGCTCCTATGCCTCCTCCGCCCATGGGCCGACATTCACCGCAGCCCGGCCACCAGAGATCGGCATCGCACGCTGGGCCTACAACATCATATGGCGGACACCAAGTGGTGGAGATGGTTCCGGGTGGTGCCAAAGCAGGTGGGAGCAAACCCCCACCTTCACCCGGCATGCGACCGCACAGCCTGTCGGTGAGCGGAGGAGCGTCAGGAGGGCTGAACCAGCGCATGGACAGGCTCTCAGTGAGCGGTAACAGGCCAGATATACAAACTATCGTGCCTGGAGGGTTCCCTGGAGGAGGTGGAATGCCTCCCCCTAGTCCTTTACTAGAAGCATACCACGGAACCTACCAGTCGATATCGCCTATGCCGCATGCTATGATGATGGACGATGATTTGGACCATCTGCAACCACTAGACAGCTTGTCCCCACGCGGATCTAGTGCGTCGTTTCACGGGGGCCACCGAAGAACACATTCATCGTCCAAACGCTCCCCGAGCCCTGCGCGAAAATCGAAACACAAGGATAAATTGGCATTGGAGGCATACAAAGCGTATGGGCATGTGGGCGACGACCGAGATCGCAGCCGAGACCACAGTCGCGATCGCAGAGGCGACAAGGAAAAGAGGAAGGTCAAAATTTACGATGCAGAAGAGGACGCGCTCGCGCTTGTGGATGCCCTGGGCCAGCGAACCATCGACGCCGACACCATTATCGACATTCTCCCCGTCCTCTCGCACGACCAGATGCTCGAATTGCGGAACGAGTACAAGCGGCACTGCAAAGTGCAGGGCCGCGGCATCAACATTGCAAAACACATCAAGCTCAAGACGACGGGCAACTTTGGAAAGATTGCATACGTGACTGCGCTGGGCAAGTACGAGAGCGAGGGTTACTGGGCAAATTACTGGTACCAGTCTGGCAACGCGCGGCGCGAACTCCTCATCGAGGCGCTCATGGGGCGGCAAAACCACGAGATCCGCGAGATCAAGGATGCATTCAAGGACAAGCGTTACGGTGACAGCCTTACTAAGTGCATGGACAAGGAGCTCAAAGCGGACAAGTTCAGGAAAGCGGTGCTGATGGCGCTGGAGGGTGAGCGGCAGGAAGAAAGCGACGTGTGGCCGGCCGAATACCGCAACCGCGATGTCGATACGTTGTACCGCGCGCTGAAGGCAAGAGAAGGCGGCGAGTCCGCGATGCTGGGCGTGGTCGTTATGCGGAGCGACAACCACCTGCGGGAGGTGCTACGGACGTACGAGCGCAAGTACCAGGGCAACTTTGCGCGTGATGCGCTGAGGAAGAGCAATAACCTCGTGGTAAGTCAACCTATCAATTCACAAGCAACCAGCTTTCAGCAATACTAACCCCTCCCAGGGCGAAGTCATAGCGCACATCCTCAACGGCGTCATCAACCGCCCGTCCCGCGACGCCATGCTCCTCAACCACGCGTTGACCGACCTCATCGAGCCACCCTCCTCCTCGCACGACGGCCCGCGCGGCTCCTCGTCCAAGGTGTCGTCCACCAGCAAGCACGAGCGGCAGCAGCGCTACGAGCTGCTCATCAGCCGGCTGGTGCGGCTGCACTGGGACCGCATGCATCTGCAGCGTGTGAAGATGGAGTACGACGACAAGTATGGACGGGTCGTGGAGGAGGATATTGAAGAGGCGACAAAGGGGGATTTTAGGGAGTTTTGCATTCAGCTGTGTCAGACGGGGCGGTAGGGGCGTGGGGATTGTGTGAGGTCTGGGTTCTCGAGGATCGCTGGCCTAAGGGAGCCGGGGGAAGTGTTTTATACCCGTAATGTTAACATTTGGCGTTTCCACATGTGCATCCACGTGCTGGTGTAGGTGTGGGTGCGCCCTCGGACATACCGCTGAGGCAGTCTTGCTTTGGAAGCTTGTTCTATGTGCGCAGGGCTCCATGCTGCATACGACCTGAAAATTGAATTTTGGTCGTAGTAGACGGGCTTCAGCTTATTCTTTAAGGTCGGTGTAGCGAGCGCGTGAAGTTGCTGTGTAGACACGCCATGTCGATAGGTGGGCCTCGAAGCCATACACACAAGGGGTCGCGCCGGCTGGTTCAGATGCTATATTGCCGTCTCGTCGAACGTTGAGCTCGGTGTGCCTATGCATATGATGTGGTTATTGTAGGAGGTTATGAGCTATCGGGCTGGGGTTCGCGCCATAGGCGGGGGCACTGCCGGGCCGTTCCTGCAACAGCTCACCCAAACTCATACTTCTCCCCACTCACACCTTTTCCAACAATACGATGTCCAAGACCTTGTCGCGTGTTGTTCTTGCGGTCCCAAGTACCGATCGGCATGGTAGGTTCGGACGCTAGGCAACATGAGGGTCTTCGAGCGGCGTTGTCTCGTATCCGGGTCGCTCAGCCCCGAAGTTCCCACGATACACCATTGGCAATGCCTGGCTTGTGGTATCGTGTAGGCAGCAAACCGGCCGGCTGATGATAAGCTTTTTCTTCGTACATTCGTTCATATCCTGTCACTTGACTGCCACGAACCTAGGTTCCCGACTTTGACACCACCCGCCGTATGTTGAAAGCGGAAGCTGCACAAGCAGCGTCGTTGCCTTCTTTTCCTCAAGGCCTGTAACAACCACCTAAGTACTATAGACTCAGCAAGTGCTACTTCCTCTGACGACTGCCGTCTCTTCGTTTCTGATTACGCTCGTCTCAGCGTTGCTACGTTCGACAAGACAGATTCGTTGGATCTTTCCCTCATATACAACGTGCCCTTGAATTCCATGGAGATCGATACCATGGATAAAATTTCTCCCCCGGATCATGACAATCCCGCTCCCAAGCCATCCCGTCGTCCACTTACCCCGGAAGAGTACGAGACAATTGGCTTTCTCTCTGCCTTCGCCGCTCGCATCGCCCTCTTTGTGTATCTGGGCGTCCAATGCGCATACAGCTGGCGCGCATACATCATCTACAAGATGCTCGGATGGATCCTGCCTTCGCGGCTAAGGAGCGTGCTCATGACGATGTGGTTTTTCTTTCAGATCATGGCGATGCCGGGGACTGCACGCATGACTAAAATTGTTCTCGAGGCGAGGTTTGATGTACTACCATGGAGCACGGCGTTGTGGGAGGTCTTCTGGTTTTTCGTGGGTATCGCGCCGTGGAGCATCGCGGTGTGGATCGTGTACAGCTTTGTGCCCGATCTGGGACTCTTTGGGATGCAGAAAATGGTCATGGAGAGCGTGTATGGCGCGAGTACTTACCTCGTGCCAACCGCGATACTGTTCTTTGTGCTAACCAAGCAGGCGCCCGAGTGGTGGAATAGCATGCTTGAACGGGGCGGTGTGTTGCTGAAGAGCCTTCTTGAACGGTGCATTGGGTTACTGCTGACGACCATGGAGTGGGCCGTCCGGAGTCCGATTTTTGGCGTGTTGGTGAGATTGATATACGCTCGTAACGGTTTTTTGGTCGAGGGGAGGCAACGATGGCAAAGAAGAACTCTCCAAAGCTTGCGTGCGGACCTAGCTACTGACATGCCGTTCAGAGCAGCATACCAGTACGATGCAGTCCAGGAGGGGACCTTCAGACTTCTACGCGTCAAAAGGCCGTGGGATATGACTCCCTTTGAGTGCGAGTTGGTCGCGTTTGATCTTGAAGCCAAGATACCGGAATATACTGCTGTAAGCTATGCTTGGGGCCCGGATCCAGCGAGGCCAAAGGCTCTTGGCGTGAATGGCAGGCGATTGCAAGTCACAGAGAGCGCCTACCAGGTCGTGCATGGCCTTACACCGGAGAAAGGCGAGCGCTATATATGGGTGGACTTCATCTGTATCAACCAGGAAGATGTGATCGAGCGCGCTAACCAGGTCAAGCGTATGAGACTGATCTATGCGAAAGCCAGTCAGGTGACTAGTAAGTTAGTTTGGCACATAGGCCGTTGTTCCTGCCAAGGTCTGGAGAATTCAGACGTTGGCTGCGCTGGGACATCGTTTTCTACCGAACCCCTCTTGTTGTGATCATTTCACTGACATTGCACTGCCACTCAGTCATGCTGAATACTGTCACCCCAGTAGACTACGACGACAGTGATCGTGTTACACACCACCTCAAGAAGCTGAATGCCAACCTTGAGCACTCCACCTGGAAACTCGACGAACAAGTCGCATATTTTCAAAAGGTAGGAACCTATCGAGTATCTGCGGGATGGGAAGCTCTCACACGCCTATTCCAACGTGAATACTGGACTCGCGCATGGATCGTCCAAGAGATAGCTTTGGCACAAAAGATCATCGTCGTCTACGGAGACAACGAACTACCCTGGAAGGAAATAGCCAGCTTCGCGCGGGCTTTCCACAACCCAGACAATAACAGTGCACTAGACGTCATGGGCACCATGTTCGGTGGCGGCTCAGTACCAATATCCTACGTCATGAAAATCCTACAAATCGACAATATGCGAGAGGCATACAGAGCAAACGGCGTCGATATTCTCGACCTCCTTTTCCATGGTTGGCAATTCAACGCCACTGACCCGCGGGATAATATATTTGCTTTCCAAGGGCTAACTCGTGAGGAGATTCCCCCGGGGATACTGCCAAACTACCAACAAAGCGTTTTGGATCTCTTCCTGAATGTGACATATTTCCTAATGGCTCGTAACGATCGCCCGCTTTGGTTTCTCAAGCTGGCTGGGCGAGGCTTCGGCGACCGCTCGATACACTCGCGCTTCTGCAGCTTAGAAGACGAAGAATTGCCCTCGTGGGTGCCGAACTGGAGCGAGCTTGCGATCAGAGCGCAATTTTTCCCAATCGCTCTTCCCCAGTTCGGCCCTAAACTCCTCGACATCGACCCCACGGGGAAAGTCCTATTGCTAGAAGCAATATCATACGACACCATCGTGCACACCACCGTACACCCGATGATGAAAGACGTACCCGCGATGATCGCGCTCGAGCTCAAGGGTGACATGATCAGGCGTTTGGTGGATATCGGGAAAGACTTCAAAGCGCTGCACGAAGCATTTGCGCAATTCGTCCCCGAGCCGTATCCCACGGGGATCCCCAGAGAGGAGGTGCTCTGGCGCGTGCTCCTTGGCGAGACTTCTTCCGACCCAGACTTGGTGGCGTATAATACCCGTTGCTGGGCCCTCCTTGGGAAGCAAGCCGAGTTTCTAGACGTACTCATACCCCATGCGCCTGATCATCTTATCGCACCGACAGAAATGTCCCAGACGCTGGAGGAGGTCAAGAATAGATTGGCAGAGTACATGATGTCGAGCGCGGACGATGAGGCCGTCCGGTTTCACGCGCGGGAGTACGCGAAATTCCTAGGCGAAGACATGTTCAAAGCGAGCACGAGCTTCATGGCGGCTATGGGGCGGCATTCTGCGGGGAGGAAGATCGCATTTACGAGGCGAGGTCATGTGGTGCTTGTCCCGCCGTTAGCGAGGGAGGGAGATGAGGTCGCGTACTTGGTGCACGGGGAGACGTCGTTTGTTCTGAGAGCTATGGGAAGCGAGGGAAGCAGGAAGTTGTACGAGCTAGTTGGGGACAGTTATGTGCATGGCGTTGGATGGGATGACTTCGAGGCTGGGAGAGAGGAACTTAGGCCTATCGCCATTGCTTAATGGAGTGTGGTTCGAGAGTGGCGTGATGATTTCGGTACGCTGTGGTGCCCGGGAAAGCAATGCGCAGACGGACTGTACTCACGCCTTGACGTGGTCCTAGAATTGGCCAGCGAAAATGGTGAGTCGCCCAACTACAACCAACGCGTCCTGCCTCATCTCGTTTGCGTGCGCTTTCGAGGAAATCCTTGAAATGCGGCAATTTGAAGAGAAATCACTAAATCATTTAGTCTCGACGCGCACGTTGAAAAGAGCCGTGGATCCATGACGACAAATGCTTTAGTGGGTCTACCACTTTTGCCTGAAGTGGCTGAGCTCAGAAGCGAACTAGCTAGCCGACAACAAGACGCATTAAATTGAACTCAAGAAATGATACTCCTGGACTCATTTGTCACTTCCATGGCCCTCATGCAAAAGTCTAGGAAAGGTCGAGCTTCTGGCACAATGGATCGGATGTAGCATGCTCAAGAGCAGTGTAGATCATGTTGTGAGCCGATAGGTGCAACGTTCACTTGGGTCCGACACACGCCGGTCTGTGCCTTCAAACGCTCGCCCACTTCTCGCGTATCCCTACGATATTGGCTTGGGCGTGACGACTACAATTCCGCAACGCCACAGCCAGCGCTAGAACGTGCCCTACTTGGGTCTGTGCCGCTCTCTGGAATTTCCCAAGCGAGCTGACCGTCCTCCCGTGTCGGGCGATTGTACCTTGTGGTATAAGGTTTTGAGGTTACGGGATGGCGCGGACTAGAGGTGCTGCTAACAACGTGTCGCATGTATTCTCCTCAAACTACTTTCGCACCTGGTCATTCCTCGGCTGGGTCGCCTTTCACTACCAGTTGTAGGTTCGCTCAACTCCGGAGGACCCTGCGGTAGGTAGTCGTTGAGCCTCAAACTCCTGTCTCGCAGCCTTTGGTGTGACACTCGCTTCTAAAGGGTTCCCAAAACAATTCGCGTCTACCTATGGTATCGTCCGGACCTAGCAGTAGTCGTTGAGCCACAATACCAGTGTCGAAGCTGTGTCATCCGCTGACGTCGGCCTTCAGTAAGTGATCACGAATGGATGGATCTTACACGAAATGACATGTGGAATTATTAAGTTGGGTTCCTGCCCTTCTCGAAGCGGATCGCTTCTATTATAAAGCTATGCAGCTTGCGGTGGTATACAAAGAAACTGGTGACGGCCGTGTGCTCGTTGGTATATCTCGAGTTTGCTTCCCCATTGCTTCAGCATCTCTCGGCCTGCCGTAGTGGCGCCTTGAAAATGACCCAGATCCGCGTCCATCAGACGCAATGCCTCAGCACTCCAATTCATCTCTCGAAATGCTTTTCTGTCCCGTGCCACGCGGGACTGGCATATGGCGACGGCAAAACCGAGTGGGTGGTCATCACCGGCAAAGTGGGTGGGTATAATTGGAAGTAGTGAATGTCGTGCACTGGTTCAGAGCGACCTGGATCACCCCTTATGATCCTGTTGCTCGACATAACTCCTCCTTTCGGCGTCCGTTACGAAGAAACTTCTCTCCACCATGATCTGCATCGACCGCTCGTCCGAGTGAGTCCGTGAAGGGGTAAGATCGTGCTCACTCTTGCTCTCTTTCAACCGCAGGCTCTTCTCACTCTCATTATCGCCGATTGTTTTACTTTCCGGCATCATCTTGGAACTTCGCTTGATCTTCTTCATCTGCGTCTCATACCAGTGTGGTGGCTTCGGAAGTTCCTTGTTGGCGTCATTGATGACAAGGTCGGTGCTGTTGTCGCGAACTGTTCCAGATTCGGCTTCGGCGGAGAGCGTGTATAGGTCGAGGTCTTTGGCTGCAGAGGGGCGTCGCTCCCGGAAGGCATGCGAGCCCGATCGGTTGCCGTAGCCGTACGGAGTAAGGGGCACTGTCGAGCGTTGGGTGGTGAGGCCGAGCTTGGTCAAGATCATTTGGAAGAGAGGGCGGACGGCGGCGAGACTGCCCGCGGTGATAGCTAAGCCTTGCTCGACAGTGGACCAGATTGCGATGTCAGTTGTTTCCCACAAGAAATCTTTCGATCGGAATTGCTTCATATACGGAACGCGGGCGACCACCGCAGCGCTTGCACTAGTAGTCGATTAGCAACGAAGACTATCGATGGACATGAAGTAGGACAACTCACATGCAGCCCATAGCCAGAAGGGGAATCAGCGCAATCTTGGTTCTCTTTTTGAGCTGCAACCCCATGACCAGGAATGCCGGTAGGATCGCGAACGTAAAGTCGGAAATGATGCTGAAGCAGCTGTACAAGTAGCCCAGTGCAATGATGATCTCGATGTTGACGCAGCTTCCGCTTTGCGAGTAGTCGTTCCAGAAGTACGATATAGGGTGGCACTGGAAAAGCGTGACAAAGAAAAACGCTAGGCCTGCCACAACAGATATCATCATGGCCGAGTAGATGATCCAGATATGGATCTTCTTAACGGCAATGCGGAGGATGCTAATCAAATTAGCTTGCGATCTGTCGGCTTGCGGAAGTAACGTACAAAAATCCGATGGACAGTTTTGAGGTGATCATTGAGCAGCAGTAGAAAAGGTAGCAGAACCACCAGCAGTGCCGCCCCTTGGCGTAGTTTTCGACAGTGAGGTGCCACCGATGTCTTCCAGTGCCGTAATGCACACCAAGCATCGAAGAACTACAGTATGCAATGAATGCGACCTATGGCGGTTAGTAACTGCGATATACCAATCGTGCGAGAACTTACTGTAGCCGCAGCCATCAGATAGTCATCCCTGCCGAACGACTTGATCATTCGGGTGCGCACATATACACGCAGACCGTAGGCGATGACTGCCGCGGCGAGAAACGCAATGTCGATGGCGTACAGCTCGGAGCCACGGTTGGGAATTGGAGAAGCCATGATGCTCACTGCCAACGGTTCCTGCCCTCAGGCGCTGGGAAAGGGAGGAGGCTTCTCAAATGCACGAACGAAAGGTACATTAAGAGATCCGAGGGCCAGCCTCTTTGGGGCTGTATGACCGTGTGCTACGAGCCGACTAACACCCTGGTAGACCACATGGGTGTGGGTCCGTACGAACCCTTTCGCAGCTTTCCCCGCCGCAGGGCCAGCCTTTTGTTTCAAGCATGCGCCGACGTTCGCCAACATGTTCCCGGGCGCGATAACTGTGGGGCAACTGCATCTCGCACTGCCGCTTTGGGCTGTCTGATGGTATACAAAGTTGTTTAGCTGTTCCAGGTTCTGACGTGACTCGAACCGCAGGCCGAGCTTCATTGGATCGCATCCTGGCGCACCTAGTCCGTCTGAAGCCGCGGCTCAGATGTGAAGACGCAGAAGCCAGTGCGGCGTCACATCATCCTCGCGGCCACCTCCGCGGACGCGGGTTCGTCAGCGACCTGGCTCGCGCCGCGTCTGCGTCTTCGACGAACAACATGCACTGCGGATCGCTGTCTCCCCTTCGAGCAAGAACGACGATTATCACACGCATGAGGCTTGGCAGGTACCAGGGTACATAATCGGCTGGTGCCTCCGATCCCGGTCGCTGGTTTTCATGCGAATACCGCCCACGAATAATGAGGTATATGATGTGTAGTATGCGATGGTGGGCTGGCAAGAACGACGTATCGTAAGAAGCGGGCGAAAGTTCCGCTGAGACAAGCAGTCGCAGTATTGCGTCCCTCTCCCCCACACCATAGAGTCAGTGCTGGGCCTGCCGTCACACGCTAATGCGGTCTAGAAGATCGACTCAAGGAACATTTTCGCACCAACGGGCAGCGGACGAAACACCTGCAATGGGGACCTGCATTTCTAGCCCTCATCGGCCACGGCAACGGCACTTGCAACACGCATCCTTCCTTTCGACGCCACTCCCTCCAGGGCCCATCAGCCCGGATCTGGTCGGGAGCAATAGAGTTTCCGCCCTGACAAGTGGACTCTCTTCGAAAGAAGTTTCACGGTAGATGTACAAACCAATAAAGTGATGCGCTTGATAGACAGCTGTATACTTGATGCTCACACTACGCATCGTGGCGGGATCTCTACGTCGCAGGTCCCGTGCGCCACTGCCTGCGTGCACTGCGTCCAGCATCAGTTCCTCGACGACGACGTCAGCTCAGGCTCTAGAAACCATCTTGAGTCCGTCGCGGTGGAGACTGTTCGGCAGTTGGTGACTCGCGTTGAGCAAAAGTCTCCGAGTGGATCCCTTCGCCCACAACGGTCATTTTCATGTGGAAAATCATTCTCGTCAGATGTACTCATCACAAATTCTCTGTATATATAATTAAAAAATTTGCTCCGTTCATCAAATCACGATTAGGGCTTGTGGTTTAGTGGTATAATTTTCCCTTAGCACTTTGCGTTCTCTACAGGACAGTGAATGCGTGGGAAAGGTCCTGGGTTCGATTCCCAGCAAGTCCAATCTCTTTTTGCGTCTTCACTGAGCGCCAGAATATATCGTTGCATTCCTTTTGCCAGCCCCGACGGTTCCTGGGGTCGGTGCCTCGTATTGGGCGACACGACGGGATCCAAATAGTACACAAGTACAGAGGTCAACTACCAGAAGCATTCCATCTTGACTCTACACCCCACTACTGCCGTGTCCTTGTATTCATTCTCTTTGGCAGCTTCGCTGTGCCTGTGCAAATCTGTACAGCCGCGTATAGTGACACCATCCACAGAACCTTAACATGTGCAGGGAGCTCCAAGTGTTGGCTACTAAATCGTTGCCTGCGAATAGTACGTAGATGCATGCGCACAGTAAAAGACGGTCGAATTGCCACCCCCATGATAGCTCAATTCACATGTGTTAAGCTTTCACTAGATACATTCCCCTGGTGGGGGTGATAAGGACGTGATTGTTGTGGGAAAATCATACCAACACGCTACCATCCCGAGGTCTCAATGGAAGCATGTGCTTCCATTGATTGGCCCACAACCCTTTCCGAGCATTGCGATTCACGCTGCATTGATGGCTCGATTCAGAGACGTAGCAAGGCGCTTTGAGATCATAATAGCATTGCTATGCACTAACGCTTTGATGGGCTCAATCTTGCGCTGGATCAATGCGTGATCTTGACGAGGACAGAAGCTTTGGAAACCCGCGAAATTCCGATCTGCAGTGGGTAACGTATTGAGTCAGTGTCCAGGAAGCTTTGGACATGTATGTACCTCCGTACCGTCGCAACGTGACATTTGTAGCAACTTCAAACAACAGCATCAAGATGCCATACGAATTGCTTACATGCATGCAATGTGTGGCTCCGACCATTACTTCCAAGGTTAGTGCGAAATGTCGTTGTGAAACGAAACTCTCCGCCCATGAGCTGCCGCGTGGCTGCCCTGGCGTACGCTGTCTCTTCTCCTCCCACGCACGGCCCCACTTGCCTCGTTGGTGCTAGTGAACATTCACACAAGTGGGCCTACTGCTCTGAAAGGTTCAGCTTGCCGTGCCGATTTTCCAAAGGGGCCGTACCGCGCTCCATAAAGGCGGAACGCCTTACAAGTCCAGTGAAGGTCAGGAGCAATGGGTTTTGCTGTCCGCGTTACGCAACGATTCTGACTCGTTTTGATCAGCACTGTCATTCACCACCGGGTATTCAGCGAGTGACATTGACAGCGGGGCGGGGTTCAAGCACTAAGCAGCCAAGGTTTCGAGCACACCAGTTGACCGACCCCACGTGACGCTTGCCCCGGATAGCTCCGTTTCGTTTTCACGTGGCTTAGAAGAGATGCGCGATAGTCATAAGTGTTTCTGGTATTGCTAGGATTCAGGAGACACCGGCCCAGAACTCTGCAAAGCTGATCAACAGATCCGCTGGCGACAATGCAGTAGCTCTGTCGCAAGCGTCAGGCTCGGAAGTGGTAGGTAGACGTGACTTGCATAGCAAGTTAATATTCAAGAGCAAACGAGGAGGTGGAATCTACCATGCCGCACGAGCGGGTCGGTGTCATCGTGCATCCGCAGCCTCAGGAGACTTTCTAGTCGCAGCATCGCCCAAGTCATCAAGTGAGAGGGTCCCTTCATAGGGAGAACGGCTGTGGGTCCACCTCACGTGGGCTTCATGGGCGCTATCAGTACATAGCGTCAAGCGCACTGGCACTGTAAAGGCAACCTAAAGGTCTGTGACAGCTGATCCCCATCTCATGAAATTCTATATCGGAAGCAGGACCTTGTCTTGCTCATCAGGGAGCCGGCTACAGTACTGCCGCAGTTGCGCCGGTTATCTTTGCTGGGTCTGCCCTTCCCTGTACCCCTACTGCTTTACATTACCGTAAGCAGCCAAATTTGTTGGGCGAACTGCTTCGAGCTATTCAATAATTTGTTGACATCGGCGATGTCCTCGCATAGGGTCAGCGCTGCCGCAGGTGCATGGCAAGCGTTTCGCTTGTCGGATGGGCGGACTTGCTTCCAGCGAGGGAAGGTGCTGCCGTTGCGCGGTTTGACCGCCTGCGGAACATAACCGACCACGATGCAAGCGAAAGGCGTAGTTGGGCGATGGCGATAGCTGGCCAAGGTGAGCAGAGTGTTGGTCTGAATGAGCTGAGAGATCGTGATGGTGGACCGATGCCAGCATGCAGGTGACTCGGTACCAAGAACCCAATGGATCGTTCGAGAGCGAAGCTGCTGGTCACTTTAATGCCCGGGATGCAAATCATCGCAGGCTCGTAATTACCCAGGAGAGTATGTGACCTCGGCTATATCTTAAAGTTTGTATACAAACCCTCCCACGACTGCGCCTTGGGAAGACTTTTCTCAGCCAGTGGAAATGCTGATCTCAGCTTACAATCAAAAGATCATCCGGTCGTAGTGTTGCCAGCAACTAGCTTTCTACATCACTACTACTGGTCGCTTTAGGGAACTTGGAGCAATCGCGGAGCCCCCATGCAATCCCAATTCGCTGAGCAATGGGCACAATACGATCGCTTGATTCAAACGGGTTGTTCCCAGTTACTTCTGTGACTTGTTATGCACATCATCACCTGGAATGTTAAAGCTGGGACATCGATTCTAGGCGCGATGGAATGCAGTGAGATGGCAAGCCGGTACGCGATGATCCCAAGGAGCTGAAAATTGTTGAGACCGAAAGGACGACTTCCCAATTGGCGCATTGTGCACATGCTCATGCCGTTTCGAACGTCTCAAAAGCCATTTCACATCCCACTTTCAAAAACCATGGGTTTCAGGTACATCTCGCGAGCTACTTGCGTAAAGGCACATTAGTCAGTCTACACACTAGTCATTGCTGCCTGCTCTCCACGACGCGTACACGATAGGGCGCGTTTTCTCTACATCTTGAAAAGATTGAATTCTCCACGTAGACACGCATCTCTAAAGCACATCCTTCTCTATACGCAATGTCACTCTCCGCCTTCATCCCTTTAACCGGCCGCTGCTCCTGCGCTGCCCTCTCTTACACACTCACCGCCTCACCTCTAATAACCCACATCTGCTACTGCACGTGGTGCCAGCGCGAATCCGGCTCCATCTGCGCCGTCAACAGCATCATCGAATCTTCCAACTTCTCATATCGCCTCGACCCTACCGTCTCGCAGCCCGTCGCACTCATCCCCGGGCCCACGCCCTCAGGCAACGGCCAGACTGTCGCGCGCTGCCCCGTGTGCTTCGACGGGTTATGGAAGTACTACGGCGACGCGAGGTTTGTGACGTATGTTAAAGCGGGGACGCTGGATGAGGAGTGTTTCAAGAGGGTCGCGGGTGGGGAGAGGGTACATATTTACACAAGTACGAAGCCGGAGTGGGTAGATCTGGGGAGGGAGAAGGAGAATGGAGTTGGAGTGTTTGAGGAGTACTATGTGAGGGAGACGGTGTGGGTTCAGGAGGCTTTGGAGAGGAGGGAGAAGATGCTGAAGGCGGTGGAGGGCGTGGGGTCGTAAGATTGGAAGGGCCGAGCAAAGAGATGCTTGCATCGAGATCAAAATGTGCTCACGAATTGCAGTATAGTATGTCTACTCGGCGCTGCGCGCAGTGCTGCGAAAGACGTGAAGAGGATGTAGGCTGGTTGACAGCCAATCAGCTTTTGTGCGCCCCGCGGACATCGCCGGTTTAGTCACCATTAACATATCCTTCGCACCTGATATCACTACCTATTCTTTACATCTCATAATCTTGTGGATATATAGTACAGCCTATCTCTCAAGCATCCTAGCTTTCGTACATCAACTCATCGGTATGAAGCTTCCAGCCCAGTTTTTCTCATGACGCCGCGGGGCGCAGAAGACGGACGGCATGCTGTTCCGCGATGAGTAACTAGGACTCGAAGATGCGCCGAATTATCCTTAAGAAATATCCTAACATAGCCAGTCGCAGCACCTAGTACCACCCGGGTCCTTACAGCGTTGCAAGAACTCTACATTCGAACCACATATCACCATGTCGACGACCGAACCTCCAACCTACAAGCCCGACATACCCAGCGAGCCCGTGACCCAGACGACAGAAAACATCCACATCGAGCTCACGCCGCACGCCTTGGACTCCCTCGCCGCCACCCGCTTCGTCCGGTCCCCATCTGCTGGCGCAACTGTCCTCTTCATCGGCACAACCCGCGACACCTTCAACGACCTCCCTGTCTCCTCTCTAGCTTACACATCCTACGCACCGCTCGGTACGCATGCCCCTTCACTTCCACTTCTGTATGCAATAGGATCCGCTGCTCTCGCTATCAGGAACCTACACGCATCTGCAAAACCACAACCCTTGCAACATAGCTAGCTAACATATCAAGCCCTCTCCACCCTGCATAATATCGCCACCACCCTCCTCGCCAAACATGCCCTCACGCGCATCGCCATCATCCACAAGCTCGGCGAGTGCCCCATCGGAGAGGAAAGCATCGTCATCGCGGTGAGCGCGCCGCATCGGCAGGCAGCATGGCGCGCGGGCGAGGAGGCGCTCGAGGAGACAAAGAAGCGCGCTGAGATCTGGAAGCTGGAGCGGTTTGAGGGCGGCGACGGCGTGTGGAGGGCGAATCGGGATGGGGTTATGGGGGTGAGGGTTGGGGAAGGGGAGGGGGCTGCGTGACGGAGATGACATGGGAAGACGCAGAGAGTGATGAAGCGATGTGATGCAATGTGGGGTGGGGCGGGGCGGAGAGTGAGGTGAGCTGTCATGGCGATGGGGTTTGGTAGGGCAAAGGCGTGGAGTCGGTGAGCTGTGGGACGGGCGGCTGGCATGTTGTGTGCGTCATTCATTGGGGCGAGTCACGTCGACTATGCACTTAGATTGTTCAGAGGCAGATGCGATGGGCTAAGCTAACTTCGATGATAGTTGGGGCGAAGCAGGAACGGCATTATAGCGGAGGATATAGTAGCACAGAAGCATGAGTTGTGCAAAGACTTGTGAAGGATTCGTTCGAGTTCGCCTGTCAGCACGATGCTCTACCAGCTGCTTGGTACAACTCTCCGTCTGACTTTACACTATACATAGCGGGCAAGCTTACTTCTCAACGTTGTGTACCTGACACTGAAGTTTACGGTAGATGCTTTGAAACAACACCTAAGACCTTTACGAGGCGTGATTAAGATTGATCAGGGCCTGACGCCTCTGGCCCTCTTCGCTCAGGTCCCAAGCTCTATCTTTACGACACGGATGAGGCTGAGTCGGGCGGCTGCGGAAGGCGCTGAAGTGCGTGTCACACAAGAGGTTCTCGGCGCATTCGGGTCGATGACACATCAAGGAACCGACTATTGGGCGATCGGTAGCGAATACGCATGACCAGCAGCCAGAAAGCCATGTACCCCTCCAGTAGCCAGACGGCTGGGTAGCTAACTGCACGTGTTGTCAACTGAGCGGATATTGATTCACTCACTTGAGCAAAGGCAAGCGATGATCTGCAAGGTCGAACTTTGTCCATGACGCCAAACGGGCGGAGCTGCAATTCGTGTTCGCAACCGAATGGAGCCTTGGAAGATATCTCCAGCTGAGAAGATACGGGCGTGATGCAACGATACATCAGCGGGATCCTCAGCCTTCTAAATGTACACTAGTATTACAACCGCAGTTTATCGTACATGTCGGATTGTCGTTATCGAGACTTTTCTGGTGTGTCTGAGTTGTTGGTCTCGTCCTCCGTACTGGCCGTTTCCTGCGCGGCTACCAGCAAGTCCATTATGGAGTCAGGTACCGCATCGCCTGGCTGGTATATCGTGTCATAGTTCAGGCGACCCCTGAGTCGTTGCCGTGCTTCCTGGAGGTTTGCTATGTCGAATGCCCACATCGTGCCGCCCAGCCCCATCGTAGCTAAGCTGACACAGTGCATGGTCGCCAGGTTGAGAGCTTGCGCTGCGTCATGCAGCGGGCTGAAGTGCTCGTGCGGGTTGGTGTTCGGGGCATAGAAGGTAGGCTTGACACGGAGGTGGCGTTTGTATACGGCGCGGCGAGTGATGGCCGTGGCAGCGAGAAAACTGGCAGCGCCAAAGGCGAATATGGACAGCTGTCGTAGGGATCGTTCGGACGTGATGGGCGTGCTCTCGTATGCAGGTTCTGGCGGCGGCCGCGGAGGTGCATTGACCGGTGGTGCAGTCGACCGGGTCATGATGCGAGTGATCGGGAGCTTCTGGATAGCTTCCATATGTGCCTGCAGGCGCAATGCAGGTCACAAGTTGTTGCGGGTAGACGATTCGGGCGGGTGCAGCATCAGCTTCCCATGCTCGCAGGCGGGGACGGACGGCACAGCTCAGCGACCGTTGGTGAGTTGGACGCCGGTGAAAACGGGTCCGAATGGTGAAAGCCTGACAAATTGGCGGCCGCAATGCGCGTGAACCGGGACTGCACCTGGCTGCCATATCGCGGCTCTCACAGCTTTTCGGGTGACTAAGCATCCGACGTGTTTCTCCGATCCGCGATCGAAAGTCACGAACCAGTGACGGTGCTTCCTCACCACCGAGCTCCGCACCATATCCATCTGTTCACGTCTGCACTGAATCCACCTCGCCTAGAGGGACCATCGGGCCGTCTGGGCTCTGTTGACTGCTCCAGTCGTCCCGTCTTGTTCTGTGCCAGCGAGAGACATCGTCAGCCCAGCTCACGCCGTGTAACCCCCGCGACACTGTCCATTGGAAGCTCACCTCTTCGCTTGCGGTCTGAACGTGATCTCGACTTCCGACTGCTCCGACGGAGAGTTCCAAGACATTCGACGTGGTGTAAGGCTCCGCGGGCTGCACGCATATGCTCATCGGTTGCTTAGCTGTCTCTCAAAGTAGAAACATCAACTGTGGTACGCCGGCGTGACGCCACGAGCATTCCAGAGCGTGCATCCATTGGCGTCTTTTTATACTCAGGTCTACAACAGCTAACAGGAGCGATGCTCGTGGACCACTTGAGACCGACGGGGAGCAGAAGAGCTCCCCGCAAAGCCCGGCTTCACACTAGCCCTCCGCCTAGGTGTTCCCAAGCTCCTGCAGCACATGTCTTGGGATCATCGAATTCTCCACTTCCTTATGGCTGTAAAGAGTAAGGCGAACAGTTTCTCGCCGCTGCGCGAAGAATCAGCCAATGAAAAAATTGGAGAGCAGTTACAGCGAACCGCCCTCATTCGTCCATCGTTAAACTGTGCCCACGTGACGAACTGTGTCATCGATTCCCGCGAGCTCCACAGGTGGTGATACTGAATTCGATGCGACCCAGCCTTGCGCAGGATCCGCCAATCTCGTTCGGCTGTCACCATCTCCACTCAGTCGCTTAGTCTCCATGCACATACTATTGCTTTTGAGTTACCTCAGTCTTTATCGTGGGCTTAGACAACAAACTATTCCTACACGTATCTCAGAAATAGCCTCATGATGACAGCCTGCGTCAGTTCCCTCCAATAACCAGACGTCTACAACATCGGCTCGGCGCTGTAGAGCTTGGCCGCCCTACCACCAGGCGTAAATCCTGTCACTTAGCTGCAGCATTCTCATGGCCTGATCCCAGCCCACGACAACCTGATCAGCTCTGATCCGTATATGCAGTATACGGTGTGAGTACGAGTGCCACGAGTTTAGGCTGGATGTGGGCCGCTTGGGCGGACAGGGCATCTGGTCGAGGCCAGGATTGACTATAAAGATGTGCACTTCCATCAAGATTAGAAGCAACACAGCAAGAGCATTTTCGCCTCCTCTCCAACACTTTCGCTTCACTTCAAAGCCTACTTCAGTCGCTTCGCAAGCAGCCCTATCACATCCAAAATGCTCTTCTCAAACGCCCTCATCCTCCTCACTTCGGCCTCCCTCGCCGTTGCTTTCCCAGGGGGTGATGGATACAAGACCACCACCAAGCCACCCCCGGTATATGACACCACTTGCTCTGCTGGTAAGTAGCCCAAGCCAAAGTGATCTTTGCTTTCATACTAATTACCCCTCAGTGTACTCCACCAAGTCGGAAGTCTACGACAGCACCAAGTACATCACAAGCACCGCCTATGTGACCAAGCCCTGGACCGAGACCGTCTACGTGACGAAGACGGAGACCTACACCAAGCCCTACACCAGCACCGGTTACGTGACCAAGGTAATAATCACGCAGGCCACCACTGATCCCAACTAACACTCTTAGACCGAGACTGGCTACAAGACCGAGTACAAGACTAAGGTCTACCCAGTCACCTCCTACGTCACCAAGACGGAGAGCTATGTCAAGACCACGACAAACCTCGTGACCAAGCCCACAACGTAAGGATCTCTGCTGCATTACTGGCGATCCGTGAGTTAACTGACGCGCTACAGTTCCGTCGGCGCCGAGACCAAGACCAAGCTCAAGACCAAGACCGACACCAAGGTCTACACCAAGACCAAGTCGGAGCCCACGACCATCACCAAGGTCGTCCCCTGCACCACCAGCAAGGTGATCACCAGCACCAAGTGCTCCACCAAGGGCGGCTACGGCACCGGCTGGTAGATGCCGCGTTGCGAATGAGAATGAAAAGTGCTGCTAGCGCACGCATCTGCTTCATAGTATGTATGGATGATAGAACGACACCATGGCGTGCGGGGTGGTATTGGGAAACCGTGACTGGACAAAGACGCTCCTTAGACTTGTGGAAAAGCCGGACACGCAACGAGCGGTCCTTGGACACGTAGATACATTCGCTCCTTAGATTTCCCCTCCCCCTTCTTCTCCTCTCTGCTTCGCGTCTCGCGGGCACCTTTTACCATTTGAATCTAATATTAACCTGGTCACCAAACCCGTCCTGCGTGCCTGCATGTCTAGTGTCGAGTCTTGTCGTTGTCTCGTGTTCTCCAGCCTTGGCGCGCGGGGACGCGAGTTTGGTACACCAGACGGGATTGCGCTATTGATCGATCTAGGGTGCCAGTCATTCCAGGCGCGCGGGCGCGGCTCAAGCCTTCCGAAGCTCGCGCTGCGCGTGTAGCGTACCGGTGTGGATGGGGGAGGGTCATCGGAGTCGGAGTTTGCGGCATCGAGGCCCGCGTTGGCGCTGTTGGGGAGACATGTTGATCGCCTCTCATCTGATGCATGCCACAAGCGCAAGGGCTTTGCTTTATTGAGGGTGTCTGCGCCCGTGTGTGGCGATATCGGGTTGCACGCTGACGCTGCGAGTGCGCGCCTGTGTAGAGCACTTGTACTGGAGCATCTCTCCGCAATGGGGATATCGATTCATAACATAACTCACCTCGTCACATTCAAGTCAATATCAAACACATCCTCGCTCGGTACTCGTACATCCCTCACCCCGGCATTCACGCACCACAATCCGTGTGTGTTACCATATAAAGGACCGAATAGTTGGACAAGACTGGGGAGTTTGGAAGTGTTCACTCGAGTGGAGCTAGATCATCTGACCTGCTGGTACGCTGCACTGCTCGACTGATTTAATCTTCATCCTGGAGAAACGAGTGTACTAGCCTTGCGAGTCAAGTGTTTCTGGGGAACACGATCAACATAGACGAATTAGTAGTTTGATACCAATAGTGAGATTTTCAACATATGCTGTTGTCAGTGTACGAGGGCTGGGTGTTGATTTTTGCGAGAGCGATTCCTTGGTAGAGTGCTGGCTTCGATTCGATTGGAGTTTAGGACGTCTTCTACTGCGTTTGCTTTACATGTTGTATCGTTTGTTTGGTCGGGATTTTACCTAGGCTTGCTCGAGGGACTTTGATGACGCGACACAACGATCGCATATGTAGAACTTGTCTGCCGAGAGGGGAATGCATGAGATGTGTGTCTATCGAGATGATGCAGTAGTCTGCTGTGGATTCGCCTCGGAAGCGAAGCAAACAACATGCCTTGCAGTAGTAGCTGAGACTTAAGAGGAGAAGTCGAGGCTGACTGGAACATATGGTTCGCACGTGATTCCCCACGTCTCCGCATACACTTACTTAGTAGGCTCCAAATCTGGTATCCGTCGCCAGCACTAGATCTGTAGCCCCAACGGTAGTTTATGCAGCCCATCGCAAGTTCCCACCTCGCCTGCCTCATCCTGGTCCTGATGCAGGAATCGAGAGTTTCTAATGTTGGGACATCTAGCCGCTCCTGACCTCACTTCGCGATGGCCGTTGCTACTAACCGACATCGAAAAACTAAAGGCGGCTGATAGACTTCTGTCGATTGCACCACGGTTACGACCGCTACCTTCTCCGTTCATCCCCAGCCTTATGCTTACCTCCGCGCAACACGACCGCAAATTAGGTGGATCCCTGCCCTTCTGCACCTGCTCCACGCCGCTGGCCTCGCACCGCAGACGCCTCACCCAGGCAGCACCACGACGATAGCAGCTCGCTGAGCAACGCATAGACGAGAGCAGGGACCCGAGTTGAACAGGCACGGCTGCGATCCAGTGCTGCCTTGCGTCGCTATGGGCGTGGTGGCGGCATTGTTGGGAGCTGCACTGCACTGGGGCCTTTGATCGCCGCTAGGATGGGGTGATGTGCAGCTGCAGGACGCCTCCGGGGACTGTTGTGCAGTCTTTGTGCCTTCTTTCCCTGCTAGCTTCGTACCTGTGGTATTCTTGGACAACGAGACGTACGATCAAGTTGCCCTCACGGAGAAGCACTGCGTGCGCAGCGCATGTGCGGATAACGAGCCATGAGACGAGAGGACGAGGTGCGCTCGTTTCCGCCCGCCAAGGGCGCTTCTATTGCTGATTACGGGCGCTGACGGAGAGGTTGCGTTGCGTGAGCGCCGCCGACTGAGACACCTGCATGAGCGGCGCTGGAAGCGGTATCGCGCTGCAGCAGCGTTTTCGTGGGCAAGCGTGCATGTGCGAGGTCGGAATACGGATCCATAGATGTCAGCACGTCACGTTACCTTTGTTGGGAAGAGGCGGATAGTGAAGGGTTGGGTGTTGTTGCTGTGTAAGGAGTGGGTAGGGGGATGCTGCGTGTTGAGATGTGGAGCTTGAGTGTCGCTAGTGCTTTGGCGTCATTGCGTGACAACATTAGTATTCTGAGAAGTTGGGTTTGGTTCTATATTAAGGACCCGTAGCATTGTAGTATGGATAAAGTGGGTGCTGCAGTGAGCGCGGGATTGTATTCAAGTTGAGATATTACTGTGTACAAGCAAAGACTTGATCGCCGTCGAGGCTTACCATAAGCCATATACCGAACCTACTGCAGTCGTGATACCCTAACTCGAGAAGTCCATATGGATAGTGAAGAAGCAGTCAGCAAACATGCTCATCTGAAGTATCAGGCGTAAGCGCTTGCGGCTGCTCAAGACTACCCTGATGAGGTCCTTGGACCAAGCTTGTGTATCAGCCCTGTGAACCCCGTCATTACCTGTGCTGTTTTCAGAGTTATTTTAGTTGAGGTAGCTCAGTTCCGCATAGCATCTCAGCCAGCATGTCAGCTCAGAATGTCATAAATCCTTCCCTTCTGCGGCTTTGGTGCGATACCCTTAATCCCTTTCCCTATATTTGAAAAGATGTTACTTTCGAAGGACCAACGTACGCGTCGCATTGGCGCCATTTGGTTCTGCTTTGCATACTCAGTGTGGCGACACCAATATGAGCAACAGGTCTGAAGTCTCCTGGGAGTCTTCTGGGTCTCTCGCGCTACCCATAGAGTAGCATCTACTGCGCTTAATTGAGACATGAGGGGTGAACAGACTCGATTAGATTGTGGTCAGGCAACACTGGTCGCTTTCAATTGGTCGTCACACGATAATGATTCCTCTGTCAACTTGGGCTACAACGTGTCGCACAAGTCGGGATCGGTGCTATAACGCCAGCTTTCGCGTCCATGTAAGAGCGCAGGGTCGGTTAGATGCAGACGCTGGCATGTTTCCCCTTTATCTTTGTCATCGGTTCTGCTTCGATGGAAATTCAATTTTGCTCAGTTCGTATAATGACTATTTCGTTTGGTCGTTATGCTATGCTACGTTCCATGGGCGACGAGGAGTGCTTTCAGGTGGTTCTTCTGTCGCGCGATGTTGAAAGATCATCTTTGAGCGAACATAACAGCGGTTGACGAACCGTTTAGCGGGGTGCTCACTAGCCAATCACCCGCCATCGCCGCCGATAAGGCCCCAGATCCACGCGCAATTGCATCATCCTTCAAGCTCCACAGCCTCGAAGTAGACGCTCCATGCGCCATTTGTACGAATGCGCAATGGTGCCGCTTAGGTGATGGGCGTCGATCTTTGTAATCGGAGCTCTCACGTCCTCCGCGCAGAGCTTTTGGCTTTGGCCAGCGAAAAAACACCACAATGCCTCCTCGCGAGACATCCCCGCTGCTCCCTAAGCCAGCGCTGCAGCCCGTGTCACCGCATCCTATTGACGCGGATAGAAACATTGCGCCCGAAGAGGTTTATCAGGATGCAGTTGCGGGTGCGACAGGAGGCGACATCGAGAGGCAGATCAGCAATGGCGATGCGTCGAAGCACCAGGGCATGCCAGACGTTAGGAAGCGCATGAAGTATATTTTTCCAGCGATATGTATAGGAGTGAGCCTTGTCCGAGCTTTGTGATTGCTTGACTTCAGAAGCTCATCCCATTCAGGTCTTTCTCTCGGCTGCGGACCAGACCCTCGTCGTCTCCACCTACGGCACCATCGGTACGGAGCTGCACGCGCTGAACCTAACCTCGTGGATCGCCACCGCCTACTTTGTCACGCTCACTGCCTTCCAGCCGCTGTACGGCAAGCTCAGCGATATCTTCGGACGAAAGTCATGCCTCCTCTTCGCGTACGTCGTGTTCGGGCTCGGATCGACTCTGTGCGGGCTGGCTAGAAATATTGGCGAGTTAATCGCGGCAAGAGCGTTCGCGGGCGTCGGTGGCAGCGGCATGACCACCATCACGTCGATTCTGATGAGCGATGTGGTGAGCCTTAGGGATCGAGGTACATGGCAGGGCTATTTGAACATCATCTACGCGGCCGGGGCTGCTGCAGGAGCGCCATTGGGAGGCTTGCTCGCAGACAGCATTGGCTGGAGATGGGCTTTTATGGCCCAGGGACCAATGTGCTTGGTCGCGGTTGCAGCGGTTGCACTTGTGCTGCATCTGCCGAAAAACGATGACTCGCATTGGCTGCAGAAGCTCACCAAGATCGACTTTTTGGGAGCCTTCATCATCCTAGTGGCAGTCACGGGTGTTCTAGTTGGGTTGGATCACGGCTCGAATGTGGGCTGGAATAGTAAGCTCTCTTTGCACTGTGGCGTCCTTCCAGACATAGCTGACATGACCTCTCCACCAGATCGGATCACCATTGCAGGCTTATGCATGAGCCCTCTCTTTATCATTTTCATCCTCGTCGAGAAGTACATTGCAAGCCATCCCCTCGCGCCGCTCCGAATCATCCTCAATCGCACCCTCTTCGCGTGCTACCTGTGCAACTTCTTCTCTTTCGCGGGCTGGCTGTCGGCTCTGTTCTTCATACCACTGTACTGGCAGGTCATCGCAGATCTCTCTGCCTCGAAAGCCGGGCTCCTCTTAGTCCCCTGCATTATCTGCGGCGTGACCGGTTCGCTCTGCGGCGGAATATACATGAAGAAAACAGGCAAGTACTACTGGATCACAGTGATTGGGTACTCAAATCTCGTCCTTGGCCTGGCGATAGTCCTGCTCTTCGCGGGTCTTGTCAAGGAATATATTCCAGCTATGGTGGTGGGAACGTGCATCACTGCGTTCTGCAACGGCATAGGCGTCACCACCACTCTAATCGGACTGATTGCGAATGCAAAGCACAAGGACCAGGCCGTTGCTACTGCGTGCTCGTACTTGTTTCGCTCGCTCGGTTCGGTATTCGGGATCTCTATGTGCGCCACTGCGTTTAATCAGACGCTGCGGAAGACGTTGGAAACCGCGCTCAGTGGGGATGAAAATGCGAGGGAGATTGCAGAGCGCGTGCGTTCGTCGCTGGCGTACTTTCGCAATCTCGAACCGGAGCTGAAAGAGATAGTGCGGGAGTGCTACAGCAAGAGTGCGAGGGCTGCACTGGCTGTGAGCTTGGGCTTGGTTGTGGGGAGCGCCGTGTTCGCGTGGTTCATCAGGGAGAAGAGGCTTGGAAAGTAGGAGAGATAGCATGTACGAAGCAGACAAGAGCAATCACTCAGAAAGTTCACGGTCATACACCTACTGCGAACTGTATCCTGTATCCCACGCAGAATATTGCATCGTATAACAGTGGGTAGTTGAAGCGACTCTCTATTGGTGCATATACCCCCAGGCGCTTACAGCATGCAACAATGTGGCACATCAAACACCAAGCAGCGTTACGAGGTCATCCTGGCGGCTGGACAGTGATACCATGCAAATTATCCATCATGAAATGCAATTACGCTTCGTATGTTCTCGTCTTCGAAAATGGCCGACATCTTCACCCCATTGCGCCCTAAAGGAAATGCAGCTCCCCGGGGAGAAGATGCAGAGCCGACCCAAACCAATGAAGCCACTTCACCATACCAAACGGCATTCCAAGCAAATGACGTACTTTTTTACACCGCCAGCAGCGACGACAACATCTGCGCACGTTGCAGAAGCCTGGACCGAACATCTCTCTCCGGCCCGCCCTTCCCCCTGGCTACACCGTCTGTTCAGTTCCTAAACCCGTCCACCGAGCTCCAACCCACCCTACACGAATTTCTGCGAGAGTCCATGCGCCCATCCTGCACGATTTGCGTCCAGTTACTGCAGCTCCTGGATATTCGCGGTGACCGGCCCGACCGCCTTAGAATATGGTGGAACCAGTACCGCGCGGCGCCTGGTGGGAGCTACGTGCACTCGTGTCGAATCGACGCCCCCAAGGGATACTACGAGGAATTCTCGCTTGTGAATGTGCACGTGGGGGCTGAGAGGGAGGATCAGGGAAGAAAAATGCCCAGGGACACACCGGACTATGCTGCCATCAAGCGCTGGCTCCGGTACTGCCACCAACAACATCCTCTGTGCGCCACGGCGCCGAACCAAAGCACGCCCAGTCTCCGAGTTATAGATTGCAAGGCCCGATCACTAACCATAATCCCGCCGTCGTGTCCCTACGTGGCACTGAGTTATGTATGGGGAATCGCTGGCCGCGCCGACCATCCTGCGCTCCATCTACCACCGACGCTGCCTAGGACCATCGAAGATGCGATGGAAGTAGCACTAGAGCTAGACGTGGGTTACTTGTGGGTAGATAGGTACTGCATCAACCAGGTTGACCAGGAGGAGAAGGAAAGGCTGTTCGCGATGATGGACGTGATATACCGGAACGCCGAGCTTACCATCATCGCGGCTGCAGGTAATGGTCCGGAGATGGGCTTACCCGGCGTGCGGCCGGGCTCGATGATGCCGCATGAAAAATTGCATGTAGGGATCCATTCATTTTCTGTGGTTCCGCTGCACCACAGCGAACTGCGGCGATCGAAGTGGAATACACGTGGGTGGTAAGTTGCCTCTACCTCCGCGCTCTACATTAGGTACCATTTGTAGGTGAAACTGACCCAAGACCACAGGACCTACCAAGAAGCCCGCCTCTCCCTCCGCCGGCTCCTCTTCCTCCCTTCCCAGCTAGCCCTCCAATGCCCCTCTTCTGTTCACCTCTCCGCGCTGCACCCACCCCTCGCCGACCCCACCACCTCCTTTACACCAACGCACACCTCCTACACCTCCCTCGCCCCCTTCCGCCACCCGATATCCTCCCAAGGGTCATCCTTCGTCTGGACCCTCCGTACAGATCTCTACACCTACTACGAGCGTGAATTGACTTATTCATCCGACGCACTGAACGCGTTCCAAGGCGTCGTCAATTCCTACAAGCACCACGCGGAGTTGAAAGGCGTCCTCGCGCACTTCTGGGGACTGCATATCTTCGCGCTGCCCCATCTCACTGCTCAAAGCGCGTTTCTGGCCGAGCTCGCATGGTTCGTGGTCTCGCGGAGTGGGTATTTCTTCAGCGCGCCGGAGCAGCCTGCGTACAGCAGAGAGGTCGCCAAGTTCCCATCGTGGTCCTGGGCCGGGAAAATGGCAAACGACATGTCCACGTGTACGCCACGCACCGCGCTCAGGCACAAGGAGAGGGAAGGCCGGGATCCGTTTGAGGCCGGGACTTCGACGAGGCTTGCGCTCGCTGATGATGTGGCAATTACCTTTACGCATGCTGAGGGTAGGCAGGTCGGTGTAGAGGAGTTTGTGCAGAGGCAGTATAATTACCTTTCTTTCCACCCTAGCTTCTCGATCACGGCTTGGACTGTAAAAGGAAGCATACGGACCGTTATACCGCTGGACCGCCACGAGACGTTTCGCGAAGAGGGGATTGACGGGGGGTATGAAGAGCTGGATTTGGATTACTGCGTTGAGTGGGCGCGGGGGGAGGGCAGTGTGGTGGTGGTATTCCTGGGGGCGTGGGTGAATGTTGATGAGGTAGATGTGTGTGAATATGATGGCGATGGGTATGAGACTGGAGGAGATAGGTGTTGCGATGTACACTGTTTGCTGTGCGAGGAAGTTGCGTCGGGGACAGTACGGAGATTTGGGCTGTGGAGTGTGGGTGTTGATAACCATGGGGAGGTGGCAAGTACGCAAGAGGTTTTGCGCAGCTTGTTGAAGATGCGGGTTATTTTGCCGAATGGGCAGTGGGAGAGGAGGGATATACGGCTTGTGTAGGAACGTTGTTAGAGATAGGGCCTGGGTCATCCCTGCGGCCAAACTGCAGAGAGGGTGAGTAAATCTGTTCTTTAGATAGATCCTACTGCTCATCTGGCTCCAGCTGGAGCTGCTGAGAGCGGCCCGATTCTGCTCTCCCAGGAAGCAACAACTTCGAGCATGAAGTGCTATAAGTAGGGGTATAGAAGGAGGGTAACAATATATCATATTTGTATGAACTTCTACACAAACACACCCTGTAATCAATCTTCTGTTGCCGAGTGACTTCGACATTGGGAGTGCGACGAAGAGCACTACCCCTGTTGGCATCGTGCACAATCAGGAGGACGGGGCTCACGGGGCTGATGGAGCGACCTGGGTCTTGTAACGTGCCGGTGGTTCACGAAGGCGTGGCAGGCGGGGACGTTCGAGGGACATCCGTTCGAAGTGAGAGCTGAGGGCGTAGAACAAGCGCTGAAGGATTTGAAAGAGGGGAAGCAGAGTGCTGTGAAGTACATTTTCAGGATTGGAGATACGCCTAGATTGTAAGATTATGTCGTTTTGTGTGGAGAGTACAGTAAGAGTCATCCAGGTACATCAACATGTTCACTCTTGGAGGAGTTCGGGAGACAAGTGTACAGCTTTCAAGACCTCAGAATTCCAATCGAGTTTCGAGATGCGCTGGAATGTGATTTCAGTTCAGGGATAGAAGTGGAAGTTATCTTGACTCTGCGTTTAAGGCCAGGAATTTAATGGTTACTTTTCTTCTCTCTGCCTACTTTCCCGTCACCAGCTATTGTTTGGGTGTCACGTCACTCTCATCCCATCAGGCTCCCACTCTCCCCCCCCTCTCGCGTTCTCATTCTCATTCTCATTCTAGCTGAAAGCTTTCGTCTTATATTGATTTTTAATTTGTTTTAGTCCACGCATCTTACAATCTTATCAACCATGTGACAGTCTCACTCTTCGAGTTCTTCCACCACCGCCCCCGTCTACTCCTCTCTTACTTCTCCCAAACTCTCTGTCTTCATGATTAGAGCTCTCCTCAAGATCAAATTCTCTTCTCCCACTCAAAGCGTTGTGTTGACTCCCGATCTTCCTCAAGAGCCACCGCGGTATCCAGCATTACATTACAAGACTGCTCAATATCCTTACGCAGTCTTCAACGCTGGAAACTCATCTCCGCTTTGCCACCTGTGGCACCTAGGTCGATGTAGGAGACTGGGGAAGGGGACCTCAAAAACATGTTCTGGAGGAGCACAATGGCTTAGTGGAAGAGTGCTTCTTATACTTAAAATTGAGCAAGAGCTTCTCATCAAGCTTGGAAAGGCAAGTGCGCAGTTTGATTGCGCTGCGTCTACAAAGCTATTTACTACCGTCTTTCAGCACCGTACCAAGACCGACTCAACGGGAAACGGGGTGCGAAGACGTCTGCGAGTCACAAAGAGCCTCATCTCTATTTTAGATTCGGTCATGACCACTGACCACTTTCATTCGTTGTCCATCGATGGTATCTCTACGGTCGTCTGGTGTATTGAGAATGCGCAAAGACACCGCCACTTGATCCATAGCTATAGTCCCAGATATCTGATTGCCAGGTTCGGTCTGAACATAGCTTCGAGTCCGTGTCCACATCCAATGCTTCCTGTCCTGGGGCGCAGACTCGTCTTCGTCGGCGCTATCTGACACTGAATGATCAGACTCTGGCCCAGCCTCGTCGAACTCTGGAGATTCCAAGGAAGCGCCATTCACCAGGCCCAAGTCTGCTTCAAAGGCGTGCCATGCCTCATCGTCATCCCATTTGGCATACTCCTTGTCCTCGCCCTCGCACTCACTCACAGCATCGCTACAATCCATGTTGCAGGCCCTCAATGATGATCTCGCTGCATGCACACCGCCCCGCCCACACTCTCCGAGGCATGGACGTGGGCTTGGACAGGTCGGCGTGCATACATTGCCTATCTACCTACCCACCACCTACACTCTCCTCGTCCCGCCCACCATGCCCTTCGCTGGATATAGGTTAGCCTGAGTCGACACACAGCGTTTTTCCTTGAACAGGTTCAGAAATAGGTTCTACATTGTATCATTGGTGATGGTTATCTACGATCAACTTGCCACAATATTCGTACAACACGCCGCGCTTTTGCAATCTCCCTACACACTCCCGCTCGGCACCTGCATCGCCCCATTCGCCGCCCCATTCGCCTCCAGCGCCTCCCCCCAAACCTGCTTTACAAGCTGCTTCTTGTTGATCTTCCCCATGGCATTCTTGGGAATGCTCTCCTCGACCTTCATCTCCTGCGGGATCTTGTAGTTGGCCAACTTCTCCTTCAACGCCTTGCGCATGTCCAGAGCAGACCACGGCCTCCCGCCGCGCCCCGCCGTCTTGCCCTCGGCACTCAGCACCACAATGGCGGCGACTTTCTGGCCCCACGCCTCAGACGGCAGGCCCACGACAGCCACCTCCTCGACCTGCGGGAGGCTCAGCATCTCGCGCTCGATCTCGAGCGCAGACACCTTCTCCCCGCCCGTCTTGATGATGTCGGCCGACTTGCGGCCCTGGATGAAATACAGCGGGCCGCGCGCCCAGGTCTGGCTGCTCTTCCCCGCGCCCTCGACGGCCCGCCGGATCGCGACGTCCCCCGTCTTGAACCACTTGCCCTTCCCGTCCGCGTCGTCGACGAATTCCTTGGCGGTCGCCTCGGGATTGCGCCAGTACGTGCGGAAGATGGTGGGCCCGCGGAGCTGGATCTCGCCGTGGCGCTCGCGGCCGGAGGCGGGGTCAACTTCCTCGCCAACCTCGATGACCTCGTGCGTTTCCGTGTCGACGAGGCGTGCCTGCACGGATGGCAGAGGCCACCCCACCGACCCGTCTGCACGGTCGGCAAAGGACAGCCCGCACGACAGCGCCATGCCGACTTCCGTCATGCCGTAGCGCTCGAGGAGGACGTTGCCGCCGCTGAGCTCGGTCCACGCCGACTTGACGGGGGTCGGGAGGGCCGCGGAGCCGGAGATGTTGAGGCGCATGTTTGAGGGGTGGAGGGCGGTTTTGGCGGCGGCTTGGACCTCGGCGGGGAGGGAAGCGTGGGAGGCGAGGAGGCGGGTGTAGATTGTGGGGACGACGGTGAGGAAGGTGACGGGTTTCTTTGCGGGGTTCGGGTTCGGGAGGAAGGGCGCTGCGAGGCGCTCCCAGACGGCGGTCGCGTTGAAGGGGAACTGGAACTCTATGGTGCTCCCGGCGAAGAGGGGCGTGAGGAGGGCGTTGACGGTGCCGTGGATGTGGTGGAGGGGGAGCACGTGCAGGAGCACGTCGCTGCTGCTATACTCCCACGCCTGGAGCAGCGACAGCGACTGCGCGGTGAGGATGTCCTGGGCGAGAAGCACGCCCTTTGGCCGGTTGGTGGTGCCGGACGTGTACAGCATCATGCCGCCCTTGTCGCTCGCGGGCTCCTCGAGCGTGACGTAGTCGTCCGTCTTGCCCATCATGATCTTGTCCTGCTTGTAGTTGATGGGGCTGGTCTGCATGCCCTCCTGCAGCACCTCGTCGGCCTTGTCCTGGAACTTGTCCGACGAGAGCAGCATGAGCGACTCGCTCTGGTCGATGATGTAGCGCAGCTCGTGCGCAGGGAACGTCGGCGACAGCGGGACGGCAATGGCATGCGCGGCCAGAATCGACAGCAGCGTCACTGGCCCATGTTAGCTGGGACGACTGGGCGCGCGAGGGCAGACGGGGCCGTTCTCAATGCGCACCTACATAGTCGTAGCCGTTCTCCACGAGAAACGAGATGCGCTCTCCCGCCGTGCTCCTCCCGCCCGCATTCCGCTGCAGCTTGTCCTTGGCCGCCGCTACATCATTGACCAGCTCGCCGTACGTGAACGTCCGTCCCGACAGGCCGTGGATCACCGCCACCGACTTGCCATCGTGTTTCTTGATGGCCTCGAAGATGGGCAGGCGGGGCAGCGTCGATGCCATCCTCACGGCAGCAATTGAAAACGCGGCGCGGCAGCAGTGCGAGGGAGGGCAGCGGAGGCGACTAGCGAAAACGAGTGCGCGTGGTAACGGGGTCCTTTGCGCCCACATGAGGCCGGAGGAGGGCGTGACCGGGGTATTGGACGCTGTATGCACGTCGTTCGGCAGTGAGATCGGGGCTGTTCAAGTGGATGCCGCGGACCATCGTCTCTCAATACTCACCTCGCTCTGCTCCGCAACGCAGCTGCAAAGCTGGAGAAACACTCCTTGCGGGTCGATTGGTCTTTTCCGACGCGCCAGCCATCCCGTCTCCAATCCGCCTTTCAATGCGTTTCCCCCTCTGACGACACCTCCGCAACCATCCTCGAATCCCTTGGCGCTCGGTTCGGCCTGCACTTTTAGCCCCGAGAGCCTCATCAGCCTCAACCTCTACACTAGCCGTCCAGAACCCACGCCTGCGGTTCCGCGGCCATTGATGTTCCTGCGTCGGGCAGCCGTCGCTTCGAAGCGTTTTGCATCCACCATGGCGCAGTCCACGACGCCTATGGAAGACGTGATGCGCGCAAAGGCACGTCACGCTGGCATGGCAAGAGGCAGAGATTGAGACAACGGTCAAACTAACCGACATCCAGCTCACCGAAGCTTTCAAGCCGACAACGCTCGAGATACACAATGACTCGCATCTGCACTCGCACCACAAGGCCATGCAGGGGGTCACCAGCAAAGAGGCATGCATTCCTTGTCATTTCATAGTCATGTGACAACAGCTAACGAAGACCGCACCAGACACACTTCCGGTGAGACGCACCGATATACTTTTCACAAGATGGAGACACTGACTTGTTGAAAGCGTGGCCATCACGTCGGAGAAGTTCAAAGAAGCCAGGATGCAGCCCGCGAGGCACCGCATGGTCTACGCCCTGCTCAAGGACGAGTTGGCACAGGAGGGCGGCATCCACGCCTTGCAGCTGAAGACGCGGACGCCGGAAGAGGAGGAGCGTCAGAAGCAAAAAGAGCAGGCTGAGTAGTAGCGAGTGCAACGGTACCCACACAACTCGACAGAGCGCAACGTGGATATGAATCTTGTCTTAATACCAGCTGTAACGATATTCAAAACCGATTTACTGTATACTAAGGATCGGATATCAGTCATAAGCCGTCCTTTGAATGTAGTCATTAGACCAATGCTCCATGCCCACCAAACGCCCACTCTGCCTCTGATTTGCAACCGCTAAATGCCAAAGCGACGAAGTGCCTCATTCAGACGTTCGGCCGACACCCGCAGAGGGTCATGTATCATCGCATCCAGCTCGTCCTGGTAGCTGCGCGCCTGACGCCGAGGGATCTGGTCACTAGCTTGGCCTGCGTACTGACTACTCTGGTACAGAGTCTGCGCTGGGGCAGCCGAAGCCTGCGGTGGTGCCGGCACGGCTGAGGCCTGTGCCTGCGCTTTTTCATCCATTTCCTCGCGCAGTATCTTGACCTGCTTCTGCATCTCCTCCCACAGAACGAGGTCGTCTAGATCTGAATGTCCCAAGGTCTGCGCCAACGCCCGCTGCAAGGCTTGCATGTCGTTGTACGCGACTTGCTGGGCGTCGTCATCGTCGCTACCGCGCACGGCGATGGCGAGCAAACTGGCAACGAAAGCCTCCTGCATGTATGCAAAGGAGAACTTGTCGGTAATCTTGGCGATAGCAGGGCACAGGTCGTCTGGGAACTTGACCGTGTCGTTATCCTTCAACTTGCCCTGCCAATATTTGGCATACTGCACCCGCTGGGCGTAATCGGGATCCGGGAAGTAGTACTTGCGATCGAACCTGCTGGGTCGCTTGGAGATTCCTGGGTCCAAGCGATCAAGATGGTTCGTCGAGCCGACCATCAAAATACCGTCATTTGATTTTAGGCCATCCACCTCGTTTAAGAAGTATGAGCGCACATTATCATTGACGATGGAGTCGAGATCTTCGAAGACGAGGTAGCAGGGAGCTACTTGACGCGCTTTGGTGAAAATGGACTGCAGCGAATATTCTGGGCCCGCAAAGGAGGAGAGACTGCGCACATAGAGGGTTGGCACGGACAGCTTCTTGTCGCCATCGATGCCGCGCTGGTAGAGACTATGCATCATGGCCTTGATGCTGATAGTTTTTCCATTTCCGGGTGGGCCATAATAGATGATTCCTCGCTTCCAGGGCACCTTCAGATTCTGGTACGTCTCTTGCCCGTCAAAGAAGTTTTCCACGTCGCTGATGATCTGCTTCTTCATCCCTTCTTCGAGAATGACATCTTCCCAGCGGCTCTTCTGCACCGAATGCCAGAGCTCGTAGCTCTTCTGCCAGAAGCCTTGGTCGAACACCCAGACTTCGTTGCGGAGCTCTTGGCCCCACAGAGTGACCTCCCTGATCAGCTCGTCGACCTTGTCGGTGTCGTTTGTGAGCACGTATTGGTTCGTTATATCCGGGTACGAGCTCACGCCGTCCCTGCCGGATGCGACGTAAACAATCAACTCCTGGTCTTTCCATTTGTAGAGGTATTTGCCAAACACGACGTGCTCAGCATAGACGCCGGGGCTAGGGTCCAGGCGCCGTGCTGGCGGGATGTACTGACGCCATTTGACAGCCCCGCCGTATACATGGTCCCGGACGGGGTCTTCGAGCGGCGTGAGGGTGGCATGGCCAGCGGAGGCGTATGCGAGGAGGTCCGTCCCGCGCTCGGGCACGATGACGAGATCGAGATTGCGGTATTGGCTGCGGAGAGCTTCGACAAGCACGATGTCGGTGTTGACGCGCTGGCCCGACGAGTGGTGGAAGTACTCGCGCGTCGTCTCGTCACCGTGGGAGCTGTAGCCGCCTGTCATGGTTGCGGGTGGAAAGCGTGCGGGGGGAAAAGAGGCAGCGACGACCGTCTCAACTGGAGCTGTGAGTATTCAACAGGGTTGGCAAACAGGGCGACGCTGCGAGTACGACCAGAGTGTCAGCGTCGGTGTAGGTGTGCCTGGAGCTCCAAGAGCTCCCCGCGTCATTGGGGCTGAGCTGAAACGAAGGAAGCTCCCCACAGCGGGGGCCTAGCGTGGCGCGTCGCCCACCATGGCGCGTTTTCACAAGTGCACCCAACGCTCGCCACCATCGTGACTTAGTTGGCCTTTACTTGCAAACTTCAGCAGAGCATGTCTCTGCGGCGCGACACCCCATGTCGCTGCCGTGCTCGCCAACGCCGCCAAGTGCACCCAGCCGGCAGGATTGCTCAGCGGACGCCACCAAAAGTCTTGGACTGCACGTCGCCGCACCATCTCATCACCATGCGAGCCAGTCTCTCGACATGAAGCTGAGGCTTTTGTCACAGAGCCTGTTCAGAATTCGCGATCGCGGAATCTGATGCTTCCCTGCCGCCTGCTCTGACCTATGCGCACCTGCTTGATCGTGACTCGGACACACAACGCCATCCTCGCGCACCACTATGCCGGTTGAAGGACGCAGTAACGGCTATTGTGCCATTGCGGGTGTGATCGCCGCACCTTTCCAAGATGCAGACCCTCCTTCACGGGCCACTTGAGACCACGCCTCGATATGTATTGACCACAGGACGACGCGGGTGGGCATTTCGGTCTCGGAAGAGTCGATTGTCCGTGCGCTCATCCTTTCTGTGCTGCAGCCTCGTGAGGCTCGCGACGAAAATTATGAGTGCTCGAGGAAATCTGCTGGAATCTTCAGTCGTCCCCTAAAGTTTGTCGTGGGGCACAAGCCGCACCCTGGAAAGTAACATGAAGCTTTCTGGTCGTACTGCTGATGAGTGCTTCTAAGCATCTGTGCCTCCCCAGGCGCCACAGGAAGCGAATTGCTGTAACCGGTGAGCGGCGCAGTTCTACAATGACTGCTTGGCTGGACAGTTTAATGAGACCTGTGCTCAGTCTCAGCCGACGTCCTTCGCCCTGGCAGATGAATGGATATTGCGAATTTCATGTAGCCATTGCTAGTCCTCTGCAGGGCATTAGCCTAATCTAACCACTGCAAGACTGTAAGCCGTGAGCATCGATCCTGCGGGTTCCGCAATGCCGGAAATCAATTTCACTAATGAACATGTACCTCTTAAGGTACGTGGCAGGCTGCGTGGTCAAGTCAAAAGTCACGGATGTCGCTGCACGATTTCCTCCGGTATCGCTTTCGTTTGCGACCTGCGGATGGATGCTACTGTTTGGAAGTGTGATTTGGGTTCAAAGCCGTCACCCAACAGACAAACGTACGAGCACCAAAGCCGCGCGGGAACAACAAATATCGACATGCGCGACTAGTCGAATCCGGGTACCCTGCTTATTCTAGGGTTCTAGGGCTCCCGCTGGGCCGAACGATGCGTGGCTTCCGAGGAGCCCGGAACAGCTCCACGTCCCCGCGAGAAGGAATCCCAAACACCAAATCTGGTGGGCCCTGTGGACCCTGACCGGCTCTGTGAGCGTGACCCAGGTCGTGCGACAATTTGAATTTTCGCGCCAGACGCTCCACGACGGACGATCGCAGGACCGCAAGACCGCAAAACGTGTTGACGTTATGTCATGCTTTCGGGGATGGCTGACGCCCAGAGTCATTGCAGAAGCTTAGCATGCACACCCCCTGTCCTACACAACTTCCACAACGCATGCCATCATGATCCTTCCGTTGGCGAGCCGTTCAAAGCATTTCCGCTACTTCCGGTAGTTGGTTGCCCAGCAATGACAAGCTGCGCAGCAAAGCCCCAAGAATACCAAGCAGTCCGTCATTGAAAAGCTGTGGTCTGAGCATCGGTACTCGCGACCGCACGACATCGCCTGATGCACACGTTTGCCTTCTGTTGTTATTCTATAGCCTGACGCGCCAAAACAATCTCGTCTCGCGCCAGCTCTCCCCGAGCAACCAGGGGAACCTGCAACAAAGCGGCGCGTAGACCAACCTGACGGGTTTCCAATCCGCAACCGAAGCCATTCATTAATTTGTAAGCGCGAGCAACGCTCAAGAAGGGCGCCTTTGGTGGCGTTGTTTGAAGAGTTCAAGCGGTGCGATTGGAGTTGGTAGCCGCCATAGCGATGATGTAAAAATCGGCTGTCCGGTCGGCGACAAGCTTCGGCGCGCCGTTGCTCCGCACCCCCATCGCGGCAGAATCAACCTCTCGTGTGGAAGCATTTGCAAAGAACGATCGGCTGCTGCACCATCTCACCAAGCTCTTTGTCCAATCTGTCCGGGGCCTCGGCTCGGGTCATGGGCGCTGATCCACTGCACAAGTGGCTGATGCGTCGATGCATCGGTACACCAGCATCTGCCCCGTCATTATTCGATGCTGAACCCCGTCCACTACGGCCACAATTTTAGCCGGTCTGGGGAAATCACTCCAATCGTCCCCTTTAGCTCCTGTTTAGGGTTAATTACATGGGTCTCTACTGGGGCCAGAGCTTAGGAGGAGCTATGTCTCCTGGCGTACGTCGTTCCGGACCGGCGAACCTGATCTTATATCACCCCAGTTCCCCAGATTGATTTTCAGGCGTTTGCTCCCCAGAATCAAAAGCATCCCCGGACTGCACGACGCGTCGATTCGCCTTCACATCTGCCCTTGATATCCACCTTCGATACCCAAAACTAATCTCAACACAATGGCGACCGCTCAAGAGCACAATGATGTTGTATGTTTATTTTGCTCGCGCTGCTTTACGTGAATCTGCATTTCCTCCAGTTACTGACTGTTGTGTAGACTGCTGGACTCGCTGGTACGCACCCGTCTCATCAGCCATTGAATGATTCGAGTACGTTTGACCATGCTACAGCCAAGGAAGGTTCACACAAGGAGAGGAAGCCTTACGACTATGGTGAGATCCGGCTTGCTTATTTCCAATGACATTTGTTAACTCGTGAGCAGGCGGCAACCCTCTCGCTCACATTGCGACCAACAACCCCGACTACCGCCTCACTGCATTTGGTGGTGAATTCCAACCTGGTCTGTACCGGTAAGTTCGGTCGACGCCGCAGGTCTACAGGTATAACTAAGAGGACATACAGCGCCCCGAAGAGCAACTTTGCCAACCCAGCTCCATTGGGACTGTCTGCCTTCGCCCTGACGACTTTCGTCTTGTCCCTCATCAACGTTGGAACGCGGTCCATTGGCGAGCCCAACCTTGTAGTCGCGCTTGCGTATGGCTACGGTGGTCTTGTCCAGCTCCTCGCTGGCATGTGGTATGTACAATCGCGGTTCTTAAACACGACACAATCAGCTAACTTTGTACTAGGGAGATGGCAGTAGGTAACACTTTTGGTGCTACTGCTCTTTCATCCTACGGCGGTTTCTGGCTCTCGTTTGCCATCATCCTGACCCCCGGTGGATTTCAGATTGGCGCGGCCCTTGAGAAGAGCAGCCCGTTCCCATTCTACAACTCCTTCGGACTGTATCTCATGGGCTGGTTCATCTTCACGACTATTCTGCTCATCTGCACCCTGCGATCAACCGTAGCCTTCTTCTCGCTGTTTTTCACCCTGGATCTGGCTTTCTTGCTCCTCGGCATTGGCTACCTCAGGGCAACTGAAACCGGACCAAACGAGTCGTGCATCAAGGCCGGTGGCTACTTTGGTCTCTTCGCTGCGTTCCTTGCATGGTACAACGCGTTGGCCGGTATTGCCGACAGCTCCAACAGGTCAGTTTTCTTCGTCGCGTATACGAACTGTTCGCATGCTGACACCCGCCAGCTTCTTCGTCATCCCCGTCGCGCATTTCCCCTGGTCGGAGAAGGGTCGCGAAGCCCGCGGCAAGCCCATCGACTCCTCCGCCGCGCACACCGCATAAGTGCCGCGCGTGCTCCTCACAAACAAACTTGTCTCCACCTCCCATTTCATCTACTCTACGTGCGCAACGCTCTGAATGAAAGACGACGGAGACACTATTCCCCCGCGCTAAGAACGGCTTGCGAAGCGCGATCCTATTGGCGGCGCCAGCAAGGCCCGCGCTATTGTACCTTACTACTGCTTAATACCATGACGATGTTTCCTCACATTGATATCCCCTCTTTTCGCGATCGTCGCGCGTGGTGGTGTTTTTACCCTTACGTCACTTCAGCGCTGTCGAGTCAAGCTGCGCCCACCCGCCGAGACAACTTACCCCGCAGCAGATCCAGCCCACGTCCGCGCCTACGTCTTTGATATGCGCGCTGCAGTCGGCGCGGCCACTGGTGTTGCAAGTATCGAAATGTCTGGCGCTGAATGCGGACGCGTGAGGTCATGCGCGCGTGGCTTGCCGGCTCCTATGCACGTTTGCGTCGCCGGCCGCGTGCACAGAGTGGTCAAGCTTTTCATGGCGCGGCGGGGCGCTTGGATGAGGTCAGCGGCAGGGCCGTGACGTCGTGGAGGCTGCTCGGTGAGTGTGCGTTGCGATGGTTGCTGCGAGCGTGCAGGTGGAGTGCCCACGTGGATGCTGGATTGCAATTGTCGCGGTGGGGAGCGAGCACTGAGATGTGGGGATCTGCCTTGCGGTGAAGTTCAGCACCCTTGGTCCTTGGATGTGTTCTTCAGCGAAGGTTACTAAAATGACAGATATGGTAGCGATTTCATGTGCTCAGTGTGGTTTACATTGCAAGCTTGAGGTGAGCACGCTGAGTATAGCCTGTGCGCCGTGCTACGCTGAGACGCTCGTTGCGGTGCCTCACGCTGAATGGAAGAACATCCCATTGAGGTGGATGATGACCAAGACATACAAATGCAGGAACACAATCGCACCCTATCGTTGATCTGACGCTGTTAGAGTCATTCGGTGAAGTATTCAGCGAAGCCTCTCATTGCTATTCGAATCTGACATGCAGTCCACCACGTGCAACAGTCCTTCCATTGTGACTTTAATCGCAATGAAACACATGTGTATCTCCATCTCCGACAATCACCGCAATCTGGCAGTCTCACGGAGTTTGCCATCCCTTATCACCACGTTTCTCACGCACATAACCCAATATCAGTCCGGAAAAGCTATCCATCGATCCAAACAGCCCCCTGCTGATCGTTTCTTGCCCTCTTCGACAACCCAGTTAATGAAGGCCTCCGGCATAGTGGTAATCATGAAGAAATCGGTCTTGTAATATTGAGCAGCTGTGTCTTTGCTCGCATTCAGTATGACACCCCCCGCCGGCTTAAGGCTGATCTGTGAAGTACATCCCAGCACAAATTCCACATCGTTAGCTTCAACGCCAATCTTCTACCGCAGCACTGCTAAGGCCTGTGCTATTGTACATGCGAACATCTTCACGTCCAGTTTCAGACATTCCATCTCATCAAGGTGCAACGGAAAATCTCGCAGTCGCGCATTTCTAGCCGCCATCGGAGTATCGCGGCTGTGGCGCCCAAGGTAGATGCGAAGCAGGCAATTCTTGTTGTCCGGTCTTGCGAGAAACTCGGCCTTGTGCTTCTGAATCTCTTTGGGACAACGAGCATCCACAACGACGGAGCGCACAAGAGGAGAAAGGGGATAGATTCGTTCTGAGACAAGACCATAGTTGGGGACAGGAATGCCCGTGACAGGGAACTTTGACCTATGCTTGATCCAGAAGTGGCCGCTGTGCGTATCAACCCACACATTTATGTCCGGAAAGTCGAGATTGTGCGATGCATGGAGTTCCTCAGGAAGGGTGTTGAATGCATTCTTGATCTTTAAATGCATTTTGGAAGTCGCTGAACAGTTCGTCCGATTTCTGTGGGTTGTTGGAAAGCTTCACAGCCATGGTAGTACCACGAAGCGCATACACGGTACCGTATTGTTCAATTCCAACAGGGCCGAATGCCTTTTGTCGCGCATCATCTTGAGCTCACTGGTCCTCGTCCGCAAGTGAGGATGAAGTCGAAATGCCGGTTTTGGTAAAACGCATCCGGTTCAACAAAACATCAGGCTTGAGCTGGCTCATCTCTTGGTCGCTGAGGATACACTGGAGATCCCAAAATGTGGTTCTTTCAGTGAGGCGGTGAGTATAAATGCGGAGTCGTTGGTCCGCATCTCCTTTCGGCGGTCCATGGCTCGAGTGGTGGTGAGTTGTAAACTTGGGAAGAGTAAAATTGCTGCCTTCTCTAAGGTTGACTTTACTTTTTGGTCCCTCTTGCCAGATTCAAACGATGTTTGGAGACTGCTTTTTGGGCACCCCTCTTTTTGCATTTCTTTGTTCTTTACATACATACAATGCGCACCCAGTAGTCCTAATTTCTATATTCTTTTCCTCAACAACCAGCGTCGAAACACGACCGGGCTCTTGACAAGATGTCGTCCAACCGCCAGCATTCTAGCGCTACGCCTTCAGGTACATATTTACCGGCTGTAGAACCACCGTCGCCCACTGCAGATGCATATTGGCCGAGTGCAGACACGTCTTCGCACAGCGCAGACTCATCTCCGCATCCTGCAGCCCCAATTTATCCGTATCTTCCCCCTGGTACGTCTGACTAGAGCGCAAGTGTAATGTCCCTTACCGAATGTAAAGCTGACTCGAGTGCTTTGCAGAAGATTCAGATCGCACCAAGCGGGCCCTCAAGAAGAACGCCATGCGGCTGTTTGCGCGTGACTTCGGGTTCCGTCCTGCCGAGGTCTCTCGCTGGCTGTTCCCCGATTGCAAGATGACTTACCGAAATGATCTCGATCAGTGGCATGCGAAATGGGAGAAGGAGTTGTTCGACTCTGCGGAGCTGATCCGTCAGATATGTTGTCTCTGCTCCTGCTCACAATCACACACATGAATGGACTTCAATACATAAGACCAGGTCTTCTTTCGCAGAGGTCCGCGAACAGAACAATCCCGACAGCCTGAAGCTTAAGGAGATGAACAAAATCGACCGCATGCATTCCTCACCGCCTTCACCGACGAGGTTTTCCAGATCATCGTCGACCCGTTGCGCACGTCCATAAAGATCATGGAATTGGTCATGATCGAAGCATGGAGGAGTATGTACTGCGAGGCGTTCGTTACCGCCGCCGAAGTCATGTATGTGACGCCTCCACCCAAAACCGGAAAGCGTGGGACTCAACCAAGGATCAAGTACGCAGCAGTCTACGATGCCGTCCGCGAGGTACCTGAGACGTTTCCCGATCGTCCGCAGCTCGAACATATTCCAGCGCATCCGCTTCGAGCATCAGCCGCGGAGATGTTAAGCTTCGAACGGCGGAAGTGGCAGGATACATATGGGGCGAAGGAATACCACCGCATGGCAGATGGCATAGGCGTGAAAAACACCCCTTAGCTGAAGAGAATGCGTCAGCTACGTGTTCGGGAAGTCGTACCGTCGGTGAGAGCATAAGGTGCCTATGTTGTGCACGTGTTACGATGGAGTGATCAGACGGTGGGCCATGGAGATGTCTCTCAGCTATCTCCTGGGCAATTGGTACTGAAATCGAGAGTTGGAACGCCGTACATATACGGCTGCCTTTATTCGAACGTTTGGATCTCGGACTGAGGCTAGAATGCGTCGAAGGCACATGAGCTTTGGTAATATTGCACTATTGATAGCCAATGCATTGCAGACATTGACATGGACGAGTGCGATCAAACGCTGCTGGTAATTTGTAAAGGTACCAGCAAAGCATCCCCACCCAAAGGAAGATATACCTACTCCTCTGTGGATTTTCATCCGAAATCGTTGGGTAGGTGTTTGAGGTGCTTCCTACACTATCTGGGTACGTCACAGCATTACTCCACATGTTAGCGCACTGGCCGATGCTCGGAGGTGATACTCGAGGAAGCAGCTGAGAATACAACATGACAAAACATCAGCGATAGCTGGCTATTCAGACAGACCCCGGCAGCCAGTCCCCAGCTTCAGTGCAGACAACAGCCTCAGAATCAAGGCTGCCACGAAAGGAGCTTCGTGGCAGGCATGTGTCGATCTGCAGCTGCCCGAAAGTAGCGAGAGCTCGGACCAGCCGCGGCCAACATCCTCTTCCTTGCCCTGGGGACGTCATCCAAACATTCTCGCTGCCTGCCCACACTGCCGCTTTCCTCTCTCCGACGTGACACGCACGAGCTCAGCACTTCGGCTTTCTGATAGCAATCCTCGCTGCCCGCCAACCGCCGGTCCCGCCCCAGCATCACCCCGCGCATCGGCCCCAAGCTAGTTTTCCGCGCCTAGCCTCACGACGTCCACCACACGACAACGCCAAATTGCGACCTCGCACGCCGCCTCCTGCCCCGCAATCCCAGGCTCTCCAGACGCCCGCCCACGCCTCTTAGAAGTTTGCGTAGCCACCACGCCGGTGACACGCCGCACAGAGATCCAGCAAGATGTCCGGCGAAGCATGGTTGTACCTGTTGGCGGTGCTGATAAACGCCGTCAACCTCTTCCTCCAGGTCTTCTTCACGATTATGTACAGTGATTTGGAATGGTCAGTGCCATCCTGCTCTCCCCCAGCCCTCCGCCGCGACCTCGTTTGCATACCGCCTTCCGTGTCGCGCCGCTTATCACGCACATGCTAATTTTGCGCCAGCGACTACATTAACCCGATCGACCTGTGCAACCGTCTCAACACCTACATCGTCCCCGAAGCCGCTGTACACGCTTTCCTGACCTTCCTCTTCCTTATCAACGGATACTGGGTTGCCCTTGTTTTGAACCTGCCTCTGTTGGCCTGGAACGGCAAGAAGTACGTTGGACACACGATCGCGTGAAGCAGTATACTGACCGGGGCAGGATCTTTGAGAACCAGCATCTCTTGGACGCGACCGAGATCTTCAGGAAGCTTAACGTGCACAAGAAGGTCAGTAGTGCCCTCATCCCTTGCCTAGGACACGGCTGCGAATTGCTCCGCGTACCCTCGCATACCAGACATCGGACGCGTGTTCAGTTGCTAACTTCGACCAGGAATCGTTTATCAAGCTGGGATTCCACTTGATCATGTTCTTCTTCTACCTGTACAGCATGATTGTCGCCCTCATCCGCGACGAATCGCACTAGGTGTTTCCGGATCTGACCGGTGAGACGCGCGCAAAAGGGCGCATCGTGGACGTCTGAATACCAGTCCCCCGGGTCGGATTGGACGACATTGTTTGGGACGAAGCTGGCATGACCTCGGTGCAGGCGAACTCGGCTAGACGGAACAGGACACGTGGGGGGAGCAAAGTTGTCGATATACCATTCTGATTACCGGCGCAAGCTTCTGGAGGTATTGTAGGAAGGGTGGGGATAGGGTGGAATCGTGTATGGTATGCTTGCTGGGCGTATAGAGCCTCACGTTCTTATGGACCATGATAGCGTGCATTTGTTGTAAATGAAACTGTTCGAATTAGAAACACGTGAGATTCTTTAACTAGCAAATCGACCAATCTGGCGAGTCAGTTGATGATTTGAACCCGTAGGCTAGAAATTATCACGTCAATAAATGTATCTTGTCTTTTGAGACGTACGAGAACACACGACGAACTTTGCATTTCATCCTTCGTGGTTCGCATCCTCAACTCTGCGAGGCCGTTCTTAGGTAGGGCTTGGCAGACGTTTGTCGGTCCGTGCGCTACATTTCTTGAACCTGCGTCTTCGGTACAGCACAGTCCAGGAAACGCAGGCGTCTATTACTTCGCCTTGAAGACCCCCACCTTCTACTTCGTCCCGGAAACTCCTCCATGGCAGGATACGGCAAAGGCGCGGGCCGGGTGCCCACCGGCTTTGCGGCCGAAACATTCATTAGCGAATCGAGCTTCCGAGAAGGCCACCGGGCACTGGAACCCGGCGCAAACGGGAAGAAGCGGAAGAGAGAGAACAAGGGCGATTTGAGCGTTGTGTCGGGCGCCGGTGCGTACAAGGGCCCCTGGGCAAGGTACGAGGAGGAGCGGCCAGATGCGGCTTCCGACGAGGAATTCGGCAGCGATGAGGAGGTCGAGATTGTATACGAGGAGGACGAGCTGGAAGACAACCCCACGGCGCCAACGAAGAAGCTGGCAGGCACAGACTACGCGGACACAGAAGCGGCGAGCGAGACGAGCGAGTTCGTGGGCAGCCAGCAGTACGACTACCAGGGCAGGACGTACATGCATGTGCCAAATGGTAAGTTTCCTCTTCCGCAATTCTTGCGCTTTACTAACCGCAGCCTAGATCTCGACATCAAATTGACCGGCGAGCGCGACGACATCAAGAACTTTCACCCGAAGAAACTCATTCATACCTACAAATACCACACGAAGTCGATCACACAGGTCCGCTTCTTCCCTGGCAGCGGTCATCTGCTTCTCTCCGCCTCCGCCGACTCCAAGATCGCATTGTGGGACACATACCATCAACGAGAGCTTCTGCGGACGTTTTCTGGGCATACCAAGTCTGTCAACGACATCGACTTCAATCCCAGCGGAACACAGTTCGTTTCGGCGAGTTACGATCGCTACATGAAGCTGTGGGACACCGAGACTGGGAAATGCCTCAACAAGTTCACTAGCGGGAAGACCCCCCATGTGGTGCGAATCAACCCAAGTTCGCCGCATGAGTTCCTCGCAGGAATGGCGGACAAGAAGATTCTCCAGTACGACACCAGGAGCGGAGAGATGGTGCAAGAATACGACCACCACTTGGGCCCAGTCAACACAATCACCTTCTGCGACGAGGACCGCCGCTTCGTCACCACATCCGACGACAAGTCTCTCCGCGCCTGGGAATACGGCATCCCCGTGCCGATCAAATTCATCGCCGAGCCGTACATGTTTTCCATGGTCCGCTCGTCCCCGCATCCCTCAGGAAAATACATCGCCTTCCAGTCCTCCGACAACCAAATCACCGTCTATTCCTCGACGGACAAATTCCGCCAGAACCGCAAGAAGAGCTACCGCGGGCACAACGTGGCGGGCTACGCGCCAGATGTCGCCATCAGCCCCGACGGACAGCTCATCAGCTCCGGCGACAGCGGCGGCTACGTCTGCTTCTGGGACTGGAAGACGTGCAAGATGTACCACAAGATCCAGGCGAGCGATGCGCCCGTCTTGGCGGTGCAGTGGCACCCGCGGGAGACTTCCAAGGTTATTACGGGCGATCTTAACGGCGTGCTCAAGTACTGGGATTAGGTAGAGAATACGAGCGACGCGAGCCGCGGGAAGGCGGACGCGGGAGGTAGGCGGAGGTTTCAGGGGAGAGGAACGAAAGGAGTATGGCGGAGGAGTGGATTGGAATGATACCCATGCTTGTTCACCAGACGCATCCGCGTCGATCGAACGCCTGCCACGTCTTGCTTTGCTTTTCTTAGCCTGTGCGAAGTGCGCGTCTCTCAATGGAGGACAATCAAGGTGGAAGTGGACGGACTTCGCGCGCAACCGTGTTGGTTCACTGGCCTTGCGACTCACCAGTTCCCAAATGGAACGAACAGTCATCCCATCTGCGCGATTGCGCATGCGAACGAGGTAACTCGCCACTGAGGCTCATGACGCTGCTTGCGGACGGCGGACGTCAGCGCGGCCTCGCGGCTCCTGCCCGTCTCGTGTCGCCTTGCCTTGGCCCCCGCCTCGCCTGCAGCCTTGTGAATCAGATCCACCCGCGCCCTACGCCTCCGCCTCCGCCTCCGCCCTCTTTGCAAACCTGCCTGTAATCATGACTTTGACTCTTTGTTTGCTCCCTTTCCCATCGATGCTAACTGTTTCTTGCTGGTTTTGTGTTTCCTCCCGGTTGTGCGGACCGCGCATCTAGCGTAGGCAACAGAGCAGGCGTGGGGGCGCTTGACCGTCTTTGGACATCCGGTGACTGGCAATTCACCGTGCTGGGTGCAGCAGTATTGCTCGCCCCTTGTGTGAGGTCGAGGACAGAGCCGCGACGCACGCTGCTATGACTGGGCTCTGCTGCCCGCCTTCTGACTGGCCGCTGCCTACGGTGCCTTGCAGGTCGCGCCCAGAACGCGGTGACGCTGCCCGTTGGCCAGGCTGAAGCCTCTAGGACCGGAGGAGCCCACCGAACATGTTCGGTGAACGCTTGCGCGCTCTGACTCTTTCCACACGTCGCTCGCGGGCCGTCTGCTCGCCGCTTGTGGCGCGCCCGCGCACGAGGATGCCTGCTGTCCACAGGTCCCTTGCCGTTTCTGCCTGTCTTCCTGACCGGCGCGGGTATAGCCACGATGAATCACACATTTGCGCGCAAACGGGGCACCTTGGATCCCAGGCACCTACGTCTGCCCGTAGGAGGTCTCCGACGGTGACGGAAGCAGGACTGCCAGTCCACGCTTGAGGCCTCTCCCTGTTACCGGCCTCAGGCGTCTGCCTGCGGTATAAATCTCCTGTTGGTCATGTCTGGCGGAGCTTTTCTTTCTTCCATCCCATCCCGAACTCGCCAGAGTATCTCTTCCTGCCTCATTGCCCAATACCTTCGAGAAGAGTCACGTCAATTTCAGTTTCAGTCTACCACCTCATCGTCTTGTCCACCCTACGATTGCTATTCACCACACCACCGCACAGACAACCTCTCGTATAGCACCGCTACCTACACGCACCTCACCAATCAAACGCACCACCTCAAGGCTCCCTCACGCCTCCCACGCCACAATGTCTTCCAGCTCCTACTCATACGGCTCCTCGTACGCACAGGACAAGTCCAAGTCCTACGCCTCGCGCTCGTCCTCTCCGCGCTCTACTACCTCAAGTGAGTCACGCTTCACAGCCCACGCCGTACATTGTCTGACCTCATAAGCGTCCTCGTCAACCAGCTCTTCAAGCCTCTACGCCCACCGCGGCCACTCCACCCGCAACAACCGCTACGGCAGCAAGCCCGGCAGCGCCGTCATTCACAATGGCGGTGGGCAGTCTACCGGACCCAGTAGCACGTCTGCTGGCAACTCGGGCTACTACCAGTAGCCCCTCGGTCGACCATTCTTGTGATTCCCTCCTCATTACGGCTCGGCCGAGAGAAGGAAGGGAAGCGTGGCTGTCTTTGACAGATGGCTGGGACGGCATCTCTTAGGGGGATGCTTTGGCATGTTTTTGGCGTCTTGGATTGGGTAATAGGTTAGACGGGTGCTTGCTTCAGTGCTACGGATGGGATCAGATTGCTCTGCTTTCTGACACTTGGGACGGTTTGGGCTCTGGCGTTGCTCTCCTCTTTTGACGACTTTCGATGTTTCCGCTTTCTGTCTGTTCTGGTTCTGCTCGCGCGCATGTGGGTTGAGTCCTTCCAGATGAAGTTGTACTCCCCTTTGGACGCTAGTTTGTGTTCTTACATCACCCTACTTTACTTTACTCTACTTTACTTCACCGACCACGACGTGCCCATTAGCGGGCCTTGGATAGCATAGCATAGCATAGCGACAATGGGACACACATGGCCATATCAATTCGCTCCACCGCTCTCCTACATTGCCACAATATCCAATGCAACAGCAACTGCGCGCCACTGCACTGGAAAACGCAGATGCTGAGGTGTAGTCCCGCAGGATGCACCACCGTCTCACGCCCCGCCCGCCCATTGGCTAGCCCCGCAAAAAAGGCAGCCCACATCCCCCAGGTGCGCTGTGAGTAGCCCAGCCCAGCCCTATGCATGCACCCACCGTACCTTGCAGTCTCCAGGCCACACTACACAGGGCACGGCTGAGCCATCCACGCGTTTCGTGCAGGCATCTACCATCACAATTGCAATTGCTCCTGCCGAACAAGCGGGATGCGGCAGCCTGAAGGTCGTTCTGACTAGGCAGCTAAAATCGTGGTGGGGTGAGGTGAATTTGGGGTGTTGCTGACGGTGCTGTGGGCGATGTGGACAGAGCACAGTTGCGCGCTGCGGAGTTGGGGTTTGGGCTTGCGTGCTGACGTTGTCTGTGCGGTGGGTGTCGATGCGGCTCGTGTTTGCGCGGTTGCGTACTAGCCCCATTATTAGAATTCCAAGACAGGCCGCTTCGCATCGAGTATGCTGTTGCGTGCGAGGCACGGTGGGGTGCGTGACTCTCACGACAGCAAGACGACCGGACGTAAGCCAATACTCGTGTTGGTGACAAAAAATAGTCACCAGCGCTTCCAACAGTCGGTAATACGGTGACTACGGTACGGCTCGACGGTGTTTTTGGGCGGTCCGTACCGTATAGAAATTTCGCCGTAAAAGCAACCGTCCGTCGTAACTTTTGAGCCGTAATATGGTGATGGAATTGCCTAATTAGGAAGGAGGTGTAGGTTGACCCCATGCTCCTCACTGCCACAAAACAACGCAAGCGCCAAAAACAGAGCTCCCAGCTGGAGGACTATTACGACAGCCTCCTTGAGGACCTGCAGATGGCCGATCACGATGAGCGCCTCTCCCAGTTACTCGATGACCCACACCGTTGGTGGATAGAAATCGGCCAAACAAGGTACCCTACGCTGTACAAGATGGCCATGGATCACCCCTCAGTGCCAGCTACCTCATGTGACTGTGAGAGGTGTTTCTCCTCCGCCAAACATACAGTCACGTGTGATCGCAATTCACTATCGCCGGCTGTAATTGAGGCCTGCCAGCTACAAAAGAACTGGCTGAGGAGAGAGATCGTCCCAAGTTACCTCAGAGAGCTTACTTCGTATATACTGGGCAAGGAGCAGGGACCTAACGATAACAACGACGACGATAGAGCTCCGGAGGACTGCAACCCAGAGGCTCAACTCACTCCTATTTCCTAATTAGGAAATTTTACGCTGTAATTACGCCGTCAGGCTCCAATTTTATCACTACGGTTCAAGTCCCGTACCGTTGCGGTCTCTCCACCGTAGCGTCCGTACCGTAATTACTAGCAACCGTAACGTAGCCGTAACCACCTCTCACGGTCCGTAATACCGACTGCTGGAAGCGCTGATAGTCACGGATGACTCGCAAGTAGCCAGTGTTGACTTTCTGAGTCTCTCCGAACGTCTTCCTTCTCTTCTTTCGAGTATTCGGCCGAAGCTCAGCTTTAGCATTCAATGACGCGGTCTTCCGGGAACTGAAGCGCGGATTATACGCATGGCGTGTGTTCCTCCCTCTTCCGGTCGCATGGCTATGCTACCTCCAAGCTGCCAACAATCTTGTCTCGCAGGCTGGTGCCATGGAACTTCACGGCTTGCCCAACGATATTCTCTATAGCTTCCGACTTCTCATCGAAAGCGGTATCATCCATCTGTTGCGCACCGTTGTGTATCCCTTCCTCGCAAAGCACAAGATCAATCAGGGACGGATCGCCCGGCTTCTTTTGCGGCACATTGGCCATTGCATGGGCTACCATCGTTCAGCGCATCATCTACAATGCTGGGCCTTCATATTTGCACCCCCCTTTTTTTTTGCGACTCTTCCCAAGACGGTACGATCGCGTTATGTTGCAATTTCCGGCCTACTTTCTCTTTCCGTTATCGGAAGCACTCGCTATCGCCGCTGGTGAATATGCTTATACCTAGGCGCCGAAGAGTATGAAGTCTTTGGTCGCGGCACTAAATCTATTCACCGTAGCAGTTGCGTCTGCTCTAGGCATTGCGGTTAGTCGGGCTGCGGTGAGCCCGCATTTGACCGTAAGTACGTACACCCTCACCTTTCCGTCAATATCGCAGCTAACTTGAGTAGTGTACGGATGTCTTGCTGGGTTCTACTTTTTGCCTACGTTATTGATATGGTTGTCTTTTGGGAATTATGGTAGGTTGGAGGATAAGCTCTTCCAATCGCATGCCAAGTACGTGTTTGCCGCAGGATTGAAAGTCCTGAATGTTTGGGAGGCAGATTGATAAAACGAAGCCTTTCCAACCGATTTATGACATCCATTCTGGCTCATTCGATGGGTTTGGAACTGTAGTATTTGCGAAGGTCCGATACAACGCACTGCATATTTGCGAGTACCCGTCCAATGGCGGATGTTTCAACACATTAAGAGATGTGCCGTTGGTTTGAGAACGCTGTCGGAATGAAACTTGCACGACGTACGAATGGAATTGCACAGCTGTAGCGTTGGTAAGGTGAGGGCGATAACGTTGAGATGAAAAGGTACGAAGGGGGCAAAGTTCCCAACCTCACCTTCGTCTCGGATCACCCCGGCCAATCAGACATCCCTTGTCACGTGATATACTAGCGTCCCCACTTGTATCTGTTCCATCAGACGTCTGGGCAGAGTCGCACCCGCACGAGCACTCTTCGTTTGGAGCACTAGCTCACCACGTACGATTGCCTATAGGCGAAGGTTCAAGCCATCTCACATAAGCATGCAAGAAGTTTAGATCCTTCTGCCGTTGAATCGCGCCGCCGAGTCGCACTTCACCTCTGAAACAAGACAGCAATGGAGGCGTTAGCATCCTTCGCGAGGATTCTTTGTGGAACGAGCATATGGGAGCCAATACTCGAGAAAACGAAAGCTCCCATTGGTCGATCAGACGTTGGATAGGTGGGAAGTGGCACAGTAAGCTGGATCCGACGTGCAGTCGATGCTGACCGATCTGAGTACATGTGGAATGATAATTGCTCCGTTAATGTAACTTGGCAATCCAAGCTCCCTCAATTTATATAAACTCGATACTTCAGCACATGCTGCCTTGGGTTATTCACTTTGACACTGTATTTCAGAACTTCGTTACAACAGCGGAACCAACATAATCATCATGACTGGCCCGGAGATACCTATTCCAGCAGAGTTTGCCTCCAAGCTTCAATTCATCCCAGCTAAAGACACACGCACCGATGCCGAAATCATTGCCGCCCTCAACGAACACGTACCAGTCACTTCCGAGAAGAACATCTGGACGTATTGGCATGCAGGTGTCGATGCGATGCCTTCGTGGAACAAACGTACCATATGCGACTGGGTCCGTCTGCACGGCTCGGAGTGGAGCGTTCGCGTCCTCAACACCATCCCAGATCATCCGAACCATGCACTGAACTGGATCGAACCCGATCAGCTCCCGGAGACCTTCGTGAAAGGAACCATGACCGGACCCTACGTAGGACCTCACTCTGCCGACTTTCTTCGTGGTGCTACGATATACAGGTATGGAGGTGCATGGCTGGATGTCAGCTGCATTCTTTTCCGAAGCCTTGACAAGATATGTTGGGATCAGCTTGCGGACGAGAACTCGCCGTTCACAATCAGCGCGGCAACCCAGTTCGACACAATTATGGCCAATGCTTTCGTGGCCGCACGAAAAGGCGATCCTTTCATCAAGGCATGGCACGAGCTCTTCGTGCACCTGTGGAAGGACCAGAATGACTGGACTGGCATCGTCAAATCGCCACTGATCCTGTCTTTCCTACAGAACCTGAATTTTAACCAGTCCGAGGCCGCTGGATTCCACTGGAAATTCAGCGTGGATCCGGTCACCGTTCTGGGTTATATAGGCCAAGTCCTTTCATGGTGCCGCGTGGCCAGCCTCCAAGAACCCAACGGGGGCTTTGATGGCGTGGACTACTACGCGAAGCACGTTCTGTGCTTTGATGCGCTCAATGAGATCTGGGCTGCCGAGAAAACGGTGGGCTTTGACGGCAATGACCTCCACAAGGTGTTCACCACCCGACTCGACGCGGACCCGGAGAGCAAGGAATACAAGAAGGCGTACGAAACAACGTGGAGGCTGTTGACCGAGAGTAGCCTGCAGAAGATTACGCATGGCAAGAATCTTACCACTGATATTCACTGTGGTGTGTTGTTGGACCAGCAAGAGGGCAGTGACTGCGCACCAGGCACGTTTGGGGAGCTGTTGAGGTATGGCAGGGTGCATTTTGAGCAGACTCGCGAGAAGATCGACTATCGGGATGCTCATAGAGTGGAAGGCGATAAGGTACTCCGCAAGGGGCTGCTGGAAGAATGAACAGGCACACGAAGTAGTTAGTATATTGTTCATATCCGGTATATCGACCCTATTTTTGACGACCTTATATCTGCCCCTGATGACAAGCGTCCTTGCTGGTTTGGATGCATAGACCTCCCAGGACATATACCTGCGGCGGCAGTATTGGTAAGGAATTAGCCTGAGCAAAGACACACCGAGCCTTACGTAACTTACGCCGCCCTGGTGGTCCTTCGTGTGACAGCACCCGCACGGCCCGTCGCACGTACGCGAATTTGTATGACCTTGTCCGTATGTCTTATGGCAATGGGAATAGATGGTGTACGTGTCTATCTCCCATGCCCTCAGGTAATTCGGACTGATCGACGTATTACACAGTTGGTGGAACGAAGGCCATTGGATCTCTTTCCGGGTCTGGCCTCTTCATGACCTCTCTTCCTGCGTCCCTTCCGTCACCCGTATTGCTGACCTTGCCCACCTCGACTTTGCTGACCACCGCTTCCGTTGTTGGCTTGCAAGCCACGGGGCCTAGTGGGCGGGGCGCTACCTGAAGACATCGCGTGGTTGAAGTAAGAAATTTTCGACTTTCTGGGTGGTATGAGAACGTGGATAGGTCGCAGGTGCGACTTTATTATAACGAGCGCACGGAGTAAGGTTTTCAGAAAAGGAAGGTGCATATTGATCATTAGCGGTACTCTGTTGCCTAGGTCAAAGTGAACTTCCGGTTCCCACAGTCACTGTGCTTTCGACAACGTTGTATGGGCTCCGAGAAGGTGAATCCATGAAACCTTTTTGAGCGCCCAATCCTCAATTAGCGACACGGCCTGTAAGTAAACGCGAAAATATGGGCTCTGGTACCTCAAAGATGGGCCTGTAGAGCATCGGAACGCACCATTGTAGCATCAGCGGAGATCATCACCAAATCAAACGAGAATGGCTAAGACAGGGTCTCTCGGCGATACTCTAGGTAATCTCGTCATCTCAAGGTTTTAGTAGATGGACTGAAAAAGACGCAATTGGTTACTGCCCAGCGCATTCTCGTCTCTCTCCAAAAACTTCTTCAAATGTATTGCGATTCCAAAGGGTCCACCTCTTAATCAAATTGCCAGTCACCCCGTGTGTTTCTCAATGAAGCAATAGTGCCCTACTATAACACGTAGACACTGGATGCAACGACAATCCTTGTAGTAGGCCTGCACTGGTATATCTGGAATACGACGTTGCTAGGGTAGAGTTTTACGTGCGTATGATAGACAAATTACTGCAGGATCAACTGGAATATAAGATCTATGGATGCGATGAATGCACGCGACAATTTTTAGGTTACATACAAGGATTATCTATATACTCCTTGGCTGGCTGCCGCCAACTCAATTTTCAGCGCCATTAATTTAAAGCGCTCGAAGTGACCCGCGCCGTGCACGTTGGGGGTGCAGAATGTTGAATCCATGCACGAAACTTTTCGGGGAGAGCGAACTGACGCAACTGTCACTTTAAGACTTAAATTTCAGGCAATAAAGGCAAGGGTATCTTTCAGTTCAGAGCATGCTATCATCTCACCATCTTTCCCGCAGATCCCGACTCTGCAAAACTCTCCCAGCAAACAACACTAGTGACCCGACCAACATGGCTGAGCCCTGGGTCATGTCAGAGGGAAACCTGCGAAGAATTGCGATACAGCTTACCGAGAAAGCTATGAGACCACGATAGTCCTCCCTGGTGGTTGGGTCGTTGCCTATGATCGTCGTGCCAATCGGTGCTCCAGTCAACGTCGCAATAGAAATGACACTGTAGAAGGCTCCCATCCTTGCGCCGACTTTGTCGTCTGGGACGATCTGACTGACAACCGATGGGAGCAACGAAAGAACAGCACCCGAGGTGAAACCAAAGAGTGAGGCAAAGAGCGCGAGCACCAGGAACGACGATTCAAGAAGCCAGACAGAGAGACAGAGAGACCCGGAGAAGAAAGTCATGAGGAAGATGATGTTGAGCCGACCAAAACAATCCCCAAGGAGACCTCCACTGATACGGCATCAGTAATGCCCATATGGAAGCAATAAAACTTACACAATCATCCCAGGTATGCTGGAGCCACTCATAAGGGATATCAAGTACTTTCCAATCGACTGTCCTGGGTATATCTTGATAGCATATGAATCTAGCTCAGATTAGCCATGGCTTTATCGAGAAGATGAGGCACCTACTGATGTGGAACCCTGGGACCCAGAGGCCGAAATTGGCAAAACACCCTCCTAGAGCCAATACGGCGTATTTGGCATCGCCGAACCCATCAAAATCCACTAAGGAGCCAAGCCTGATCTTAGCACCGCTTGGTCTATCTTTGGATATCAAGAGGGCAGCTGAATAACAAGCACTGTGCGATCAGATAGAGCCCCTAAGCTTTGGACGATACAACTTACAGAACCTTGATGGCTGCGATGCGCATCGTCCATGGAAATCCGACCAGAGGTTGCAGTTGCGTAAACAAGAGTTGATAGCATACACCGCCCATTGCACCACCCGTGCTGACCAGGCTCATGGCCCTCGCACGTCTCTTTTCAAAATGCTGGACCACGACTGTGCAAGCTGGTTGAATACTGAATCCAGCAGTGACTCCTAATAGGAGCCCTTGCGTTACGAAAACCTGCCATAATCCACCCTGGGGACAGAACGAAAGCGCTAAGAGTGCAATTGATGTACCCAGGCCAGCGGAGAGGTAGAGACCCTAGTCAGATATGAGTGGAAAGCTTCTGGTGTGGGTGTGTCTACGTACCTTGGAACCGTGAGCATCGCATATACCGCCAGCCATCGTTGATAGAACATTCATAAGCGCGAGCTGAAGGGTACCGATGAATGCAACCGTGGAAGGAGATATCGTTCTAAGATGCTCATTCTGGTAGTAATCTTGGAAGAAGCCAAAGCTATTTAAAAGCCCAAAGGATGAATAATAGACAAGGAATGAACCAACAACCGTCAGCCATGCTTGCCTCCCTCCATCTTGGTGCGTCTTCTCGTGTTTGATTATATTGCCGAAGTTGCTCTCGATATCGGCCATACTCGCAGTTTCCACAGAAGAGTTGCTAGTACCCGTCCGTTCCATTTTCTGATCGTTGAGGAATGATCTGTTGTCGCCTGCATCAATACCCATGGAAAATAGGCCTTGATATACATGAATCAGAACGTGCTAGGCCGTTACCAATAAGACAATCCGCGCACTGTATCCTTTACTGGCGTCATATCCCATCAACATTGTTCCGCTGAGCTGTCATCTCCGTCTTGAGCAAACGGAAGCACCAGATTTCCATGACACTTATGGTATGCGGATGAATGGCTGCCTTAGGAAGTTGGCTTCGAAAGGTCGAGCGTTCTGAGAGTATTATACGACAGATGAGTAGCTTTCCATATATCGGTGGCACTCGGGATAGCGGCTGAGGATAGAAGTACCAGGGTGTGTGGATCCATTTGAACTTCGCAGTGCGTGCCGTATGATGGCGGTGGCCACACATACATCATTGAGATACCTTAAGAAGCGAATGCTCTCCCAGTTTACTGTGGGTCTTGTGGTGTCAGCCGAGCGGAAACGACCTGTTCGTACGACTCATGCATACAGTGACAAATCATAGAGCAACACTTTACTACAACGCGCAAGTAATCTTGAGGAGGTCTCGTGGATCACGATCAACGCCTTGCCCCCGATCGGCCATCTCAGGATGCCAATGCATGAGATTAGGGAAATGAAGTCGTAGTACGCATCCTCACCCTGGATATCTAATGTCCAACAAAAAAAAGGAGATCGACCAGGTCTTGCTTCAGATTCCAGAGTTTAGCTTGCGTTGAGATTTACGTGCACGCCTGCTTGAGGTGAGCCACGCTCACGTATCGTGGGACGAAAGGAAAAGGGGAGACCAATGTGCCAGCTGTCAGTCAGGGATGCATGACATTGTGCACATTTCGGACATCGCTCAGGAGCAGGCAGGTATTACCACGGAAGCATGCACGTCGCCGAACGGTGGGAACGTTGAAGTGCCAAGACACGCCGATCGCATGTCGCGAGCCGTGAAAGGACTCTCGCGTGAACGTGAACACCGGTGATACAGTATCGCATGCGGATACTGAACTCGTTTAGTAGCCCGTATCACTCCATGATTAACTGTTAGATAGCTGACTAGCGAGGGCCTCAGCATTCTCATGCAACCTTGGAAGGGACGGCCATGGTAATCGCCAGCCCAACGAAGTGACGCAAATTGAAACCTGCGCGAGCAACGAGAAGTAGTCGAATGTCACGAAAAAGGTCCTTTGTTCAGTGCCAGGAGGATGGACGTCCTGCAGGCGCCCAGGTGGTGTTGCGAACGTACCTCCGCGGATCGGCCTCATATATGACGCAATCCCCGTCACGTGCAGTTTCGACATCCATGGATGAAATCAACATCTGCAAGGCGATGACCACGTTGTTTCCGCATCGTAGCTTCTACCACATCGTTTATTCAGTTGGCATGTTCATCGCTTGGTCTTAATCTTACCGAAGATGAGTTCCACGGAATCACAAGATCGGAATGTGGCTTGGTTCACCGAACGGCCAGACGACTCCCAGTTATCGACCGATGCACGCCATCTGCTTGAGAGATACAGCGGTATTCCAGCTAAAGATGTCGTCGATCATGTCATCAAGATACGCAACGAGGCTTGGAAGATCTTTCCATACCCGTGCATTGGCCAGTTTCGCTTCTTGGATATGTCGATGAAGCACACAAAAGAATACCCGGAGCTCTTGGAGCGCCTCAGCAAAGGTCAACGCTTGTTGGACATGGCTTGTTGTTTTGGGCAAGAAGTCCGCCAGGTAGAGTACCTTTCTAGAGTAGTATCACTAAGTTGATTGAGTTTCTCACATCTTTCAAGCTTGTTGCAGACGGCGCGCCGTCAGAGAATATCTTCGGGTGCGACCTTCGGAAAGAATACGTTGAACTTGGCTACCAGCTGTTCCGTGACCACAACCACCTGCGAAGTCAATTTTTGACTGCCGATATATTCGACGAATCGTCTCCGCTTGTAGAACTGCAAGGCACGTTCGACATTGTTTACGCTGGATCATTCTTTCACCTGTTTGATTATGAAAACCAGATCAAGGTTTCCACAGCGGTTGCGAAGTTACTTCGACCTGAGAAGGGGTCCATGATCCTGGGTCGACAAATAGGCGCAGTGAAAGCTGGAACTCACGATCACAAAACTAACCCAACAGGGAAAATGTATCGACATAACCCTGGAAGCCTCCAGGAAATGTGGAAGAAGATTGGGGACGACCTGGGCATGTCATTCTCTGTGGATGCAAGCCTTCACGTGCTGGCTACAGACCACTTCCGCTTCCATACCGATGATACGAGGCGCATCCATTTTGTCATTCGTCGAGAATAGTAGAATGGAAGGGTCGCATTTGACGCGCATGCATTCTAAGGTTGACTGAATGTGGGGCCCCCAGGTTGCACCTAGTCTAGAGAACTACAACAAGACCCTCGCGAGCCAAGCGCTCCAGCATATATGTAGACGTAAGCCCTATATGTTCGGTATTGACGCACAGACATCCCGTCACCCTATCAAATGTTGCTCTGGTGTCCACCCATACTCCACTAGGGGCATGTTCCCAATCAACAAGACCTTGCACGACTATGAACCTGCAGAAGGCTTCAATGCTCAGAGCAGATCTTGCATCCTAAGATCTTCTTCGCCTGCGTACAATGTTCTGGCCGATGTCCGCGAACGTATTTTTAGAATCTCTGGTTAATATCGTCTGAACACGCGATTTGCCGGGTTCGGGACCGGGGTAACTCCAGCCACCCACCGTGTTCTAGATTGCTTGTACTTTGGATATATTTCGTTTATAATATTCAGCATGTTCTCTTTGGCGGACCTCAAACCGATATTCTAGCTCAGCTGCACGTTACCGCAGCTTCGGAGCGCGCACTGCCTGGTTAGGATGGAGAAGCCCTCGTCTTTAGCGCAGATACAATTGCAGATACGATGCGAACAGGGCCAATTGAATCCGCAAAGGAGACCCAGGCTGTTTAATAGGACTGGGACGTCGGCCTACAACAGGCCTGGCCAGCCACGATGCGACCAAAGTATCGAATGCGCTCGAACGGACACCTCTCATCTATTCACAAATGAAATATGCTACATCACGAGCGATTTGCCCGAGCCGGCCGCTCACTGCTAGGATGTGCCGCTCGCCATACCTACCTATAAAAAGAATAGAATCACCCATCGGATTGTCGCAGCTTGTCAGACACGTACGAGTTTCGAGTTGGGTCCTGGAAGCATCGGGTTCCCACCGCAAAAATGAAGACATCTCTTTTTCTCGGTGCAGCGCTAGCTGCGGGTGTCAACGCACTGGCAATTGAGGCCAGACAACGTCCGCGGCCTACGAGCACGCAAGCTGGTATCCCAGATGGTGAGCGTAACGCCCTGGTTGATGAAGCCCTTCGACTTTGATGACCAAGAATCAAGATTCTGAAGGTCTCGTCGCTAATACATTATAGTCTCGCAGTGCGGGTTGGACTCATTTGTAGGACACACTTCTGAAGCGCTGCTGCTCTGCAGCAGCCTTCTTAAAGGTGGGACTGCAACAGAAACAGCCACTGTTACGGCTGGCACCACCACCACCATCAAGACAACCGTCATTATTACATTGTATCCGCCAACCACTTCGAGCAGCGGACCAGGCAGGGTAAGTTGCCATTCTCGAGAGGGTATCCAGTTTTAACCAATATCAAAGCCTACGACAACCCCAAAACCACCGACGTCTACTCCAAAGCCACCCACATCAACTCCGAAACCACCTACGACGTCCAACAAGCCCACAACGACCGTGCCAACCGCATCCCCAACCCCAACACCGTATGAGATCACCTGGAGAACGTCATCGGAGAATTCTGGCTAACAAAGAGTAGGTCGGCGGGTTGTGGAATAGTTGGATACACCAAGGACACAGCGGCATACTACTTTGACAGCTCCGGGACGAAGAATACCTTCGCCGCTTGTAGCGCCGCCTGCAAGGCTGACTCTCAGTGCAAGAGTTTTGGATATGGAGAGGCCAACTGCATGCTGTTCACCGTTGACGCGTAAGTAGTTAACTGCCTCTATCTCATCGAGCAGCTTCTGACCTTTCCCAGTACTTCCAACACGAACTACAACCCCACGTCCCCGTACACCTTCTACGATGTCAGCTGCCCCTCTGAGTTGCCTGTCAGGAAGCGACAGGTTCAAATCTCGGTTGGTCTTGGTATTTCGTCGCTTTCTTCGGCCTGCTCGTGCCTGATTACCGCGGGTCCGGGTGCTATCACCAAAACAACTTCGGTCACGATAACATCGAAGTTTACGGCGACACAGACTCTGACCAGGACTGTGAGTTTGCTGCCTGGTGATGATGGGCGATTCATCTAAATGAAGACGGGGAGGAGGCAGCGGAACTGTCTATAAGACTCCACAAGCGCTAGCGTACGGTAAAACAGCATGGTGCATTCAATCTCATAAGTTTGATACCGCTCAAAGGATTGTCAAAAAATTGTGACGTGCAAAGCGGTAGCTTGTGTTCCCTCGTGGCAATTGGCTGCGATTGGCTGGCCGCCTATCCGCCCCCCTGCGCACTAATTCCGCCCGGTACATAAAGCCAGACGGACCCCTTCAAGCCCTCCTCTCTATCAATACTCCTGCAAAAGCAAAAAGAATATTTGCTTCCGACACCGGGAATCGAACCCGGGCCACACCGGCACTTTGAAGTGTACTACTCTGTATGAGAGCGGTGTATCCTAGCCACTAGACCATATCGGATTGTTGTAAACTTGATGAAGAGAGCGCTGAAACGTGGATATATATAGCGGGGGTAAACGTACGAAGCAAGAGAACATTATGGCAGCGATGCTCACCGGTGCGCGAGTCCGCTTGGACAACTTTGTGGGACTGTCATAGAATTTTTTTTCGTTAGCGCGGTCGCGTCTCGACGCGTCTCCACCACATCGGCTACCTGCACTGCTAAGATCGCAGAATTGTATATGGGCCTTGGTGAGCACGAGTACTTTGCCTGATCCTCTTGCAAGATCTCCCAAATCAATATGTGCTGTAGTGATGTCGCCGGGCTATTATAACCAGCACGACTCATACTTCTTGCATTGAAAAAGTAAAGGTCATCCAACTCTTCTAGATCTGTACCTATCCGAATGGTTCAATTGGTGGGATTCCCTCAAAGTCTCTTTTTGTGCTCTGTCAGCATCGGAACAGTGCTCAAGCCCTCTAATTCGGGTATTATCACCGTTCTTGTTCAGCTTGCTCTTGTGAACTCTCCAAACCATTGAGAAGCGAATCCGGAAGACCAATCTGCATCAAACAATCAAAAGTGTTCCAACGATCCTACAGCTAAGGTATGTCTGTGAAGGGGGGCTCAAATCTGCTGCAGACTCCAGAACGACGTATTTGAATTCTCAGGCCTACATCGCATTCTACGAAAAGATTTCCCACGAAGAGACCATGAAAGAGATGCTCGATGAAGACTAGGATTCTGCATCATCAAGGGGTGAGGAAGAACTGTTGCCGGACCTTTCTTCAGCGTTCGATTTCGAAGAGTAGAAGGACGTGAACATTGAAAGTATTCTGAGCTTGAATGAAGCGGATCGAGGCACAGAAGGCATGCAATGTATTCATTTCCTTCGTGTTAAGCTATCACATGTATGGAATCCAGTGTGCTACTGTTTACCTTGAACGACGTATCTGTAGGCATTGTTGAACCACATGCCGTTCTCTTCATCAATAAATTCGGGCGTAGGCACCAAGCCTCTCCACTTGTTTTCGCCAACTTCTGTCACAAATCTCGCTCCTAGCTCCTTGAACCGCTTTTGCTCATGCTGGGCTTCTTCGAAATTGTACGTCGTGAAGAGCGCTGGCACCTTTTCATCGATCAAAGCCTTGATGGTCGGTTCCCAGTGTGACTTCGTATCATCCCCATCAATCCACCCACTGTTGAACAGCACGACCAGATCAGGCTTTTCAGATGTGGGTTCCAGAACAAATTCATGGTATACGCCCTTGTATAGCGATATAGAACGCTGTCGGCCATCCACCTTGCAAGGCGGGCAGCAGTCGAGGCTCTGCTTGGCAATAACTGTACCATTGACTGGACCTGGTATGCCAGGACCAATGGCCGTAATGTGTAGACTTTTGACGCTCGGCATCAGATGTAACAGCTCTTCGAAGTTCGCTAAAGCGGTGAGTTCTCGATCCGTAGCGCCCAACATGTGTATAGTGAGATGCGGTCTGTCCCAACTGAGGTCTTCGAGGGCGGATATGATTGTTAGCGGCATGGTGAGGCTGTCGGTGGAGTACAAAAGAAACATGAGCATGCGCTCTGCTTCGTCTTTTTCGTTGTCCGATCCATTTCTGTCAAAGTCTTCCTCGACACTGCTGAAGTCGCGTTTGAATCTCCCTTCTATCTGTTGTTTATCAGAAATTTTCGTGTAGTAATCGAACCATCCGGTAGCATTTGCGAGGGGCTTGTGGGTTTCACGCGGGAACTGGGTGCACGTGATCGGCGTTGCTTTGCCGGTATCTTCGAAGAAATTGATACGGAAGTTTTCAATGCGACGGAAGTTTTGGAATGCTGCACATATCGAGGCTGAATGTTCAGGCGTAGGCGAGCAGTCAGCGCATGAGAATACTAGACGACAGTCTTTGCAACGATTCAGAGTAATTTTGCGGCTTGCGAGTTGTACTGCACTCCGGCGACAAGTAGCACAGTAAGCTTGCGCTCTACTAAAGTCAAAATTGCGCCTGCGTAAACTTGATGGACATTACTGACTGGATAATGTGGCGCAAATCCTCATCTTTGGGTGCTGCATTTCGGATCACGCGAACCATCATCAACTGCGACTGATCAGCTCTCGATATAACGAAATTTACATGTTCCGCCTTCCTTGCAGTCCACTCACTAGAAATTCACGATATTCGTTCCATGTTCTGGATGCCTGGTATTTCTCTTCTTCGACATTATTGATGGTTGTGAAGATCGCGCAATGCTTTTTGTGCATGAGCTTCCAATCAAGCTTCTGGCACTTTGCAGAGCAATAGTATGCCCGCTTGCAACCTGAGCACTTCAAGATGTCGTCAGAAGGGCTGAAGCAGCGAAAGCAAAGGTTGCCTCGAATTGCGCCAACAGGGAGAGCAGGTATGTCCACCACGCCTGAAGATGCTACGCGCTCGCGATCCCTGCACTTGGCTGGCATAGTGGTATAAATAATGTAAGTCCCCGAAGATGTTTATCTTTTGCAATGTGAGCTGTTGGCTCAGTGGAGGGGTTGCAGTGCACAGAAGTTTCACTATGTGTTATGTAATGGCACTAGCCTAGAATGCCTAAGCGCGAACACACGCCCTCATGTATCCTTTCACACTCCATCCACCTCCATGCTGACTTTCCACCTCATCCATCTCAAGGCTCCGCATACGCTTCAAGACAAGCCAGATGCCTTTATGATCCAGTCCGCAGCCTCGTCAGCCACACTCCCGTAGCTGATATGGCTACCTTGTGGGTTGTCTCCAGTGCCACAGATGCTGTCCGCCGTCGCGCAGAACTCCTTTAACTTATCCGTGCTCAAACCGCTGATGCTCTGGGTTTTCAATGGATCACCAAACATCAATGCTCCGGTGACATCCGAAGCGGAGATCCCCTGCTTGAACGCATTGTGGACGACCATTGCACCTTGTGAATACCCGGAGACAAAGATCTTGCTGTCGGGGCACTGCGATATGGCCGCCTTGACGAGTTTCGCCATCTCAGGACCGCCTGAGGCACCCAAGTTTGCATTTCCCTGTTCATATCATTAGTTCCATGCAGCATCATGGCGAATGAGCTTCTCAAACTCACGGCAGCGTCGGCAGGGTAGTCAACACCCTGTATAGTCACTTTACCATCTCCCAATTTCGACCTCAAGCTCTTGAACATTGGCGGACCGCTTACAGATCCGACATTACCCATCTCAGTCGTTCCGCGAGCGAAGATGACGGTTAAACCTGTACAGCAGTTCTTGTCCGTAACACCGTTCTCGGTGCCACCGAAGCCGTTACTGCTGCCCGCTTGGGGGGTGCAATCGCTTCCTACTGTCTCACTTCCACCAGCTGATCCAGTTGAAGTGGGCTGCGTTGCAGCACTGGTCGGGGTCGCAGTGGCCTGTACACTAGAGGCAGCGCCCGTCGCTCCAGGAAGACTGCCAAAAGACGGAAGTGGGAACCCAGCTCCAGAGCCGACACCGCCGGATCCAGTACCCAAGCCGAAGCCTCCAGTCGGCAAGCTCCAGCCTGCGGGTAGAACAAAAGAAGGCAAGTCGAACCCGGGGATGTTGAATTGAGGCCTAGGTCGAGCATCGCTCAGACCCGCAAGAAGAAGCACGGTCACAGGCGTGTATCTCATCTTCAGAAATGTGGTAAAGAGTGTGTGTGGTAACGAATGTAAAGTGCACAGCACAACGAGTGAAATTGGTCAGAAGAGAAGATAGCGAGTGTACAAGCGGGATGCTGCTATGTTGGCGTCGGTACGATCAATAGGCATCCGCGCCATTTGTATATGCCCTACTTTGCTTCCAAGCGTTGCAGCCAAGGAACCAGACCACAGTTGTCCAACGCCACAACCACGGTCGAAACAAACATTAAGTTAACCCAGGAGCATCGTTGTACTCCGTTCGTGTTTGTACGAAACAGGGTTGGCAGATCTAGGTCTCCATGGATATTTTCTAGCGTTGTTACAGGCCTCCTAGGCTTCTGTGCACCCTAACCTACTTTTGAGTGAAATTAAGGCGAGAAGTCTATGCAAACAGATCCCCAGAACAGTAAGAGGAGCGATCTACATAGATTAAAATGCGGGAAATGGGCGTAAATGAGCGCAGGGCTGGCAGCGGGGACAACCTCGGGAAGCGGAAGCTGGCTTGTTTCACCAGGCGTGGTGGCGCAATGTCGAGTGGGATCACACGCTACAACCCTAAAGCAACCAAAAACACCAATGAGGTTACAGAAGCTTAAGAAACATCCGAGGTTGGCCATTTTCCAAGCACTCAAAGCGTCCACGGTGTTGAACGCCACTACACATAGTGGGTAAGTTCTGTGTGCGTGAGGCTTGGAACAACCAAACTTTCATCTCTTAATCACACTTCGTGCTCATGAAAAGATATTACAGTGCATGCGCAGCAAACTCGGACACCATTACTAGGGTCCTTCTCGAAGGCATCCGAGCTCTTGCCCTAGCTGCTGTGTCTCGCGAAATACCACACTCGGTAAGAAAATCGATCAACCTTTTTCAGTGGCGCTACGCCTTCACAATGCCTGTAGCGGTGGCCCACGCCGCTTTCCACGTCCCCTCGTCTAATCTGTCCATCAGCCACGATTCGGCCTTCTCTACAATCAGCTCCCATGTTTCCTCCTCGTCGGCTAGCTTCTCCCTGAGGTACACAACAACAATTGCTGTGCTTAAAGCAGCCTCGGCCAATCCACGATCAAGCGAGTACTCAGATGTTACAAGGTTGTCGACGCCCTTGCTGTAAACCCCAGAGTTGATGCCCATTTTCTTCCGCAATGACATACTGATGGATGCCCAGGAGCCCTCGAAGGATTGCTCAGCAACGATGGTCTCGAGCAAGGTGCCCTTGTCAACAATATCAATTTCGTCCTCATTTCCAAAAGATGAGTCGTTGTCCTTGGTTTTCGAAGATGATACGTTGCCTCCAATGAAACGGTTTGCAGTATGGTTTCCGCTGTCAGAAGATGCAGTACTCTTGAGGAATCGCGCCCCACCACTGCCACCTCCGACTGAGGGGGGCGGGGTACCACCATCGAAAAGATCGAAGCCCATATCTTCATCCTGATCATCCTCTTCCTCTTCCTCCTCCGCCTCAGCCCCCTTATATGATTTGTTGGATCCTGCAGATACGTCAGACTGCTTCGTCATTTCCTTTCCTGCAAAAGACAGCTTGCCTGAGGGTAGCTTGGACTCGACAGCTTCGGGCTGAGTAGTGCTACCGAAAAGGTCTTTAACAACGCGGGCTCTTTGCGACGGAGGCATAGTATGTGCGGCGGAGATGGATGGTGGTTCTCTGAGTCCAATCGGAGCTGACATCGCGGCGGCCATTATGCGCGACCTCTCGGCCTTTCTCGCTCTCCTCTCTGGCGACATGACCCTCTTCGCATCCCCATAGTACGACGACATATCCCTGGTTTTCGATTCCGCGAGACGTAACCCCGGCCTTCCGGCTGAAGCATGTACTATACCGTGTGCTTGTGCTAAGCCAGCTGGGGTAGGGAGAGGGATTCGCATACCTGGCAAAGAATTGAAGTTAGCTGAGTAGACTACTGGAAAGTAGTAAACTGAAGCAGACACACCTTCTTTAGTTGGATACCCGCTTTCCAAGCCATCAGAAGTGTCATCAACAAGATCCCAGTCATCGGCCTCTTTATCAGAACCGCTGCTCATACAGCGATCAATAGCTTGCTGACGCTTCTTCGCGATCTCAGCCTCGTTAGCTTCCACCGCGACAAAAGAGCAATATTTACTGCCGACTTGAAACTCAACACCAAGTCGGACGGCTTCGCGTTGCTGTAGCAGAGCAGTCTTCGCAGGATATCTCTCCCCGATTGGCGTCATCTCGCCAGGCTTCTCTCCCTCTTTGGTAGCCTCGGTGAGCCAGCCTCGGCCTTCTTCAAGCTCCTGAATTGCTTTTCGCGCAGCTAGTTGATGGATCATCTGATCAGGTGCAGTACGAATCTCGACAGGAATTTCCAGTGCAAGAGGTCCTTGCGGCGATGTGCCTTTTAGCACAACACTCTTAGGCGTCGCACCGGCTGCCGAAGGCGAGAGCAGTAAGTAAACGCAGGTCCGATTGAAGGGAAAGAGCGGAGGTATTTCATGTGGTGCTTGCAGAATCTTGGGTCGATCAAGCTTCGGCAGGCCAGCGAAGATGTCTGTAGACTCGTTGGCCTTGGGGTGCTCCTCCACAGCATCGGTGTCATATAGCGAGATCGGCTTCGCAGTCGCTTCGTTGGTTGTTTCATCGTCGAATCGGAGATTGACATGCAGACTATCTGTGACTGAGTCGACACTGTTGTCATCATATTTCAACTCTAAGCGATAGTCCTTGATATGAGGCGTGAGAGCACCCTTGAGCTGCGTTCTTGGTCAGCATGCGCTTCGGCGAGGTTGCCTGGTGCGGAAATGATCGAAGTCTTACCATTCGGACGATCTTGCTATCGAGCTTCTCGTTGTTTCCCACCATCTGTGCAAAACCACGACCAGCTCGAGCGATGCCTTCAATGAGGGCACTAGAAACGCCTCCGCCGATACCAATGGGAAACACACGAGCATTGCCCGACTTGGTTTGCGCGTTGATGTAGCTGAAAATCTGCTGTTGGTACCAGATGTCGCCATCTGTCAGCAGCATGAGTTCGGTTTGCATCTCCGTCAAGCGAGCTTTGAAGCAAGCTTCAACCGCGCGCAAGGTCTCCGTTCCGCCGAAGTCGGCGCTGAATCCGCTGACGTGCCTACTCGTGTGTTAGCGTCTTCTCCCGTCGGCAATCAATGTTATGCCCATACTTAATCGCTTCTGCAAGCGTATCTTGAGTGTACAGCTGACTTGATGGCCAGAGAAATGAGTGGTTGCTGCCAAAGGAGCAGATGTTGAACATGCACCCAACTGGGATGGATTTTAAGAAGACCTTGAGCGCAGATATAACAGTACTGATGTTGCCGCTCATGCTTCCAGAGCGATCGACAATGAAAATGATCTCCGGCTTCTGTGACTTTAAATTGAACTTCGGAACCTGTTGACAGTGTGAGTAGATACCAGCTAATCTACAATCCTAGCAATATAACCTACGAGCGTTGTCATCACTGATCGCTGGTTGGGAAGCGTTGGGTGAGTCTCCAAAATAGCTTGAGGAATGCCGGCATCCTTCGCCACAACCTGGAGCACGAAGTCTTTCTCCAACTGTGCCGTGTTAAGAGCGAGACTGGCTGAAGCTTTCGATAACGACAGAACTTCATCGCTAGTGCTTGTGGACAGTCTGCCCAGGGATACTTCAATCGGATGTGAAGGCGACATAACTTTCTGGATCGGGATACCTTCGGTCATGCAGACGTCAATTTTCAGCGAGATGCCTTCCGCGTCATCTACAGCCGATTGCTCCATAAGTTTCCCAGGATATGAGCCGTACCGGGGGGATATGGACGTGGGTACTGTCAAGCGCACACCGTCTACTTCTGCATCGTGTTTTAGCTCTTGGATGTAGGTGATGGACACCTCGACGCTCGAATTCTTTGATATGTTGCTGACAGAAGTAGTAAAGACATCTGCAGCATCTGGTAGTTGCTCTAGAAGCGCAGCTTTCTCGCCACGCTCTTTCGCCTCTTCGTAAGTCTTTCGCGCCTCGGCTCTCTCTTTCACGAGGCCGTATATTGTGCGATCTCCGACTCTACAAACAAATTCGACCACACTGACGCTGTCGAACAATGGAAATGCGTATCTAAACGTTCAAATCAGTCACAAACCTATCAGGAGACACCCCTCTGTGCCATCGCGCATGGAGAGCACGCAATACGAAAGTGCAATTCCTGTTTACGTACAAACACACTCACCTGATCTCTTCAAGATCATCCTTAGATGCGTTGATGAATTTCTGTTTCAACACGGTCCTGGATACAGTTGAGAGGATGGTTGTATGAGCGTCAAGTCTCACTTGAGGCAAATACTGTCGTTGCCGAACAGCTGGAAGGTAATAATAACAGCCACAGATGTGACGAGACATGGTGGCTGGAAGATGTGCCAGCAATATTCAGCTGGGTGGAGTAATCGGTATGTAATTATGGCGTTGAATGGCTTCAAGCCCAATTCGCAGCAGCACAAAAGGCGGGGATGCGATTACTTATAGTGTGTTGAAGATGGTTGCCTGATTGTGTCGTGTCACGTTCGCCAAGGCAAACTGCGGAACCCAAAGAGGCCAATTGAGACGACTGTGAGTCACAATGCGACATTGCGCGCATGTTTTGATCCTTCTCACTTGGTCACCGGCTATTCCATTTGGTGATCAATCCTAAAACATGGTTGTACATTGCTGCACTACTTTTCTTGGAAAGCCATATTTGGGGAGACTACAATGTCTCAAAACCTTGGAGTCATAGTCTACAAGCCCGTCCCCGTCATATCGAGGGTCATGTTACCACGTAACCTAGACCGTGCTACTGGGGCGCAATAACATGAATTTGAGGCTAATACCATTCCTTAGTATCAATGGAGATTTACTGAGTATCAAAGCGGATAATCGCAATCAATTACATCATACCATCCCTCTACCAACCCAGTCCTTTCACTCATGGTTGAGGAAGTCCCAAACAGCCAATGTATGAGTCTTCACCACTGCCATGAACTCATCGATGGACACCGCTTCGTGACTGCCGCCCATGCCCTTTGGGGAAGGGCCGTAGACGTAGGTTGGGATGCCACGATAACGATAGAACTTGCAATCCGTTCCTCCCAATCCGGCTAACATGACTGGTTTGATGCTCATGACTTCTTCAGCACACTTCGCAATTATTCCTGCGAACGGATGCTCTGTTGTGCAAAAGTTTGCGGGATTGCTAGCTGCTTCCTGCACCTTGTAGGAAGCCTGAGGAAAGTCTTGCAGATATTGATCAATGAGGCCAAGAATCGTAGAAGCCTCCATCCCGATAGGGAGACGGATGTCGGCTTGGAAAACGCACTCTTCGGGAACCGTATTGACCTTAACGCCTCCATGGATGGTTCCCACATTAACAGTAGGCTTCAAAAGTACTCCCGATGCTCCTTCGCCCATTATCTCGTCGGCTATCTCGCGGGCTCGCGAATCAAAATACTTTCGAATCTCTTCTGGAAGTCGAGGTTCGAGATTCTCTAGGTCTAGGAGTTTGTCGATGAGTCTAGAAGCCACAATATTCGCACCGCGGCTAAGGAAAGTATAAGCGCCATTCAAGCCTTGCGCCTCAACCGTAAACGTGATCCGCAACGTGCCCTTTTCGCCAAATCGGATCGATTGAAGGCCACCAGGTTCTCCGTTCAGGACAACGTCGCCAACCCAGCGCGATGGTTTTCCGCAATTCTCCAAGAGATATCGCGTGCCCCATTTCCCTCCTGTCTCTTCATCTGATACTGCCATGAGGCCCACGCTGCCTTTCAGGCTCTCTGTTTTGTTTCGCAGGATTGTGTACGCGATAACAGATGCTGCGATTCCAGCCTTCATGTCGACCGCACCTCGGCCATGGATTATACTTCTATCGTTGTAGCCTGAGTATGGCCCGTTCTTCCACGCGTCTGGTTTCTCTACTGGATACGTGTCGATATGCCCATTCAGTATCACACGCTTGCCGGCGCCTCTCCCGCCGCGGAAGTCGGCAACAACATTCGGCGCATGTGGTAAAGGCGCGACAATCTCAGAATCCGCGCCATGATCTTCTAGATAATCTTGGATTACTCTTGCGGCTTCAGTGGTGTCTCCCGGTGGGTTGGGAGACGCCGCTTGGATCAGCTGCTGAAGGAACGTGATGTAGCTCTCGCGATTCGCATCAAGCTCTGAGATGATCGCTTCACGTACAGACATGTTGAGATGCTGTAAAATTTCGGCTCACACGACTGCGAGAAGCAGGGATATTGTTCCTGCGTGCGTAGGAGGATGGACGATTTTGTTGAGGTTGAGTCACAATCCAACCTCTGTTCTGAATGTGGGGTAATACGCCCAAGCAGCGGTTGGGAAGTATTGACCATGGTGAAACTACTTCTGCAGACTTTATGTGTGATGAAGACGCCCTCAAATGGTTCACTGTCGGGTCGGAGTGATGTTGGGATCGTTGCTGTCCGAGATGAAAGCTCCGAGGTCCGTGCAGACGCTGAGCTAGCCCGTTTCGGAATGTCAAGCTTCTTTGCCATACTCGCTTCTCTCTACACATGCCATCGCCCATGATACATGCGGTGCTCGAGTGCGGAGACCTTGGACGGACCATAGCAGGAGCATATGTCCCAGAGTCACACTCTGAAACAGAACACACAAGCGTCAGCCTTTTTTCCACAGCTTACCAGTCGGTGCATGGCTCAAGAAATTTTTGAGCTGTGTTCGACTAACGGCATGTGCAGTCAACACCATAGTGCTTGGGGTTAGGTAAGCAGCCGTCACAGGTAGTAAAGTCCCCTCTGTGTCCGCAACAACGAAATTACGAAAAGGACCTCAGAACGGACTTTCTTTGGATTCCATGTCATCTGATGTCTGTCGTCCGTAATCATATAAAGTCAAACCTGGGGCCTTTCACGTATTTGGAGATGCCATTGTTGCACCGTCCAGGATCATGCTTGACCAACACGTTTGAGGGTATCCTCCAGTAAATCACCAGTACTGACTCTTACTTCACAACTGACACCTAGTTTTTTCTCGCCTGGGTTCGGAAGGGTTCCGTTCTGGGGCTTTCTTAAGATGCTTCTCTAGAATCCAAGTTTTGCAGAAATGAAATCATGGATATTGGTGGTTACCAACCTAAGGCTTTGCGATGCGGCCCAAGCGTATCCACAGACATAAAGGCTTTACGACGCGAAATTTTGATTCCGGAAAGGCTTTCTGCTACAGGCTCGCTCGGAAAGCCAGGTGCCGCACCACGAGCTTGCATACGGCGCGTTGTTGGGCAGGTTACGAAGTGAAGGTACCGCTTCACCAGGAAAGAGCGACGGGCACCACGGTACGGCTCGATCTACCGGCCCCAATAAACATCACCTGCTGAGTTGAACCATCATCAGCACTCCAACCCTTAACCATGGCGCGTTGCCGCGGGTCCTCTCGAAAAGCGCCTGGCCCGCGATTAGATAAAAGGCGCCTTACCCGATCAATGAATGGTATTGTTAATTCCAACACATTCAATATGGACGACAAAACTCGCAAGAGAAACGAAAGTGACGACGACGAGCACGACAACGCTGTATCCGAACGGTGCCGCCCCGAAAAGATTCGATGCATCACAACTATGCAGACGCCCGATGTATCCCCACGCCAGGATGAAGACCTCGTAAACGCAGGGGGTGGTACGAAAAGCGCGTCTGTCTCTAATAAACTTGGAGTACAGCACGCGGCTGCAGACGACCACAACCTCCATGCAAGGGCACAGGAATCCATAGCGGGCACCGGACCGTCAATCACAAGGTCGAACATTGAGACAGGACGCGACAACATCGAGAACCGGGATTCGAGAGGCGAGCTGTCATGGAGAGAACTTCCCCCAGCTACTTACGAGGCGAACGAATTGTGTCGGACTGAGAAATACAAGAGAGAGAACATGCGATTCGAAAAGGTACACGACGGCGCCCTGGCCCGCAGCTTCGCTGAAGGGAGACCTCTGCTTATGTATTGGGAGGATTCCAAGCTGGTACGTTCGATGAGGAACCGACGCCCCCGAACCGTTTGTGAGACTCCAGAGACAGCTGCGACTCTCAAGAACGCGCGCAACCAGGCGCCATTGGAAGGACAAGGCAGGAAAATATCTCTATCATCAGTGTTCCCCATCAGACCTCCGGCTCCGGAGGATGAGGTTGATTCCTTGAATCTGGATGGAAGTGGACTTTGGCCAATTGGTAAGTTTACCGCTCTTGTACAGCACCGGAACATAAGTCTGAGTATTGTGTGTTATTCCGGGGTAGGCAATGCGTCGGCCGATGGTTCTTCGACTTGTATGCACTTCCTAGCCTTGTGAATATATACCTATTAACATTCGGTTTAGATCTACCCGAACCCCGAATAGGCAGACCTCCCCTTGCTCCTGTCCCCTGGCCGCGCATCACGCTACCCGTGAGGCTGCAGACTGTACGCCGTTCAACATCGCATCCTGCCCAGGGCAGGAGCCCACGAGCCCTCCGTGAGCTCTATCTGTCCCGGTATCATGCCGCATGTCGGATGGAGGAGAAAATGTCTGAGGAAGACATGTCCGTCTTTGTGGGTTTCGACACGGAGCAATGATGACATGGTTCAGTATTTCTATCAGGGTTGTGGCGTTTTGTATACCATAAACCGGGGATTGACTGCGGTCGGCGTGTATAACAACCGGGTTGTAAGTAAATCATCTGTACGATACTTCGGTCCTGTGGATTGGATGCGGTAGACTTTGGGCCGGGGCCATCATGCGAATCCTCTTTCCATTGGTCATCTCATCCACGACATTTCCGGGGAAAGCTTGGATGCTGATCTTAGTGCGCTTGGCAGCGGTGCATCTTATCTGGCTTGGCTCCTTCCCGTTGCAGCACCCTCCGCTTCCTCAGCCTCCCTCCAAGACGATCCGGTTCCAGACAACAGAAGGGCGAAGACAGGCGGTTTTCTAGGCATTGTGTCTACCCGTAAACATTTGACCCTATCGCGTGCCTTCATTACGTGCTGACACCAATCAATGTATGCTGCCCCTCATTTCGACCGCTCTTTCCGAGCGTCCTGCATAGTCAGCGGATTCCAGGCACCAAGTGTATACGGGCCGTATATTGCCGGCCCATCATGGACGATAACGTGATGACAGAGACTTGTGCCAAGGCTTCGCGCAACAAATGAACATACCGCTTCCTCTCAGCGACAAGCATTCACCAAGACCGCCCAGACCTGCAGTCGAACGTTGCAATGTAATCCACGAGGTACAAGACTCCCAGCTACCTGGGTTAGGAAGGTAGGGGGTTCTGTCGATATCTCGGAAGGTCGTGGCTTGCATGGCAACGATGCCGCGGAAGGACGCTGCGAAAAAGATGACCGAGGTAGAGAGTAATATAAATACGGGTGCTGCTTGCAAGACATGACAGAGTCGTCAGACTTCTCTGCAGTTTCTCAACATGAAGTTTGCCACGGTCGCCGCTACAGCATTGCTGCCTCTCGCATATGGCTTCACCAAGGATGACTACGATTCTGGTCGTGTCATGGCTAAAATGATGGAGGCCAAAGAGGTCCGTGTCCTGCTCAAACAAAGCAATAAGATTTTTACTGACCTTTTCCAGTCAGCATGGGCCAAGCACAAGGCTGCCGGTGAATACGACAACAAGAAGTGGAACGGCTTTGACAAGAAGCGTCCCAACAAGGATGTCATCAAGTGCAAGAACGGCAAGGCCGAGGCCGTGAAAGGTGACGCCGACCAAACGTACAAGTGCAAGGACATCGACATGTACGATTTCAAGACGCATGAAGAGCTTGGTAGCGTCGATGGTGAGGGATCGGGATCTTGGGGGTGGACTCACAAAGGTCGCGACTTCATTGCCATCGGACAAACCGACGGCGCGGCTTTCGCTGAAGTCACCAAGCAGGGCAAGCTTGTCTACCTTGGACGCTTGCCCGCCCAAGCAAGCCCCGTCATCTGGCGTGAGATCAAGGTCAGCGGCGACTACCTCGTCGTTGGCTCCGAGGGCGTGAACCACGGGGTGCAGATCTTCGATATGAAGAAGCTGCTCAAGATCGATCCCAAGAAGCCCACGACATTCAACACATCGACTGATCTCACCGGTCTGTTCACCGACTACCTCGAGGTCGGCCGATCTCACAATGTTGTCGTAAACTTTGAGAACGGCAACGCCTTTGCGGTCGGTGCTCAGCCTCGCAACTCAACCTGTGCTTCGGGAATCATCTTCATCGATATGAAGAACCCGGCGAAGCCTACTTCTCCTGGATGTGCCTCTGCTGATGGCTACGTCCACGACGCACAGTGCGTCATCTATCGCGGCCCGCACAAGAAGTACTGGGGCAAGGAAATCTGCTACGGCTACAACGAGGACACGCTCACCATCTACGACGTGACCAACAAAAAGGGTACCAACGCCGGCAAAGTCATCTCTCGCACCCCCTACAAGGGCGCATCCTACACGCACCAGGGCTGGGTGCTTGATCTGAACTGGCAAACCCATCTCATCATGGACGATGAGCTCGACGAGGGCGAAATTGCTCCCGCCCGCACCGATCCCGAATCCCCCGCCATCGACGGCTTCCCCGTAACCTACATCTTCGACATCTCGAACCTCGAGAAGCCCGTCAACACGGGCTACTACAAGTCTTCCGTGCGCTCCGTCGACCACAACCAGTTTGTCTACGACGGCCTCGCATACCAGTCCAACTACCAAGCCGGCCTGCGCGTTCTTGACGTCTCCGGTATCCCGCGCGACCCCACTGGCGGAAACGTCAAGGAAATTGCCTACTTCGATGTGTACCCCGGTGACGATGATCTGCCCGGCGGTGGCCAGGCGATCTGGGATTTCGGCACCTGGAGCCACTACACCTTCCCGAGTGGGTGGATTGTGGTCAACACCATTGACAGGGGTGCATTTGTGGTGAAGCTGAGCAAGTTCAAGGGGCGGGGGCATGGCAAGAGGTGGGTGAAGCCTAGGACCATCAGGTAGATGGCCCACCCTTTTGTAGTATCGAGAGGTAGTTAGACTTAATTTTAAATGAGTTAAGATTATGATACGTCTCTGTTTGTTGTGCACTTGGCGTTGTGAGGTATCTTGACGAGCGTGATGAATGAAACGTATTGTTAGTGTCATTTGCACGTCTGTGGGCAGCAATGCCATAGACAACAACGACTTCCAGATTTGATGAAGCTGGCTAGTGAGTCGTGGTACTCCTGATGAAAGCGGGGTGCACTGGCAAAGGTTGATCGCACAGAGACATTGGAGATCTTGGTTGGTTTCATGGACAGAGCGGCGGAGAACCGTTGAGGTGTCGTGAATTAATGCTATAAAGTATCATGCTCTGGTACTGGGAGAGACGTCTGAATACAGTGTGTTACCCCAGAGTTGGCAATATGTATGCACGACATAGTCGTATATGGTATTTCGAATCTCGACAGGAAACGGAGTAGCGGCGACTTTTGGTCCTTAGCTGCTCTACTAATGTCGCGTGTTAGTCGCTCCTACCTTTACACGATCAGTACAGTTACTTAATTCGGAATAGTGCGTTCATCCTCCTTTCGCGTAGCAAGGCCGTGGGTTGTGAGCGACAGATCTTCCGGCTTAGCCATCGTGGGTGGAGGTTGATGGGTGACCCAAAGTGAGATCGTGGAACAGCGATGAGCGTTTAAATAATGTTTGTGGAGCCTCGTGTACATGCGCGGATCCTTGTCTCTTTCCACAGTTTGAGGCAGGTGCGCTGCCACATTGACAATGGAGGAAGCGGTAACCTCAACTCCAGGTGAAAGCAGTTACCTGAATCTGCCCTTGACCAGACTTAGCGCTAGCCACAGAACGAAAGCTAAAAAAGAAGAGAGGTATTGCTCATAATTGATACTCTTTATAATGATTGTATTCCAGCGATTCTGCATGATTACCAAAGCAATAGTGTGTTATTGGATGTCCCATTACGCTGTGTTACCCTAAGAGAAACGCTTTTGTTTTCATAAAACCCCTGGCACCTTCGTTACAAACCCAACCCTCTTTCCTCCCTAAAATCTTCCCTTTCAGTCCTTCTCCGGTCCTTGGCCTTACCTATACAACTTTTAATCTTACGAGCAACTTCTCTTGTGCTATCCCGACTTGCAGTTGAGTGCATCCGCGGAGAGTCGGACCGCATCCGTTAGGATCAATGCTTTGCGTGGGAGCAGTGATGCCGGTAGGGTTCTGACTCTGGCGGAAGTTGTTGCTGAATCTCGTGCTTCCAGAGGACCGTCCCATCAGACTCCCGTTCGTTGGCTCACGACACTCCCGCCGCATAAAGACTAGCCAGGAACAGCTTCCTTAGCATCGAACACGAAAACTCTACCACGTTTGGACGTATTTCGTACTCACTCGTGCGGCCCGTACGATCCAGCGCGCAGCTGCTCCGTGAACTTGAGCCACGTGGGACTGAATAATGGCGACAGCCAAAGGTCTTGGGCTAGCAATGCTCGTCGTGAATCAACACAGTGTACCAAGAGAGTGTTTTCCAGGCATGATAGATATATCCTGACAATTCACACGAGATTAAAGTCCGTTACTCAAGCATTCCACTGGCCCATTCTCTCGTGGCCAGGTTTCTGCTCAATCAACTCAACATCGTCGCCGCTCGAATACCCGTATGGCAGGTTATAAATTGAAGTCACGACCGTCTTTTCGATACCGCCAGCAGTCGGTGATCCCATATCATTTCGCGAGTCGCGCTCGCTCGCCGTCGTACTTGGTAGTCTTGCGATACTTTTGTTTCCTGTGATGCGAGACCTGCTGACATTCATGGTCTTGTTGGTACCGGATTTGGTGAAAGAGGTCAACTTGACGCCGAGCACGTCGCGGAAGAAGTACAAGATCGGGCCAGCCAGGGAGGGCATGCAAGCGCAAATGACACCTACATCGCCCTCGAGCCCGCTCCACAGCGATATCGCGTTGTAGTGGTACGTGGCGTTCTGGACCTTGCCGATGTTGGCCAAGGTGGAGAGGCGCACCATACTGCAGGCCGTGACGAAGAGGCCAACGAGGAACGTCAGTATGAAACCGATCTTGCGCTGCGTGCTCCGGACTTGGAGCTTCATCAGCTTAGGAACCGGAAGGAAGAAGACAACGAGGTCGAACACAATGTTCATCGCACTGTTCATGTAGACGGCGAATTGTTGGTTGACGCATCGTCCTTCCGTTTCCCCAGACCATTGGTTCCAGAAGTAGTTGATGGGACGGCACTGGAAGGCGAAGTAGATTATGAAGCCGAAGCCGTATATGATTAGGCCTACGATGACACCGGTGCTGACATGTTGGAAGCGTTTGGACACTTCTTTCGGGAAGATGCGGAGGTAGAGGAGGACGATGGAGATCTTGGTGAGGACGACGACGCACTGGTAGATGTACTGTTCGATGTAGAAATACTGTCGTCGATACTTAGCCATGGAACCTGATGATTGTGTCTCCATATGCGTAGAACTTACTTTCAACATCGCCGTTATGTTGTCAAAAGGCACGGCCCAGATGTCTTGGCCCATTCCTTTGTACGTCACTGGACAAAACAGTCAGCATGTTCACCATGATATTGGAAACCGAGAGACCGACTGAGCTGTGCGATGATCGTGGAAGGAATTAGTAGGATATAGGCCACTAAAATGGTCCAATCATCCCAACCAAGACCAGTGGCCTGGATCCGCCACCGTGCCAGAAAGCGGGCCACAATGCAGACTGCCCCAAGGATTAGAAGTGCATGGCCAATTCGCCGTGTCAAGGGCCCTTCATTCCGTACTGGCGCTTGACAAGCCTTCTTCTGCCATGTCTGTGACGCTGTGTAGGTGTCAGCCGATATCTATCGCGCATCTGTGAGTGACTTGCCCAGGGCGTTTTTGATTGTGCAATTGGCGAGGATGCATGTCTCGCTACTGGTGATATATGTCTGGTCGGTACAGAGGCAAGCGAAATCGGTAGAATCGCACGATGAAGCAGGGAGTAGTGTTGCTATGCACGTAGTCTTGTCGCGACGTTAGCTTTGTGTACCACAGATGCGGTTCTGCAATGGCATACAGCACATTTGGGGAGTTGCGCAAGCTCTGCAAATAGCTCAGTCACATTTGCTAATGTTGATCGAGCCGAAACGAATACCACACTCGATAGGAAGGCCGCGATGTGTGTAAGGCGCATTTTGGCGTAGTGTAGCAGTGGTTGACTACCCCACGCTCAACACGAAGTGTTCCATAAGGCATTCGGGAAGATGGCATGGCGGTATATAGAAGGGCCTTTGTGGATTGGGCTGGAATCTCTGTTGACGATCCACAAATGACAGGGTTGGGCATTACTGCAGAGTACCGGCGAACCTGATCGACATCGCATATTCCGCGCGTTGGCGATCTGGTGCGACGACATCTCGGAGTACAAGGGTGACGCTCTTGGCTCGATCAAATGATGTGCCTTGCAGGGCGCGAACTAAACCTTAGTTCAGGTACAGCAGATTCATCATCTACGAAGTAGTTGTCAAAAAAAGATAACGTGGTCATGAGTGGGGTTGACAGAGTACGGGGAGGTGAGCCGAAGCCATGAGCGCCTTCTCCTAATCACAATTTGGTTCCTTTTCGTGTCGTTGGAGTACCCGCTGCGGTCCATGGTACTGAATCGCGGAATAGACTAAAAGCTTACTAGATCCGTGGCGAAGCCAGATCTTAGTGAGTCGCTAAGACATCTCTAGTAGATTGCAAGACCAGTCTAATACTTCAAATTGTCAGGACTGGACCTGCCAAACCCATGAAACAAGTGCGAAAAAGGGTAAAAAAGTCACAATATTATTTGCTGGTCTTCTGTCCCGGACCCTGGTGGCTTCACTAAGCGATATACGTGATATAGCGTTCGCAAGGCAGAGCCCGGCGCCATGCCGCGCGTCGAAAACAGTCAGGGGCACTGGGCGTTTGCTGTGAACCCCATCATGCTGGGATCGATGTTGTCAAGATCTGATCATCGTCTTCCAAGTTCCAACCTCACGTTCTCCCACCAGTTTTGTATACTGCAGTCCATGCGCTCAAACACTGCTTCTATTCTCTTTTGGAATTTTGAGACTTATGGTAGACAGGCAGGAGCTAGTGGGAATATTGAAGCGACCTGCCTCGATTTTGCTGCCCTTGTGTACTTTCATGTAAGTACTTCGTGTTTTCTGAAGAGGGCGCACTAATCTCCAAAATGGGCCGGCTTGATAAACAGGCAGCGAAATCGGAAGGACCCCTGGGAGCCCATTGAGGTCACTTCGCGAAACCCAACATCTCCTTGTCAAATCACCCATCGTCTGTGAGAGCTGCCCAGCATGTGCAAAAGAGGCATGGAGAATCGTGGGGTGGCGAATCGGATTGGAGGATCGTCGGGGCATCTGAACCTTGACTCGCATCAGCGGCCCCGTCCCTTCTAGCGCGCCCGCGGATGCGCATACGAACTAAGCCGGCGAGGTGGGGTCTGGGATGAACGTCGGGCACATGTGTCCGTATGTAAATCACGCTGCCACAAACCACGAAGTACTGTGAAGTTTTACGTTTTTGAGGAAATACTGCATGAAATTTCAAAGGTAGACGATGATACTGATAGCGACTGAATCATCAGTAGAAGTCTGCTTCTTGCTAGTACGCCTAAGAGATAAAATCCAAAGTAGACAGTGAATTAGCTCGCGTCTGTGTACGTCACAGGTGAGCAAAGCCTTCTCTGGATCCAATAACGACGATTATACATCGCTGTGCCAGATTGTTCTGATTAGCTGGTCCACACGTTTTACTTCCATTGCCACAATGGTGCCCATCAAACTGGGTCGACAAGAAGCGACTCCATGCCTCACGAGATCCTGGTCACCGGGAGCTTTGAGAGAGCCCGCCGGCTGGTTTCTTCGGCTTGCATTTTGGCCAGGACCGCCGCTGGCATTCGAGACGAAATTGAAGGCGGTTAATGACAAGGGCGACCAAAATGACCGTTCTCGTACATGGATGGATTGAGGACAATCGTGCGCACGTTAGAGGGACATCTGGTGGATGACGCGGCCGGCCTCTCGCGAAGTCGTCGCAAGTTGATCGCCAGAATTACTGAGATCAAGGGAGCGCTCAAGTACAAAACGGGGGCCGCATAGAGTAGCCAGTGGCTGTGAAGAACTCGAATTAAGATTTTGTTCAGAATAATGTATTGATTCGCATGAGTAGTGAGTCGTCTGATACAAGAGAAAATTTGACCGCGCTACCTTTAGGCACCTTCACTTTGTAAGAGGGTGTATACTAAGGAAATTCGAACTATCGAGCATTGGGCATCCGCTCGGACCTCCCACGGTGTCCTTCTCCATTCGACGTGCATCGTGCCTTCCCGGAGCCACATGGCACCGTACTGAACTCGATGTCAAGAGCTCAGCTCGACCCTCGACGTTTAAGGAGAGAGCGGTAGACCATTTCGAAAAGCGCTTCCTTCCACCGTGGATGATACTTCCAATCCGATTTCGTCCGCGCATACGCCTCCACTACCTGATGACCTATTGCGGTCACACCCTCACCATGTGGCAACACCAAACTGAATATAGCATCAACCCACAGCTTCATCCGCGCATCGTGCACTGAGCCCGGCCAGGTTCCATTTCGGCCTCAGCATCTTCGGTTTCCTTATCCAAGCACATCCTGTCAACCATTTTGAGCTGCAGCCGCACCCGTGCATTGCAATCACTGTCCCACATGCACATCTACACCCCTGAAAACTTTTCACATGCTGAGTCTTAGAATATCTTTGTTCTTCGCTTAGTATGTGCAGTCCGCATTACTCCAGTCCCGTACTCATTATACACATTGTCCGCCCAATCCTATACACACCTTTCTTGCTGAAACAAAGTCGTGAACGTTTAGATGCCATACCATGCCATGCCGTAATCCGTGATCCGTAACCGGTGTCCTATATGCTCATGTCTTACGCCAAAATCCAAAAACGCTCCACTCAAAACATTTTAATCGGCTCCCTTTCGGATCTATGCCGTAGAAACCCAACTCTTCCTCTGCTGCTCCTCCCAGATAACCATCTCGCGGCCAGACCTCTCGCCTCCGCGCCTTACGCGGTCAATACCCAAGTGCTCCAGGCCATCCCGGCCAATGTGGATGCCGAAGCCGTACCGCGTCTTTCCCGGGTGCGTGTCACCCGCTTTCTCGCCCTGCTTCTTTCCCCGCCGAGCACTCTGTTCCCTCAAATTATCCCGGCTGGGACGGATCAGAGAAGTTACAGACTGCGCCCACGAGCGTTCCGCATACGCGCTCCCCATCAGCCTTGCCACAAGCTCCGGCTTGGTTTGCGGGCGGTTGAATGCGCGATCCGCCAGTAGCGGCGACTGGTACACCCAGCTAATAATCTCCGCGAGTGCGGTGCTGCGGTGTGGGAGGGCGGCCAGGCGGCGGCTCGGCCAGAGCGCCAACAGTGTGATGCCGTACAGCGCAAGAAAAAAGCACAGCGCGTAGAAGCCCGGCAGCTCGGCGGCGACGCGGACGACGTCCGAGTTGGGGTAGTACTGTGTCCAGAAGCAGCCACCTGCGAGGACGGGGATGGCGAGGGAGAAGAGGGAGACGAGGGATAGGATGGCGGTTTGGTAGTGCTGGTTTTCGAGGGCAGCGAAGGTGGCGGAGAGGGGGAGGCGGGCGGCGTAGTCGACAAGGAGGGACGTCTCGGCTGTGGCGCCGCCTTTGGAGGCGAGCGAGATGTAGGGGCGGAGGACGCGGAGGGTGTAGTCGAAGGTGAGGAGGATGAGAAAAAGGATGTGGCCGATGAGGGCGGGGACGAAGGAATAGAGGAAGTTGGAGGCGGAGAAGCCGGCGGCGTTGGTGCGGGCGAAGACCTGCGGCAGGAAGCCGAGGCGGACGGCGCTGTTGACGAAACTGATAACGAGGAAGGCAACTAGGAGCACCATCGCGGTGACGATCCAGAGGAGCACGGCTGAGGTGCGTAGCCACCAGGGGAGGTATCGCAGACGGACGCTGGGGCTGCGGATGTCCATGCGGATGGAGAAGTCGCTTGGGCGGTGGCTTTGTCGTTCATCAGCTGGGTCCGGATATGTGCGCTCCCCGCCTTTCTCGCGGATGCGTCCATCCTCGATAGAGTATCTTCGCGTTGGGACGCCTTCTTCTCCGATGCCGTGGAAGATGTCATTTGGGCGTCTTGTCGTACTCCAGTATCCCAAGCGGTCTGACCGCCCTCTCAGATTGTCGAAGTCCCGTTTCTCAAAGGTCTCGGCCCCGCTGTAGTCGCTTGTGATATTTGATCGCTCTAGCAGTGCGACAATATCGGCCAAAGAGCGGGGATCCCACTTCAAGCCAGTGGGCTTGCGAAGGACCACCAGCAGCACCAGTAGTGCCAACACCAGTAGTATGTAAAGGACGACGACCGTCCAAATAACGCCCTGCACAGCGACCCACCGCCAGACTGCTCTGCTAAGGTCATATCGTACGTTGAAAGAAGATGCAAGAAGGGGTATCGTCCATTGGAAAAGCCAGAAGATAAGAAAGCAAACGCCGACTACTGGCTGTCCGGCGCGGAAGTACTCCATGCGAGGAAGTAGGAACTGCGTGGGGTAAAGCTGCAGAAATATGGCCTCGGATCGTGGGTGGTACTGGTCGGAGGCCATGGCGGTGAAGGGCACCACTCGCTGTAATGCCACTTGCACCTGGATGAGCCATAGAAGAATGAGCGCACCAAGCAGGGTGGGTAGATATTCGAAGACAAAGTATCGATTGTCGCCGAACACACGGTAATCCCATAGTCCAGCGCCGTTCTGTCGGTTCGAGTAGATGGCGCAGAATATGAGGGCTGCAAGCATGAGCAAGCAGACGAAGGCGAACAAAATCAGCCAGAGAGGGCGCAGGATCCCAGGTACAAAGTTCAGCGGTGCATGTGGAACGTCGTGTGCGATGAAGACGTCCTTCTGCGCCTGCTCTGGCGCCCTTTCCCGGTATGGCTGTTTCTCTTGTGTCGCACCTGCCTGTGCGTGCGGCACCTGCCGTGACTGCCTCTGGGGCATGTAGCGCGATAGTCTTTCCTGCGTCCGAGCATCCTGGTTCATGTAGCCCAAACTCTCGTCGGACACTATCCGCTCGACTGGGTAATCGGTCTCCTCGGGCTCTCCGTCGGACACTACTGTTGCATCCTCATGACCCTGCGGGTACATGCGACTGCCTCGCACTTCCTCATCGCGCGTGAGCTGATCGATGGCAAAGCGAATGTAGGGTGTCGTGTCCAAGCCGGGAGTGGTGGCCATTGACTCCGAGTCCATTGGACGCTGCCTGCTTGCCTGCGTGTCTGGTCGCTCCTCGGCGATGGTGGAGACGGGCCGGTCGGTGGTGGGTGGTGGGTGGCGCTGGACGCCGACTCCTCGTAACGATGCTATCGGTGCGTCGTCGTGGTTCTGCAGATGCTCATGGCTCTCTGCTGGCGTGCGGTACTGAGAAGGCGGTGTCGCGTGGCGAAGCCGGCGAGCGTCACTCTCGCTCGACGAATTCTCAGAGAGGCTGTAGTAGCCCTCTGAAGCGGCCTGGGACTCAGCAATGCTCTGCTGCGATTCTGAGTGCGAAAGACGTGGACGACTGACTGTGCCACATGGTCAGTGGACGCTGCATCGTCGGTCGCACTGGACTCACCGTTAGTTTGCTTGAGCTGGAATGGAGACTCCAGGCTCATGTCGCTGGCAGAAGCACTAGCAGTATGTGGGTATGCGGAAAGGCTGCATCCTTAGTGTACCACGGGATGCGCAGTCGATTTTGTACAGCCATGCCCTGGTGGGCGAGCTGCTGCAGGTGGCTGGCAGAGGAGGCTGGGAGGCCAACCTCAGGATATTACATGTCACAGCGAAGGCATTGGTGCGACAGGCCTGGGGAAGCGGCATCTACTGGGACTACGAAACGAACCAACCGCTGCCTTGTTTTCTATGAAGCTAATCCAGGCGTCAAGCAGGTACGTGATGGTGTTGAGCTCTTGATGATGATGATGCGCGAGATGCTCGCTTAGCGGCGGACTAGCAGTCTGCCAGTTGGCATGCCAGATGATCGCCTTCGCTGTCTGGGTGTGCCTAGATAAATGGTGGTATCAAAAGTGCCATATCGTGCCTCGATCTAGATTCTGTACAAGTGCTTGTTCCGCGATAATGTGCGAAGAACTGTGGTGAATGGGCCGTGGCGCGTTCCCGCATCGCCGGACCGCGGGGTCGCGACGCCTGGTCACGTGCCCGCATTAGCGTCCTGCATCTGTTGATGTGGTAAACAGAGCGCCAGCATGCGCCGGAGCAGCGTCTCCGCCGGCGCCAGCATCAGTACCGTCATTCCTTCGCACAGCTTGTCGCGCGCTATCTATTGATCCTCCGCCACCATGCCGGGCGCGACACAGCCAGAGTCGCGTTCTCCCTCTCCCGTGCCGCCCCCGCCGATTGCAGACACCCCAGGCCCGCGCGCTCAAGGTCTCATAAACATCTACAACCAGGCCGTCGACGCGACACTCAAGAAGTGCTCCACCAGCAACTTCGCGTCATGTTTCCCCACGGTCCCAGCCGAGACGCTGGAGCATCTACGCACTCAGGTCCTCAACCAGCTTCAGCGCACGTGGAAGCTGAACTTCGATGAGATAATGGCAAAGCGCAATGTTGTCCAGCTGCTCAACTCTTTGGACCAGTGCATTGAGGATGCAAGGCTGCGAAAGAAGCGCGCCGAGGCCAATGGGGGGCCTGTGGAAACACCTGTGCCGTAAGTCTTCTCTACCGGTCATGCCAACATCTGTTCCCGCGCAGCGACTGACCACAACCGAGCAGACCTCACACGCTCCCACCCACCGAAATCCACTTGGCGCATCTCATGCCGTTCCTCGAAGCGCAGGCTGCTGAGATGAGCACGCGACTCGCCGATACCCAGCAAGCCAACACGCAATTGCTCTCCGCCGTTACTGCTCAGCGTGCCGAGATAGAAGCTTTGGTTCACGGCCTTGAGGACGTCATACAAGATCTGGAGACCAGTGCGCAAATGATGGGCCAGGAAGAGGTCCAAGGCCTGAGCAAGGAGATGCGAGAGCTGGAGAAGGAGATGATGAAGTGAGAAGCCCACAAGTTCAGCATGCGAAAGCAACCGCTCGCACCAGACCACCATCACGCGCTCTCGCTACGTGACTTGAGTCTTGAGACGTAGAACCATGCGACGCTTGCGCAGTTGAACTGCAATGGACAAGTCAGTGGGATTCGCTACCCCCTACCGGCGGCGGACCAATGAGTACGCGCGTCGCGGGAGGATTGCATTCGGTACTGCGGGAAACAAGCCGGCTACCAGCAGACCAAAGGCATGCGCCTGAGGCAATGTGTAATGCACGGCCACCGATGTGACCATGAGGCACTCCTCGATAGGATGACCTACAACCTGGTCGCGGCACTAGAAGCACGGCAATACGGCTTCGAGATAGAGCAAGTCTGACAGATGACGTGGGCTTGGGGTGAGCGGGATGTTGTGATGGCGGTGGCAGTCTACAGAACAGTATATGAGTGCATTCGGTCGGCGTTACAATCTGGACGCATCATCTCGATTACCAATACAACACTGTCGTCGCTCGCAAGACTCCGACCACACTTCATTCCCTTTATCCCTCCTCTTCTCGCGTGCCCCGATCGATTCGCGACGGGAATCTCACCAATTCCGCCAATCGAGCTATACACTTCCATTATTAGACGCCAATGCAACTCTAACTTCAAAGCCGAGACTCCAAGAGCCGAAGCGTAAGGCTCCGCGTGCCCAGTTCCCCAGATCGGTACCAAGATCGCAATCTACCGTTAATCTACACAACCCCGTTTCGGCCCTCCCACCGGCTCATTCAATCTAACATCGTCGCGGCAATAACGAAACAGCACGACACCGACCACACGACATGGCGCGAGAATATGCTAGTGTATGGAGATCGTATATGATGGCTCTGGCAACGATCTACTTCTACTGCGCGCGATAATCCTCAGACGCTACCAAAACCGCCCACCATGAAGCTCACTACCGCCCTCAGTGTCGCCGCCGCCGCGAGCACCGTCAATGGCGCCGCGTTGCAGCCCAGACACTGTGCGTCCCCCCTCCATCCATCGCTGAGCCCTTCTGATCGCGAAACACAGACACCTTTCCTTCCATCGGCAGCTCCTCCGCCTGGCAGTACGTCCGGCAGACAGACAACTACCAGTCCAACGGCCCCGTCACAGACGTCTCCTCCAACCTCGTGCGCTGCTACACGTCTTCGAACCGCGGCGCGTCGGCGACGCAGAGCGTGGCCGCGGGCAGCAGCGTTACGTTCAAGGCGAACCAGGCGGTGTTCCACCAGGGCCCCATTCAGTTTTACATGGCAAAGTATGTCCTCCCTCCCCCTTCCTTCACCCTTCCGTCGACTACACAGAGGAGGAAACGAAATAGAGCAGGGCTGACACAGTCCTAGGGTTCCCTCGGGCAAAACCGCATCCACTTGGGACGGCTCCGGCGACGTCTGGTTCAAGATCTACACCGAGAAGCCCTCGAGCTCGTCCAACGGGCTGTCCTGGGCCTCCCTCAACCAGGCCAGCTTCGCCGTCACCATCCCCAAGAACGTGCCCAGCGGAGAGTACCTCCTGCGCATCGAGCATATCGCGCTCCACGGTGCCAGTGCGGTGAATGGCGCGCAGTTGTATATCAGCTGTGCGCAGTTGGCGGTTACTGGGGGTGGGAGTGGGAGCCCGGGACCGCTGGTTGCGTTTCCAGGTGCTTATAAGAATACGGATCCCGGGCTCATGGTTAATATCTATAGTGCGAGGAGTTACACGGCGCCGGGGCCGGCGGTGTGGACCGGGTAGGCTGCTTATATATCGATCGGGAGAACAAGCCATGAGCATGGACTTGAGACAGGGCCCGAATCAAATAAAATCGCACGGGATGGGCACTTGTTGTGGTGATGGAAACCACAGCGTCATATGTACAGACACCGTCCTCTTCCTTACATCACACCTCCGGCCTCTTAGCCGTCAATGAATACCCGCTTTTCTCCACCGCCCGCTTGTAGCTATCCGTCTCCTTGCACGCCTTCAACCACCTCATTATGTTCGGCCACTCCCTCCCTCCAACTCCTAGCTCTGTCGCAAAAATAAAATCGATGCTAAACACCATCATCGTATCCGCCGCCGTGACGCGCTCCCCGCACAAATACTTACCTCCTTCTCCTGAACTCGAAACGACAGCTCCGTCTCCAGCCAATCGAGGTCCTTCTGCACGTTGACCGCTAGCCCGGCCTCCATTTGCTCGAGGACGCCCTGCTCGGCTGCGGAGCTGGGGATGTTCCACCGCACATAGGTGATGGCGAGGGCGTGCAGCAGAAAGGTGGCTTCGGCGGCGTGGAGCCATTGGAGGACTTTTATTCTTTCGGTGGTGGAAGAGGGTATGAATTTGTGCTGCGCGTCGTAGGTGGAGCAGAGGTACCTGTGGGAGCGATGGGTGAGCGCAGGGTGGACATATTGCGGGACCAAGATTTGGATGGAGATTGGATAAGGGGACGCGGCGGAGGGAATGTAGGGGTGGAAAAGGAAAAAAAGGAAGAGAAGTACTCTGTTATTGCGCCGCTCTCGTACACGGTGATGTCGCCGTCTTTGAGCGAGGGGAATTTGCCGAGGGGGTTGCCGCTGCTGGCTTTGAAGTCGTTGGGGGCTTTCATGTTGGCTGTGTCATCCATGTCAGCTCCATCCGGTATCGTGGGTCTGGGTACGGGAAGAGTAATGAAGCACGTACGCATGCGGTCTGCGAAGCGGATTTCGTAGTCGAGGCCGAGCTCTTCGAGGAGCCAGGCGATGCGGATAGAGCGCGAGGCTTGGAGGAACCAGAGGGTTATGGGTGGCATTGTGATTCACTGCGCAACGATGTTTGAGCGTGTGGTTTGTTCAAACAGATTAGTCTTGGAGCGCAGATAAGCGCAGATGAAAGTAGCGGAGGATGTTCCCCGAGTGAAGGGTCTGGAGCATGTACCAAGTGTTCGAGCGGGAATCCTGCATAGACATCGTTTTTTATGGCGCATGTTGACGGCTTTCGTCATCGAGTACACAGCGTCCTCGTGCGGGGATTCAGGGTCTACCATCCGATCGTAGCGCGAACCATGCATATGGCCGCGGTGGAACGGACCGCTCGGAGAGAAGTGTTGCAAATCAGGGCATTTGGTGACGATTCTTACGGTAGATGCTCCGCCAAGGTGTCATTGGTCGGTAGATATATACTAGAGGTAGATAATTCTGTCCAGTGGACATCGGGATACCTCCCCTTCACCTTTGCATAGCACAATCAGCGGTTTCAGCTTTACTTGTGCACACTTGTGTGGGCTGAGAAAACGCTTGCGTGTTCTCTCGCCTTTGGAGGCTAGCACACAACCAATATCGTCACGTCAATATCATTCCAGCGTGCCTAGTGTGAGGAACAGAACACATATCCTTCAGCGTTCTTTTGCCGAGTATATCGAGCAAGGAATGGCCAAACATCACATATATGACGTACGTGAAGTAGTAGTAGAGACTTGGTGGGAAGCTTTAAAAGCCTAGGTCTGCGGTAGTGAGACTTTCTGAAATGATCAAAATCAATCAAGTATTGATAAGAGTCAATGTGGGCGGTCACATTTGAAGGTGCAGAACTGTAACTGCCCTCTTGAGAGGGCTCGTCCCCTGGAGGAACCGCGGGCAGTGTCCCTGCCGGTCGTGGCAGGAGCCAGAGGATGGTACTGTAAAACGCACTGCTGAATGTATGTATGCAGAAGTATCGGAGCGGTAGATGGTGATGGGTTGTTCGATGGCCAGGCGAAGCTTTCGGCGAGAGCCAGAAACTTGGGATTCTCGACCTTTGCCACACAAAGGACAAGGCAGAAACAAACCTTGACGTAAGTTTGTTCGTGTACTGGGTCCCGCAGTCCTTCAAGTGAGGCTTCCAAGAGCAAGCTCAACGTCGATCACTGGGTTCCATTGGGCCATAACAGCTCGTACTGTTCGAAGATGAGTGAAGCATGTCGCTCGACTTTCGATATGTCGTCCAGTTCGGTTGTTGACCGGACGTTGGGAATGCATGATGCATCCTGTCCCTCGGAAGTCAGGTTTCACGATTCCCAGTACGTGGAGATCGAAAGAGATGAGCTGCATCGCGTCGACGTGATGAGCCGTGGTGATCCTTCGCTGCTGATTGTGGTGTGAAATTGGTCGTTACGCAAGTCGCCTGCACTATTTCGCGTCGATCTGAAGGCCCCTGGGCGTGGCTCGAGATCGAGCGCTCGCATACTTTCTGCTGGGGACGAAACGGGCGAGCGGAGTGCTCCATGGTGCAACTTGCACATGTTAAGCTCGTGCAAGACTTGCAAACAAAATCCAGCCGGCACATCTGCGGTCCGTAGGTTCATTCAATGGCATCCACTTACCACGCCATGACTCCCACTATGACAAAGTTCAGGAGCGCAAGCGTACACATTCAAGGCCGAAGATTTTCGGAGCAAAGGTTTATATGAGCTGTGGCTGTTTAGGCGCGCGTATTCAATAGATGCACCATGCTGCATCGTCGCAGTGCCAAGTTCGGAGAAGTCCGGTTTGGCTTGCGGATTGCATTGCGACCGGTCACTGTAGGCCCGAACCGAAACACGATGTGCAGAAATTGCCAGCCGCTCGTATCCGGTATATGGGTGATGACGGTGTGGATTTGGGTGCCGTAAGTGGCACAGTTGCGTGAACACTAGATTTCGCCCGAGTTTATTTTAGCGAGCGATCCACCAGGTGTTGTTCAAACAGGGTACCGGACGCCCGGAAAAGACTATAGAGGGACAAAGACAGGGATTGCAGCAGATGGAAGGAGCGTGGTAAAAAGCAACAAGCGGCAAGTCGGGTTCACGTGCACAATAAGGCTGATGACAAGGCTGCACGAAACATCAAGAGGTGACATTCGAAGGGAGCACATTGGCTCCACAAGGAGCAATCCCGGGGCAAATCAAGGAGCCGAACGATCGATATGAGAATAGAGATAGATAGGTGAATGGCACGCAGGGGTGGTCGCGTGGCGTGACCGACGGTGGCGTTGGGGCGCCTCTAGAATGGAGAAGGTATACCCAGGTGGTACAGAACTTGGACAGACGCGCGTCAAATCTGATTTAGTGATGAAGTTTGCCTTCGACAAGGAAATTACAGCCCTCGCACTCGACATGAATCAGATTGGGTGGTGATAAGAGCCAACAGAGGCGCAGTGCCATTCAGACTCGACGCATGAGCATCGTAGTTAGGCCACAGTCGCTTGACTTCGTGGCCAGGTCTGGGACCACACCCACTGCCAGAGCTGAAGGGGAACAAAGGGGGCTGTCTGGTGCAGAAAGTCATGTTGTGTCCACCTGACAGATGGGTGTCACGGCAAACTTGTTCTGCCCAAATCGTGTTGGAGCTGAATATGCGCTTGCTTCTCGCACTCAGTGCGTCCGCTGAGCATCTTCCCAAACACACCTGGGGCATACGCAGAGCCCTCCTAATGCTCCGGAGGCCCACTCACGTCTTTCCTGAACTGGGAGTCGGATATCACAGTAGTGGCTGAAGATCTCTTCTCCTTTCTTCAAACCTGGCTGTCTCGGCACTTGCCGCTCGTATTCGACAAGCTGTTCGCGAGCCCAGAAGCGGATGGTGCCGTTCCATTCCCAAGCCACATTCGGGTCGCAGCTATGGTTTGCAAGGCACCACATAGGATGCACTGCGCATATTTCAGGTCGGCCGTCAAGGCCCTGTCGTCCGGAAGCCGTTCCTATTGCATGTTAGCAAGCAGGATCAATACGAAGCGATAGGAGGACGGCTGACCTCGAAATTTAGCGTACAAAGTGTTGAAGATCCATGTGTCATATCGATGGCTTTGCTCGTAAATATTGACGTCCATCTTCTCTAGAATGTGTAATGGCCTTAAAATGTTGGCTTCAAAGGAGAATGCCAACGTCTGAGGAACAGCAGCAAATGGATCAGAGTCCAGTTTACATCTCTCTGTCAGATCCAGACCGTGATAATCGCCCCAAATGAAGCGAACCTCCTTTAAATCGAGCGGGTGAACATCTTGCGTTTCAGCCAGGCCCATCGCCCGGACCAGCAGGCGTGTGTATAATACGTCCGCGACTTCGCTTGGCTTGACTTTCTGTTCCGTAACTACACCACACAGAGAAGGATGGTAGTTGTCCTGCGCTAGGTCATGGCACTCTTGACTGCAGAAGAAGACTTCTTCGCACTCTTCGCATGAAAGTGTGGCGGGCTGCTCGTCATTACTCGTAGTTGATAGGGAAATGCTGCAAGCATCGCAATAGAAGTCATGTAGTCGAGATATTCCTGTCAGAAGTGATTTCTCTGTCAAGATTTCTTCCCCGGGCGAGATGTCTTCTTTCGCGAATATGCCAAGTTGTTTGACGTATGTGACATCGACACACTGCGACGAAGCTTCACTGTGCATGGATCAGTACTTTGCCTGACGATGTTGATCTCCTCCATCTCTAATGAGAGAAATCTTGAGTTCTTACTTTAGTATTGGAAGCTCTGCCACCTTCACCTCAAGCTTCGGCGCAACTTGTTCCATTTCATTGTTCAGAAACTGAAGCGCTTCAGATGAGAATCTATCAGGTTCATGGCGATTCCAAGGATAGAGCTCTCGTCGTACAGAACCTTTGTCGGGGTAGTCTTCGATGCTAATTGGTTCGAGATCAACATCTTGAAAATTTGGATGCAAGCGTAGCTTTGAGTCAAGGCTTTCCTGGTAGGATGCAAGCACCACTTTATCTGAGAAAGATCTCGAGGCGCGTTTCAGGAACCCGGCAGCACTTCGAAGACTTCCGCATTGTATAAGGCAGGGTATGAGTATCTCGTATCTAGGAGGGATTAGTTGTTCCAGCCTTCGAACAGCAGTGAAGCGTACACTTACGCGTTTTCCAAACAGGAGGACCGGGCCCACAGGACTACGTGATCAGTATCTTCATCCAGGGAGCCGGTTCGCTCTTGGTAATCTTTGGTCGCAGCTTCCAAGGCTTCTTCGTGAAATTCGCCTTCTTCCGCACATTCATCGACCAAAAGAAGGGCCTTGTAGGCATCTCCGGCGGCAAGGTCGGGGTATCCCAAGCCTCTGTACGCATTGGCAAGGGCCAGCCTGTGTGATATGCTGTAAGGGTTATCTAGTGTACCTGCCTGAAGCTTGGCTAGCCCCTCCAGCCTTTCCTGGAGGGTATGACTGGGTACTGTCTGTAACATATTAGATTACAACAGGCTATAATCATTCAAGATCTTACAACCATTCTGTGCCAATAATTGACAGAAGTTCTAAGGTATATCAAGCGTAGCGCGAAGAAATATGTACTGGCGAAAGTGGGTAGGAATTTCTTGCAGCACGTGACGCTTGGCGTGGCCAAAATCTAGACGGGGTTGCGATCGGCTAAAGCCGGACTCCACTAAACCGCCTTTGCACGTTCTGTCGCATTAACAGGCAGCTACATTACTTCAAACTTCTTGGATACAGGAGCCACATTGAACATGCTTCCTACGGTAGCAGAGCTGGTCGCTCATTTCCTGAGGTCTAATGGGTATACAGAGGTACTTACGTCATCGACATCAAGGAACGTCGCGCTTACTGAAGGTAGACGCTGGCAGCGTTCATCGATGAGGCGGGACTCCCGGTAGATACAGGGAGCGGAAATCCTGACTTCACCATTGAGCAGATACTGCAGGAGAAGAAGACATTCGACACAAGTTTAAATTTCGAGAGACTAGGGCTAGAAGACCACGATCGGAAATGGCGGAGTATTGGTGAGTGTTGAACCAGTGCTATCCCTGCTATACCGCTGAGGGGTGCAACATAGCACCGTCAAGACCAATCGTCGTTGAACCTTCGCCGCGGAGCAATATCCTCAGTGTTTCTCCAATCAGCTTAGCCCTGCCTTCCCAGCCTCAGGTGCAGACATACCTGGCTGCAACAACCGCTGATAGGCGCTTGCACTTGATCGACCCCGGCTCTTCTTCCTACAGTGTGGTTCGGTCCTACTCTACTTTCCAGGATTCACCTATACTAGACCTGACTGTCATTCACAGCCGATTTCTGCTAGCGGCTTCCATGTCAGGCAAACTGCTCCTCTTCGATACGAAGACCGAGCAAATCCTTGACCAGAGGAAAGATCACGGCAAATATGTTGTGAAAATAGCTACTTGGTCGATGGACTCCGATACTATTGTGGCATCCGCGGGATGGGACGCTAAGGTGTTCCTGTACAGGATCAGTACCGACAGTGCGGAACTTCGACTCGGGGAGCCCGTGGCAACAATCTCACTTTCCACTGTCCCCGAAACTCTATTGTTCATTCGGTCTCCTGAAACGTCGCGCCCTATATTGCTACTCACCTGCAGGGATTCTACGTTTGTCTATTACTATGCGATGAAGGCGGAGGGAGACCATGAGTCCGCCATCTCGCTTATTGGCAAGCAAAACTTATCTCCACATTCAAATGCGTGGGTTGCGTTTTCACCGGCAGATCTACAGGTCAATCCGGTTGATCCGTCGGTCGTTGCTGTTGCAACTTCCTCGACTCCGCACATGAAGTTGCTGATCGTAAAGTTGCTTCTACCACCAGAAGTGGAGGCGTCGTCGGACGGGCCCGAGAGTGCGCTCTCACAGCCGGTCACACAAGCTTCGCAAGCTCGCGCTGATCGTCTTCTTCAAGCAAGAGAGGAGGCGGCCATTCTAGTCAACGTGAGTACCATGGCTCCACAGACAGCCTATTCCACGCCGCGACTAGTTTGGCGGCCCGACGGCTCCGGCATCTACGTTAGTTCCGACGATGGCATTGTACGCGGATTCGAAGCGGCCACTGGTCGATTGACGGCATCTCTCAGTGCTCACGAGCCTGGGTCCAAGATTCGATGTCTCTGTGCCGGAGAGGCAATTTTTGAAAATGGCGACAAGCAGGGAGAGGAGTTCCTGTTGACTGGCGGTTTTGATCAAAAGCTCGTTCTCTGGAGAACTGGTTGAAGTGTATGTCGGCCCGAATCATTCAAGACCACTCTACTATGATGGCGCCTTTCAATTGCATACATAAACATGTAGTCAAGCAAAGAGCAAAAAGCTCAGTACTAGCCAGATATGCACGGTCGCCGACAACCTCAACGTCTCGACAAATGACTAACAGTATCTCATCCTACTCTTACGGATTTATCGGCAATCAGATCAAGGTACTATCTAGAAGCATGAATGCTAAAGTGGCTCAAATAGGGCCGTTTCTAAACATGCCACGGCGGTCATATACTTCCCAATTTGGTACTCAGCCTCAAGTCTTGCTAGTGCGCCCAGAAACCTTCCCAGCGTGATAAGACAAAAGAACACAGCGGCTACTTCCATCAAATCAAATATTTACAGCATTCTGGCCGCTCAGCCCAGTAGTTTAGTTATCATCAGCAGGCAGGATTCGGTAAAGCCACATGGGCTTGTAGATGCCATGTGCGAGATGCTGGACTAGCTCCCGCCCCAATCTTTTGCTTTTCTGGCGTTCACGGGCGTAGCCCGAAAGATGCAAGCATTCCGTTACGGCCAATGCGCGGCACAAGGGTTCAGCGCCGTGGATTTGTCTATCGGCGAGCTGGCAGGTACCCTATTGCTTGGTTTCAGATCTCACCTTTATTTTTTAAGTCAAGGTTCTGGTGCTTCAGGAGCATTCAGTGGATATAAAAATTACGTCTGTCCCGCTACAAACAGCTCATTACAACAACACTCGTTCAACAGGTCTTTCCAAGTATCGATATTCCAGCAGCGTGCTCAGTGCTCTAAATAATCATTACCCCAGACTATTACTATCGCAATTTTTTACTCCGATTTTAAGCGCGGGAATGTCTCTTCCAGGCGCAAGAAAAGATGTGGACGGGGACTACCTGCTCGTCGTTTCTGGTCAATTGCGCAGAGCTCCTTACCTCGCGGACTGGAAAGCGTTCAAGGATCATATCCGAAAGGTTGTCAAAGAGCAACCTGGATGGTCGAATGTATGCGAAGGAAAAATTCGAGGGGACATGCAGGGATGGTGCAGACTAAAGGATAAGGAGGATGCAAACTCGGTTTATAGTTGGTGGCATCCGTCCACACTAGCTCATCTTTGGCTAATTCCCTCCTCTAGGTGCCTACTCCAGACAAGTGGTGATTCATATCTTCGCCACGAGTCTGCGTACAGGGTACTGGGACCTGCTTAAATGCAACTGTAATCGACATTTTGGGGTGGGGGAAAGAGGCCACTCCCCTGGTCGATCTGGAATCGATGTCAACGCTGTCAACCAAGTCTTCGGTAAACGAGAAAGCGCCCCCGCACCCTACCAAGCAGTGCCGGCGCAGCCGTCTTACCAATACGCCAATTACTACCAGGCTACAACTTACCCGCAACCATTAGTCTATCAATACCCGGGTACACCGATCCAGCCGGTATATTCACAGAGCTCCGGAGGCCTACCTGTGAATTTGAGTAGGGGCGCGGTAATTACCGAGACACGTGGCATCTTCCTCCAGGGCCTTAATTACAGTGTAGGGAATAGCGAGCTTGCAACACTGCTGAACAATGCTGGTTTGCGCCCGGAGCGAGCCAGTGTGCACAAGGATTCAAGGGGTGCTTCCAAGGGAGTGGCGACAGCAAGGTTCTCGACGAAAGCCGAGGCTGAATATGCAGTCTCTAAGCTCAATGGCACAACGCATGCTGGAAAGACTATTATTGTGCGCATGGACACGAACTCCACCGTGCTCGGTTCGCTGGAGCCTTTCGTGGTTGATGGCACGAACAAATCTGGGGTATGTCGTCGCAGGGTAGCTCCTTGTCCTTAAGCGACTAACAAGTAATAGTATTAGGTCGACGGTTATCGGAGCGCCAAGGATGCAGAACTACTGTACCGAAGAGACACAGCGTCTCATCGTGGTGGCCGTGCGACGTGCCTGGGGGGCAGGATGGGAGTCCGCGCGGGCTTCAGGCCGTTGTTCGTCAATGATGACGACTTTGACTCAGATTTTCTTTGCCGAAGGTCTCTCGAGCAGTAAATGTACATTTCGGATGAATCCTCCGTGGCTTGGCTGGGTGTTCATGCAGCCCAACGTTGAGATCTTAATTTCAAATCTGCGTTCCAACAGCGCCACATATTGCTTTTGCGCCACTATTTCTTTTTGATACGATGACGCCTCCGCCCAACGTGGCATCATGCGACTGAAGTTGAAAGACGTGACCAATGTGAAAGTCTTTGAAAACGCCATCCCGCACTCCCCGGGCAGTCTGATCGACTGACCATGGGTGCACGATCTGAAACGGTCAGGGTCCGCGAATCGAGGCGTTTACCGATCGATAGAGTTTGACATGATGCAGGACATGACCGTATGTAACATATTAAAGTAGAGTGGACGGGCCATAGGCATGACCAAGCCGCTGGGCGCCCGCTGGTTTGGATCATCTGAACGACGTTACACCAGATCTCATCGGTCAAGCGACGATAGTGGATGTATCTGATCTACGGATTTGTTCGGCGGGGTTGACTGTCCCGCTTCCGCCGCCACGTGGGATTCCTGACGGGCTGTGGATTAGTCGACCATGCAGCTCCCACACGTAACAGCGCCTCTACTATAGCATCACCTTAACGTGTCGTACGGTCTAGTTCAGGCTTTCGGTGCAGCTTCGGTCAGTCGTCGACCACAGCTGGAATAATCGTAACGTGCGTTACCAGTTCCGAATTGCCTCGATAAGCAGCAAACTTTACCAACCCGAATGCGAGTGCGAGAAGACGCGAGTCGTGCCGAACAAATATGACCAAATAAAACAAGCTGAATCCATGTGCATGCTCGTCAGATTATCTTACGCAATTTCGTCGTCAATCGTAGCACATGAGCTGCGTGCTGACGATGTCGTAGCATCCAACGCCTGTCTTACTAGATCCTGTTCATGTTTGTGGCGCAAGGCTAGAATCTCTCACTGGGCCGCCGACACGGTGGCGAGATCTGGAAATGATCGGCCCTACTATTCCTGCTCTGTAACGGAGAGTATGTCATGCTACCAATCATTTCCAACCAGGGTAAGGATGGCGAAACAGCACTACCTCGCGGCTCTCGGGAGGCTGGTTTTGTGCATACCACTCGGCGGATCGCGTCCGGCACCCAGTGAGGCTGGATGTCCGCTTCACGATGTCCATCGCAAGAGCTTCGCCCTTGCGATCGTGGCGATGAAAAACATTTTGCAAATCATAAGCAGTCTTTTAGATCTCCCGACTTCTTCCCAATCTCTCTTTCCCTCGCAATATTGAACGCCAGACACGATTAACTACCATAATCGCCCAGATTGCGAAAAAGGCATCAAAATGCTCCCTAGAGTAAAAGCACCGCCTGGTAAGCCTTCCACATCTGACGAATGCTTCTAGAAGCTAAGATATATGCCTACAAGAGACACTGGAAGCTCCATGCTAGCTCTGCTGCCCCTATATGGCCAAGAATGCGTCATCGCCAGATTTGTCTTCGTAACTGCGACTACATACCAACCGGCAATTATTATGTCCGGGACGAATGAACATCGAGGGATCTTCTCGTCGAAACATAGGCACCGCGAAGACAGATAAAAACATTTCCGATGTGGACGCAGGGACCCGGTAATAGCAACGGTACACAATCGCCGATTCATCCCAGCTCAGGCCCCAGGTTGGCACCAGCCATCTGAAGTTACGAACCCTGCGGAGAATATGTTGCAGAGCCCCTCGATACGGTGCGGCCCGCTGCGATGACCTGCATGCATGAGGCGTTGGACGAGATCTGCAGACCGAGACACACCACGAGGGCAACCCGGTAATCTGGGGAAAAGACGTTGTGGCATTGCGACAACGCAGTGTGAGCGCCTTCAGTTCCAGTGGGATGGATCGTGGTCGGGATCGCAGCCCACAAGCGCCGCCCACCAGTAAACGGCAGCATGCTTGCTGCAGGGCACCCGGTGAAGTGGCTGCAATGAGATGAGGCAGAGCAAGGTAGTGCAGACCTGATACAGACACCCTGCGACATGTCATTGTCGAAACGCACCTACTGCAGTGATAGAGGCTTGATGCCGGCCGAAGGATACTTGGACGTGCTGTTCTATTCCACGGCCATTAGCCATTTTCTTCTCGGAGGCTCGAAAAAAATCGCAGATCTGGATAAACATCGCTGAAATCTCCTATTTCGTCAGGCTTGTGCGTCGTGGCTTGCCGGCATTGCCTGTCTGGAACATCCGATCACGAGAGGGCTTCACGTTGGGCAGCAACGCTGGCTCAGCTTACATATTGGGTCCGCAGAGCTGAGGTCTAAGCAAGAAGTAGACAGAGGAATGTATTTGGTAGAACTTTTGTGCACCCTTACCTTTCAACCAATTCTTCACGGCGCAGTTGTGACTGCCTCCAAACCTATCGATCAAATGCTCGCGCCTCACAAGATCAGGAGTTCTGGACGAGTCAATTCCAAACAACATCAATGGCCTTTTTTTTTTTTTTTTTTTTGGCCAGCAATACTTCCACTCCGTGTCCCCATCGACGTACCAAAGACTACCAAGAACGTAATGTCCAGATGCACACCAGCAGGGGCTCACTTGAATCCTACAACCTGCTATACCAAAACCCACGTTTGCATCTTCAAAACTCTTGCCGTTCATTTCGAAACCAGCACCTGCGATCATGACCGAAAATTGAGCATTGAGAACAGTCGGATCACCGCTATTGGGATGCTGTCGACATTGCTTCGATCCCACGACAGTTAGAATTAGCCTAGAAGATAACACAGCCGGAATATTAACGCATATCGCCCACAAGGGGGTTTTATCAAAAGCCATCCTAACTCCCAGAATACCTTCCGATCAACTTTTACCACATTCTCTTCATCCTAGCAACATATAAATGACGTACCTTTAGTAGGAGGGACAGTGCGAGTAAGACCTTTCTGAAGAAATGGTCCATAGGATCCTTCTATTCTGGACCTTGGTGGTAATGCTTTACTAGTACTATCTGCACTTCAGCCTGAAAAATACAGCATATTATGTGCGACAAAGGTATATTCTCATGAGAGGTCGGACATAGAACCATGTTCTATTCTCTAATAGAACTTCGGTGTCGGAAACGCAAGGTTTCTTTGAGAAAGCTCATGGTATATCCCTACAATACTGAGCGTGTTAACAATTTGGCAGGAGACAATCTACCCAGGAGTCTCGAGGCTATGTGCAAGCGAAGGTTTCTCTATAGGCCTTTATAGGTCAAGAAGCTCGAGTTGAGTCTGGCACTGAAAGATGGTCGATATTCAGCACCCCACATTTGAGCGGACCTAATAACCTAGCGGGCAATAGTGTTTTCTCACTCAGCCTGGGCTTCTCTAGTTGAGTGCCAACACCTAAGCCATTCCTGCTCACGTGCCTATGCCCACCGAGCGGCCGCATTCGCCTTGTGTACGTTCCCGTCAAGATCAGCACAAACTTCACAGCAACCACGTGCACGGCGGAGCCTCATCTAAGAAAGTGTGCTGTGCCCACGGTGGAGCCCATTACACGCACTCGCCATCATAATTCCAACTCCATCTGCCCATACTTGCAACGACAACTCCGAGATACACCAATGCGCCAAAGTCGCTCCCTCCCGCCGCGAACATGGCAAACCGAGCTCTTTCTCTCTCTCGGGTGCCTTTACACCTAAGCACTAGCCAAGAGCACACCTGCGACATGTGCAGTGCCCGTTTGAACCAGTATGATCCGTCAAAGCGTATGCGATGTACGACTTGCGCCGCACAAGTCGACTGTTGGGTCAACGCTACAAGCTAGTCGAAGCTGCTGCAGTACAATCAAGAGTTTGTGCGTACAGCGCCGGGCGACAGTGTATTCCCAGAATCCGGTCTTTGAAGACGCCAGCCTCACTGCGGAGCTCCTGCGCCTGCATGACTATGGCTGTATGTAAGTATGACCGGATCATGTGTAATGAAACACTCAGCTCAGTGGCTGATATAGAGTTATCGATGCGCAAGCCGGCAATCATCGCGTTGGCCAGGAGAATCGAAATTCGAATCCACCTGTTCTGTGGTATGAGATTGGAGAGCGAGCGTACATCCGGTTCTTGCTGCAGACTGAGCATCCCCAAATCGAAGCCTTCCTCACTACCGAGCTTATGCAGCACCTCGCGGCTATGGCATCCTGCGCGACGCTCAAGGCAAGCGATGTCTCGGTGTGGAAATCTCGGTGTGCAAAGTGGTGAAGCCAGTGGTCGTGATGGTGGCGTTCAAGGGGTGGTCTGGGGAAGAAGGATTAAGTATCGCGAGGATGGTGGAGCAGACTATGATCATGGTGGTGATGACGCCATAAAATGAAGGAGGAACAAGAGATTAGGAGGTGAGAGGCAATGGGGATCGTGTGGTATAAAGGCGGTGGGGAGCTGTCGGATGAGGATGCGGTTATGGAGAGGATTAGGGCGTTGGATGTGGGAGGTCTGGGGACACTGGCTTCAGTCCGGCGGGCAGGAGAATGGGCCTATCGAAGATTCATGATACGAACGATCAATAGCAGCGTGAGCTGCTCGCTCCGGGTGTTCCAACTCGAGGTATTACGAGTATGACGCCTTAAGAATCATGTCACGTCCGGCTGCCGTTTGTGCATTATCTGCATTGTAAGAGGTTCTCGGGAAAGGTCAGTGACAGCGATGCAATGAGACACGCCAGACGTAATTTTTCATCGGCATTGTTCGCTGAAGTCTTGTCAGTATTGTGAGTGCGAGTGTGAAGAAGTTGCGGCAAGCTTCCGCCGCTACTGTGGCCGCCGGCGGATGAAGTCCGCTGTATTCGACGCCTCGGCATGGGAATTGCCCTTTGTGGTAGTTTGCCTGACGTCGTTCTCGGATCAACCCGCAGCATGAGAGATCCTGCAGCTTGCTTTTGATGTTCAACTCAACAGCAGCTACAGTATTTGAAAGATGTCTTTTCGAGTATATTGATCCGCTCTCGAACATTCGTCAACAGGAGCGCCCGATGTGTGGGCTGCTGCACGTGACCCTGCGCGGGCCCGGCTAATTCTCGGCGTTTTAAAGAGGACAGCTTACGTGGTACGTAGTTTAATGTAGCTTCAACAGCTCCACGTCAACACCACACCCGCCACAATGAGGTTCCTCCGGTCGCTCGTTCCCTCTCTGCTTGTTAGCTCGGCTGCAATCGTGTCGGCTGCCTCTTCCTGGAGTTTTGAAGATGCCACCGTCACAGTATCAAACAAAGGCGCTGGAGTGGGTGCTGGTGCGAAGGACAAGTGAGTTCAAGAATATGTTGGATCGAGTGCATGTGCTGATGCATATTTCAGATTGAGCGCTACGTCCCCGCTGTCGAAATCCGTATCTCTGGGCGCCACCGACACGCTGAAGCTCCAACTCACCACCGTGGACGGGAAGAAAGCCACGCGGCCACACCAGGCCTTCCTCACCCTTACCGACCCTGCGACCGGCGTGGAGGAATCATTCCTCCTCAATGTAAAAGACAGTGGAAAGGGCAGCCTGAACCTGGTAAGCGGCATGATCCAATGGCCCGGGGCACAGCTAACATATGCAGGCCCATAAGGACCTCCCGCACCAATTCCTCACCTCGTCGAAGCCACTCCCTGCCTCAATCGTCATCGGCTCTTTCGGCTCCTCGACCGCCTACAAGGCCAAGGTCTTCGACCTCAACGTCGCCCGCGACCCCAACGTCCCGCTCGCCGTCCCCGAGAAGCCTCTCCGCTACGCCGCCGAGAAGGAGATCCACCACATCTTCCGCGACGACCCGCGCTCACCGCCCAAAATCATAACGCTGATCTTCGCGGCTGCCGTTGCTGCTGCGCTGCCTGCGCTGTTCATCGTCTGGGGAACGTTGGGTGCAAATGCGAACCACCTTAGCAAGGCTCTGGGCAACGCGCCCATCGCGCATGCCGTGTTTTTCGGATCGATTCTTGCCATGGAGGGTATCTTCTTCTTGTACTACACCACCTGGAACCTGTTCCAGACCCTGCCCGCCGCCACTGTGGTTGGCTTTGTGGCTTTCATTAGCGGTAGCCGGGCGCTCTCTGAGGTCCAGGAGAGGCGGCTGGCTGGGCTGAGATGATCGTATATACGACGAAGTATATATAAGACATAGTGGAGGGAGCCATGTATCCGACAAAAGGTAGGATGACAAATTCGAGTCGCAGCGGGTGATTCTATGGCTTGGGCTCATGAGAAGGGCAAAAAAGGGCATGATGACGTGCAGTATGTAAAACAGATACAGAGAGCCATATAACTGCACCGCGCTAGACATCCGCAGGCGATGTCGCAGCGCATTTCGAAGACATGCGAATCGCACAGCGTATCTTAATCGAACTACCCTACGATTCATAAACAGAGCAATCCACCACATCTGTGACTTAGGTGTTGATATAAGTGATGGAATATTGGGCGCAATCACTGGCCGCGGTTGTTGATCAAACCTTCCCGTCTAAGGAGGCTTAGGTCTTTCGCCCCTCGACAGCCACACGTTGACACTTCCCTACTTGTTGGCTACGCCACACTCGACATTTGGGGCGAAAGGCTTTAACTCTAACCAGCGCAAGCTACGAGGCTTGCGGCCTAAATTTTGGAAGCTTTGGACGCCTATCGCAATCACCAATGAAATGACTAACCTCTACAGTGTGAGTGACGGGGTGAGGCTGTGGCAGAACCGTACACGCAGGCGACCGTCGCTCAGCCCTGCCCAAGAACTTTACATATAATGGAATGTACGTTCGACTAGAATCTTACCAACATAACTGGCTAACCCCAACACGACGCTTACCCATATTTTTTCATCCTTGAAATACGCCGTCCCGACTCTTGAAACAATGCAAAGATATCTCAGCCACTGAATTTATCAGAGATGGGCATTTCCAGTTGGTCGGCCCGGAAGGACAATGCATCATACTGTGCGCCTGGGGGAAGATCGTGCAGCCCGGGTGGACAGTCGAACTGTGGGTGAAAGATCCGGTCTATTGGGTCCGCGCATAGAAGCAAGGAAAAGAGCAGGAGGTGAAGCCAAAAAAGAAGACCTTTTGGGCGACCTGTTGTGTTTGATGAACCTTGATTGATGAGCATCTGTCTACGTACTACGAACCCGTGTATAAGTGCTTACGACAGGCTCGATGAAAGATCTGTGATATCGTGACTGCTAGAAGCACAGTGAGAAATCATGCTCGAAAATTTTGTACCTGTGGTAGTCTTATCGACCACTGCTAGCAAGCACGCAAAGCTGCGCAAGCTACTTGTGAATGTTCCGCTCCCATAGAGCTCCGAAATATACAGCCACGCTCATATCTGAGGAACTGAGGATGGCAAGGAGTGGCTTACTTCATTGGCCGCGCCTGCTGCAGCTCGTAACTTCCATGTCCATTGAGGCTTAGTTCTCAGCCCCTCGACACCTCACAGGTGCTGCTCGCTTCGACACTTGACAGAACATCCGTCACCCATCATTACAACCAGCTAGGAATCATCATCAGGGAACATCTTTTTAGCGGTTCGACCTTCTGCGGGTACCGATTCCGGTCCTACCCAGTGCCTATCGCTATCACGTTGTGGCAGGCAAACTCAGCCTTGCCTCCACCGACCGGGGTCAGGGCACTGCACGTCGCTACTTGCCTATCGCGGCGGCAGTTGCATGTTTTTCTGCTGAACATTGTGACGAGATTAGCCGGCAACTTTGATTCGGAAATAGTGCTCACGAAACGCGGCAATCTTCACAATCGCAGCTTTCGAGCCCAAATTTGTGTGATGTTCAATCGCTTGCGAGAAGGCTTCCGACAAGAGCGTAAGATGCAACCGGAGTCAGAATCGGTCCGTTCTGTGGATGACGGAGGCCATCTGTCCCGACGATCGAGCAGCAAGGTCGTCCCTGGGCTGCCCAGGCCACTGACTTTCAAGAGAATGAGCAGCGAGAAGCGCGAGAAGCTTCTAGAAGGTCCTGTTTCTCCTAAACAGAGACGAGCTACTTCACTTCATCAGCGGCGAGGCAACCCACCTGATCGGATAAAAAGAGATCAAGACGACAAAGGCAACGATGTCTACAACGGCTCTGGCCGAGATCAAGAAGAAGCTTACGAGACGTCATCTGTTCATTCTGCTGTATCAACGGCTCGAAGTGATCTCGAGGCAGTACTAGCGGATTGGTCAGGACGAGGTGCGCACGTGGACTTCCAAAGTCATGAAGAGGAGCCTCTGGTACAAGGTCGATTCCTTGGACACGGCTCCATGGGCAGTGTATTTGAGACAAGCGTAAGAGGTTTTGACTTCGCTTTAAAGCGACGTTTTTGCCGGCGCAAGATCGGGGAGGCCGAGAGAAAAGAGATCGAAATTTTGAAAAAATTGTCCCATCGTCACATTATCAGGCTTGCAGGATCTTACACGCATCGGAATTTTCTTGGACTGCTACTTTGGCCTGTAGCAACATGCGATCTTGCAACTTTCTTAGAAGACTACGAGGCCGTCATGGATAACAGTCCAGAAGATCATGCACGCGGTGAAAGGATGATAGCACTTGGCGCAATGGGAGACGGATCGGAGGTTTTTGAGATTAGTGCCAACAGCATCCTCAAGTGTCGTATGGGATGCATTATATCGGCAGTCGAATATCTGCACAGTCAGAACATTCGCCACAAAGACCTGAAGCCTTCCAATATCCTTCTCTCGGCTGGACGCGTTTTCTTGACAGACTTTGGCACAGCTACTGACTTCTCCGACCGAACTTCAAGCACAACCGAAGGTATAGAAAGAGGTGAGTGGAAACAAAAGCGTTCTCTTCTAAGAATAGTGTTGTAAGACTTTCTCGCGTCACTGAGACACGAGGCAATAACCACGAATCTTTGGAGACATACTTACTTTGTATCCACAGGGACGCCAAAATATTTTGCACCTGAGATGGCCGCCTACGAAGGCAGCGGTCGTCCTGCGGACATTTTCTCACTCGGATGCGTTCTGTTGGAGATGCATACAATTCAGCAAAAGCAAAGATTGCATACCTTGCGAGATCTTAGAGCCAAACACGATAAGAGTTTTCAGGCGAACCATGAAGCCATCGTCGACTGGCTCGCACGGCCCGTGGAACGGGAGTCTGGTGTAGATCGTCAAATTAAAGATACCATTGGATGGATGCTCAGCAAGAACCCAGCAGAGCGGCCCACGGTTGGTAAAGTCAGGGAGAATTTCGCCTTGATTGATACTTTTCAAGCGCATCAATCATCCAGCCAGCTGTTCATGGGATGCTGCAGAAATTTATACATATCTAGGAACGTCCATGAACGGGAAATTAAGGAAGCGTATTTGAGAGGTGTAAATCATTCAGCTGAGATGAAAGAAAGGCTCACCACGGAGCTTTATGGCCAGGCCCAGATTGCAAGCAAGATGGAGAAAGAGATTATCGAGCTTGTAAAACAGCATCATGCCCTTCAAAAACGGGTCACAGAGCTACAGGAGTCCGCGAACCAACAACCGCCCGATTCCGATGATTCGGTGGAAGAACGAAGGGACGAACAAAGATATGTTAAGGTCACCAGAATGCATCTCGCTGAGCAATCGCCGGACGCTGCGACGCTCACTCCCGCTGGCCCTATCCACCGGTATCATTCATCCTCTAGGCCGACACCGAGCGCCGTCTCAGCGATTCGGCCAAAAAGTCAGGTCGTCATGAACGCCCCCGGTTCTGACTTTGGCGGCAAGAACATGTATTACCGCAGCAGGTTCCTTGATACGGGTAACACCATGAAGGCCGCTCAAGGAGCTTAGGCTAGGCAAATTATTCACCCCCACTGCGTCAAAGCTTCATGTCACCACGTAACCACTATTCCCCTGGCACACACTCAATGCAGATCGCTAGCATTCCTACATCTCGGGTCGCAGACCAGACGGCCTCCGTCTGCCGCGCGTATTCCTATATACAACACTCCTCCTCATCTCCGCGCAAAAACAGGGGTATACACCAACAAGCACGATTACCAGTCGCTTTCGTCCACAGGACGTATTAGAACGGAAAACCTATGCGTAAACAACGTAATAACAGGGGGTGGAGGTATGCTGCGCCGCCAATGGTATGGTACAATACAGTGCATGCGAGCTCAGAGCAAAGCCAGGGTAGATAGATAAAGAAAAGATTTTGTCGCATATCAGAAATTGGAAAAGAAATTGTGGATGAGAAGATGTAGATAGGTGACGTGGCTGTTCATGACGACGTCCCCGTCGGCACGCTGGCCTGCACCGTCGTCCCGTTGTCGAACTTGATAGAGAATTTTACCAAGTCGATCGTGAACACATCGAGGTCCACCTCGCTGGACTTGCTTCCTCCTTGGCGGTCGTTGCTCAGGAAGTTCTGAATCGCCTCCTGCGCGTTGGCCGCCGTGTCCAGCTTCCCGCTGACCTGGAGGCTGAGCAGGACGCCGAGGCGCGCAAAGTCGAGGGCGGTCGGATTGCTGGAGATGGGGATGGTGGTGGTGGCTGCGGATTTTGTGGAGACGGTTGCGGAGGGCGAGGACGCTGCGTTGCCGTTTTCGTTCGCAGAGCCGACGTTGCCGATGGCTTGACGGTGCTGGAGGGCGGCGGGCTCGGGGTGCGGTTGGTCGAGGAGAGGGAGTGAGCGCGAGGGCGTGGTTGAGGTCTCGATGAGGATGGGGATGTAGGAGGAGACGGAGCGCGAGGCGAGGCCGTTGAAGGTGATGAGGGCGTTTTCGGCGGTGCAGCTCATGGAGAGGCCGGAGAAGAGCGTTAGGAGGCGTGTCGAGTCGAGGGGGATCTGGAAATCGCTTTGTGCGCTCTCAATCAGTCTGGGGATGCCTGAGCCAACCGTCGCGTTGTTTGCGGTGCTGCCGATGCTCGTTGTGGTACAGCCAGAGTCCCCTTGCGTCGCACACGTCTTTCCAGTGAAGCCGTTGATGCAGACGCAGTTGCAGGATCGGTCGGCGTTGGGGATCGCTACACCTCCGTTCTGGCAGGTAATGATGCCGCTACACTGACTGTTCTGGTTTCCGCTTGAGCCAGAACCAGAACCAGTCGAGCCAGTAGACTGCGCAGGGTTGCTCGTGGCGGTCGCCGTGCCCGTACCTTGGGTGTCCTGGGCGGCGGTGCTTGCTTGGCTCTTCATCTTCGGAATAACTACGAGAACTATAGGGATGATAACAGCGGCTGCAACAAGGAACAAGAGCACGACCAAGAGCGTCACAAAGGTCCACATAGGCATGCCGCAGCATCTTCTTCTCCTGCGCTCACCCTTCCGATCGCTCGTTGTCGAGTCTGGCCCATATTCACCAGCTGACGGCCATTTTGACAAGCGCTTCTGGTCTGGTGTGCCTCCACGGAGCGGAGTGCCCTGCGCCGGTGGAGGGAACTGGGACAGCATGTCACCCATGGAATTGGAATGGTGCTTCTTTTCGGGTGCCCCAGCTTCCCAGAAGTCTAGACCGAGACGGCTTGCCGTCTTGCCTCTATCAAGATTCGCGGCAAGTCGCGTTGCGCGCCTGATCAACTCCGGTAAACTGGTCAGACTACCCCGGGCCTCAGCCTCGCGTACTGCATCGACATCGAGGCGCGGTGGACGAGGTCTTCCAGGGCGATCCGCGAAACTAGCTCCGCGAGATCCTTGCAGGCGGAATGCTGATGCTGCCATTGAGCCATCCTTTTCCGGATCCATGTCCTTCTCCGGGTCCCTGAACTTGTGGTCGGAGTATGTCGGAGAGTCCAGTGATGCATCATCAGGTGAAAGCTCTCTTAGGCGCGCGGGGCCGTTACCGCCAATTCCATCTTTTGCTGCAAGTGCCGCACCTGCAATACCCCCTTCCCATTCTTTCTCTCCTCCAGGCGGCGATGGCTTCCGCTTGACTGATGAGTTCTCGACAGATCTTATGGTCATCATCGAAGGTTTTGTTCTCCGTCCTAAGCTCGCTTGTCGAACAATCGCGGGCGTAACTAGCCCGCTTTTATCGTCATGATCACTGCCCGGTGAAAGCCGACCGTGGTCACTGGTTATGGTTTCTTCGTCGTCGGAGCGCACGAAAGGATCCTCGTAGTAAAGGTCTTCGTTCGCAGGCATAGCCATACTCGATGCGAAAGATCCGTGATGTGAACGTATTGTATTGGAGCGTGTCTCGGCTTCTTCGGCGATTGGCGAGACATACGACATTTGGGTGTAGTACGACGAGGGCCCTCTTCGGGACGACGGTGGTGGACCGAGGCTGGGTATACGGCGCGGCAGTGGTTGTATTGCAGGCATCGGTGGTTCCGGTACAGGGAAATCCGGGATTTCTCCCAACGAAGAGGCTTCCGAGTGTGCAGAGGAAGTGGTGAGCGGGCGTGAAGAGGGACCAGATAGGGGCGAGAATGGGTCGTCGCTGTTGAATGAGTCGCGATATTGTGGTGAAAGCTGCTGTATTGGTAGTTCATCTGACGTTGGGCGTGGTGGCCGTTGGGGCGGTGGTCCCCGGTTAGGCTGTAGTAGGCCAGGTCTTGAGTCCAAGGCATCGTCGGCGTCGTTTGTCAAAGGCCACTGTGGTGTAGGGGAGACAGGTGCCGCGCTTCTGCTCGGTGCTGGTGCGAGGCGCTGATTAGGTCTTTGTGGCAGACCTATTATTTTCGACCTGTCCGGCAACTGCCCTTGTTTCTCCTGTAGTGCTTTCCGCGCTGCGCGCACCGATCCTTTTTTGGAACCGCCATCCTCCTCTTCTCGCGCGCCGTACCTGGCGGCGATGCGCGGATCGTAACTCATCAATAGTGTGGCGAAATAGTGGCGATGGTTCGTGTCTGTAGACCGACACGGGTCCTGTGGCGGTGTGGGTGATGGAGGAGTCGGAGGACGTGAGGAGTTCAGTGGCCGTTCCAGGAATCACGTTGCGACCGTTAGCACTGTCTCAGATAGTGCGGTAAGGTACAGCAAAGCTAGTCTGTCGCAAGGACTAGGCTGCCCTTGATGTTGGGGCTGCCGTTCGATGGTGTGGGGAGCGACAGCACAAAGCCGAGCATGGAGGAGTGTCTCCGTCAATTACAAATTTTGCTCCACTTTCGTGTCCAATGCCACTGTTATCGGTGATAGCCAAGGCTCACGTTTGAGGAGAATGGCTGTAGTTAGAGTATCGGACTACAAAGGTACCGAGTGCCACGGTTCCTTGCTTGGGGCGGGTCCACGACGCTGCGAGCTCGGCGATGACAGGACCGAGTGCTCGAAGCGATAGGCCAATTGTTTATGGATTAGGAATTATCGAAACCTATAGCCAGTAATGATCAGAAGAGTCCCTAGCATAATGCTGAAGAAGCGAAAAAACGGCAAGGACGTTCCCAATGCGGTAGCTTGCGACAATGTGAGGATCAATGAGGATGCCGCAAGACCAGAGGATGTATCAGAGTTGATAACGGAGGGCACGACCTTAGGTGATAGGGCAGGTGGGGGGGATATCTTGCGACGCTTCCCGTAACAGCAGCACAAAGCGGGACGCCAAATGCGGGTTTGAGAAAAGAGCTATACGTACACTACAACAGCATGTGCCGAAGTACAGTCCAGACGGTGATTGTCAGAGATGCACGCGTCCTGCCTTTCTCAAGATGTGCTCGAGGAAACAGTCAATTGCTCGTGAGGTAAGATGCACCGGTGAGTGGGGATACGAATAGACGAGTTTAAATCGCCAAACAAGAGCAACGGCACCAGAAGAAGAACAGAGACGAAAAGGAGAGCAAAATGGCCAGCAGCGAATCTGGAGAAAAGAGCGTCGTGCTTGCAAGCAGCACCCGACCAGCACCTGGAGTCGAGAGCGGTGGAGGGGACGACGAGAGGCAAGGCGGGATCAGAGACAGTCTTGCCAGCACCAGAGCCTTCGGGGCTGGCCCGCGCAGATGGTGCAGGGCGTGGCGGAGAGACCTAGGATCAGGCGAGAGCTTGGACTGCAGAACGCAAGCGAAGCAACGCCATCCTGAGTCAACGAGTCAGGGTTGGTTGCGATGTCGAGTGATTGGTGGGACTGATGGTGAGACGCGGGCAATGCACGAGGGTTCCCGCTTCTGCTCCACGCGGCCAATTCGAGATGGCGCACCCTGCCGTGTTCTCTGCGCGCAGCTCAGCTCTTTGGGCGTCGTAACAATTGCGTGCGCTCAGCGCACTGCCCGTCCCTGGCGCTTCGGAATCGAAATGAGCGATTGTCGCAGTCAGCACGCAACGTGAGGCGGCCCGAGGCGCACGGTGCGGTCGGAAGCATAATAATATCAGGACAGATATATTGGCTGGCCCGTGCACGGTTTGAGGTTGACGATCCACCACCATAGCTCCAGGGCGTCGGGCCAGGCACGCTTTTCGATGTGATGCCGCGTCGCGCTCGCATGCAGTGTCTGCCTGCTGAGGGCGCACCGTGCAGCTCTTCTTCGCACGATGCCACTGCAACCTGCTCGTTGATGGTCAGCATTCGCGCATGAACGAACCCCCACGGCACCGAACAAGACGCCTGCGAGTCGTGACATGCCAGAGTCAGCGCAAATGAGCACGCGGTCCTGCTGTTATATTAATAAGACTCCTGCCGCACTGATATCGATGGAACTTTGAAGCGACCATGACGCATGGTGGTGCTGCTGATGCGCAAGCGGGGCTAAACCGTTGTCTTCCGTCCTCAAGCGAATATCGAAAGTGCACGGAGGACCCGCTTGACGGCATCTTCGACAGGTGACGTTCGGGAATGTCCACAGGCTGTCGAAGAGCCGAGAAGCGTGATGACTGCAAGCTTGTTGTGTCGCTTCTTCGAAAGCTCCACCTCGTATCGCTGCCCGAAACACACTGGTGTTGATATCTAGCGTACCATGCTGATCTGCGCTGTGGGGCTGGCGGTGGACTTGAGGAGCCTCACGACCATGGAGACTCGATGTCCTGGCACATTCTGGGGTCACATTCCACAACGCTCTTCCTCAACGACGAGTTCCACTACTCGCCGTAGACAGTGCGACAGGCAAATGCCCGCCACGGCCTGTAAATCCAGCCATTCACCTTCGCCCGCTCAAGTCCACCATTATTCCACGGGTCTTTCATCCCCACATCACTCGCTGCAAGAGTACTGTTGCCCCAGACCTCCACAATATTGTACAAGAGCGTTCTGTCTTAGGTTGCCCATCCGCGAGGCCTTCCAAATTAGTACAACGTTGCTAATCGTCGCTGAGGGCACGACAGCCAGAAAAGGCTACCACCTGGATGATATTTCTGATATTGGTACTCTGTCGTTCATCAACGGCTGTTTCATGAAACGCTAAACAAATGACACAGAACGCCGACCCAGTTCAATGGGACTGCAGATAGCCGCCGGTACAACGAGCAAACACCAAACAGCCTGTACAACGCGGTTGCCGCGCTGCGATGACAGCTTCGCACAATCCGTGGAACTCACCACGGCGGTGCTTCCCTCATAGCGACGGTTTTCCGGGCCACCACGACTGGCAGCGCGAAGACAGCATCCAATCTGACCATCATGACTCGGGCTCCATGCACTTCCAGCACGACCAGGCCACTTGCACCGCTTAAGGAAAATCTCTGAGCTCGCCAGCCAGGTTATAGGTCCATTCTCCACTACAAGAGACATGTGTAATATCCGTGACCTCCACATGCGTCACGCGTGCCTGGCTGCTACTCGATTTAGCAAGAGTTGACCCGGCAAGTGCTGAACACAGAACAAGGGTCCACAATATCACAGGCTTGCGCGGACCAGTATTCAAGGTCCCTCTAGCAACTCCTCGACGCTTGTGCAAGAAATCAAGACGACGTCTCACGAGCTTGCGCTCGCCAAACGCAAACTGAGCTGGCAAAATGTCTGCAGAGCCATAGATATGACCGGATTTAACCAGAATTGGCATTATATGGCCTTATGGTCGGCAAGTCTGGTGAAGGCAGATTGTGAAGGCGACCGGAGGCGCAGAGGGTCGCAGCATGCTGTCAGAGCTCAGCGACCGACAGAAGAAACTAGAATCTCTGTGCACCTAATCCTATAGTAGCTCACTTTATAATCACGTCTATGAAACTTTCAGTTCATAATCTATCTTGAGCCTCCATATGCACACATGAGCGGGCTGGCTAGGAAAGTCTTACATGATTTTTCGACCACTGTGGAGCGCTGTGGCCATTGTGTGAGCCAAAGAGTCTACAGCATGAAAGGCTTTACTTTATCTCCAGCTCTTCACAAGGAAGATGCTTCCAAATCTGCGACAGTGTTTCTGGTCTTCTGTGATGCACAGCCACAGCGCCACAATCTCGTCAAGCGGCAATCATTGGTGACATCACACGGTAACCGATCCCTGCCATTTGTCAACCATTCCTAGTCTTTGTAAACACACCTCACCCTCACCAGTTTACGTAGCGTGGCCTCCTTGAGTGCTACAAAGCCAATGCGGCAATCACAGCGAAAAGGCACCGCCGTGTCTTTGCCGTCATCATGAGCGGCGCCCTACAGAGCCTGTCTTACTTCTTCCGCCTGCCATTCCACATCCAATGGCGCACATTTCTTGTGTAAGCAAACCCGAGAGAACTCTAGATACGCCGCGGTTGCTAATCTGCTTGCACATCTAGACACCTCCCCCGATTTGTTCCGCTATCAATCCTGCATCTTACCTCACCAGAGGGACCGCAGCCCTTCATCGTAGCCCTCCCGAGCCGCAAGAACAACACGATCCCACTATATGTCTTTGTGCCGCCTGCACCCGTGCCGCTCGAGCGTGAAGAGGGCGTCAGAATACCGGTCGAGAATGGCGAGTGGAAGGTCCCGGTCGTGCTCGACTTTCACGGAGGCGGCTTTATCATGGGCAGCCCACTCGAGCAGGCTCCCTACGCGGCCATGATGGCGCGCGAGCTCGGTGCCGTGGTCATCAGCGTGTCATATCGCATCGGCCCGTTCCACCAATTCCCAGCCGCCATTCACGACGCGGAGGACGTACTCAGTGCGATATTGGACACCGACCAAGTATCCAAGGCCAGCAAAGTGCTGCGGAACGAGATCCAGCGATACTTTGGCATGACGATTGAAGAGGTCAAGAAGAAGAAGAAAAATAAGAAAAAGAAGAAGAATGCACACGCCCTCAACGACATCCAGAAAATCACGCTCGACCCGTCGCGTCTCGCCATCTCGGGCTTCTCGGCTGGAGGAAACATTGCACTCAACATGGCAATCTGGGTTCCGCCTTGTCCGCAGCTTTTCAGCTCCCCAGCTACCGCCTCAGGCACCGGAGCACAAACTCCCGACATTTCGCGAAGGCCGTCGCCAGCCGACACCTTTTCGCCGCTGCTACCACCCGTGCGCGCGCCTACTGTGCTCGACGACATCTGCCAGCCGTGGCCATCCATGCTCCCGCCAGAGAAAGCACAGCCCCGGCTGCTACCACTGTTGCTCTTCTACCCCTCCCTCGACGCACGTCTGCTCCCCCACGAACGCCCGATGAAAGACATGCCGAGCGCCCTCAACCCCGACGACAAGAAACCACAGCAAACGCGGATGCCAGGTCTCTTCTCCATCATGGGCCCAACGTACCTCCCCAAGAAGCTCCGCGCCCACCCGCGCGCAAGCCCCGGCCTTGTGGACCCGAAAAATGTCCAAAAAAACGCCGCAATCCTGCTAGTGCTCCCCGAGAAGGACACCCTCGCCGTGCAGAGCGACGTCTGGGTCGACAAAATGAATGGCAGCGGGTGGAATGGTCCCGTGCGATTCGGAGACGGCCGCGATAATGATTGGAACGGACGCGAGGGCAATGTGGGCGCTACGCCAAGCGGCACGAATGGCGGGATGGAAGTCTGGCACGCGCCTAAGTGCAGGCACGGATGGACGCAGTTCCCAGTAGCGATCCTCGGTAAGCACGAGAAGGAGGAAAGGAGGAAAGTGTTCGAGAGGACTCTAGACTTTGTCAAAGCGAACTGGAAGAAGACATTGCCGACTGAGCAGCTGGGCAACATGAATCAAGAGTTGAGGCCCCTCGATATTCCTCCTGTGCAGGCAGACGAGGGGGCTTCTTCCGGGGCCGGCGCGGCCTCGTCATCATGAGGACTGCATCCAGGCGTCGATTTTGCTTTTTGGATGGGTATTGGTACAATGGGCACTGCGTGGATTGGAATCTGGCGTTCACATAGAAGGCCACTCTCGCCGACTGAATCGTGGGCTACGAAACGACATGATTTCGAACTTCACCACTTCACGTTTTCATATATTACCTTCGTTGTGCAAGCGACTTCAGAAGAAACACCCAATACCATGCGCAGCGCATCCGCTAATCTCGCACCCAGCGCCAAGCCAGATAACCGCGGTTCCAAACGCAGCCTAGCTCCCCTCTCACTGTTATCTCACACGACACACGACCACATCGTCACCCACAGCGCATACAGTTCCTTTCTAATGTTGCCCTAAAAGCTCGTTGTACATAGATCTCCTTATTCGCAATGGTCGCGCCCTTCATCAAAAAGAGCTACTGGACGCTCGCCGCACTCGGCGGCATCTGGGCACTGCTCCTCGCTGCCGCCATACATCCCACCGTGCAAAGCCAGTAAGCAAACCCCTTTCCCTGCTATTCTCAAGAAAACACAAGGGAGAATTGGAAAATGATTTGGATGGGATGAGATGGAATGCCATGAGAAGGTGGCTGATTTAAACGCAGCCTCGTGTATATGAACAAACTGCACCATGGACACTTCCTGAATGTGAAGAACCCTGAGGAATTCGGATTTGCTAGTGCGTCTTACATTCCCTCTACCCATGGTATTATCCTGAGCTAATACCATTGCTGCATGTAGAGGGCCAGGTCACGCCGTTCTGGCTCGAGACTAGCGACCATGAGCAGCTGTTCTGCTGGCACGTGCTTCCGATGGATGTGTATCTTGAGCATGAGCGAGAGCTTGTGAGTCGCGTGCAGGATGACGTTGTGGAGAGTGGGGAATTTACGAAGACGCTGGGGGCGAGGTTGCTTAGAGAGGATGCGGGGAGCAAGTTGGTTATCAACTTCCATGGAGTAAGTGCCGCCCCTGTCCCGCATTAGATGATGGACAGAAAAGCTCTTGAGAGGGCTTTGTATGCTGACCAAAATAAATGTAGAACGCAGGCCACCTCGCCCTCGGCTGGCGGCCCTCCATCTACCGCTCCATGAGCGGCATCCCACGCACCCACACCCTCGTCTGCGACTACCGCGGCTTCGGTCTGTCCACCACCACCAATGCCCCCCACCGCCCCACCGAACCAGGCCTCATCACCGACGGCATCTCCATCGTCGCCTTTGCTCTGCATACCCTGCACCACCCCGCCTCTCGCATCACGCTCCTCGGCCAATCACTGGGCACCGCGGTCACCGCCGCAACGGCCCTCTACTTCACAGACCCCACCTCCCCCCTCCTCCCGTCCTCCCTTCCCCAATCACCATCCCCAAAGCACCCCGAGTCTTTCGCCGCGATCGTCCTCGCAGCAGCCTTCACCGACCTCCCCACGCTCCTCAGATCCTACAAGATAAAAGGGTTCATCCCGATCCTCTCGCCGCTGCAAAATTACCCCAAGATAGCTTCCTTCCTTTCCTCTCGCATCGAAGACACCTGGCCCACGCTGTCCCGCTTGCAAGCTCTGATCCCCGCCGCTACGCATGCCTCGGCCCCGCTCCATGTTACTATCCTGCACGCCCGCAACGACCAGGAATTCCCCTTCCAGATTGCCGAGACGGTATATGCGCCGCTGGAGACGTTGTTGTTGGCTGAAGAGGGCGCCAGTAGTGTGAGTGAGCGGCGGAGTATCCAGGGCGGGGAGAGGGTGTCTAGGGGCGCGTTCGCGTATCGGAGGGTTGAGACGAACGACGGGGAGAGGAGCGTGGAGGTGGAGGTTGTGAGGTATGGGGGGCATAGTGAGGGCGTGGGGTGGGGGCAGGTTAGCCTGGCGGTCAGGCGGGCGTGGAGGAGGACAGGCGCGGATGGGACGGGGAAGGAGTATACTGGGGATGAGATTTAGAGTTCGATTTAGGGGTGTTACGGTCGGGTGGGTACGAGGGCTGGTGATGGACGAGGTGTGCAGCCAGTTGTGGAAGAAAGCGGGGTGCCAGCGCCTTGGGCGAGGCAATGTACGATAGAAATATAATCTTCGCGTCATCACCTGTCCTCAAAACAGGAAACTCGAGAGAATGGATGGACAGCTGCCATGGCGAACAAACGCAAGACAGGTAGGCAGAGGTGAGATCTTATTTCTAACAGCAGTATACACGACGGCCAGGTCTCCTGGACCTGGACCGCCTTGAGTGTGGTATCCCACGCGCCGCATCGCGCAACGCCGTTTCCTGCCAAATATCAAAGCTCAGGCAACCCGGCCTAATCGACAACCTTCAGCATCGCGTATGCTGGATGCCCAACGGCCTTTTCAACTAAGGCTAACGGGTCCTCCTTTTCATCTTGCTTCGCCACCACCGTGCCGTCCCCGTTTCCCTCATCCAGACTAACTTTGTCCACCTCCGCCTCAAAACTCCCTCCCTCCAAGAACACCTTCAGCATCCCCTGCGAATAGCCCGACAACAGTGCTGTATTCTGCATGTTCATTGTAACCGGCTTATCCGTGCTGCTGTCCGCCATATTCCAGAATACCAGCTTCGGCATCTCGTACCCAGCGTCGGCGTACTTGCGCTGGATACGGATGTAGCTGCTCGTCCAGCGCTCATGCCCGTACAGCGCAGCGTCGAACTGCATGTCGCTAAACACGAATATCTGCTTCACCATTTCGTCCTGTGTCAGCTTGTTCGCCAGCGCCATAGGGAGGATCACGTCTTCGAAGACGGCGGTGAAGTTCGTGGACATGCCCCAGGCGGCCTTTTCCATAGCACGCACTTTTTCAATGAGGCCGCGGGTGTCGGTAGGCCCGCCGATGGAGACGTAGGACGGGGACGAGGAGAATGTGATGAAGCCGCCACCAAAGGGGGGAGCGGTGACGTCGGCGACAAGGAGGGAGAGGCCGATGGCGGCGTCTAGAGGGGTGGTGTGGTCAGGCAGCTGGGGCTCCATCATGCTGCCGCTGACGTCGCAGACAGCGATCGAAGAAGAGAGCGCACCGGAGTCTTTGATGCGCTGGACAAGTGTCTTCCACTGTTCGTCCACAACCTCGCGGGCTACGGCAGCGGCGCCGCTGGCGCCGCTGATGCCGCGAAGGGATCGCGCTTTCGCAACGAGTTTAGAGGGCAAGAGTGTGGCCCCCGAGATTCTAGCTTTGCCGGCCGCGACGTTCTTGATGTATGTGGAGAAGTGCTCGTTGTCTTTCTTGGCGAAAAGCGCGCTGTAGCGGTCCATTGCGATAGATGGGACACGGTCGTACTTGATATTGGAGAAGGTCTGGGCTGCGATGTCCCGCTCGACTACAGCAAGCGCTTTGCGGAGCGGCGAGGTGTACTCTCTGCGGAAGTGTTCGCGCGCGTGCCGCAGATACGTCTCTCGCTCGGTGTTGCTGCCTTTGGAGTCGTATTTGGTCAACCTTGGAGCCAGGATCTCGGCGATACTTGATGAGACCGTGGTCCATTTGTCGTGGAACTCGCCGAAGCTGGGTGCCCACTTCGCCGCAAGTGAGAGGTTCCTCAAGTGCGACTTTTCGCCGGAATCCAGAAGCTTCCGATCTTCCTGGAGTTGCCAGGCAAAGATGCGGGCCACGGTCAGATGGAGGGCGCGGTAGAAAGGGTCTTCCTGCAACTTGCGTGTCACACGTTCGTTTTGTTGATTCCTCCATAGCTTACGCTTGGCTTTAGCTTCGGCAGCGTCCCATTGCACCCTCTTCCTCCAGCCCCTGGCCCTGTCTTGCTTTTGTGTAAGCAAAGCAGAAGGGTCTCCATCAAACTTCAGCTGGTCGTTCGAAGCGAAGACAAGTATGTTAAGGAGGTCCTTGTAGTAGCCGTGTGAGACTCCGAAGCGAACGTCGTGAGCTTTGAGGAGGCTCTCGGCCTCCGCCTCGTCAGCACTAACGTGCGCTCCCTCAATATTGATCGCCATTTCATTCGTCGGTATAGCCTCTTCGGCATCAATCATATCGAAGTCCTCACTGGTTATGTTCTTTGTAGGCTGGCTGAGTATCACCAAGTCAGACTCAGGATGGTCATTCTCATCTGGCATCTTGACGTCCGTATCGCCACTGGCACCAGGTGCCTTCTTCTCGATGACCGGACGAGTCAGCCAGACGAGGTTGGTGAGCAGAGTGTGGGGGTGATTCTCAGCTAGCCAACCCAGCGCTTTGTACGCAGCGATCTTGCTACTTTTCCCTAGATGGATGCTGCGTGCATTGAAGATGATTTTCAGCGTTGTGAGAGGATCTTTTGTCCATGCGTCTTCGAGCAGGCTTTTGAGCTGATCCGAAGATGTGTTCTGGCCAAGATCGTGGAACAAGTCCACCAACGGGTCCTTTGACGAGATATACGTGACGTCTTGGTTCTCTGTAAGTGCTTCGTTCTCTTTCGCAAGATGTTCGGCAGTTCGATCGTGGGCAGCGTGCTTCTCCAGACCTGTGATAAAGGGAGCCTTATGCACAGGGTCATACCCAGTCTCCACTTTGGCAAGCCTCTTGATAGGCGAGTCTTTCCTGCCACCAACCAGCTCTGTTACCAGGGCGTCAAATTCGCCTTGTTGCATGAACAAAGCTTCATCGTAAGGGAGAAGGACTGGGAATGAAGAGTCTAAGATGGAAGGCTTCACAGCGGGAAAATCTTCATTTTGAGACGCTGCTATTCGTGGCTGCTTCTTGGCTGATCCCGTCAAATCTGTAGGAGGCAGAATTGCAAGATTGGGTGCAGTATCATTTTGGTGTGAACCTGTGGACATCTCTGCAATAAGCGCAACGTTCGTAGGTGCCGTGAAATATCTGCTCGCGTAATGTCTTGACGATGTAGAGGACGATAACGCCGCCGTATATGTTCTCTGTGAGGAATACGATGGAGCACGTGTTTGGTGATGCGTCAGAGGAAGCCTAGAGACCACTTCCGTGAGTTTGCTAGTGGTGAGTCAGTCGTTGCGGTCCCACTTTTCAATGACATTTTATGCAGTGAAGAGTGTAAGAAGTTCCGGGCGGTATGCAAGTGAATGCTTGTGGATACTTGGTGCAGTGTGACACGAGGTGTTTTCAATGTAGAACCAAGCCTCTCTGAGCCTTGTGGTGATCATTCGGGCCTCTCATTGGCGAAGTAGACACTTACACTTGCAAGACGCGTCCTTTTACCCACTGCCACGAGCCCAACAGGGGCAATTGCACCCTGGCTGATGCATGCAGAGAGCAAATGTGCGGTTGATGGTACATCGAAGAGTCAGAGAGGGCGCATTTCAGAATGGCGGATGGGTACGGGGCCAAGAGGTTGAATTGGTGAATCAGAATCGACATGTACAGCGCGGTTGCAGGCATCTGTTTAGGCAGCACTGCGCACGTGCCTCCTGCCCAGCTAGGACTGATGAAGAAAGGAGAGATCTACGGCATGGTCACAGGTAGTGTCCTCATATTCCGACAAGGCAGATTTTGTGTAGAAGTAGAGGGATGTCGAAAGGGTCCAGGTGAACCGCGGCGGACAGTAGGAAAGCATTTCATGCACATGGATTGATGAGTTGCGACATCCAGCTGCAGATTAGAAAGCAGAGTCGGACAATCCATCGAAGTGTTTTGATGAGACAGCTCCAGACGCAAGTAATATGAAGGTATGATAGGAGTGTTTTATAAGACAGCTCCAGATGCAAGTAATATAAAGGTATGGTGGATTGACTGTAGTCGAGGTGTAATGCCCTTCGTTCACAGCGAGGGACTGCAGCATGCTTAGTCAGCCCCCGCTAACAGGCATCAACACCAACGCGGAGCTCCAACAGCTCGCCGCTGCACTCACTCTCCACACACACGCCGACCAGCCATGGCAAAGGACGCTGCGGACACGCCCTTCTTCCAGAAACGGAAATCGGAGGGCCATATCGTCGTCAGAGGTAGCTATCTGCTTCATTGTTCACACTAGATGCATGCTCACGCAGCTAGATCCCCCGAAGTTCGACCTTGAATCGTACATATCCAACTACGATGGCTTCACACGCGCCGACCGCCTCCGCCACATTGGCTCGCACTCCACATACCTCGCCGTCGACGCCTACCGAACCGCAATCGCAGAGGCGAAGCGCGGCAAGAACGTGAAGCTGTACTGCGACCTGGTGGAGGAGCTCGCCCAGATTGCCCCCGAGGATCCAGCCGCTCTGACGGACACGACATGGGCGACGGAGAAGACGAAGAAGGTCGAGGCGGAGAAGGACAAGCTGGAGCACGAGCTGAAGTCTTACAAAAACAACATGATCAAGGAGAGCATACGCGTGAGTGGTGCTTTGTGACAAGTGCTAGCACGCGCGGCTAACCGTCGTCCAGATGGGCAACGAAGACATGGGCCACTTCTATTACGCCGCCGGCGAATACAGCAACGCACACAAGGCCTACATGCGCATGCGTGAGCACTGCACCTCGCCCAAGCACCTCGCCGACATGACGCTGCGTCTCCTCCTCGTCAGCATAGCACAAAAGTCGTGGCTCACTGTGCAATCGCACATTGCAAAGCTCGATTCCACACAAGTCAAGGGCGACGAGAAGGCCAAGCTTGAGCCCATCATATCGGCATGTGCAGGCCTGGCGCACATGGGAGCCGCCAACTACCGCGAGGCCGCAACCGCCTTCATCAACACGTCACCCGCCTTCCTCACCGCCGAGCCGGTCGCAGGGATAACATGGCAGCGTGAGGTCATCACAGGTAACGACATTGCCGTCTACGGCGGCCTCTGTGCCCTCGCCTCCATGGACCGCAGCCAGCTCAAAGACCGCGTCCTCGACAACAACGATTTCCGCAACTTCCTCGAGCTCGAGCCCCACATCCGGCGTGCCATCAACCTCTTCTGCGCATCCAAGTACTCGGCCTGCCTCGAGGTCCTCGAAAACTACCGCACCGACTACCTCCTCGACGTCTACTTCTCTAAGGACCTGTCCAACATCTACGGCCTCATCCGCCGGAAGAGCATCGTCCAGTACTTCATCCCCTTCAGCTGCGTCACGCTCGACGAGATGGCGGCAAAGTTTCAGACGGCCGGCGGCGACTACGCCACTATCGAAGACGAGCTCGAGGCCATGATCAACAGCGGCACCCTCGACGCTCGTATCGACCTCGTCGACCGCCTCCTCATTTCCCCGCCTACTAATCCGCGCTACACCGTGCACGCCGACGCCCTCGCCATGGCACAGTCGTACGACCACACCCTGCGCCTGCGCCTCACGCGCCTGAACATGATGGCGGCGGGCTTCGAGGTGCGGCAGGACAAGGGCGGCCCGAAAGAAGGCGGATTAAAGGACAACTCGTTTGGCGAGGGGATCAGCGCGGGCTTGCGCGGCATCGGGTCAAAAATGGGCTTCTCGTAGGACGCGAAGCCTATACAGCCTCCGTGGCGCAGAGAGTGATGGTGGTGTGCGTAGGGGGTGCTTTCGGTTCGAGCATAGACGGAGTGGCATTTGCAGGCGTTAGGGTGCAGAGTTACGACGTGACGTGACATGACGGGGCTTGCTTGTTCCCCACGGCGTTATCACGGTTAGCGATTCATGGTGACGGTGGGGATGGAGGCGGGAGTGTGCTTTCTCAACCAAGAAGAGGCACCGGGCTGCTAGGTAGCGAATGAATATACAATACGCATGCCTGACCCAGTGCCCTTGGCTGTCTCTCGAACGCCGAACGGAGAAGTCGTGTACACCGCAGCTCAAGCCGTGGTCAATCGGAGTTGTGATGCTTGGCCCTGGGGTGACTCGGGGCGCAACGCACACGCACATTCTCGACCCATGGGAGCACGCTGGTTTTGTCATTCAAGGAAGAGGGGGTGGGGATATATCTGATTCGGTTCGGTGTGTTTCCAGCTACACGTCGCATTCACGGCCATCCATGGCAACGCCATTACAACGCAAAAAAAAAAAAAAAAAAAAAGTACAACGCGGGGTATCACCACAGTACACATAGCACAGCACAGCACTCTCTCCCCCAATTCCCTCAGCGCTAAACCTGCCTGAACACGCCCTGCGCCCGCACGCCTCCCCAGTCCTCCTGCCCCTGCGGCCCCGGCGCCGTCCCGCTCTGGTACCCATAGTACCCCGCCGCGGCCCACTCGCCGTTGGCGAAGCCGCGCGCATAGGGCTGCTCCGCTGGCGCCATGCCGCCGACGCCCATCGGAGTGCCCACACCCTGGACCTGCACGCCCGGCTGGACGCTCTGCGCCTGCCCGGCGTTGCGCACCACGCCCTGCCCGCTCGGCATGCCGTACGGATTCGCAAAATACGCGCCTGCGCCGTGCGAGGATGGATGGCCGTGCCCGGCGTGCCCAGCGTTGACCGTGTGCGTGTTGTGCGGCGTTTGCAGTTGCTGGGCCGCCGTCTGGAGCTGCTGCATTGCTTGTTGCGGGCTGGGGATGCTGTGTGTGTGCGGGACTGGGGGTGGGGTAGGGATATACTGCTGGGGCTGCTGCGTTTGAGACTGTTGGGGTTGGGAGGGGTGGGATTGGGGGTGTAGGGAGGTCGAGTGGGAGCGTGAGTGATGACGCTGCTGTTGTTGCTGCTTTTGGTCGCGCTGGGCCTGGGGATGCGGGTGCGGGTGCGGATGTGGATGTGTCTGGTTCTGGGGCAGTGTTTCAGCCGACTGAGACTGAGACTGATGTTGGAGTTGAGGGCGGGGCTGCTGCGCCATTTGCGGTGTATGCGCTGGCGTCGTGCTTGCCCTCCGTTTCTCCTCCTCGAGCTCGTGGATGCGGGCCTTTGCGTCTTCGAGTTCTTTCCGCATGCGCTCGAGCTCGGAGAGCTCGGTGGGCGCGGTCTGTGCGTGGTGTGTGAGTATGGGATCCACTGCATCGGGGATGGCGGAGGGGCGGCGCTCGTCGGGGGTTTGGTCGACGGTGTAGAAGCACTGCCGATTCTTGTCGATGCAGGTCTGGCAGACTGGGCGCGTACCGTCGCACTTGGCTGGTCAGTGAGGGGCTTGCGCGGGAAGAGGGGCGGTATACCTTGGTCTTCTTGACCTTGCAGACATCGCAGCTGTTCCTTGGTCTCTTCCGCGTGGCGGGCTGTGCTTGCTGCTGCACTTGGGTCTGCTGCTGGGCGGATTGCAAGGGCGGCGGAGGCGGCACAGGACGTTGCTGTTGGACGGTAGGTGGAGGGGGCGGAGGGGGTTCTGGAGGTGAGTGCTCGGGAGCAGGGTCAGGGCGAATGAGCTCGAGCAGCGAGCGGAGGCTCTGAGCACGCAGGTCGCTCTCAAGCGAGGTAGACGACTTCTGGTCGTCTGTCCTCCTCTTCTTCTTCGCCTTCTGCGCGCTTTCCAGGGGCAGATCTGGCCTGGGCGGCTTCGGTCGGCTCGTCAACTTCTTGAGCGTGTCCGGGTCGTTCTCCTCGAGGAACTTGCGCCTCCGCGAGTCCTTCCGCGGCGGAGGGGCGCGCTCTTCGTACGTCTTGTGGATGGGGATGTGCTTGTAGAAGACATCCAGGGCCTGCTTGGTGGCGGAGAACTTGATGGACAGCACGCCTTTGCAGTCGTAGACGGGCTTGGTGGCGCGCTTGCCGAGCTTCGCGCCCTTGCCGTTGGCGGCGCGGTCCTTGTTGAGCAGCGAGTCGTTGCAGTAGTAGGAGAAGCGGTAGCTGTCGTCCTCGCGGCTCTCCCAGCAGTTGTGGAAGCTGTAGCGGTAGCCGTCGCACCGCTGGATGGCGTCGACGCAGCACTTTGCGATGGCGCGCTGCTTCTTCATCTTGTCCCTGGTGTCGGGCATCGGCTGCAGGGCCTCGAGGATGCTCATGGAGATCTTGTGTTCGGTCTTCTTGCCGGCGCTGCTGCTGCTGGAGCTGGGCGGCGCGCCGACGGCACTCGACGGGCTGGCTTGCGGCTGCTGGAAGTCGAGTGCGAGGCCCGTGGCCGGGTCTGGCACGCCTGGGCAGGCGGCCCCGTACTGGGGTGCGAGGATGCCATTTGCGCCGCTGCTGCTGCCAGCGCGGGTGCTGCTGTAGGCCTGGGAGGCGTCGTGCGGCGCGAAGCGGGGCTGCGTCTGCGCCTGCGCCTGCGACTGTGCGTGGGACTGCAACTGCGACTGCGACTGCGACTGCGACTGCGACTGCGACTGCGACGGCGGCTGCGCGGCATCCGGGGGCGCGGCGACGAGGAAGCTGGTGCCGATCCAGAAGGAGAGCTGGCAGTCGGTGTGGTCGGGGTGCTCGGGCGGGTTGGCGAGGTACTCGCGCAGCGACGTCTCAAAGGCGTCGAGACTGGCGACGGTGTACGAGACCGTCTTCGCCTGGGGGTCGCGCGCCTGGCGGCCGCGGGCAAGGTGGACGGGCGGCCCGCTGAAGATGCCCTCCTGCGCGTGCTGGTAGTTTGCGACGGCCACGGGCGCTGGGGCGGGTTGCTCCATGACGGCGGAGCCCGAACCCCAGTCGACTAGCACACGACGTAAGAGTAGAGAGCTTCACGAGGTGTCGAAAGGACTAGAGAGGATTAAGCGCCCACCGCACCCTTCACCGCTGATCCTCGCCGACGACCGCCCGCCTCCCGCCTTGCCGCCTCCACCTGCACCGCAGGCCACCGGAATGAGCGCAGCGTCGTCTGCAATGCCAATGCACGCGTCCGTCCCGCTCATCTTTCGCTGGCCCGAATACACTGTATTGCGTTGCGCAGTGCACTCTGCAGTGCACTCTACCGCGGGCTGCCTGCTATCCCCGCCTACTCGCAGCGCATCGCATCCGCGCTATCGCCCAGCATCACTGCTAAGGGCAGCCAGGGTCCGTCCAAAATCAGATCAGTCGTCTGCAAGGCCCTGAACCCGGCCGGCGATCGCGCAGCCCGAACCGCACCCACTGCCTCCAGCACCACCTTGCACACGGAGTCGCAGCGCGTCAAGCAAAAGCTGGGTCAAGTCGACAAGTCAAGTCGAGTCACGGCAACGTAGACACTCGGGTAGCGCTCAGACAATACATTAGACTAGGAGACCCCGGCCTGCGACCAGCACAGTCGCCGATCCCGTCGCGGTGTCGATGCGATAGCTGCAGCAGCTAGCCACCATCGCCATCCACGTGCAATCATCGCATATCATCATCAGCCCAAAACGCCAGCAAACATGCCATCCTCCCGTTTTCAGTGGTATCAGTCGCTAGCCCAGATGCCCCCAAGTGCCTTCCCATCCATCCGTCCATCCCGCAAATAAGTCATCCATTAAAAGCAGTCCGAGTAAACAAGACCGTCGAGCCAAGCATCAACAAGAAGCGCGTGTCCAGCAGAGCAGATAAATATCGTGGTACAACAAGAGGTCTTGATCGCGTCTCAGTGTACGTCTCGAATTCGATTCCAACGCTTGGGCTCGAGCGAGAAAAAGGTAGAGTGTCGTGGTAAAAATAGTCCGGTAAAGGTAATGCGTTACAATCAAATCAAATACTGCTGGTGTTGGAGTTCGGCCGTGACATGGGGATGATGCGGGCCGCCGATGATGTTGTCGGGCGTCCACGGGCCCTTCTCTTCGGGCGTCGCATCGTGCAGCGCATCCGCGCGCTTCAGCGTCTGCACGTCCAGGTCCGTCACGTAAGACTTGCCGTCGGGCAGCTTCAGGCGGACCTCAAACTCCTGGTCGAGCATCATGTCGTCTTTCCAGAGACGCCGCGGCCCGTCGTAGACGCAGAGGACGCGCTTCTTCATCTTCATCTTGTCCGTCGGGCACCCCCACGAAACGGGGTAGTTCTTGCGCTTCTTGCGTCCCGAACCGGTGATTGCCACGCCGCCCTTGGAAAAGGTCAGCCCGGCCCGAGGGCCCCTCGCACCAGAGGCCTTCGTAACTTTGGAGGGGTTACCACCCCCGACGTGCGATGTGACACCTCGGGGGTGTGTTAGTTGTCAATGCGACTTGTTCTTGATGGAGCCTTTGCCCGACCGCGAGCGACGTGCACCGTAAGTGTCGTCGCTTGCATCGTCGACGTCGACCTCATCCTCATCCTCCTCCTCTTCCTCGTCGTAGTTGGGGACGGTGTACTCGATGCTATTCGATAGGCCGTTGCGGTCGAGCGTTTCCGAGACGTTCTTGTCTTCGGCGACCGATGTCAACAGACGTTGGTTGATAGCCTCGCTGGGGTCGGCTTGCTGAACGACGCGCAGAACACAGTCGTCCAAGTGCTCGTAGAACTCTTGCGCGTTGGCAAATGTAATGGAGCAAGTAGAGCAAGTACCAGCCATCTCTTGTTGCGAACCCGAGTACGGCTTGCGGCCAGTGGGCGACTTCTTCCTGCTGTTGGGCGGGTTCTGCTCTACGCCGTGCACCGAAGTGAGGTGGCGCTTGAAGACGTCGGCGCGGTTGAACGACTTCTCAGCCGCTGAACCAGAGCCCGGGCAGAAACCACACACCATGGTACCCTTGTAGTGGGTGAGTGTGTGTCGGTTCTTGTCGTACTTCCTTGCGAATCCCTTGAGATGGTACTCGCAAGTGGTGATTGGGCACTTCTCTGGCCTCTCGTTCTGATGTGTGAGCATGTGCGCCTTCAAGTCTTTGAAGACGCGGCCGCATTCTGGCAGCGGGCACAGGCCCTTCTCGCGCGTCTCCTCGTCAAGCTCGTAGCTGCTTGCGCTCTTCCGGCTGGTACCCGAGTGATGAGAGTGCAGTGAGGCGTTTGATTGCCGCCTCTGGCCGTTGTACGCTGGATATGGCTGGAAACGGTCGTTGAGGAAGGGGGACGCTGAGCCTCGCTTCAAGTTGTTCGATCCAGGGCGCCGGCTGTGAGAGGAGATGTTGGACAAGGCAGGCGACGGCGGATGCTCAATCACGCCGAAGTAAGGGGACTGGGTAGTCCTGATCTCTGGGTATGGCGAAGGGGGCATGAAGGCCAGAGGGTTCCCAAACTGGGTGAGACTAGGGTCTGCTTCACGGTCAGCGTTTGCTCCTGGTCTGCGGGAGTGTGCGAGACTGGGAGTATCAAAGGAGAACCAACAAGACGATTCAGTTTTGGCAAGGGAACTCGGCTGACTTTGAGGAGACTGCGAGAAAGGAGACGTTGGAATGAAAGGAGAATCTAAGCTAGTATCGACGATGTCGCCAGGGTGTACTTCATTCGACAGTAGAGAATTTCGACGGCCTGCAAATGCGCTCGACCTCGACCCCGACCATCTTGCCGAAGCAGGAGTAGCAAGCGATCTAAATACATTTGGGTGCCAAGGATCCGACGTGGGCGTTGGACAAGATTGAAGAGAAGACGACGCGGACTTTGAAGAGATGCTGTTTGACTCACCCACACAGCCCGGGACCTTGACGGCGTCTGCCATGCCGGGGTACTCGAAACCCTGAGCGAACCCAAGGCCCGCCGAGAGTGGATTCCAGGGCTCGTTGAACTGTGACGGGGAGCCCATGGCGGAGGATGACACTGAAGCGCCAGACTCTGACGAGGCCGAAAGCACTGGTGGCTGCTCCTGGAACGAATTCGATATCGAGTGAGGGGATGCCATGGGACTTGTGTATTGTTGGAAGGTTGCCTTGACGCCCTGGGCAATGCCATCGTAGTGAAACTGGAGGTCCTGGGGCTCAAAAGCACCATTGAAAGTGGGATCCATGGAATATGATGTGGAGGGGTGGAATGGTTGTGAGGTAGGCATGAAGTCGAGCTGTTGCTCCTGGTGGGAGTAAAGCTCAAAGTCGTGAGGCATGTTGGCGGTGGTGTATGGGACGTAGTCGACCATGACGAGAGGGGCCGTATCTAAGACGGCTGAAGAGTGGATATATAGGGTGTCGGCTTCCCCAGTGTTAGCATAAGCAGTAAACAGCACCGTGCCGACAGGGGCACGCGGGCTAGGGTGTGAAGGTCTATGGACAAGCAGGGGACACCTACGTTGAAACACTGGATTAGCCGGGGCCGCGTAGAGCCTTGGGGCCGTCGCACGGGTCGGCGAGCTCGAGGGCGTCTAATATTGGCTTTTGGTGATCTGCTGCTGTTCTTGCTGTTCGAGTGATAGCGGGCGCGGCCAGGATGGGAATGGATGCGATGGTGCAGAGGCCGACAACCCGGTAACGAGCAACGCAGGATGGCGAGGCCGGACGGGCAGATTGTCGAAGCAAAGTCGGAGAGGGTATGGGCTGCAAGCTGTGACGGGCGATCGGAGGCCTGGACTGGTGAAGAGGCTCTCGGGGGCGACATGCTGAGGTTATGTATAAGGCGGGCTGGTCCCCCAGGCGCCATGCTGCGCACGAAGCAACCGTCCCCCCGGCGGGCGGACCCTTGCAGGCCCTTTGGGCGTGGCTTGGGGTGGGAACGGTGAGTGCACGCTAGGAAAATGAGAAAGACAAGTGTGCGCGACCACCGGCGGCCATGAATCCACGTCTCCGCCTCGATCGCGCGCGCCGACCACATCGCGGTCAGACGAGCCCCCAGAGGTGCGGTGAGGGCGAGCCCCGGCGCTGCACGACGCTGCACCTCGTCTTCGCGACCATGCCGGATACGGTGGGGGCAGGCGGGCGCCGGCGAATGGCAGGACCGCGCTGCGAGAGCCTCGACGCCCAAGCGGGCAAAGGCACGCGGATTGGGACGAGCGCCAGGCGACGTGCCGCCATTCTGCACGTCGACCACCGCTTCTGTCGGGAGCCACGTCCTGCCATCCACTGCGCCGGCGCCGCCGCCGCCCTGATTCGCCGCGCCCTCGCCTGCCTGTGGCGCAGGCCTATGGCGCAGCGCGCGCCCGCCGCCCATTCGCTGGCGGCCCCGGGCGGCCTAAATATACCCTCCGCCCACACCATATGCCCAAAGGGGACCCGCGAGGCTCTGCGCGCCATGTCGCGCGCACCAAGCTTCTGCCCACACCGCAGCGTGCCAGCACCCTGCGCCGCTCCCCTGCCCGAGCGATGCTGCTCTGTGCCAGTGACCAACCCACTGCATTCCCGTGCGTCCTGTCTGCGGCCTCACCGCCGGCCAGCGAGCATCTCGCGCTCCACGTCGCTGCGGCGCGCGCCGCCGTGGCCGTTGTCGCCGGTGAACCATGGACGAGCCCCGTGGACGCTTCGACCACCGCCAGCAAACCATCTGGTTTCATGCTGATGACTGCGGGTCTGCGGGCGTGCAATCTCACCCTGGCCAGCCTCTGGAGCCAGTACGTACCGCTTGGCCAGCACAAGGCCTGTCTTCTGTCGTAATACTCGGGCTTTTCGTTCCGCCTCCAGGCGGCTTGCCGGGTCCGCACAGTCACGCTGCTTCTCACGCTCGTGGTCCCTGAATCCTCTGGCCCGGCCTCATGGGTAAGGTTGCTAAGAAGCGTGAACGGCACCCTGTCCTGGGAGCGTGCAGCCTATCATGCTACCCCAGCCCTTCCTCTGCAGTGCGACGCGGCGCTTTGACGCATGAATATTGCCTGCGTTACGGTGCTACGGGTTTCCTCTCGAGACACAATGTAACGCCTCTCTCCAACCCAGACGAGCCATGTCTAACAATGACCGCTTCGCTAATTACACACCGTACAAAGCAGCTCCTGCGCTGCACGTGAAATAAGGCGTCTTGGCAGTCAAATAGGTCGCAGCTGCGGGGCAAGGCACGTTGGGGTGGATTGTGGCAGCCCCTCGTCCACACATGGTGCTTGGGCCATGCGTTGTTGATGGTTCGGCCACCATGGCTTGGTAGGGCTATCCGTCGATCCAGCGGCATGTAAAGGAGCTATGTGCCAGTCTTCTCGATGGCGCCGCATTAGTTTTCGACTACGACCTCTGGTTCTCGTAGGAGATGATACGAGAAGCTCTTGGGACGTAGCCTTGGTCCATACCTTGCATATGCACGTCGTGGGGGTTCCGGATTTCCATGAGCAATGGGTACACGTCAGGAATCGATGCTTTGGCATGCTTGTAGCCCAAGCAATTCCGCTGCAACAGGGCAGCAGAGTGCGAACTCGTCAATCATGGCTGTCGCACCGCCACAGGGCCGTATTTCGGACCTATATATAGCGGACGGCGAGCAGAGAATCGCTTGGCGTCCAATCAGCGGCCGTAACCAGCCCAGGGACGTGCGTCGTGTCCGTGATTGAGCTTCCCGCGATACGATAGGTTTGCACGGCCACAGTTCTGCAAAGGCTTTGTCTGGGCCCTCGTGTGGTGACCTGACTATCCTGGCCTGTCCAGTCCAGGCTCGTGTCCCGCGGACAAATTGAAGATAGCCACGCTGGTCTAGGACAGGAAGGGCCACTTTCGCGAGCGTATTCCTGACTGGTGATATCCCCTCCGTCCATGACGACTTGTGCCTGACCGGAGATCAACAACGCTGCCAGAAATTCCGATCGTCTCATGTTATGTACCTCCCGTGTACGGTACGGAATATGATTGGCAACGGGTCAGAATTCGGTTCTATTAAAACAATGCCGGTGCGTTGAATGGTTGCTGAGCAAACACAATCTCATCCGTCAGAATCGGCGTGCAATTGCCCCGGTCTGATGGTGAGCGAAACAGCCCCCATCCAGCGAGGCCGTACTCAGGGGCGACAATGGCCACGAAGCCGCTCTGAGACATGCGCTATCGTCAGATATGGCTACGTTGTTGCAAACGAAAGGGCCAACAACCGTCTAATGTCCCCCATTTGCGCTTCGACTGCTGCAAGGCGGACGGGGCTCCGTCCGTCCTGAGAGTTCGTGTCTAGCCCGCCGTAAATGAGCTAACTAGGTCGTGAGGAGTGCGATAGCGGTAGCTTTGCATTTACAAAAGAACTTATTCTGGAAGACTTGCACGAGATGGGAGATGCATGGCATGCGCACATGCAGTGCGTGGGATGCCACAAAGCCACATCGACGGGTGATCCGCAGAATGAATGCTCACTGGCGGAGTACCAATATTACGGTTTCGGTTGAGCGTCCTCCACTGCGATGCGATGCGTCGTGTTTCTGACGTTCCGTACCAAGCGAACGGACCCTGTTTGACAACCAACACGGTCCTTGTGCTAGATCTGATCGATAGTGCTGTGCACCCATGAAGCTGCCGAAGGCCACGAGGCCATTTTTAGCGGACTCGACGACAACCGTCATTTTCGTCCTCGTAATCGCCAGGCAACTGTTGCGGAATCCGAACCCGTTCCAAGTTAGCGAATAGAACCGTTCGCGAATTGACTTCGCACCACCATCTTCGGCGGTGCCGGTGGTTTGTGGGCGATGTGGAGGTATCGTCGGCCTCGCCTGTGTAGCGAGTCGCAGTGACCCCACAGCAAGCGCCCATGCCTCCCTAACCTGGGAGGGACCGAACCCGAGCCGCTGGATTGGTCTGTCCCAGCGTCATCCTTCCCGCACACTACACGATCCGCTAGACACCAAAAGGGATGCGGATAATCACTACCGTCTACCACGGACCGAACGATGCGACACGTCGATAGCTTACAAGACCGACCCGACCGACCCCGACTTGGGATCCCAGACAACGACAACTTAGGGAGCGAACAAGGTTTGGATGGGCGGCGCGTTCAATTATTGGAAGAGCCACCTGTCTCTCATTCGCTTTGAACGCAGTACGTGTTGATGCAGGCGTGGGAGCTTAAGGAGGGATGCATCTGGTCTGTGTCGAATCCAGACTCGGCACGAGTTGGCAAGCCGCCGGAGGAGACACTTGGGCTTGCATTACGAAGCCAGCCACGTTGTACCATAGCCACGGCATGGGGTGGATTGTCTGAGCTCTGCTTGGGCGGGAGGGAGCGGAATTATCCGCAAATGAATGTCAGGTGCAGGAGATCATGGCTCTTGGCCAGCCGAAAGCCCTACAAGCCCATTCGAAAAAACAATCTGCTGCCATTTCCACAACACGGGCTGTCCTAGACAGTGTTGCAGGATCAGCCCACCCGTCCAAGAAGCGCGGCCCGCTGTCCAAGGGGCTCGCATTCGCGAAAGCTACCGCTCTCGTTGTTCGCTGGAGAATCCGGACCTTTGCGTGCAACGCGCACGTGGTGTGTGTAGAATCTAGCCAGCTGCTCGCCGAACCCAGAGCCTGCAGACGGCCGCGATGAGCGAGTTGAGGCGAAAATACGACATTCCCAATGCATATGCCGACGATGGCCTTGAATGGGAAGGTAATTCGGCAGATCGAGATGCTTTCGTGGTGCAGGTACTGAGCATTTGCCGTGTGCGGATTAGATCGGCAGGTCGGCGAGTAGTTGCAGGGGTGACAACAGGCCGCACAATCCGGCTACTGTTCACAAGCAACAAAAGTAGATGGAAAGAGAGAGCAGTATTAAGTAGATGTAGTCGAAAGAGAGTTGTTTGGGTTCCGTCGACGGCGCAGCGTACCCTCTTACTGGGACACTCGTGGAAGTGGCAACAGCGGGGCACTTGCTGAATCCGGCCCTGTCTCCGGGGTAGGCGCAAATCAGGCACCCCGTCGCATCAGCGCAGCTGAACGAACGTCGTGGGAGCAGGCACAGAGTGTACGGTTTATCCTATTCTTAGAGCTCTTCGAAGATATCGCTGGGGACAGGCTTCTGAAGGCGCGTACCACCGTGATTTACAGCGGTGTCATATGAGCAACGCAAACCATATCCGATAATAGTATCCATGCTTTTGTCTATAATTTCTCTGGTCACGGTGCTGTGTCGAAGAGTCCATACAACGACTGGGGTTTGTTGTGCTTGACGAAAATTCGGTGAGGCGGCTCCACGGAATAGCAGCGCAGAACTGAACGTTGGGCCGGTAGCGATGGCGATGGGTCCATCATAGAATCACTTGGAAGGCGTTGCTTCCCGTTCCTGAAACATTTCTTCGGCTCCTCTGAATCTCAATGACAAATTTGCACAGCAATGCTCTCCAGAGGATCGTGACAGCACACAATGCAACTTGAATTGCCATCCATCAGTATTCCTACGGAGATAGTCTTGTGTAAATATGCCTACGACGTCACAACTCCAAAATGACAATGTCCTGTTACCAGAAATCGTGCTCTAACAAGTCTGGACTTATTTCTATGCGGAGATTGGAGAGGGCAAGAAATTGAGAGGGCGACTGGAGATCAGGGAAGGAACTATGTAGTTCACTTCGTTTCATTGATGCCGCATTCGTCCCTTGGCCAAGTCCCACTCTTATCAGTAATGTTCAGAATACAGCTCCACTTTGTTGGGGAACCACCAGAATGAGACCCTGTCAACCAGCTTAGCACTCGAGGACGACACAGTGACTGCTTTTATGACAGACGCTAGAATCGAACAGGTCTGCCTGCTCACGTCGAGTACTCGGCCAGTCAAACTGATAAGATATCAAATAGACATTCGGAGATTCCATATTCTTACGAAACCTCAGGACGGGCTTTGGTTTTCGGTGTTTCCTCGTAGCACGGCTGACCATGGACAAAACACTTCCCAACAACATCGTTGCCCAACTGTTGAATAAAACTTCAGAATGCAATTCTTGACAAGTAATAAATAATTTTGGCTCGTGTGCAGTATTTCTATCCCACATCCCATTTTGATCCTGACACACTCCAAATCAGCATCTTCACGAGCAGGTCAGACCACACTTCACCATGGCTATGCCAATGCTCAAGCGCTGCTCTACGGGATTCACCCGTGCGGAGCCCACGCCAATTTCCTCATCAGCTGTTGACGAGCCGCGCTCTTCAAGAACCCTCTTCAAGCAAGTTTCCTTTTCGAAAGCGTTGCAATTCACCTTCATCAAGCAAATTACATCCCCTCCCGGCCAAAAGTCACACGATGACACTGAGCAAATCACCGACGTAAGTAATGCAGCCATTAACGCCGCAGACCTAGAAAAGGACACCACAGCCGCCGAGCGAAAAGCAAGAAAAGCCCACATGGCAACCAAATCTCGTGTACAAAGCTTGCGAGACTTTTTCAGCATTCCCTCGCCAGCGTTCAGCGCACTAGAGGACATCGAGAAAGAAGAGTATCAGGCATGGCATGCTTACGCTAGGCAAGAAAAAGAAATGAGACAGCGCTACGAGGAGATCGCAGCAGACGTCGAAGTGATGTTACGAGGCTGGCGCGTCGATCATTCTCCGCCACACCTCTCTGCGCCCGTTCTCACCCTTGTTACCGAGGAGAGTGCGGTCAACAAGAGCGGAACTTATCATAGTGGGGACTGCGAATTGCCTCCGCTCTCCCAGGACATCACCTGGAACGCAATTACGCTTATTCCTTCGCCATCAAGTTCAGTTCGCTGCCAGGTCTGTGGTCAAGGGCCAGCGAGCTTCCTGGGGTTGCGTCCGATGTACGCATTGCCATGCCGACACTACCTGCATGTGAAATGCTTTGAGGACCATTGCGAGAGGTGGCTGGGAAGATCGGGCTGGGGTGCGGCAGGAAAGGGAGCGCGGGAATGCATCCGCTGCAAGGGCTTGAAGGAGCTGACAAGGATTTTACCAAGGGCGGAGCTAGACGCGCGGATACGTCGCGTGGGAGACAAGTTACTGAATTGGAGAAGAAACAAACCAAGCGGAGCGGTTAGTGCGGATGGAGGCGTGACCGATTCAGAGGATTGCCCAGATTAGTGAGAACAAGAAGATATGCGGCGTCGGTGGCCGTAGTTGAGGGATCAAAATGGCCCCGGGAAGGCATCAAAATTGACGAGTCACATTTTTGTGCAAAGTGGTTGAGATTTCGAGCGAATGGAAATGTTACGTAGTCGATAAGATTATTGGCAACATCCGAAAATGCAACAATATCACAAGTGATCATCATGCAATGACTACATTTAAAGGAAGGAGGGAAGGATCTGCAGCAGCTCAGGTATGACTTCTTTCCCGAACGTCATTGCATCTAAGTGAATCTTGCCTACCATGTGTCGTGGCAAGCTTGAAGAGGGAAAAGGCGGAGGAAGAGGCTGGAAGAATGAGCCCAAAACGCGACCAAAACATAACTGGAATGAAGGCATTACCTATTAGACCACAATCATAGCGCCCCAAAACAGCTATGGAATCCAGGAGAGACGACCCTGTCAGGGGTCGTTACTGCGTTGTTGCGACGGGGGATGCATTTTCGAAGCACACATCTACATGTGATCTTGTAGCCGGGGCTTTTCGCGCGTTGGCATTGCATACCGGACGATGTTGCAAAATACTTCCTCCAAAGAGTGGCATTGCCTTCTCTATTGCGGTATATTATGAAATCAGGGTCCTTCGACTCACCTGGCATGTCCACCTTTCTGCCACTGTGTGCTTCCATGCTGCAATATGCCGTTGTTGTTACGATGCTCACGGGCAGCGATGACACTGTCCATGTTGTCACAATGATTATTCTTCTCTAGGTAACCTGGTCTTGCTGAGCTTACGCAAGGCAGGTGACACTTTTGGCTGACCGGTACAGACATCATTTATGCCCATGTCCACTGAATGCATTGCATTCTATGGTCTGTGGTTATCGGCGTGTCTCACCCTTGCCAAAAAAAAAAAACCCCCCCTCAGCATAAGCGTATTTAACTGGCACGAAGGAAAGCTCGACCTTGTAAATGATCGCGGAGGACACACCAAGGATCCATGGACGAACGAGCTGACATTTAGTTTGACCGTCATGCCTATCAACCGACTTAATCAGGTGAGTGATTTACTTTCTGTATCATCTGTACGAGTGCGATCATTGACAAACACAAATGAGCTCGCTGATGGCATTGGAAGACTATTTTAGATAATCTGCTGATGTTGCGACAGGAGTCTGTTAAGTTTCCATCCTTCGATTGGTTGGATAGTTGCTACACATTGACGTCCTTTCGGACGATAGCGAAGAGCGTCGTTGTTCCCTTACATTTGTCTTGTTGTTTCCCATACTTGGTTTTTCCAGAGCACAGCACACATCCATTGGCTTTGGGTGCATAGGTCTTTTGTCCCTGTGCCGGAGACGCAATTTGCTGACTCCCCCAAAGGATGATGAAGGAATTTATTCAGGTGGCAATGGCGATAGCGGCTTAGGGGATGGAGGCTCAGGCGATAGCGGTTCAGGAGATGACAAGTCAGGGATCGGAAGCCCGGGAGACGGCAGCAGCGGCGATGGAGGGAGCTATGGCGATAGAGGAAATGGTGGTGATGGGGTAGGTCGACTTTCTAACACTAGTGACATTGCTTGGAGTTGCGGTCAGCAACTCAGCAAGAGCATACGACCTAGCGATCTAGCACAGGTCGACGCCACTAACATACTAACATGAGCAAGCTTGTCAAGCAGCACAATCTGAGCATATGCCTGAGCAGCAACGAGCAGTAGCACTAACGCGAACTCATTTAAGGAGCAGCTTGTCTGCAATAGACACATGAACTAACGTTCTGTGTAGGAACAACCTGGAACCAAAGGAGTCAAAGGAGTCAAAGGAGGCAAAGGCAAGGGAGAACCGGGAGACGAGCCATGGCTACCATTCTATTGGCCACCGGACCGGCCACCTTCGAGCATTGGCGACGGTGTGAGAGGAAATGGCCCGTTCTGGAGTGGCCACACCTACGATTACGCACACGGCCATGGAGACCATGCCCAGGGCCATCCCTTTGGACACGGCCATGGCCCGATCGGTAAACGCTTCGCTCAGTTTGCTCGTAGGTTCCGAGCATGAAAAAGACGCGTCGATGAAATTGTACAGCCGAACGGAAAATTGTAGGTTTCTACAGAACTCGAGTAGTGAGCTTCACTAACAACCGCAGGGTTCAAGATTGATGGAAGTCTATCGGCATACATACAAGAGTTGGATTTGTTTACGACACTCACTTGAGGAACGAGAAATGTTTTAGGTAGTTAATCAAATGCTTTTGGACTCGCAAATCATCATTCTGCCTGCAGTCGTGATATAAGAAGACCTAATTCATGCCGTCCTATCCGTATACTTTTCTTTCTCTCGACCTGACAGAGTTGCCGCAACCTTACCGCCCATCAAGTGATCAACATCAGGGATGAAGAAGCTTGCTATGATTGCTAGCCCACCAAACGCAAGACTGACCAAAAATATGGTCTTATAAGCATCTGTGTAGGCATAGCGATATGCCTCCGTACCAGCTGCGATAACATTTGGTGTCAAACCTTGCACTTTACTGAGAAGCGATTCGGGGGCACCAGCTGCTATTGCAGCCATGTAAGCTGATACTGAATCAGCGGGTAAACCTGCTCTGATGACTGCAGCTGGCACCTGGCGTCCAAGTTCCGTAGCAGTCCTTGTGGCCAGGACGACGGAGTAAATCGTGCTTGCAACGGTGCTAATTGCTGACCTTGAAGAGCCAGCAACACCAGCAGCTGTACCGATCTCAGCTTGGTCTGGGATTACGATCGTGCAGATGGGTAAGACGAGGGCTTCGTTCCAGCCAACGAAAGTCGTGGCAAGCATCATAAATGCAATGGCCATCCCTGGTGTGTCGGGCTTGCACAGAGCGGCGAGGCCTAGAAAGAGAGTACCTAGGGTGATAACGGTGAGGCATTGGAGCTTCCAATGACCTAGATGCTACGAATCTGTTAGCTAACAGAACACGATGTCTAGCCGAACAATGCGAGGGAGTAACACATACCTTTGCGAACCCTCCTCCAATGATCTCGCCCAGTGTGATGCCGATACCAACAACGGAGGAGACCACTCCACCCCACATGAGACGCCCTTCAGCGTAAACATTTGCCGTCATTTGAGGCCAAACGATAGCCTGGCTGTAGTAAACACTCGCTCCAAGCGACAAGCTCAGCATGGACGCGACCCAACCACGATTCCTAAAGAACTCCATGGGAATCAAAGGCTGGGACAACTTGGCGTAACTCTCGTATACGAACAGCGCTATCAAGCACAAGACGCCGATGATAAGAGGTGCGAGCACTCGAGCATCGACCCACGGATATAGAGTGTCGCCAGAAGAGAGACCGAGGATGAATAGAACCAGTCCAGCCGTGTAGAGGAAGAGTCCACCCCAGTCGAATGTCCGAAGGAACTTTGAGACGTGGTCTTTTCCGTGTTTTTGATGGAATGTCGGCGGGAAGTAGAAGACGCCGTATAGTATCGCAGTGAGACCGTTCAGGATGATGAGCAAGTAGTATGCCCATCGCCAACCTGCACTTGTTTTGAGAATGAATGCAGTTGATATCGCAGCGCCAAACCCGGCTGTGGGAAAAGAGAAGATGAAAATGATAGCGTTGAAGATGACTGCAGCCTGATTAGTGTGGGATATAGAAGTGGGACATGGTATGGTACAAGATATGCCGGAGACATAGCAACGTTCTGCTGGGATATTACTTACATCTGCGCTTCACTGGGACAAGCTCTCCAATCACAAAGGCATAGCTGTAGCCCGTAGAAGCACTCAATCCTACCAGTACTTGTCCACCAATCAACACGTTGATGGATTTCGCAGTGCTCGAAACGATGGCACCAATGCATCCAAGTGCCGTGCCCCCGATGAAGAACCAACGTCGTCCAAAGGTATCCGTGATCCTTCCGACAAGTGTAAGGCCAACGGCCAAACCCATGGTGTAAACGAGAGACAGCCAGATGACGCTCGATGCTGCGTCCAATGAGACGGCGATCTGGCCGAGGACTATGAAAGATGAGTCTTCGTATGTGACAAGTATTTCGGTGTAAAGTTACCAGGTGCTACGAGAGCGAAGCCTCCAGTTGAGCCCTGTCGAATGTGTCAATAAGACCTACTGACCAACTTCACTCCCAAAGCCAGAGAGCTGGGTCATTCAAGTGCAGAGTTTGCTTACCATCAAATTAAGTCCAATCGCAACTGTGGTTCCGAGAAAGAAAGGCGAGTAATAATAACCCTTTGGGAGTTCCTCAGCATCTGCAGTGAAGCCGTGCGCATCCGTCCCAATGTTAGCGACATGTCCAGACCCATCATGAGAGCTGGAAGCCTGTTCGACATGTTCAGAGTGGCTTTTCTCAAACACGGTGTCTGTCATTTTGGATGCCTTTGATGATGATTGATGGTGTAACCTGGCAGCTTGCGCTTCAAGTCACAGGGAATGTGGGTCATGCCTAGACGATGATCTGCATTTGTACCTGATGTCCCACTGTCACTCTTAGTGCACATTTGGCGCACGGTGATGACTCCTGTCACTATTCATGAACCACAACTACGCGTACTTGCGGATGTGAATTTCCGTATAACAAATTGAACAATGACAAGTCTCGCCCAACGCCACCGGCGCTTTCTACAAGTCTTGCGACAGATTTCAGGTCTAGACCTTTGGCAGCTGATCGATGGGCAAGATGCTGAGCGTTGAAGTGAGTCGGAAAATGGATTTCCGGGCAATGCACTACTGAAATGTGGGCCGTCTGGGGTACATGAGATAGCGTGTAGACGGCACGACTCGCTTCCACTGAGGGGAAGCGGGGTGCCCGCACTTCCGCCCTTGAAAAAGTGCTGGGCTAACTCCGGAGGGGAGGCGTAATGCCTTGAAACACGGCGCTAGCTCGACGCGATCATGGTTATGTAGTTCCGACAAGACCGTTAGGACTTCCCCGGACATTGATCAGTGAATTCGGAGGCTGCGACAGCCCATCAATTAGGAATTGGTCCGTTTTCTCAATCTAAGATATTTGTCAATTTTTTTTCGGTTGACAGCTGCAGACCAGAGGCGGAGCTATCTAATTTTTCATCTTGATGTTGTGTAGCTTTTCTTTGAATCCCCATACAATTGTTATACTGTTCCGCGCCCAGCATAGAGTTTCATAGAGACACAATGCCGCCGTTTCCGAAAAGGAAACTTGGAAAATGTGGACCCGAGGTCTCAGCGTTGGGATTTGGTGCTATGGGACTGAGCGCATCGTATGGCAAAGTCGAAGAGAATGAAGTTAGATTCAAAGTGCTAGATCGTGCCTTGGAGCTTGGTTCTACATTTTGGGATACTTCCGATGTCTGTATGTCTGCCTTCAAGTAATCCCAAAGTTCCGCTATTGTTTCAGCAGTTGAACTTACAAAGAACAGATGCCGACAGCGAGGATCTGTTGAAACTGTGGTTCGAGCGCACTGGAAAACGCGATCAGATATTCCTGGCCACCAAATTCGGCGTGACTATCGAAAATGGAAAACCGACGATGCGAAGTGACCCTGAGTATGTGAGGCAGGCCTGCGAGAAGAGTCTGAGGAGGCTGGGTTTGGGCAAGATTGATCTTTATTATTGTCATCGTGTGGACAAAATCACCCCCATTGAAGAGACGGTATCTGAAATGGCAAAGCTGAAGAAGTAAGTCTCTCCGCATGACGTCTTAGTGCAGAATTAACGTTTTGCAAGGGAAGGGAAGATCGGTGCTATCGGCCTCAGTGAGGTCTCTGCTGCGACAATCAGAAGGGCTGAGAAGGTTCACCACATTGATGCCGTGCAACTTGAGTACAGCCCATTTGCCCTTGACATCGAATACCCCGAGATTGGAATTCTGGAGACGTGTCGAGAGCTAGGTATTGCGGTCGTCGCCTATAGCCCGCTGGGGCGAGGTTTTCTTACCGGACAAATCAAAAGTCCGGACGACTTTGAAGACGGCGATTTTAGAAAATATGCGCCGAGATACAGCAAGGAGAATTTTCCAAAGAACCTGAAGCTGGTGCAGAAACTGCAGGATATCGCAGCCAAGAAGGATTGCACTGCTGGGCAGTTGAGTCTGGCCTGGTTACTAGCGCAAGGCCCAGATGTCATTCCCATTCCGTAAGTACAGCATTGCCCTTCCTGCTATATGCTAACAGGTTGCAAGTGGAACCAAGAAAATCAAATATCTTGAGGAGAACATCGGCTCCATCAAAGTGCAGCTGACCGCTGAAGAAGTGAAGGAGATACGCGCGGAGATTGAGAAGGTCGAGGTCACAGGTGATAGATACCCACCAGCATTCCAGTCGTACTCTTTTGGGGACACACCTGAACTCAGCCCGTAGAGTTGATTTGATGTACATGGGACTTCTGTCATATGAAGCAGATTATAGACTCTCAAATGAATTTGTATTTTTCTGCTCAGCTTTCATAGCTTGTTCTTAACAGCATCCCCAATGACGGTGTTATCGTACCCCAGCATTATATGAATAGGTGCTTTGATGAAGTTGTCCTCATCAGGCGCAATTGTAGCGATAAAGTCGGGATCCGTTGCTATCTCCTTCCAGGTTTCAATGTCTTTGACCCATACTTCTGCAATGCCGTCATATTCTGGTACAGGAATTTTGAACTCTCCGGCCTGTGCTTTTAAGCTTGGAGAGGTGTGGAACTGCTGGGGTAAGCCGCGTCTGAAGAATGATGATATTGCGTACCTGATTGTATCGGATGACCTTGTCAACGAATTTCTTATTCTCTAGTGCAAGCTTGACGTGGTTGCCTTTCCAGTAGTCGTGGAAAAATTTGTCAGACACTTCGTCTTTCTTCTTGATGCATAGCTGAACTCGAATGTATGGAAGGTTTGCGGGCTCGCCCATTGTGTATGATTGTTTGTGTTATGGGTGTGGGGAATTGCATGTATTGCGGCTCGGTATAAAACTACTGCGTTTGAATGTAGGAGCACATCACAAGGACACGCGACTTAGCGCGTGGAGAAAGATATCCGGGCACCGGGTGAGGCTGAGCCTTAGGTTAACCCCGCAATTGGCATTCCACTATCTCGAGCTCTGCACGCTCCACGGATCTACACAGAAGCTAATCCATGTATCACTGCGAATGTTCCAATAAATGTGGGTATATTTTTGCACTTGTATTTATACAATATTAGATCGTACCTCTGTCATAGAAGACTTTTGGTATATCCACCTTCTTGTATCTGATGTATTCGCACACATTCTTCCCCAGGATGTCGTAGCTTGAACTTGAGTTCGCGCCGCGATCCAAGTGATCCCTCAGGAGGAAATGCACAGCGTTCAAGGAGGGGATCTCAAAGCGATCGATCTTCTTCCCTGTATCTTCTTCTTCCAACAGCTCTCGTAGCTTTCCTACGGAGAGCAATGAGCGGAGCCAATCCCATTCGTCAGCGTGTCGCACAAATAGGCCAAGGTTGCAGTCGGAAGATTTATCCCCAGACCGCCCGTGGACGATATGACCGAGGGGCGCACGCACTGTAGGACCCCACGAGTCGAGTGGGAGTGGTGACGATGTGTCGTAGGAGACTTGCTGACGCGGATACATCGCTGTAACGGTTGGAGCTGGCACTGGTATGGTCATCCCGTTGAACGTATGCATCTCATGATTGATCTTGTTCTGCGGAAACAATGCCACCCAATACTCGAAGAACGGTTTGCCAGTACTTTGCCGCAGGTCCATGGCAGGAGTGCCACCTGGATAGCCTTGCAAGCAGTTCTCGATCACCCATTTCGCAAAGCTGGGGGTGTCAGGCGCAACACCCTTGTGCGATCCTGCAGACATGATATCGGGATTCTTACTCTGAGCAAAAATGCGAAGGTCGACTGTCGCACTCGCCTGATTCTTGGGGTTCTCGGCTACCGAGCCAGTGACGTTGAAGGTCAAAGTTGTGAACTCTTTCTGGTATTCTCCCATCGATTCCAGCGTTTGCCTCTTTACGAGCTCGACTTTCTCCGCAATGTCAAGACCAGTGAGGAAGAAATGAACCTCAGCTTGCCAACCACCGCGAGCAGTGATGCCGATCTTGGTGGTAGGTGGAGGAGGCAAGCCGACTACGCCAGTGACTCGTACACGATCTGGTCCTTCGTCTGCTACGTGTATCCCATCAAGGCGAGCTGTGACATCAGAGTTGTAGTACAGCGGACCTTGGATCTCGTACAGCAATTGCGCAGTGACGGTCGAGACGTTCACGATTCCACCGGCGGTCTTCTCTTTGGTGATCACGAACTCGCCATTCGATTCAATCTCGCCGATAGGGAAGCCTAAGTTGGTGCAGTTTCTCGACTGGAGTAACTCTTTCTTGAATCCTGTATAATATCCGCCGGTAACGTAAGAACTGCATTCGAGCAAATGGCCTGCCATGAGCGCATGAGCTAATTCTGTGAAGTCTTCGCGACCCCAGTTGTGAAACCACATGGCTGCGCCGACCACAGGCGCAGCATCTGCGACTCGGCCGCAAATGACGATATCGGCCCCGTGACGAAGGGCCTCGGCGATTCCAACGCCTCCTAGATAAGCCTGCGCACACACTGGCTCTACGCCCCACTGGTCGATGGGGGTGTCTGAAGGCAAGGACGGAAACTTCTCCCCACTCTTTAGCATCTCTTTGAATTGTGTCGTGACATCGTCACCTGTGACCCATGAAACTTTCAGGTCTGTTCCGTGGTCTTTGACGAGCTGCTGCACGACTTTGGCCATAGCCTCAGGGTCACAAGAACCGGCATTGACTGCGACCCTCTGCTTGTTCTTGGCGATGTCTTGGATTGCTGGCTTGAGCGCGGAAATAAATGACATTTCGAACGCAACTTGCTCAGCGTCTGGTGTTCGGGATGCGCGCTCATTGCCTCGGAAGGTCATACTAATTTCGCTGATCCAGTCGCCAAAAAGTACTGCTATCATCAGCGACCATGTCGCGCAGGAAGGCCATACTGCATACCATGAATGCTTGGGTCTTTGGCGAGATCTTGGATCGAGCGAAAGCGGTCAAACACTCCCCCAGAGACACCACCAATCCTCAATACGCTACGTGAGCGATCTCGAGACTCTGCAACTCCCTTCATATGCAGGGCTGGGGTCATAGTCATTGGATTGGTGCAAGAAATTGCAAGGTAAGGGTTGTCACGCTCGCTCAGGACTCGGCGCGGTTCCTGTCGAACAGCTACGACAGGAAGTGAGTTTTTCAGTAGCGTTCCGTTCCCCAGAAAGGTTTTGGATGCCAGGAATCGGAACAAGGTCGAACCAGAGTTGCATTTCCGACTCTTCGCTCAGTATGAGCAGGAGGCGCTAAGGCCACGGTTGTCGCGTTATCCATCCTCGCGACCGCGCGTGGCGCCCGCGCCAGTAAGTTAGACGCCACGCACATGGTACCATTGCGTTAGTTGAGGCGCATTGAGCTCACGGATGATGGGTGCCGCTTGTTGTCGGAAAAGGGGAAATACGGTTCGACCAGGGCGTTGGAAAAGCGGGGGGCGGAGAACACGCTATCGATAGAGCCATTCCACAACATTGCGCAAGTCATGGTCCTTTCATCCTAGGCATGACGCTGCCAGATGGTTCTGTGTGCGTTCAGGTCTTCAATTAGCAGTGATCACAACAAGGACCCTCATTTTCCGTGGACCAGACTCCTAGAGCTTTATACCCTTCAAAGATCGCTGGCTTATGAATTGATGATATCGTCGACTTCCTATCGCTTCTGATATGGCAGTATTGAATTGGGATGAGCTGCGATTCGCTCATTACAATCCAGGGCAGTCAGTAGCTATATCATCTGGTGTTTTAGTGAGTGCTAGAATTGTCCCCAGCTTTACCCAATGATTTAACAAAACACAGCTCTTCATTTACATTATTGCAAATGCTATATACCGATTATACTTCCATCCACTGGCACGCTTTCCTGGGCCACTTTTCGCACGATTGACTCCGGTGAGTCCGAAAGAAGTTTCACGGAGGATAAGGGCTGAAACTTCTAGATTCCGGCCACATGGAGTCTACTTCGCGGTCGCATACCCTTCTACGTCAAAGCCTGCCACGATAAATACGGTCCCATCGTGCGGATAGCGCCCAACGAGCTCTGTTTTGACAATGAGTCTGCATGGAAAGACATCTATGGCTCACGCGGGCTGGGCCACAAGAACTTTCAGAAAGACCCGATCCATGTAGGATCGATCGCAGCAGTTCACGGCGCGTCGACAATCACTATGGCGGGCGATGATGATCATGCTCGCCAACGGAGGGCCTTGTCACACGCGTTCTCCACCAAAGCACTACTTGAGCAGGAGTCGATCGTCATGAAATATATCGAGACCTTCTCCCAGAAGATGCAAGAATTCGCTCGTGGGGACGGAATTGTTGATGTTACTGATTGGTTTGCCTACACGACTTTCGATGTCATCGGTGAGCTGGCGCTTGGAGAGCCGTTCGGATGCCTGCACAATGGTAAGACGTGTACTCATTGCTACCCTGAACTTAGTCTAACGACCAATAGAGGACTTCAGATTCTGGGTACCTCTCATTAGCGAGTCCATCAAGGCAGGCGCTATCGAGCAAGCCACTCGCCGCGTCAGTCAGACTGGCAGCCCACTTCAACGCTTCCTACAGTGGTGTATACCGTCTCATGTCGCCGAGAGCCGCAAGCAGCATTTGGACTACAGCAAGGAGAAGATCCTGAAACGAATGGAAACGAAAACAGATAATCGCGACTTTCTGCACTACGTGATGAAGCAGCAGGACAAAGGCGACCTCAACCTCGGTGAAGTCATCGTCAACGGCGCATTGTTCATCATCGCCGGCACCGAAACTACCGCTGGCTTCCTAACCGGTCTCTTCAATCTCATTACCCGAGCAGAGAACAAGCACATCCTGGATAAACTAACCGCAGAAATCCGCTCTTCATTCCAGTCCGAGGACGAGCTTCATTTCGAGGACCTTGCGAAGCTGCCATATATGACGGCTGTAATTGAAGAAGGTCTGCGGATGTTCCCCTCTGCACCTATTGGATTCGTCCGCACGGTTCCCGAAGGTGGCGACACTGTTTCCGGCGAGTTCATTCCTGGTGGCACTACGGTGTCTGTCTGCATGTGGGCAGCTACCAAGTCGGAAAGAAACTTTCAGGATCCCTATGTCTTCCGCCCGGAGCGCTGGCTAGACCGAGAGAACAATCAGACGGATAAGCTCAGTGCTAGCAACCCTTTCTCCTTAGGACCGAGAGGGTGCATAGGAAGAAACCTGTCGTACATGGAGATGAGGTTGATAATTGCCAAATTGCTCTGGCATCACGATGTGGAGATGTATGGTAGCAACGAGGTCTGGAACCCCAAAAATGAATACGAGAACATGTTTGTATACAACAATTGGTTGAAGCCAGGCTTGAAGCTGAAGTTGACACCAAGGAGAATCTGATCAATACTATATAGCGGCACCAAAGTTCCAATTATAATTCCAACGCTCATTGTCGACTTGACCTAGATGTGACTCACGATATCTCGATCAAGGCCCAATTGAAAATGCTTAAAGAATAACAGTAGCTGACAGTAAAACGTGGACTTTGCGTGACTGTGAGATTCTAGGGTAGACTATCATGTAGTAGATTTATGACCGCAATATGCTGTGACTTCCTACGGAAATGGTGTGCTCCAGAAGTCCAATTTTGGTGTCAATCGCTGTGAATCCTGGCGAAACCTACGATGCATCGTCAAGTTTCAGTGGAACATATTTACTACCAGACACTATTCGCATACCTGCTGTATCAAAATGCGGAAGTCCAGAAACATCGAGTGCAGCAAAGTACAGCACAATTTACTGCGTAGCTTCGGTTTTGTAAGTCATTATGACCTCTTACACCGCTCACGTCATCTCGATTAATGATTCAAGGTTGAAAAGCTTCTATAACATCATTTATTCGCCATTAAGTGCTCAAAGCTGCAACTCAAAAGCTCCACAACATTCCCCCAAGGATCCCGCACATACGCAGCCTTATCTTCAGGCCCCATGATCACCGTCTCCCCAACCTGGTCTCCACCATTCTCCAGTACTCTCGCTACTGCGGCATCGACATCCGGCGAAGTGACAGCGATGTGGAAGAAGCCCGTTTTGGCATACTCGAAGTCCGGAGATGGCTTATTCGGCGGGTCGATAAATTCGAAGACTTCGAAACCAACGCTATTGCCTGTACCAAGCCACGCGATTTTGACTTTGTGCAGTTTGGAGTCGTATATCTTGAAAATTGGTGCGTCCTGCGCTTCGGCGCGGTCGGTCATGCGATCGCCTCTGAACCGACTGGATTAGCTTCTATCAGGTAGATATCCTGCATTCTCTCCCGTCCGAGTTTAGCTTTTGTGTTTCTTACAAACTTACCTCAATCTCCTGAAGCCGAATACATTTCCATACCATTCAATTGCTTTGTCGCAATCGGGAACCGAGATAGCAACGTGGTTGAAAACGTGGTTGTGCAGAGGCGGCATGCTTATTTGACTCCCAATGGTCCCGGATTGCGAACGAAGTGCACAACTTTACCCTGTATATCAAGAATGCCAAAATCTTGAGTATGCGATTTTGGGTGGAACAAATGATCTCACAACCGAGACTGCGCGCGAAAGCTCAACAGGAACTGTATGTTAGGTCAGCAGACAGTCCAATGAAAGCGGGGATATTCTTTTCCATGCTGTATGCTCCAGGACGATCCCGATTACGCTGCATCTCGAGTTTCGGGCGAGCACACACAGCGCCAAATCCGGACCTTTGTTTTCCAGGACCCTTACATACACGTCATTCGCTCCCGGAATGCGGGGTGTGCCGCGAAGTGGGGACGCTTAGTATGGCTGCGCATTGGCGGGAACGGGTACTTTTCGCAACCGATACACGCGTCGCGGTTGAACATACCCTGTGGCGCGTGCCTGTGTTCTGCCGTGCCAGATGAGGAAGATAGACGTCCTGCGAAGCCGTGTGTATCTTCCAGCGAATCCGTGACGAAAAGCCAAAGCTTTCCTTGCGAGATTCTGAGATACCATCGTTGTACACGTGCTATACCTCATCATTCTCACATCTTGTTACTCACAAAACCAAAGATGAAAGACATCGCCTCAAAAACGGCCTTGATCACGGGCGGCGGCACTGGCATCGGCCTTGCGCTTGCCCTCCAACTCGCTGCAGAAGGAGCCAACATTATCATTTCATCCACGAGCAAGGAGCGACTCGCGGCAGGAGCGCAAAAGATCCGCGAAGCATGTCCAAATGTCAAAGTTCTCGACATCGTGTGCGACGTATCGGACCGGCAATCTATCAAACAACTAAAAGATGAGATTACCAAAGCGGGTCTGCAGGTCGATATACTGGTTTGCAATGCTGGTGTCACTACAAGCGGAGATTACCACTTGCATCGCGAAGAAGACTGGGACTGGGTATATGGAGTAGTGCTGAATGGAACTACGTATTGCATTCAGGCATTCTATCCAGATATGGTGGCTCGCGGCTCAGGACACATCGTGATCAATGGGTCTCAGGCGGGCATGGTCCCGAATTGGGTTTCCTTGCATGGTCCGTATACATCCGCGAAGGCAGCTGTGCATGCATTGGGAGCAGCTATGCGCCCCGAAGCGGCCACTCATGGTGTCGGAGTAACAACCGTTGTTATTGCGGGTACGCAAACCGAGATCATGAAGAGCGAACGGAGTCGGCCGGAACGGTTCGGTGAGCCTCTGAATGTCAAGGTGGAGAGGAGGGCGGCTAGGAGAGTGCCTCCAAGTGAGGTTGCGGAGAAGATAGTTACGGGTATCAAGGAAGACCGGGGATGGGTGGCTACACATCCCGATCTGAAGGACAGGACTAAGCAGTATTTTGACGAGATTCTGGCAGCTTATGATCAGTAGTTTAATTCTACCACTTCCTACTGCGCTCATGAAAGGCTAACTTTAAATCGTGAGAGGATAATCTGCCGGTGAAATGGGGCTGAATTATTCCAGATGTATCCTTTACAAATATAGGAATGGCACATCTTGCATATGCTCGCACTGCGCGAACGAGCAATAGCTATCTTCAAACGCAGGGTCAGAGTGATGTAGACTTTCAAGCGTTGGAGAAACACCAAGCAAATCTATAGGAGCGTTAGGAGTGGCATAGAATTGGTCGTGCGGAGCTTGGTATCATGAATACTGATTTCCGTCCTAACACACCCATCCACCATCAATTATCTGCACTGTTCCGGTAATGTACTGCGTGTCGTCACATAGAAGCCATGCAATGAGCGCTCCGACTTCTTGAGGTGTTCCCCGACGCATGATCTGCTGTTTCCACACTTGCTCTCCACCTCTAGCCTTCACTGAAGCTTGCTGCATAGGACCATCGATCAGTCCACTGCTATAGTTAGCTGTCTGATAGTGGAGAACAGAACGTATGGTGGCTTACGGTGCTATGCAGTTCACTCGGATTTCACGGTCGCCGACTTCCTTCGCTGCGGTTCGCGACAACCCTATCACTGCATGCTTCGATGCAGTGTACGCTGCATTCTTCGGAAACCCAATTACACCGCATATAGAAGCTGCATTGACCAAGCTTCCCTTCTCATTCATGTTCTGCAGTTGCGCCCTCATACAATGCATTACACCATGCAAGTTGACATCTAATACGAAATGCCAATCCTCATTATTCAAATCCTCAACTCGCTCTTTATTGATAACTTTGGGCACAACGCCAGCGAGGTTCACTGCACCATCAAGTTTTCCAAATTTTTCAACTGTTTTCGCTATCCAAGCATTGACCTGATCGTCTTTTCGCACGTCGACTGTGGTGTATATGACTTTGCCAGTGCTGACTTTCTCAATCTCGGCGGCTTTCTCTTTCAACGCAGCTTCGTTGACGTCGGCAACGGAGAGGTGAGCGCCTTGACGGGCGAGGAGGAGAGATGTCTCGTACCCAATCCCTGATGCTGCGCCTGTGAGGACGATGACTTTGCCTTTGAGGTCGTAGTCTACAGGCATTTTGGGCGTTGAGGATGCGTTGATTGGGTACTTGTTGAGATGAAAAGACCAGAACGATTTGCGAAAGATCGACTGCTTGCTATCGCTGCAATGAGTAGATACGTAGTGGAAATCCACGCCTGACGACTTTCATCAGGAAGTAAGATAGCAGCTGTCACGACGCGTCGCGCGTTACGCGTGGGTTAGACTCGGAGGGCATTTTCCGCTTCATTCGATCCAGAGAAGGGAAACGAGTACATTATCCGCCATGTGACTGTCGCTAGATCCGCGGTTTGGCACCGGAATACAGAGACCAGCGGAAGACGACACTGTTGTGGGGTTGGGCAGGCAAGTAAGTGCGGGGCGCAGGAGCGAACTAGGGACGCCTTCCCAGGGTGCAAGCGCCACTACGGAAGTACACTCCCACTATGCAACAGCCGACATCCAGATGGTTGCAAAACGCGGGAGCACGTGGGATACACAGCATGGACGGCCTAGCTTACGTGCAACCCCCGAAGATATTCAGTCGTGAGCCGGCATGCTCTAGGAACGCTCTGACATCAAAAAAACCCAATATTTATCAATTCTCTGATTGAACATGAAGGCGGCGCAATGGGATCCAGTACGTACATACTAACTCTAATTGCGAGTATCGAATGCTCATCAGACTAGGCACAGCAGAAGGTGGTTGTGAATGAAGTCCCGAAGCCGACCCCAGGACCCGGCCAATTCCTCGTCCGGCTTGCATCTGCGTCACTATGTCATTCCGACTTGATGTCTATGGCCATGCCCCATGAGAAGCCTATAACTATTGGGCACGAGGGCGCCGGGTACATCGAGGAAATTCATTCTACAGCGGAGAACAAAGGGTTCAAAGTGGGCGATGGTATAGGCTTCACCTACATCGTCAATTACTGCGATGACTGCGAGGGGTGTGCAGTCCATAACAATCATTGCTTGACGAAGAAGAGTCGGGTGCATGGCTTTGACGAACCAGGCCTGTTTGCTGAGTATGCGGCAGTCGATGCAACGAGCTGCATAATTTTGCCACAGGAACTGTCGCCAGAGACGTCAAGTCCGATCTTTTGTGGTGGTATCACAGGTACGTGATGACTTTTGGGACTCAGATAATCGCTTCATTTACTGATTTATTCAGCTTTCCATTGTGTCGATTCATGCGAGCTGAAGCCTGGCCAATGGCTCGCCATTATCGGATGCGGTGGGCTCGGCCAATTAGCTGTTCAGTACGCAAAGGCCATGGGTTTCAAAGTGATTGGCATCGACATCAACGATGATATTCTTTCAACTGCCAAATCGCAAGGTGCAGATGCTGTCTTCAACAGTCGTTCCAATCCCAATTTTTTCGAGGAAGCCAAAGCTGTAATGAATCGTGGACCGAACAAGGGTGCTGATGCAGTCGCAGTATTCAGTGCAGCCACAGCCGCTTACAAGAGCGCTCCGCCTCTCGTCAAACTTGGCGGAATTATCATGGTTGTAGGACTGCCGGCTGCGGGCGTCACGTTTGATGCATTGGACATTGCAAGAGGGACCTATAGGGTGAAGGGAGACAGTACGGGTGTTCCAAAACGGATGAAGAAAGCCATCGATTTCACGGCGAAGCATCGCATCAAGCCAGAAATTGAAATCCATAAAAGCCTGGATGCAGTGAATGAAATGGTTGAAAGGATGAAGAAAGGCGAGCTGACGAGACGGCAATTGGTGCAATTTGTGTGATAGTCAAACATGGATAGAGTAAATATAGTCATGCACGAGGGCTCATGACTCTCTCAAGCCCAATTTGCATTCTCGGACCTGAATTGCCATGCAGGGCTCATATTGTAATTTAATAGGTTGCAGGCACAATCGACATACGCCCACCATCAGAAATCAATACGTTGCCGTCTGCAACAGTCGGTTAGCACGGGTATAACGTGATATTGTCTTGGGTACGTACTTGTGTAAGCGCCAGCTCTACTGCACATGAAGACGAGCGCACCGCCAGCGTCTTCGGCAGTGCCTGCTCGTGTAAGAGGCACCACTTCTGGTGAGATAGAACCTTCAGCCGTGAGATCGTTATCTCCCATCAATCCCTAAAGAGTCAGTCACTGATGCATTCTCAGACAAACTAGGAATACCTTGCTCATATCGCTCGGGTAAACACCCGGACAGAAGCAATTCGCACGAATGTCAAATCGCCAATCCGCCAACATCGTGGAGAGCTGCTTAACGATATGGATGATCTGGAAAGTTCTATCAGTCCTTGTTCGGATTACCTTCTCACTTTCGTCGACGGGAAATGGCAACTCACCGCCATCTTACTACCAGCATACGCAAATCCCATTCCCGGCCTTCGACTCATGGCGCCGATACTCCCTGTGACAATGAACTGACTCTTCACACCTATAATCTTTGCAACCTCACTCTCATTGCCCTTTCCTAGCAACCCCAGAAACGCGACGAGCGTGTAAAAGCATGCGGTCGTGTTTACCTCATAAGCCTGCGTGAAGTCCGCCATTGGCGTCTCCCACAGGTACTTCTGAACCTCTTCTAAGCTTGGCTTGCGGTCTTTCGGCAAACCATACATGTCTGGACCAGTAGCTCCGGAATTTGCGATCACACAGTTTACGAAACCGGATTCTGTTTCGACTCGTGACACAGCTGCTGAAAGGGAATCTTTGGAGGTGATGTCGCATTGTATTGGGATGATAATTTTCGGAAAATCTGAAGCGACGGATTCAAGGGCAGGAATACGTCGACCAAGAATGTAGACTTTAGAGGCATGGTTTGTCGCGAGTGTTTTGGCGAACATGGCTCCGATACCTTGGGCGTTGTCAGAGATTCACGGTTTGGTTTTTCTGGGGAGAGGAATACCGGAACCGCCCCCAGTGATCACGAAGATCATGTCTTTAACGCTAAAGAGACTGCTGATGTTCAAATTGGACATATTGACGGATGCGTTGACTTGTTTTGCAGGAGGCTACGATGCACAATGAAATAACTGCTATTACAAGAGAACAAAGTGTACCTCTCAGAGTAGGTTCTCCAATTCGGAAATAGAAATACCAGGCTGAAGCCTCGTTTTCCGGTTCCTCCGAGCCTGAGCCGCGATGTGACTTCTTTATGGAAAAGGTCTAGCGTTCCCCGCACTGCAGCCGCGTCATCAGCTGTACACCACAGCGAAATGCAGAATCCGCGCAGGGACTTTGTAATTCAATGGGATCACTCTCTGTAGAAAATCAGATGAGCAAAAAGTGCACAGAAATATGCCGAGAGCAAGGAAGCGCCAGCGAATGGTAACAATTTCGAGCCTAACCACTGCATCATATAGACGTTGCGAGTAAGGACATGTCAGGACCACCGTCAAGAAACCATGCTATGGTACCGAATCGCTTCTACTAAAATGAAAGCCTACTTCACTCTATATTTCAACCTATAAGCTTTCGAGTCTCACAGATATCATCTAGAGCAATCGCTATTAGTATTCCTAGCAGGTTTGCTCGAATCTATGAGCATTGAAACCGTCAGGTTTCCCTGCACGTTCCATGGATCTTATTCTAATGTTACTGATGAAAACCCCATTCATAGCTCGAAAGATTCATGTTCCAAAAAATGCGATTCTCTGTAGCGCAGTCCGAACCAATATATATTTTAATGGAAATGACGTGGGTCAATCATTCGTCCAGTGCGTACTGGCCTCACGGTTTAGTTGCAATTACCGAATATCATTCCAAAGACGAATTCTATAATGTAGTCTAAGAAAAATTGTAAATATCACAACTGCCAATCCTATCGATTTGCTGATTGATCATGTATAGGAGGAATAATTGCTCACTAGAACCGAATGACGTAAGGGCAAGCCTTCTCACTCCAGTTCTTAAAGTTATCCTTTCTGATCTTCGTACCAGTTTTCAAGGCATTGAACATGTTGTAGCCATCGTCCATCATGAGACCCACATGGTGGATACCGCCAGGGTTGTTGGTGCAATCACACTTGCCACCGAAGAAGACTGAACTCTATTGTTAGCGAACTACGCAATGCATGTAACGTAGTAGTGGAGGACGTACCGGCATCGCCCGCACGGCGTTTAGAGAAGGGAACTTTCCTGCGAAGGATGAGTATGCTCCCAACCAAGTGTGTTCAATCTGAACTCACTTGTACTTCAGCTTCTTCTCACTCGCGCAGTACATCGAGCGTGTGACTCGAAGACCTTCCTTGAAGAGGTCACGACCAGTTACTTGGCAAATGGCCCATGAAACGAGTCCAGAGCAGTCGAATCCGCCTCCAGTCTTACCCTTGCAATTGCCGCCGGCCCAGTGATCTGTCGCATGTGAGCCACGCCGAAGAGGAGGTGTGGCGCAAACTTACAAGGAACACCCTTCTGCTCCTGCGCTTTCTTCAGGATCTTTTGACCCAGATTAAGTGTCGGGTTCGGTGTAGTAGGAGGCTTCGGTGTAGTACCACCCTCAGGAACACAACACTTGAAAGAGTCGGGCCCGGGGCAGAGACCAGTGATCGTAGTCTTTCCGCTACCACATTTGTCCACAAAACGGCAATCGCCCTTTTGGGCGGCTTTCTGACATGAAGGTTTGGTGCAGCATCGGACGTCGTCTGGAAGGCCTGGGCAAGCGTTGCTAATGTACGAGCCACCACCGCTAGTGCATGACTTCGTGGAAATGCAAACGCCTTGGACACCGTCCTTGCCTGTACAAGGTCCGTTCTTATGAGAGGAGGCCGTGACCGATGCCAAAGCGGCCAGAAGGACGGAGGCGAAAATATGAGCGCGCATAGTGGTGATCAGTGGGATGTTAGATTGCGTTGAACGTGTGATGAGCGATTGTAGTACTAGACTTGAGATGCGCGGTCTTGTCCATCGAGGTGATCAGTCTTTATATACATCTGAAGTCTGACTGTGAGTTCAAGAACTGGAGGTACTCAACTTGCGCTCGTCCGACAGCTACGCCAGCTACGAGATCGTACACCGCAACTGATGCGGGAGGAACACGAAGGGGACGAACCAACAGGAAGATGCGAATGTAGTTCCGCGCTTGAGATAAGTCGTACTTCGCATTTATTTCTTCGTTCACACAGCTATGGAAGCAGTTGCGGAACAGCTCGACAGGCTCCGTTACGCTCATTACCGGACACGACTTCGGCTGTCATGCAGACGCGATCAAAGGCGATCAGCCATGCTCCGGGCGAATAAGGAAGCATCGGACCGTACTCGTGGCGAAACATTGTCCGTACCTGCGTTTAAGCGTCGGGAACCCCAGATCATGTGGCGCAGGTTCGGGAGAAAGTCCGAGATCATCGGCTGGTGTCAGCCCCCAAAATACTAGGTGGGGTCCTCGTATCCATTCTAGCGGCCTCGAATGGAAACTAAGAATAGATCGCTTGGATCGGATGTTCGCAAGAAATCCCGAGTTCGAGAGTTGGAAGTCTAATGCAGCGTACAGAAATTTGAAGTTGTTCGGAGTGAAACTAATGTGGACTGAAGATGGGTTTGGGTCAACCCTATCAAGTTCTATGTCGGTCCACTGTGATAATAAGCAATTGCAAAGCGCCCGTTGTTTGTACTGGATTCTATAGTTTTCTCGGCAAAAAAATCAAAGAAGTGTTGTGTGCTAATGTCTATCGATGGATAAACCTGCTGTAAGGCGACTAGGTCGTACTAAAGAGTACGCCAGTGAACATATTGGACAAGGAATATTCGAGCAACAGGATGATAAGACTTTTCCAGAGGTGCTGTAAAGAATGGTCAAGACGGAACGAAGAAAATTCGGGAGTAACTGCACACGTCGACTTGTAGCGACACGTACAATTCCGCGCTAAGTCAGGGATGATTGACCCGAAATGGCGACTGTATGTGTGATGATTGCTACTTGTCTGAAGCATGTGCCAATTTGGGTGTCTCCGAACAGATTCAAAAGGCCTTAGCAAGGCCCGCAGTGTGCTGGACAGGTGTGGACTTGTCTGCCTTATCGCAACCTTTATCGTCACGTGAGCACGTGGCGAGCCATTTCCGCTTTGGGATGAAGCACTCTACTAGCGCGCCACGCTTCCTTTCACCACCCCAACATTGTTCACATGGACAGCCTCTCCGTGAACTCCGGCATGGAGACGCTGCTAGACGGTCTCAATGACGCACAACGGAGCGCTGTCACCAGCCCTGCGTCCGTTCTCCAGGTCCTGGCGCCGCCCGGGTCTGGCAAAACGAAAACACTCACTGCACGCGTCGCGTATCTGGTTAACCACGAGCGACTCCAACCATGGAACATTATCGTCTGCACCTTCACCATCAAGGCAGCGCGGGAGATGAAAGAGAGGATTTGCGGCTTCGTTGGCGAAGGAATTGAGAAAAAGTTGATCTTGGGGACCTTCCACTCAGTCGCCCGCCGGTTCCTGGTTCGGTATGGCCAAGAGATCGGTATTCCAAAGAACTTCGGCATTGCCGACACCACCGACAGCAAGTCAATCATTAAGCGGATCATCGATTCCCGGCAATACCTTGTGCCGCCCGACCAGGCTCGCGGTCGAATCTCTGGACTGAAGGCCCGCAATGTGTCCGCAGAGCAGTTCGCCGCCACTCTGAAGAAGGCAGACGAGCATGAGTTCAGAAATGTTTACTTCGAGTATGAAGAGCAACTTAGGTCCCAAAATCTCCTGGACTACGATGACCTGCTCGTACGATGCGTGGAGCTTCTTCAAAAGCACCCTCAATGCGTTTCTAGCATACAGGCCGTGCTTATCGATGAATACCAAGACACGAACAACGTGCAATATGAGCTGATGAAACTTTTAGCACAAGCAAGGGGCCGCATCACGATTGTCGGCGACCCGGATCAGAGTATATACAGCTTCCGAGCAGCAGAGATTGAGAACCTCCGCAAGATGCGAAGGGATTATCCTGATTCTTCCGTTATCAATCTCGAGATGAACTACCGATCTTCTGGTTGTATCCTGACCACAGCAATGGCTGTTATTGAGCAAGACGAAACACGTCCCGAGAAGCCACTCATTGCGACCCACTGCGTGGGTGAGCAACCAACTCTTCGCCATCTTGCCACTGCACAAGTTGAAGCGTGGTGGATTGTTGACGAGATCCAACGGATTACAACACTTAGTGCCGGCCTGCTGAACCACAACGATTATGCCATCCTCATTCGCTCAGCCGCGCTATCACTATCCATTGAGAGAGCACTCGCTAAGGCAGGAATTCCTTATCGCATGGTTGGTGGCTTACGCTTCTTTGACCGTGCGGAGATCAAATTAGTCCTCGACTACCTACGCATCATCAACCAACCGGAAAGCAATGATGTTTTGATGCGCATCATCAATCGACCGTCCCGGAAGATCGGTGAGAGTACCGTCAAATCCCTCGTGAAGGAAGCGGAAGAGGAGAAGACTTCTCTTTGGAAACTCATCCTAGCTATCGCCCAGGGCAGAAAGAAGGCTCGATCAAAGATTGCCAAACCGGCGCAGCTTGGCATCGAGACATTCGTCAATTTGGTACTGACTTCACAAAAGAAACTCCAACAAGAAGATTCGTGCGATCTTTTAGGCCTTATCGATCATGTCAGCACCAAGATCAATCTCGAAGCCTACCTGAAGAGCACATACAAGGAAGACTGCAAAGAGCGGTGGGCAAACTATGAGGAGCTTGTATCTCAAGCGACACAGATGGCTACAAGTGTTGCAAATGGTGAAGAGGTGGCCGACGACGCGCTACCTATCGTCGAGGGCATTGAACAACGTCAAGACACGGCTGCCGATATTCTTTCGAAGTTCCTTGCAAACGTTACCCTATCATCTGCTGTGGAACAGCCCAATGGAGAGGAAGTGAGCCAGGTCACCATCTCCACGATTCACGCCGCCAAAGGACTTGAATGGCCGGTTGTCTTCATTCCAGCGATTTATATGGGGTCAATTCCTCACTCTCGAGCAGAAGACCACGATGAAGAGAGACGTCTGCTGTATGTTGGCATGACCAGAGCCAAGGGACTCTTGTACCTGAGCTGCCCTGTGAAGCTCGCCTCCTCGGATGACACTGTCTTGTCAAAGTTCGTTGACGACGCCACCATACAGAAGTTTTTCAGTCGAAGTGGCCCGAGCATGGGGTCCACCGCTATAAGGGACCTGGCACAGATACTCGGACGAGCTTGTCCACTTGCTACGGAGGTTCAAACTGCCCGAAGTTTAGTAGAGCGTATTGAAGACGACAAATACCCGTATACACGAGATGAGATAGACGGTACAGAACCCTGGTCCAACGGATGGAACGCCACAGCAGAGCCATGGGCCAAGCGACCAAAGGTCGAGCACTCGACGCGCGAATTGGGCGGCGTTAAGTACGATGTCGTCGAGGAGCGATACCCTGGAGGAGGGTATAGTAAGAGTCTGACCAACGGGGGGTTCACTAGTGCCCGAGACGTACGAGCTCTGCAGCAAGAAGCCGAGAACGCACGAATGCTCGCAAGCGCCAACGCCTCTACCAAACACATCTACAGCGAAGTCAACGTGCTTGGCACGTCATCAAAACCGGTGTACAAAGAGGTTAACAGGCTCGGTACGAACCCCCCACAAACGAAGAAAAGCAAGCCGCGCGCAGCAGGCCAGGGCGCCATCACAGGCTTCTTCAAGCGCTCCGCAAGCTCCATGTCTGAAGAGCAAGACCCAATTCCCATCCCCAAACCTCAGCCGCTCCTACGAAAAACGCCCGCTTTGTTCACCCGCCCACTCGCAGACGTCTCTAACAGACAAATTCCCCGGCCACACCACCCCTACCAAGCCCCATCTTTCCCCACACACACCCTAAACACAGGTCCTATGGCCAGCAAGCCAAGAAAGACGTCCGCTACCGAAGAACCGTCTTCAAAACACGTCCTCCTCTCATCATCCCCCACAAAGCCGGACAACGAGCCCATCGTGACCTCCTCGGAGGATAAGGACCGCACGAGCGAGCCCGCGACGTCGGGATTCCGGCCTGCGACGACCCTGCACACGACGTCGATGGGTACGCTGCAGGGTGGGAGTGGTGGTGGGGTGCAGAGGAGAACGCTGGGCGCGAGGAGGAGCATGCAGGGGTGGAGCGTGAAGCATAAAGCGATGCCGCGGCCAAAGGGCTCTTAAGTGATGTGTCTGCTGATTGTGCTGCTTGGCGTGAGCGGGTGGGCGAGGCGTGGGATTTGGGTACGATATGGCCCTTGCGGGGGTGCAGCGCACATGGCAGGAGCTATGGCGTTTGGGCGGTCACTGGATAGGAATGGGCAGGGCGTTGCGGCGAATATTGGAAAGTTGATAGCATAGCATCTGCTTTGGGCGGCCTGTGGAGAGACGGGCATATTGGTAGCCGGCGTGCATTCCGTCGTCACAGCAGGTAGAGATATCGGCATATACAATACACTACATAGACAGACACTCCCTACGCAGCAGCATTGACGTCCTTTCCAACAATAGTAATTATGCACTTGTATCCATGTCTAATCATGACCTTTGTTCTGAGCGCGATCATTCCGTCCCCTCTTCCACACACCAAGCAATAGTATTACAAAAGCGCCCCTTCGCTACCGCCCAAGATCCTTGTCAGCCGTGCGATCCTCCTCGGAAGCCTCGCGCGCGACTCCCGGAGCTCCGCCGCCAGCGCGAGGATGTCCATTCCGCACTCGCTCTCGAGCCCGCCGGCACTATTATCGCTGTCGCCGTGACAGGACGCAGATCCATATCCATATCCAGGCCCAGAACCCCAAGCCCAAGTGCCTTCCGATCGCCCAAACGCCGCGCTGCAGCTCGCACTCCTCCTCTTGCCCTTGGCTTTTCCATCTATATCCCCCTCGCCCCAACGCCCACGCATCTGCTAAATGCCCGTGTCACACCCACGGTGCCTGCCCGCCGCGCAGTCTCCACCTCTCAGCCGCAGCCCTTCAACTGCAGGCCCCTAGCCTAGATAATTCTGCTGCTGTTGTTGCTGCTGTTGCTGGCCAGGGCGGGGAAACACGCTGGTGGTAGGCACGGCATCGAGATGCATGCCGCCGAGTGTGCCGGACCCGGTGTTCTGCCAGCCCTGGCCTGTGGCCTGGTTTACGAAGGCAGACTGACGGAAGGGACTGGTACATTTGGTCAGTATCAAATATAATAAATGAAAGGGGGGGATGTCTAGTAGGGGATACGTACTTCGTACTCCCCGTCGCATGGACCGTCAGTCCGCCTTGCGGAGACGGCGTGCCCTGCACAGGCGAGACGCCGCGGGCGAAGGGATTCGTACCCGTGGGCGTCGGCTGGAGGGGTTGTTGTTGCTGCTGCTGCTGCTGCTGTGGCGCGAACGGCAAAGTTTGCTGTGGATATTGAATTTGGGGGACGGAAAATGGGGAGGCGACGGCGCCTTCGTTGGTGGGCGACAACGATGACTGGAAGCCGCCGGTGGTGTGTTTGGCGAAAGGGTTTGTGGGGGAGCGGCCGAGAGGCGACGACGCGCCTGTTGGGTTGCCGAGGAGCTTTGGTTCTGCCTGTGCGGGTGGGAGCATGGAGGCGCGGAAAGGGTTGGTAGAAGTGGGCTGGGCTTGTAGGGGCTCGGCCATGGCAGGTTGCTGTGCGAAATTCTGCATGCCGTTCTGGGACATGGGCGAGAGGTTGTTCTGTGGACTGAACGGCTGGGGAGTGTAGCCGCCGAAACCAGCACCAGTGAATTGAGTTTGCAACTGAGATTGCTGCGGTTGCTGTAGATTCATCTGCTGCATTCCTTGCTGCATTTGAGCAAATGGATTCGTTGACTGGCCGTCTGGCTGGCCGAAAGATTGTTGCTGCTGTTGGAAGTCGGCAGTTTGCGGCATCTGCATAGTAGGCTGTTGATAACCTGTCGGCTGAGGGTACTGCTGTGCTTGCGGCTGTGCCATTGTTTGTTGGTTGTCATTTATTGAGTCGAAGAAATCGATTAACGGTAGGCTGACATCCGGTGGTTTCGATGGTGCTGAAGCCTGAGTCGGGGATGTGGTCGATGTAGCGGCGGGTCTTGAGTCGGAAAGTAGCTTGCTCGTTCCATTTGTGGTCTTCCCGCCAGACTTTTTCGCTTCGCGCTCGGCCAGATATTGTCTGCGGTTGACCTCAAAGTCTTTATCATTCAGATACTCTTCCAATGCCTGGGTCAGGCTCGTCGGCGCGTGCTTAATCTTGGGTATCTCTAATCTTGTTGAGTGTTCATGTAACCGAGCGACGCTCAGGTATTGCACGACCAGGTCGGTTTGTTTAACGAAGGTCCGATAAATGTCAAGAGCGCGTTTCGCATCCGGCTTCGAAAGTTCAAAGTAGTGTTCTACAATATCAGAACCTGTCGCATAGGGCACTGGAAAGCGTCTTACCCAGAACGTTAATGGTTCCTTCGTTCATGACGTGGAAGAGCACAAGTAAATCCATGGTGAGCAGGCGGAAAGCAGTCAATGTTATCTCGTTTTCCGGTTCTTCGTGGAAAGGCTATTGGACGGGTCAGGCATCGCTCGTATGGGCAGGGCATTGGTGCATACCTCGCATTTGAGCAGAAATTTGATCTGGTCTTGGACACTTTCCGTCTCCCGAAGCAGGCCTTTTTCGATGTTGAGCCGCTTAAGCCGCCCTTCTCCGGCTCGTACGTAGTCCATCTTGGTCGCGCCATATTGCTCGGCGCGACAGAGCAGGTACTCTGCGTAGTTGCGTATGTTGCCGCCCTGGGTCTGCACTGTTCAGTGGTCAGCTGTGCCTGTTCCGCGGATAAGATTACGCAGCGCAGCGTTCCAGGGGCTGTTGTCGCAACCTCGCATGGCGCAGAAGATGCATCCACCCGAGCCTCCTTCCCTGTTCGCACACGTACCCTCAGTGAAGTGGTTTATGGCCAGCGTCCGGCGGGGGTTCTTGGCCAGAAACTTGAGGGTGACCTCAGGTTCGCCCTCGCGTATCATCAGATGGACTATGATCAAGCTCTTGTAGACGATGGTCCATGTCGAGTCGCGGAGGCGGTTGGTGAGGGCGCGGAAGATCTCGGCGACGCCTGCCTCGCCGGCGTGGGTGGCCACGAGGATGTGCTCGACATACTTGGACTTGGGCGCGGCAAGCTGTCAATTGGGCGCATTAGCATGCATCGCAGCAGCGGGCCAGCACGGGGAGCGGGCGCACCTTGATCTTGGTGCCGCCCTTGACGCTCTTCTCGAAGGAGCTCGTCATCTGGCAGGCAGCTGGTGCTGGTACAGGTATGCGCTCGGGTCGACGGCGGGGCCGGACCGCTGGCTTGTTTCCAGGGCGCGTTTCGCGGGCGGTCAGGGCTCGGGCGGGCAGCTTTCTCGTGCTCGCTTCGTGTCGCGCGCGGAGTCTACAGCAGCATCGCGGGGCGGTCGGGGGCGGCAGCAACGGGCTATGGGCACCGGCAAGTGTGCTGTGGGCGGCACGCAAGGGGCTCTGGTGAAGATGAAGGGCTCCCCGGGGGCAGTAGAATGAAGGTGCACGGCCACGTACAAGCTAGGGTGCTGTGCTAGCCCTCGATGACGCGGGCCCAACCCCACGTCGCGCCCATTCCGACACATTCACGCCCACGCCCACCATGTCGGCTCCGGAACCCACCCCCGAAGAGCAGAAGCGCCTCGACGCCGAGGCAAAGGCCAAGCAGGATGCCGAGCAGGCCGCGCTGCCCTATAAGTGGTCCCAGACCATCAAGGACCTCGATGTCACCATCTCCATCGACGCCAAGTACAAGGGCCGCGACCTGGACGTGAAGCTCACGCGGAGCCACCTCAAGGTCGCCATCAAGGGCCAGGACCCCATCATCGACGTGCGCAGCCCTGCAAAGTGAGCCGTGTGCACTGCTAACCCGCCCAGGGCGACCTTCCTCACGCCATCCACGTCGACGACTCCACCTGGACCCTCGAAACAGTCCCCGGCGGCAAGGAAATCGCCGTGCACCTCGACAAGGTCAACCAGCTCGAGTGGTGGGCGCACGTCGTAACCACCGCCCCCAAGATCGACACCTCCAAGATCCAGCCCGAGAACAGCAACCTCGGCGACCTCGACGGCGAGACCCGCGGCATGGTCGAGAAGATGATGTTTGACCAGCGCCAGAAGGAGATGGGCAAGCCCACCAGCGACGAGCAGAAGAAGCTCGACATCCTCAAGCAGTTCCAGCAGCAGCATCCCGAGATGGACTTCTCGAATGCGAAGATGGGATGAGCGCAAACAATTCGCTGGGACATGAATCACGATAAGCATGGCTGGTAGATGAAGAAAAGGCCCAGGACGGCGGTCAGGACAAATACGGATAGTAGGCATTACGCCAACGCGATTGATTTTCGCACGAGGACCCCTATGTCTTGGTCTGCAGGCCAGGAACCCAAAAAGTACAAAGATACACCCATACACTTCGCATTGCGCCCACTCCACTCTGCATACGTTTTTACTTTTCATTCCGTTCATCTCGGTAGTCGGAGGTAGGTTCCCGTAATCTCCTCACGGTTACTTAATACAGGGGAACAGTGGAAGCTCACTACAAGAAGCTCACCGACCACGAGAGGTCTCATGGTTCTGGGGACGATTGTTCAATCCCTTTGCATATACAATTTCTCACTCAACATTGAGCACGCTGGCGACGCAAGAACGAGCAACATATCCTCCACGACCTATCCATTACTATTTTTTTTTTCCTAATCCAAGGTAAGAGACATAGGTATAAGTGATGTACAACATAATGCGCGTCCCAGGTCGATGTGCGCAAAGGCCAATGAACCAGATCCAAATCCCTATTTCCAACGCCGTAACCCAGAGAGGCCAACGACCCATGCGGTCAATCCTTTAACGAGTCAGTCTAGCAAATGCCAACCAGCAAACGCCAGCCCCGTCTATCAGCCAGATAAGGAAACAGCGAAGAGATACAAAAGCCAAACACAACAATAAGAACAGGGAAACCACTACCGCCTAAAGCCATTCAATGGCCTCCATTCTTCCGTCTTCGTCCTCTTCACCCGGCGAAACCGCACGCTCTTCTCTCCGACACGCTCATCATCGAACAAGGAGTCCCGCCTCCGCTCCCGCTCGCGCGTCTCCCAGTCTTCATCAACCCACTTCTCGCGCGTGCGAAACATGTCGCCGGACCACGCCATCGCCTTGCGCTCAGACGAGTGGCTCGACTTGGGCCGGCCGAAAGTGGCTTTGACTTTGAGCCTGAACTCGCGCTCGCGGTCCGAGTCATCGTCGGAGCGTGTGTGGGTGTGGGTGTGCGCAGGGGAGTACCGCGTGGTCGTGTACTTGTACCTCACTGTGCGATCGTCGTCCTCGTCGTTGTCAAAGGAGGAGCGGTAGTACTTTGACGATGTGTGCTTTGGCGACGACGACGCCGGCCTTGACCAGACGTTATACTTCTCTAGTTGCGAGGGCTGGCGAATGGTAAGAGCACGTGAGGGCTTGTTTTTGTGGTTGTTGGTGTAGGGATAGTCGTCGAACTCGTCGTCGTCATCGTCGTAGGCGCGCTTGGAGTTTGTGCGCACGAGGCGGCGCGCGGAGTAGTAGTCGTCGTCGTGGTCGTCAAAAAGGGGGCTGCGCTCGCGCGTGCGAGTGCTGTGGTAGGAGAACATTGTGATTGGCTGCAGGTGGTAGTGTTGATTGGCGGGTATGATGTCCGTGGTATGCAAGAGAACGGAAAGCTTGAACTGCGATGCGATGCGGTTGTACTTTGTGATCCGTACTTTGTCTGTGTGCTACAGCGAAGGTAAAAGTCACGACGTCCCCAACCCACAAGTTTTATACACCTCTCCAGACCCTCTGTCTCACCCTCTCCATCATACCCACCCCCCCATCACGACGCTTGGTCATGAACGCGGCGGAGTCGCAGAGCCGCAGCCACGGCAAACCGCACCTGAGGCGCAGCGTCACTCGGCTGGTTCCGCTTCAGCGCCTGATTGGCTGACCCGACCCATCAGCCACTCAGACCGCCAATCATCACGTCACAACCCAACCACCAGCCACAGATGCTGACCGCCGCCCGTTCATGCGCGCATGACGTCCGCCAAACATTTGCAGAGCCCCCGATGCTCGGTCAGGCGGTCAGCCATGGCCAACAGGCGGGGTTGCGAGGGAGGGGAGATGCCAGCTGAGGGCGTGTTGCCACGGTCAGGCAGTGATGAATAATACGCGTTGGGGGCCGGTTTGGCAGAAAACGAAGGAGGCTCGGGAGGCTTGGGGGAAAGTTTTTTGTGAAAGAGACAGTTTTCGGGAGAATCTTGCGGGTGATTGTGCGGGTGCCTGCAGAAGGGCGCGTTTGGGTGTGCAAAGTGTGACTGGAAGCGGGTGGGTGCAGGCGTTCGAGGCGTGGGGAGAGGGCCGGTGACGACGGTGCAAGTCATGCGCCGGTTGCCTTGTAACATTATCGAGGCCGTCCGGATGCTCTGTGTGGTCGAGGGTAGGTGTCTATGGCCAGTCCCGATTCCTCCATTGTCAAGCATCCATCTTCTGCGCACTGTTCTGTAAGCGTCACACATGCCAACAACGACTTCAGTGAAGCCGCGTTGGACGATCGGCTGGTTCTTCACAAGCAGGCTAAGGTGGTGGTGGCGTCGCCAGCCTGGAACTTTGGGCGCGTCTGCCTTGAGAAGAGACAAACGCGTGTCACGTCGCAAGTGCGCGTTGTCACGTCGCAAGTGCGCGTTGCCTACTTCCTTCGGAAGCTCGTGCCTTCCGCCCTGAAGCTCGCGATAATTATCAGTGCGTATGTGGGCAGATTCTTGAACGCAACCTTCGGTGAGGTCTATTGCTAATAGAGCATCAGGTGACTTCTCAGTACCTAGGTTGAAGCTTCAGAAGAAGAAATAACCTATGGAAGCCAGATACTACGATAGGCCTGATTATAACGAGAGTCAATGTCGCAAGACCTCCCACATTCAGAGATTTTGATACAGGCAACCTTTTCAGTATGGCAGTACGTGTCGTTTTCACCGGTCAACTTTGTTAGGTTTGCATGACCTGACATTTTCTCGGATGGCCGCAAAGGAGTGGAGCGTCCGCAGACTCAGCAGCTGGCTTTAGCTCAACTAATAAAAATAGCCGAGTACCGTGTCGGCAATCAATATGTTGTACAAGCCTCAATGACGAGTGATGAGATACACAAGAGACGTCAAATTACATGACCTTAGTAAAGCTAAATAGAGTCTTGTAAGCCTTATTATGAGCACGACAGAGGTCTAGAATCGCAGTAACAAATCAAAATTTCTTACGCTATTCAGAAAATTTGAATAAGGGTTTTCGAAAAAGTCCACAGCCCCGCACGGTAGCCTTGTGTTCATGTCAGGTGCTTGACATCACAACACTAAAAGTTCAACTAGATCAGCAGCAGGAGAATTTTTCCTAGGCCTCTAGGAAGCGACACCACGGGTTTATGACCATCTCGTCTCATGAGGATGTTCAGGAAACTGATCTACTGAGTTCATGTAATGCATTTTGCTGCGGCTTCCAGAATTACGCGACGAGTTCAAATCGGTAGGAGACTGATATAGATGCTAAAGGGACTGGAATGGTACACATGAAGTCTTGCTGAGCCTGGTCCTCCGCCCTCACACCAAAGACCGTGAAACACAACCTGTGCTTTCCAAAATATCGCACTAGTAAATCTTCGCCGGTATCCCGGGAACATGCAGAGCTATGTATTTCCCAGGCATGAAGCCGGCACCGACGCGTTTGTACACCTTCTCTCCGCGATCCATGAGCTCTCTCTCTTCTGTGACCAGAAGAACATAGTGCGTCTTGTCCCGATCATACTTTTCCCCCTTGGACCTTGCCACAATGACACATTGAGTTCGTCGGCTGTCGGACGCAGTTCTCTCAATATCGTACGTGAGATGAGCCTCATCTTTCAGGCGCCCGGCAAGATTAAAATCCCTAATCACTGCGTTCAGAAAAGTCATGTCGAGAGAAGGCGAGATTTCATCTTTCGCCCAGTCCGCTGATCCCAAGGGTGGGTCTGTGTACTCAATTCCGCCGACATAAGCCATCCATGACCAGCTCGGTACTCGGATGTTTCTCTCAGGGGGGAAGTTGATGAGCCGCATGGCTCCACTTTGATGTCTGGTGGCGCCTCTGGAGTCCTCCATGTCTTCTTCGCTGCGCTTCCATAACAAGCTTCTATGGAATAATGCTCCGCCCGGGCCATCGTCGAAGATTCCGTAGGCTCCCTTTGCCTTGTAGGCTATCTGAAGCCGTTTCTCAATCCCGGCAATTGCGAACGGTCGATCGTCGTCTCGAGTGAAGATGAGTCGAGAGTAAGTCTGGTAAAGATCTTGGAAGGCTGAGATCTTCAGCGCGCGAGACTCGGTGCGCATAACTTTCGTGGGAAATTTGGGGTCACCCAGGAAATCCGCCATGTTGCTACATCGAGTTCGTTTAGTGAATTTCGAGCGCTAAGGGCTATGAACTGACTCACTTGTGCATCTTCGTCATCGTCTCACAACGGATTCCGCCCCCGCATTCGAAGTAGGTCTGAGCCTCGGAGAAGTATATCGTACGACGTGCTAGAGCGCGTTGCTGGAGCACCCAGCCTCGTTGGTTTAGAGAGCCCTCCAAGACATCTTCGGCAAAGTTGTCTATAGCCTGACATACGTAATATGGGTGACCACCCGGCCCAGTGAGAGTGGCATACTTCGGCTGAGGACGCGGCTTAAGGAACCCATCATGTTGATTCTGGGCTCTGTTCGCGGAAAGAACACAGAACGCCCCGCTATACACATCTTCCATCTTCTTTGCTTCCTCGCTAAAGTCGCCGTCGGGACCTTGGATGATGCATATGGAGTCTATCCACAAGTAACGGATACCGAGGGCCCGGGTGCTATCAACAGTATCTCTGAAGGTAGCGGGAAGCTCCTCGTAGGGTATCCTTTCTTTCAAGCTTTCAACATCTCGCTTGGCTCCGCTTACATCTTTTCGCACGGTATTGAAGGTTGGGTACCGGTTGACATCACCCCAAGCGTGCGAGAGTGCGATATATCGATGGTCTGTCGGTTGTTCTTCATATGTTTCTATCAGACACAATCTAGAATCGGTGTATGTTCCAACATCTATGAGTCTTGTGGGGAAGACCTTGGTGCTGACGTGGCAGTCTTGGTGGTTAATGTCGCAGTCGCTGAGCCAGAGATTCAATATTGCAAAGAAAGCCGATGATCTAGGATTTGGTAATATAGGAAAGCCCAGCTGGAGTGGTAGAGGAATCTTCAGGTCGGGTCCACGAAATATAGACAAAACCGGCAATGGATTAGACGTGATCACTAACTTCGAGCTCTGACGTTCGATTCGGGTTCTTTGGCTTTTTGCATCTGCGCCGAGCTGGGCAGCCTCATGAATGAGTCGGCACAATGTACAAGTCTCTGATCGCTTTTGTAGAATCGTCATCTCTTCATCGAAAACGAAACCTGCAGTGAGGAAGTTGAGTTCTCGGCATTGAGCGCATATTTGGGAGAATTCCCTGGGCCAAGCCTCTGTGCTGTTCACGCGAGCAGCTACCATCTCACCGAATTCGTTGTCAATCGGGAAGTCCCATCCTTTAAGTGTCGGCAAGGTATGGTCAACTTTATAGCTGCGCGCATGGATCTGTGTCAAAGGCGCCTTTTGCTGCTTAATGCTATTTGGCTTCAATGCTGCGTTGCGCTTAAAGGCGGCTCCCTCGGAAAGGAGACTAGTACCGCCGTCTAGAGGTCCAATACTACTACGACTCTTTCCCGTGAGTAAATAACCTGGTCCAACGACTTCGATTTTGTCGAGCATCTCCCTTAAAGCGTTTCGGAGGTCGATTGCTTTTGCCCGGTATCTTGTGATTGAATCTGGTTCTACAGGTTGTACGAACAGCCGACCAGTACCTGCAGCTAAAGAGCTCGCCGAATCTGGTGGCAAATTGACGACGAGAAGTTTGTTCTGTACGATATCTAGTAAGTCTCTTATGGCAGAGTGCTGAGAGCATTCCGGGTCTTTCCGGATATGCTCCATCCATCGACGGACTACCGAGCGAATTGCGTGTTCCGGATGTGGGCCTCCAACTCGGGTTTCGTAATATCGTCCTTCATCCATGTCAATTTCCCGACTGAACTCTTTCAGTACAGTATTGCCGTATAGTAGCCAGATGATGTATTCGAAAAGGATACAGCCCATCGACCAGATATCGGAAAGCCGCGATTGCACGCGCGTAGCTTCTGGTGGTTCGTATCGCCTAGTGGTAAACATCGGGCCCGTACTTTCCTCCCTAAAATTGGCTCGGGCGATATGTTTCTTGGCGATGCCCATGCCAGCGATACGGAAAACACTATCGCCTTGCTCGGCGTCTAAGAAGACGAGGATGTTCTCCGGTTTCAGATTGCCATGGATCATAAAGACTCTATGACTGCCCCCCAGACTCTCGTTGATTTTACCGTCTTCATCGTGAATATCAATGAAGGGCACATCATGACTTGGTCTCTCTAGTTCAGGAATCTCGAAAATCGGCTTTGTGTGAATTGATGAGTTCCTCTCAATATTGTGGAGTTGCTCGAGGGCCTCCGCTAATCCGCACAATTGACCAATAGCGTGCCGCACCAGCTCAGGAGTCAGTGGACTACTGTGGGTGCGATCCCAGAAGTCGCGGAGGTTATCGCCATCAGCCCATGGAAACATGAAATATCGACCATCGCCTCGTCGAATAGCAGCAATGCATGGTGTGATATGAGGATGCCCGAGCTTGTTTATCTCTTTCAGCACGACTGCTTCTCTTTCCCATGTGCTGTCTATGTCTGTCTTGTTTCGGCCAATAGAGGAGATCTTGATCTCTTTCACAGCGACCTAAACGATCTATAAGTCCACTTGATCCATGAGAGTGGAAGAAACTCACATTGAGCATTTTCTGATCTTCCAGATGCTTTTCGTGAAACCGAGCCTTGTACACCGCCCCGAAAGCACCAACCTTGGGCAATGTTGACGAATCCAAAGTGAATGGAAAGATCTCCTTGGGATCAAGGTCGTAATCATACCTTGCTCGAGTGAAAACAGGTACAATAAACTTCCACTGATGGTCGTAGAAATGTTGTCGCCGTATTTGCGTCCAGTATTTACGAGGAAAGGCTTTCAATATGTGATCCGGAGCTTCCTCAAACTCTCCGACAGGAAGCTCATTATCACCAAAATTATATTTACGGAACATACCCATTGCAACCATTGTATCAGCCTCATCGAGCGCGCAGTACAGTGTGATGGCAAGGACCTTTTTGCCATGTTGGTAGATCCAATCCGAGAGCTCATTAAGATATGTATCGGAACATGGATTTTTCCCAAGCTTTTCTACACGGCTGCGATCGTATCTTCGCAGCTCTTGAGTGAGTTTGGTCTTCGTAAAAACATGCTCTATCTTGCCTTCGGGTAGAAATGGAACATGACCATTTGAGGATTTGAGACTGGCTGTCCCTTCACAAAGTGATTCTAGTATGCGGGCCGTAAGAGTGTCTGACTCAGGTAGAGCACTATCGAGGTCTTCGAGTTCGAGCTCGAGGTCGTCCATCACTGGCTCGAGGTCATCTATATCTGGCTCTTAGAAGTGGGGTCAGCTTCAAATTCTGTATGAGTCTAGGGTCATATTTCATACTTTCTTCTCCCAGCTCGTGGGCTTCAGCATCTAGATTTGCTGCTTCTTGATCTCGCTGCAAAAGTTTCAGTACCCTTGACAGATCAAACAAACTCTTGATGATATCGCTTTTTGGCGCGAGCGTTTCCTTTTGCAGCTCCACGACTTGTCTGAATTGATCCTCTGCTTCCTCGAATCTTTGCTCGCCTTCGAGCGATTTAGCAAGGCCACTCTGGCAGTTGATGGTCTCGCGATGCTTGGCACCCAGCAAACCTTTCGCAAGTTCAAATGTCTGGTAGAGCGGCTGCTCATGATCAGATTGATGGGAGCAAAAATTTATCACTTCCGTCCAGTCGTAGTCCTCGCTGAGCATGTCCGGGGCTGACGGCACCAGTAAGGTCTCTGGGTCCACATAGCTGGCGAGATCCTCATTTGTAGGAACCCATTCTCCGCTGTGCCATTTTCCGTCCTCGAGCGCCATCCGGTTGTCGTCCTTTTCACCCAATGAAACCTTACTGCTTCGCTGCTCCGATGCGTCAACGTCTTCTGCATCGTAGTCTCTCACGTAGTCGATGGACATGAATCCGACTTCTTTGATGTGATCGCGGACGTGTAGCAAGAGCGCTTCTCGAACTTCATCGCTGCCTCGGCTTGCGCTAATTGGTACTACCTTATCAGGGACGCAGTTGCACACCGGGCATGTATCAGGGCGTCGGGGTTGGCGCAATTGACACAATCCTTTGAAAATTTCTAGGTCGGGGCTTTCGGCATGTTCGGAGTGCTTAAGCTTTACGTGTTCTTCGAATTCTTTCTCGTCGGTAAACAGTGGCTCGTCGTGGTCTTCGCATCTCCAATTCAGCGGCCTGTGGATCTTTTGCATCCACGTTGAGGTGTGTTCGCTCTCCATGTGTTGCTTCCAGTCCTCGTATCGAGAGAATAGCTGTGGCGGCTCGGCACATTTCTCGGAGATACATGTGTACAATTGGAAATCGCTTTCGACGTGGCGCCTAGCTGCAGTGAATATCAATATTGAAGTGGAGAGAGACATTACCTACTCCCACCAAATCTTGTCGGCAAAGTGATGCCATGGAAACCGTTTGCAGCAGTAGGGGCAAAGGCCATTTATTTGCGTGGAATCCAACTTGGGAGGATCGGGATACGTTGCATTCGTGAGTCGGACAGAGATCACTGACCCCCCGCCTGAAGAGTGACGTTTGCTGCCAGTTTTAACAGCGATATTGCGCGAGGCGTATATACGTTTTGCCTCTACTGATTCTGGTATGCTCGGGTCCGTGTCGGATCGTGCATCTTGCTCGCGTAGGTACTGAGGGATTGCCGACGGACCTTGAGTGCTGAGTTTGGGCGCTGTGGGCTGTGTCTGTATAATTACTGGACTTGGTGTGGATTGCTTCAGTGATTTTGGCTTTGTCTCGCGCTTAAATTCAATCTTTTCGGAATGACTGCGAAGATAGAGGATGCCAAAATACCGAAAGGCAACCGACGTCGCAAGCTGCTGACATAACGATAATGTGGCTCCGACCCTACCGGACCCTTTAGCGCTGTCTTCGGCTTTCGCATCCTGCTTGATCCTATGTATCAGTCGAATCTGGAGTTGGAAGCATGCTATCCCTTCGAGAACCCCTCCGTCGCCCTTCTTCTGCATAAACTGGTCGATCCTGTGGGTCAAATTGGTCGAAGAAGACTGGCGGATAGCGAGGCCTAAGCGACACAAGCCATCGACCGCGGACTCGAGTGCTTGCAAACTTTCGACTAGCGGAGATGAGTCTCCTTTGTCCAACTGTTGATTCATTCTATCGAGGATGAATCCAGCGGTCTCGCGTTCCTCCCCGCTCGAGGGCTTTCCCTCCAGTAATTGAACAAGTAACCCTCAGCATCGAATGCGACACAAATTAGGTTGTGGGTACGTACTGTCGTTCAAATTGTTCTCCACTATTGCGAGGTACTGTAGGACGAGACTCCGTAGGGATTCACTGAACCTCAGCCGGGCGTCTAGAGATACTTTTGGACGATTCACATCGCGAGCAAAGACCCCTAGATGAGTCGCCCACTGGCTAAACTGATCGTATAGGACTTCAGTGACAACGAGGCTTCGCGCCTTAGGGTTGTTTATTATCTGGCTGAAACCTTCATCGCAGCTCTGGGATTTCGTGTAGATTTCTGTCCGGTCGTGAAGGTCCATGTTCGTTAATCCCGCAGCGTCATCAGCCCCGGTGGAAACGCGGGAAACAACACCAATGGGGCAGCAGAGACAGAAGAACTAACCTGTGGGTGAGAGGAAAGTGTGCGCCGATACCTTGTAGATTAACGATCGTTACTTGAGATGAAGCAAACATTGATGAAAACCTGCAGCCTTGATCAAGTAAAGTCGATGGGCGCGAACACAAAAGATGGCCTACATTCCCGATCGCACCTGCCAGACCGAACAGGCGATATGTTTCAGCCAGGCTTGGGAGCGGGGTTTTGCGCCAATCCAGCCACCAGCCGCCTGTTCTTATCCTGCAACCCCTCCAGGGTTAAGCGAAGCTGCATGTCCACGTCGCTCCCCCGTTCTTAAGTCATCGCAGCTGAGGCCACCAACGTCTCCTCCTGCTGCTAGGAAACCTTGACGCTAGAGCCGCTTGAATGCAACATGCCCATTTGTTCTGCTCCGACATGTTTTCTAGGGAAATTCATTTAGCTTTCTGATGACCACATACACGATCAGCCTGGTCTAGGATTTCCTATTTGAGGCTTTGTCGACTCGGGTCTAGCAGAGCGCAAGAACAAAGTGACCCTGGACTCGAAGCACGAAATCTTCATCAACCGTGATTCGTGTTTACTATGGACGAGCGACGTGAATCTATTGCCCATCTGGACGAGTGGCGGCTTCTGGTCGACGTGTGCCGTATTTTCGCCTGCAAACATTCTTGGACCGCGCGTAGTCCAAACGAAGTGGATAAACTATCAGTAAAAAGACAAGCGGAGCTATTTAAAGTCAACATCGACGAAATTGGAGTTCATGTTGACACCGAACTTGTTCTCGGCGCAGACGCCCGCGATGATTTCATACTGGCAATCGAAGCTCTGCTCTCCAACCTGGAGAGTCTTGTAGACGAGAAACGCCTCCCAATGAAGGGACAGGCTCATCTCCTTCACAGATTTCCGAAACTCGTAGCGCTGAAGACAATGCTCGATCGAGGAGAACCTCTTTCCATCGATAATTTCGGCCAATACCTTCATCTTTCTCAGGATGCCAGGAGTTTCAAAAGAACGCGGTTTGCAGTCCAAACGTTTAATATTTCGTCAAGAGTCCTGTTGGGAGACACTAGAACTGTCTCTCTGCAAGCGGCCTCAGCAGACACTAGTACCCTTGCTCCGGTCTATCATCCTCAAAGCAGCTTCAGTCCGTCTTTCTGGAATGGCTCCAAACGTTTGTTCGACCATCTGGTTGTAAACGTCCAAAAGTGCGATGAAAAGAATGTTAAAAAGCAGGAGCACAAGTTGCTGCTGCGATTGAAAAACATTTCAGACTACTATGGGCAAGATGGGATGCATCCGAGGATTAGCATCTTGCTTGCATCGTGCTTGAACCCGAAGTCTTGGCACCAAACGATATGCTCCATCCCATCCCAAAGGTAAGACATGACCTCAATCTGTCGTCGTCGACGTACTTACAGCTGGAGCAGCTTGACGAAGTCCGAAACCTTCATTCCAAATATTTGTCTCAAGGCACGTGAAATGTTCCTAGATGAGCGGTTGTTTTGGATCGAGCTGTGCAACGAGCAATTTATCGACAAGTCCGATCTCGTGTTTGGTACTCCGCTCGACCACCCACCTACAGAGCACACGAAGTCGTTGTCTGATCTCTTGGCGGAGAAAATAGTGTCAGACCGCTATCAATTCCGACCGGAAGACAAGAGAATCATAGCCTTCAACCTCGCATATGCGCTACTCCAGTTTTATGAAGGGCCGTGGATTCAGACCCTTTGGACGCCAGACCATATTCACTTCATGTATGAAAAAGGCACCAGCACCGTTTACGACATCCGCCAACCGTACATTTCCTGCATTCTATCGAATGAGCCTCCTCAAATGGGCTCACTGGATTCTGCTCACAAATACCCTTTGATGCTTTCTTTTGCCAAGCTGCTACTGGAGCTGGAGATAGGAGAGCCAGTACAAGCTCAAGAGAGGCGCAACGGTGCATCAAGCGTCCTGCAACCTTTGATTGCATATTGTGAGACCAAGAGTAAAGAGCAGCTCGACAGACACTATGCCAAAGCTCTTATAGCCTGCGTGAAGTTCCAGCAGTTTCTCAGTGAGGAAAAAGAGAGGGACCCAGGAACGACATGCCGTGATGTTATTCTGCATCGCATTGTGCATCCATTAGAAGAGCGCCTCAACGAGTCTCCGAAAACGGCAAAGTGGAACAGTAGAAATCTTGATCTGAAGACCGGAATTCCTGTTCAAGAGCCGGTACGTGAGATTGCGGTCGCGATCGATCCCATCAAACAAGTATCAAATTCAAGCAACGTTCCCGCATCGAAAGACAATAGGGCACCTGCGAAGTTGCGATTTGTTACAGCTCCTATACCATCGCGTCATTCGAGTAGAAACTCTACGTATTCTGAACGTGGTGGCCCGACGCAAGCGTGGAACAAGCATCCGAGGTCTGCACAAACTTCATTGCCCCGTGCCGGCGCCGCTCGACAAGCAGGTAAGGCTGCAGAGGAGAAACCATCACATTCAGGCCGCAGGACCCCAATAATAAGAGGCACCAAGAGCTCGAAAAATGAAGCAACTCCTGAACAGCTTTTATTTACTACTTCTTCCAGCTCGATGAAGACAAGGTCTCCAACTCCATTAGTTCCGAGGGGGACAAGCGTTTCAGAAGGATCCAGCCGCCCTTCGACCCCCCAACCATCCCAATCGACGACTGCACCAGCAAGAACATCGAGAGAGCCGCGCAGATCCGTAAATCCGGCGTATGGAGAAGACTTGTGGTCGGGATTTGGCAAATGCTTTTCTCGTGACCCAAAGACGTGGTATGAGGTTCCACTGCTCGGCTCCAAGCGGTCAGGCCCCGTTGTTGTGCAAAGGGGAGCTAACGCATGAATAGTGATGAAATCTCAACGAAAACTTTCGATTACTTGAATTCGACGGTCAGCAAGTGGCTTCTATACAAACCACGATACGATAAGCCCATCAAAATCGCGGTCCTGGACACCGGGTTGGACGGTGATCATGAAGACTTTCAGAGAGCGAGGACAACCACGTTCACAGGGAAGTTTGGTGATGAACCTAACCCAATGCACAACGAAGACCCACAGATTAATCGTATCAGAAGCTATCGAAATTTCTGCACCACTGAACAAGCATGCGACCACAATGTCACTGATCAAGACAATGAAGACACTCTCGCAGATGTCCAAGACTTTGACGGCCATGGCACAAAAGTCGCAGGTATAATTCTCCGCCTGGCTCCTGATTCAGAGTTATTCATTGCAAAGGTTTGCATAGGAGGCGAGAGGAAACTTCCAGCGGAGGAGTCAAAGTTCCAAAAGCCGGAACCTGACGTTGTTGCAGCGGTAAGTCAAGAGCTACTTCGCAATCTTCGTTGATCTTCGTAACTAAATAGTCAAATATACAGGCAATTAGGTGGGCCATTAAAAAAGGAGTTCACATCATAAACTTGTCTCTAGGGTTTCGAAATTACGGATCGAGGCTAGACGATCTACAACGCGCACTGGAAGAAGCAGCCAAAGCCCGAATTGTCATTTTTGCCTCCACGACCAACGAGGGTTATCACGAAAAAGTAGCGTGGCCGGCTAGCGACGCTAACTTCGCTCTGGGTGTGAGTGCTTCCGTAGATAATGGCGGGACGAAGTCGAGTTTTACTGGAATGCATTGCCCTCATGGAGCGAATTTGATGGTCGTAGGCGAAAACATTCTGTCTCAAAGGCTGGGCGGAGGCTTCACCGTCTGCAATGGTTCCTCTTTTGCGACGCCAGTGGCAGCTGCAATCGGCGCCCTCGTTATGGCCTTTATCGAGCAGCTAGTGTGCCGAAAGAATCGAGAGGAAGCTAGGAGCAGCATAAACCCGGAAGACATTCACACTAACAGCGGGATGCTCAAGGTGTTAAAGGGAATTAGCTCACGCCCGGAGCAACACTATTGGACCCTCGATTCTCAGCTATTCTGGGCGGACTACGAGGCTTCTTCGAGTAATGATGAAGGAAAGGCGAGAGAATTTGCATGGAGCATAATAAAAAAAGCTCTGCACCGAGGAGGGTCTAGATAGTTCATTTATAGTCGTGAACGGGAGACAATAGGCGCAAAATAACTCCAGGTAGGTTCTCCTTGAGTTCAAACTGGGCACTGCGCGCGTTCTAGATGGATCTGGAAAACTTCACGAGGGTTACCTAGTTGAGTGACGCACCAAGCCCGCTCGATGGTTCGTAAAAGGACTCCAATGATACTTGAAGCTAGCCCATATCATTGGGGCAGTGATCCATTCTCGCGTGACCCCGCAGCTCCGCCACAATATGCAAGACGAGTCTCATTCAGCTGGCTGCTTTCTTTGGGGGTTTCCTATTGGAAGACCGACGCACTACATGAAGCACAGCGCGGCTCACGCACGCTCACCGGAACAACAACGCTGCTGAGATAAATTCTGGTGAAACCCCTCCAACCGTAGAGGCAGCACGTCAAAAAATCTGCCCGTTCCAACATCCGTCGTCACCACCAAAAATGTCTCAGCAACCAGGCGGCGTCGTGGGCAAAATGCTCTGGCTTGTCCCGCGCTATGTAGAAGAGCACGGCACGCTGATGAGACTGGGCGCCATTCTTACAGACCCGACGGACCTCGAATCCGCCTGCAACCTCGATCGCATCCCAGTCATCCCTCCCAAAGCGCGTCGCAATGCGACGCCGCACGTGCGGAACTACGTGCACACCCAGCTCAGCAATCGCAACAGCGTGCTTGCCAAAGCGGTGCCGGAGCTGCCATACTTCCAGGCGGGTCTGTCAGCCGACGCGACGTGGAAGCACGACGCGGACACGACGCTCGAGGCAATGGATATCAAAGCCGAGGTGTTCATCCCTGACAAGGACTTTATGCGTGAGGCGCTCAGCTGTGACGCCGTTATCGCCGAGATGAGGAAATGCTTTTTCAAGAAATCATTCTACATGATAGTTGGCGTCGCGACGGCGCGAAACCTAACACTCAACGAGAAGCTAGGTAGTGAGCGCAGGATCGCGGCATCGGCGCATGCGCAAGCTACCGGGGTTGCGGGCGCAGGCGAGCTTGGGTTTGAGCGTGAGAGAACGGCGACGGCTGAGGGGAACCTTGCGGTCACGCAAGAGTGCGATTTTGCCTTTCGACTTAGAGAGTTTGTGTATTCCAATATTAGCGGGGTGAGGGACAAGGGGAACTATGGCGAAAGTGCAATGTTCGGAGAGGGCAAGAGCGGAAAGACGGCGCAGCAGGAAGATGTAGAAGAGTTCCCGGAATTCTTATTTTTCATGGATGAAGACGAGGATGCGTCGGATGTTCTCTCGCTTCCCATTGAAGATAATGGCCCCAATTCCTTGTAGATAGACTATCTTTGTCTATGGAGAGCAAGGTGCAATGCAAAGTATTGACAGCAGAAAGCTCTTATGAGAATGCACTACCTTGGGTTGTCGCTAATGGCAATCGCAAGCTGGCTTTGCTCATCTCTCCGTCGAAGTGTTGTGCAAGTTCAAATTGTAGACTGAAGTAACTACTCAGGTTTGGGGGAATACAAACTCTCGATCTGATTGCTCACCGATGATGTCCGGTACACCCCACCCAGACATCTGGACGCCACAAGCAGCTAAAATGGTTGCATTGATATGTCCAACAATGCAGAAAGAAGAAATGGCATGTTCTACCTCCTGCATTTCATGCAACAAGTAGTGAGAATTGGGTTGAAAGTAGCTGTTGTAGTTCCCTATCCCATATATGCAGTCTGCAAGGCTGCCTCCACATAAATACAAAAAGCTAGGGAAAGCTTATAAGTTGTACGGTTTAGTCTTCTTTAAAACTATGCTAGGGTAACTCAGAGTGTTGTAAGAATACAATCTTGCGATCTGAATGCGAATCTGTGGTGTTGGTGGGGGCGAGTCGGTCGGCTCGGCTGTAGGATGCGCTGGAACACCTGAGCGCGATATCGCACCCAAACACCCATGGAATTGCGTAAAAACCCAGGAGGGCGTACAATTGCATGCGCGCTTCAATATTTGATGTTGTCTGTCCCGCTCGTTTGCGTGTTGGACAAGGAATGGCGCGTTTCGGCGCCAAAAACGAGGGGGGAAAAAAACAAAAAGAGAATGTTGTACGGCTGCCCGGGATCGAACCGGGGACCTTCTGCGCTTTACACTTGCTGTCGCTGGATGTAAAGCAGACATCATAACCGCTAGACTACAGCCGCTGATGCAATTCCGTGAGAGAAAATGAAATAATTGTTATATATATACCAAATACAATTTCTCAGATCGCACACGTCAAAAACTGGCAATACGGGGCAAATTTGATGGAAACGTAGGGTGAAGGAGCTAGAAGAAGCGAGCCAGTAGGTAGTGGGGACGGTGTGCGGTAAAGTGGATGTTGGACGCCTTGGCGGAAGATAGCGGGAATGAAGAAGCATCATTCTGAGAGCGATCGCTTGAAAACCAGAACTCAATCACGAAGATCTTAGAGAACGCTGAAAGGTCAATCATTTTGACCATCTTGATATCTATGTTCTAGATGGAAGCTTTTGAATTGGCTACGTAAATTGTGCACGGCCTCCATGACATAGTCCTAACCAGTTAAGCTCCGTCAGCTCGGAAGCTGTTCCACTTGCCGCTTCGCTCTCTTCTCGCCATCTTTCTTTCTCGCCCACAGTCGTTGTATAACCACTCAGCTACTTGTGCATCAATTGCGCGTCCGCTCTCACCCAGAGCTTCAATCACCCAAAATGACCGCCCGCGCCCCAACCCTGCGCACCCTCCTCCGAACAACCACCACCCTCCGCCCCGCAACTCAGCCAGCGCGGCCATTCTCCCAACTTCAAAACCATTCGCGATCTCGCTCGCCATCTCCCCCACCGCCATACGCAGCGCGCAACGTCACCTTCCTCGCCGCCCACTCCTGGACCCGCTTCCACACGCCCTACACCTACTCCTCGGTCCGCACCTTCGCATCCACCCCGCGCACCTCCGCGTTCGTCCCACAACCGCCCAGCTCGTCCACCGCCGCCACTAAAATCGATGAAGTGATGGAAGAAATCACCGAGTTGTACGGCACCGCGCGCGACGAGTTCGAGATCGCGGCGGAGGAGACGGAGAAGAACACCACGTATGCGGCGGACGACCGGGCGGCGGCGAGGGAGGAGCTGGATCGGTTGCTGGAGTATTATGGGGGCGTTTTGGAGGGCGATCCCGGGGTTGCGGAGGAGGTTAAGAGGAGAGTTGGGCAGAGGGTGAGGGAGTTAGAACAGGCGGTGTTGGGGATGGAGGAGAGTGTTACGCATGGGGATTAGAGGAGGTGTATGACATTGGCATCGGAGCGTAGGAAAAGGTGGATGACCGAAGATGTACGATATTTTGTGGCAGACGGCCCTGAGGGCATGTCTCGATGTACGATGGACAGTGAGGGATGTAGATGGAGAACAATTCGGTTGTGTATTTAGCGCTCAATGGCACTCTACTGGATCAAATATTCTACGATGCGCTACACGAACAATATGTATTGGCTATGCTCGTGGACTCCAAATCTCGCATATGGTATCTACCCAAACTCCGAACGTATCGCTATGCTTCCAATCCAATCAAAACGCCCAGCCCCGTAAAAATGAGTTAACAGCATAAAGCGCCATGAGCAATTTGTACTACCACCACCTCTTCGGATTCCTCGCCGACGTCGCGCACTGCAAGCAATGCCTAGCGTTCGTTACAACCGCGCACTTGCCGCATACGCTCCTCCCACAGTCGCTGCACGCGAGCGAGCACCTATCCAGTGGGCCGTCGACATCCATATCGACATCCATATCGATTGCGTCCTTTTCAAGCAGCGTGTCGCAGTCCTCGCACCGGGGTGCTTCCGCCTCGCGTTGGGGCTGCATCTGCGCAAATGGCAGCTGCACAGGCGGTGCAGGAATTTTCCAAAACGCGTGCAATGTTGACTTTTGCGACTTCTGGATGACGGGTGCTTGTTGCGCGGGCAGTGTGTCAGACAGTATGGGCTCGGCGTGCGGCTGATTGCGCTGTGCAGAGAAGAGCTTGTTGATTGTGGTTTCTGCTTTCGTTAGTCTTCTTTCTCGATGCAAGGGGTGATGGTGAAAGCATACCGTGTATTATATGCTCGTCCGGCCTGTTGTCTCTGACCCGCTTGCGTGTGCGCAGCCCCCAGTCGCTGCTCTTTATCCGTCCCAGATTTGAGAAATCCCACCCTGTGCCTCTGCTCGCAGGAGCATCCACGTCCATCATGCCGCTGGAGCCATTGGGAATGGGTGTGGGGGACTGTGCGTCGGGCGTTGCGAAACCGGCGAAGCTGGAGACGGACATGGGGGACTCGTCGACGGATCGCTTGCGTTTGAAGCCCATTGTGATTATGTATGATGTGTTGCTCAGGTGTAATTTCACGGTATATATACACAGTGTAAGAAGATGATGCGGCGGAAAGCGTGCGTTGTGTTGGGAGAGTAAGCGGAGCTGAATGGATGACGATGAAATGCGGAGGATCGTGTGGAGGCTGGCACGCGTGAATCGTCGCGACGCGCACTAGTCGCGTGTCCAGACATAGGGTCCCAACAATCAACCTTGGCACACCCCAAACGGTTGTATGATTTCATATGCATCTCGTATAGGCATCGAGAGAGAGACTTGATTAATGGGAGTTACGTCGTGGTCGGTATTACGAACAACTGCAAGGCAGCTCAACCGTCCCGGACGCATGCCGCAGCGCATTGATTGATCTCCCGCAGAAGGAATGGAAGACCACCAGGGTGGCTAAGACCGTTCATGTTGCTGATGCCAGAGGTGCTTTTGCTCTGGAGAGAGAGTATGCTAAAGCTGCTCTTGTCCTAGAAAGCCGAGTCCATGCTCATTCCAATCTGTAACTGATTACGTCGTGTCTGGGACGCAGCTGCCCCACCAGAGCTGTACCTGCCCCAGTACCCCGCTACCAACACTCTTGCATCCCAACAGCTCCAAGAGCGTCTTACTTCTTCACCAGTTCTTAACTTCTCGTACCCCATAGAACCTCCAGCTTCGATGGCTCCAGCTATCCGTGATCCTTCACACGCAGGGTCGTGGTACACTGACGATAGCGCAACCCTCTCACAGCAGCTCGACGGCTGGCTGTCGAAGGTACCAAGCTTGACAACTCCCATAGGATCGGCGTCCTCAAAGCAAGGCGATGTCTCAATACCAGTGCAGAAAGCCAGAGCCATAATCGCACCGTAGGCGAATTGAGGGCTGTTACTGAGAACGCAAGGCTCATGACGTGCAGGCATGCTGGATACTCGTACTCAGGGCCTGCTGCTGCATGGGCCTACAAAAGCGCCGACTGGGCAAATGCGTACGGCTGGACTCCTTTAATGCACACTTGGAAGCTCACTCTTGCAGCAAGCGCGTCTTTCTGCTGGGACCCTCCCATCACTGGGGTTTGCCGGGTGCCGCAACTACAGGATGCAGTGAATATGGCACACCTCTCGGAAATCTCACCGTCGATACAGAGCTCGTGGGAACTATCCGAAAGGAGTGGAACTTGAAAACAATGTCCAGGCAGCAGGATGAAGACGAGCATAGCTTAGAGATGCACCTGCCGTACATCTATAAGATGTTGTCATTGTGCGGAGTCCCAGTCATCTATTTCTGCCCCAGTACTCATGCGATCCTACAGACACAACTCGGCCTTCAAGTCGGATGCCTCATCCGTACCTCTGGTCCCCATCCTCGTCGGCGCTACCAACTCAGCCACCGAACGCGATCTCGGCTCCAAGCTCGCCCACTATCTCGCCGACCCCACAAACCTCTTCGTCATATCCTCAGACTTCTGCCACTGGGGCTCACGCTTTCGGTACACATACTACCAACTGCCTGACGGTAGCGCCAGAGAGATCCGATCGTCCTCAGAAGTCAAGAAAGACTATCCGATCCACGAGAGCATCAAGGCAGTCGATTTCGAGAGCATAGACGCAGTCGAGAGCGGAGAGCACAAGCAGTTTCTGAAGCAGCTGCAGGAGACTGGGAACACGGTTTGCGGACGGCATCCAATTGGTGTTTTCATGGCTGCCGTGGAGCAGGCCAGTGGACTGCAGGGCGATGGCAAATTTAGGTTCCTACGATATGAAAGGAGCAGTGAGGTGGTGAGCGTCAGAGACAGCAGCGTCTCGTACGCCAGCGCGTTTGCTATACTTTGAGGGTACGACTACGCCAGGGAATACAATGCCGGTGAAAGGCAGGGCTACAAGCGGCTTTCAAATCCGATTGTATTCAGAGGTATACTAGTAGTCGGTACCTTTTTCTAATCTCGGTTCAATTGCCTTATCTGTCAGTCCCAGTTTCGCATAGTAGAAGTGGGAACATCAATCAGATTTACCACACCAACACACTTGGCCATGCATACTTGGCCAGTGCTTTGTACTTTCTGTTCCACACTTGCCCAAAAAGGTAATCAGTGCTTATTATGTGAGCGCTGTTGCTTCAGTCCTGCTCTAACACTGCCGTCTTGCCGTGCCAATACCCGGACGGCTGCAATTTTTGGTGCCGAAAGCCGAACGCGCATCCACTATGTCAAGCATCTACTCCCACAGCCACATTGTCTTTTTTCCAACCTTCCGCGTGTGGCACAGTATTCTTCCAGCTCAGCCACCCCCATCGACAATCTCTCGTCAATCGATCAATACCGCCCCATTGAATACGCGTAGACCACTAAATATCACGTGATCTCTCTCGCTCCCCGAGGACGACCTTTCACCGCCAACGGCTGTCACAACTCCATGTCCGTACCATGAACTTCGGCAACACCATCGCAAAAGCATGCAGCACCTTCGCTCTCACCAACATCGACGACCTCTTCGTGCTGGTCACTTTCTTCGCGCTCGCCGCCACCGGCAAGACTACGCCCTTGAAGATCACCATCGGGCAGTACCTCGGCTTCACGGTCATCATTGCAGTCAGCATGATCGGCTTTGCGGCGGCGATGGTGCTGCCTCCCGAGCCGATTGGGTTTCTGGGATGGGTGCCGATGATGCTGGGGGTGTGGGGGGTGCTGGGTCTTCTCTTTTCCCACAAGCAGGAGCCGGACGAGGATGTAGGCGAGGAGACTGAGCAGGCGGAGCAGACGGGGAAACGCGATGCACTGAAGCAGATAGGCAGCGTAGCGTTTGTCACCATGACGAACGGCGGGGACAACATCAGCACGTACACGCCGCTCTTTGCGCAGGCCAAGGGCGCCGAGATCGCGGTGTATATTGTGACGTACTACATTCTGCTCGGTGCGTGGTGTCTTGTTGCGTTCCTGGTCATGAAGCAGAGACATGTTGTTGCGCTCGCGGAGAGGTATGCGAGGTGGGTTATTCCGTGGTTGTACGTGGGGCTGGGAGTGTACATTGTGGTTACTTCGGAGTGCTATCCGTGGAGTATTGGGAAGATCGACGATGACCTGTCTTCGAAGCCGGGTAGTGTTATCTTAGGGGTTGTTACTGCCGTTGTAATTGGTGGGGTTGTTGGGGCTATGGTGTGGGTTAGGCTGAGGGGTAGAGCGGCGAGACAGGCGGCAGGAGAAGGTGGTGAAGAGGGCGTTACGACGGACGGTGAGCTGGATGGGGTTACTCCAGAGGTTCAACCCGACAAGCAACAGGAATGCAGTGTGGACGACGACCTGCGGTATCAAGCTGGGGTTCCAGAGTCTGTGGGATCTGAACACGCTGCACCTGTACCCAAAGTATCTGGTGCTGAAGCTATCAGTAAGTAATCCCGGAGAGATATGCTCAAGATTCAGAAGACTCTCTCACATATAATTTGGATCGATTGCCACTGTTTCTTTCCATGGTGTCTGGAGCGGTCAAAAGACGTCCGCACGCGCCACTAATTACCGCAAAGGCGTTGGATGGACATTCTAGAGAAGCCCTTTGAATGAACCAGCGTGTACAAAGTGGATGCATCTGCCAAAACCAAAGGCGCTGAGACGTACACCACACTGCCTCAACTCACACTGACTTTTGATCTTCAGTATGCCAACTTCCTCCTTTCGAAGATGTTTGGCCCCCAACGGGGCGCTTCATGGAGCTTGGCATTACCTACTATTGTGGCAGTGAGCCGAGTAACCGTGACTTATCAGTGAGCTGCAATAACATACGATGTCTCGACCCGGCCACCGACCGGACAATGTACAATCACTCATACATTCAACAGGTACATAATGGTATCTCGAAGGGGTCCCCCTTATACTCCTCCCTTAATAGCATAAATCCCAACCCCAGTCTTCTCCTCCTTTCCCCATCAACCCATCATAGCCTCACCTCGCGCCCCTCGATCCTCTTCAGCACCTTCCCCGTAAACCTCGTATACGTCTTTGCCTCCGGATCCAGCCAAAATAGCACATCTCCCCTCTTCTCCACCGCTCTCGCGTTGATCCCATCTTTCTGGAACAAGTGCTTCTGCTGCTTGTTTGTGCCTGTAGTGTGCATCTGCTTGGTAACCCTCAGCCATAGCGGTACTGCAAACGCCGGCAGACTCCCTCTTGCGTGGTCAGCAATAGACTTCAGAGTCGCAGCGTCCGGTTTATTAGTCCCGTTCTTGAGAATGACGGCGGCGCACCCTGCGCGCCCGTCATGATGCGGCACCTGCACGCCATAAACATTTGCTTCTTCGATGGCGGGATGTTTGCCCAGGGCGTCTGCCACTTCGGCTGTAGACACGTTCTCTGCTTTCCAGCGGAACGTGTCGCCGATGCGGTCGATGAAGTACCAGCGCCCCTCCTTATCGCGGCGAACGAGGTCGCCGGAGCGGAAATACGCATCGCCCTTTGTGCGCACGTCGCGTAGGATCTTGGAGGACGTCGCCTTCGAGTTGCCCCAATAGCCCTGGAATTTCTGCGATATGTTCGCGGCGTCGAGCTTGAAGAGGAGCTCGCCGGCCTCGTTCCAATCACACACCTGACAAAGGCCGGTTTTGGGGTCGCGCAGGGGCTCTGGCGGGGAGGCGTCAGGGTCCATGCGGATGATGGGGAGAGAGGCGCCCATAAGGACGTTGGTTAGCGTGCCGTTGCGGGCAAAGGCGCCTGCGCTGAAGCTGTTGGTGGATTTGTTGAAGAGACCGCTTGGAGCTTCAGTTGCGGAGTAGAACTCATAGATGGTTTCGATGCCGAAGCGGTCTTTGAATGCGTTCCATACATCGGGTCGGAGTCCGTTACCGAAGAAGGCGCGGACGTGGTGTTGCTTGTCGAGGGGCGAAGGTGGTGCTGAGTGCAAGTAGCGGCAGGTCTCGCCGACGTACTGGACGATTGTAGCCTTGGAGGCTCGGACTTCAGGCCAGAAGGTTTTGTGGGAAAAGCGCTGGGATATGCAGATTGCGGCCCCGCCACGCAGCACGGGACCGACCCCAAGGACAGAGGCAGAGCTGTGGTATAGAGGCATCGACGTGTAAAGCACGTCTGTGGATTTGATACCAATCCAGCCCTGGGCGAACTTTGAGCCAGTGAAGGCTTTACCCCAGGACATGATCGCAGCTTTTGGGAGACCTGTCGTTCCTGATGTATATATCAGCATAGCCATGCTGCCTACTTGTTGATTTCCGCGCTCGGAATCGGGGACACGGGTCGGTTTGAGAGAAAGAATGTAGTTTTCCAGGCGCTTGTCGAAGAAGATGAGTTCGAGTCTACGGGTCTGTGACTCTGAATCATCTTCTCCAGACTGTGTTTGTGGTGCAGTCAGATTGGACTGTTGTTGGACCTTCTGGGGAATCTGGCCCGGGTCGCTCTCGAACCCGTAAACGGCTTGGTTGTCTTGCTGACCTGCAGTCGCTGGCACCGTGGCGAAACCATGTTCTGCCATGACGCTTTCTTTGAAATTCTCCTGGCTATTCTGGTCCACAAGCAGTAGTCTCGCCGTACTCGTCCTCACAGTGTGGAACAGCGGAGCGCCTGTCAAATTATAGTTGATGAAGGCCGGTTTCGCGCCAATGCTCCACAACCCGTACCACACCCATATGAACACCTCGCTGTTCATAAAGTCCATCGCCACAACCTCCTCCTTCTGCACTCCTTTGCTCTTCAGCCACGTTCCGTATTTCAAGACGATCTCGTAGGCCTCAGCATAGCTCCACGTCTCTCCGGAGTGTCCCGAGATAATCCAGGGGCGCTGGCGGTTCGACGACTTTGCTTGCGCTTCGAGCTCGTAGAAGAGGTTAAGCTTGTCATTACGCTCGGCTAAACGGGCGCGTATTTGGGCGACAATGAGGGATGAGAGGATGCCGTAGTCGTAGGAGAGCCCGTAACGTCCGTTGAGATAGGCGATGCCGGCGGTGGCTGCGGCGGGGAGGGCGAGTGCTGTGCGACCGCAGAGGTTAGCTACCGTAGCTCTGGAGAAGATGCGCCATGCGCGGTTGCGGCGTGGGCTTACCTTGCATTGTGGAGAAAGGTACAAGTTGTGCTCAAGGAGCGAATAAAGATGGTTGAGGCATCCTACGACCGATATACGCCGGAATTGCGCGGTTCGGTCCTCATCTTTCGCGCAGGTTGGCACCTGAAACTAGGAGATGCCGAGGCATAACTAGGGTAGTGAAGGTCTGTGCGTTTTCTGGGGAAGGGCGTCATCCTCCAACGGGTGTAAGCGACTCGATCGTGGGAACTCATGGGTGAGTGCAGTTGTTCCTGTTTCTGCAGTGATGCAGTCAGCCTCAGTACCTGCCCGGGCCCGAGGCTTTGGTGAAGGCTCCAGGCATCAACAGGCAGATCTCTTACGACGACAATGAAACCAGATCCAAGCTAATACCGATAGGAGTTAAGAAAATGGTAGTAGGGCCTAGGGTACCTTACGAAACTATGCTGTTATTGCGTCGCCGGTGTTCACGTTGACGATAATGGCAGGTGCACACCACTGGCAGCTAATTACTTGCAGCTGTGTTACAGCACGAACCCACTTCGTCAAGAAGAGAAAAATATCGTACTTTCCTTCCTACCATCCGGGTTATGCCAAGGCTTGAAGGCCTCGCCCCGACCGCACGACACCTCAAGAGCCTATGCCCGGGAACATCGGCGAACCTGTTCCTGTGTATTACTGAACAAGGATTCAAGGAGCATTGGGCTTTCATCATGTGTTCTTTCTCATTCTCATCTACGAAACCCCAACTCTGTGCACTCGAATAATTCCCCTCCAACCACCCACCATCAACGTACCACTGCGCCTTGGTCACATTCCTGCTCTCGTCGCCAAGCAGGAATGCATGGAAGCTGCGATCTGGCACGGCTCGGCGAGCTCGTGCTTGAGGATGGCGGGGATGTTGACGGCGGAGAGGTGGAAATCGCCGAGGGGAGACTTGAAAGGCTTCTCCATCATCTCGGTGTCGATGCAGCCGCTTACGATATGTAAGTCCTATGGCATATGGTTGGATCGGTGGAGGGAGATGGAGGGTGGAGAGGGGACTTCCGGGCAGAGTGCGTTGGCGCGGATTCCTCAGGGTGCGCCTTCGAAGGCTGCAACTTTGGCGAGGCTGTGGGTAGGAGGTTGCCCGTCAATTCATGGACTCCGACACAGGCATCATGTATCTCGCAGATCCACCGAACGGGACGCAGAGGCACATGGGCGATGCGCTGCCGAACCCGCATTCTCAGTTGGCTGCGACGGCTATATCTGTTACCGTAATTGCATTCCTCACTGTAGCTCTCTGGGTCTTCACGAGGATACATGTGACAAAGAGTGGCCTGGCGATAGATGGCTGTACATAGCGGGATGTCTTGCTCCTGGGCGCAAGGGGGTTAACGAGATGACGAGTGCAGATATGGCCCTTATTGCCATGGCGTTCTCTTTCAACTTGCTTGGTATGAAATTCAAACGTCAGTTGACTTTGCTGCCTTCCCGTGTTGCTCCCACTGACGAGTGTAGATATGGCTGTGGGGCTTGGATACCACTTTTGGGACATCCCAATGACCGACTGCATGGTTCCCTTCTGAGTTCATACCTTGGCGGGCACCTTGGCGGGCACCATGGTCTACTCACTCAGTCTCGCATTCTTCAAGGTCTCCATCCTCTTTCTCTACCTTCGATCGTCGACCGTACGATGATGAGTAAATCGCCGGGTACAAAGTGGATGTGCCTTGCAAAAGCAACGGCGCTGAGACATACAAAATCTTGCCTTGACTCACACTGACTTTGTATCCGTACTTTAGGTTCAGGGATTTGGTGTGGATCCTGCTCGGCATCGTGATTCCAGATGCGGTCATCTACAACCTGATATCCCTCTTCGGCTGTAGACCAATCGCAGCCTCATGGGATCTGTCCCTCGCAACTACAGCGAAGTGCTTGGATCAGCTGACTAAATACATGGTGAGTACAAGTTGAACTGTCGCGAGGAGTCGGCTAAGCTTATGCAGGCACTGTCGGTCCTCACTATCATTATCGATGTCTTCGAGCTTGTCCTTATTCCCATTGTCATCCCGCTTCAGATGTCGAAATGCTAAAAGGTCTCGATACACCTCATGTTTGAGACTGGCATCTTGTGGGTCATTGACTCTCGCGGTGATGTGCACTTTACTGATGCCAGTGTTTGCGCGGTCGCCATAAAGCGAACACTGCTGCTCAAGCCTCTCATGACCTCTCCAGTCTACACCTGGGCAGCTGTAGAGCAGTTCGAATGGTGCTTCGTGGAAGTCGATGTTGGGATTGTATGCGCGTCTGTTCCAGTTCTTAAATCATTCCTCGCGCGGTACCAGCCCGACCTGATCAGCTCTCGATTGAAAAGCCACGACCGCCCAAGAACACGTACGGACACAACACCATTGAGAAAGGCAGCGAGCGCTCGAAGGTGAAGGACATATACGAGATGACAGTTGTCGAAGACGACGTCTCCTCGGAAAAGACGGTGCAGCCACCCAACGCAAACGACGATGAAGCCAGACTATGGACGGGACCGCACAGTGGTGTCAGAGCCAGTGCTTCATCAAATCTTTCGAAGCCTGCCGCGTCGCACGTTCAGGCGCCGACACTTGGACGCGATAGCGAAGGAAGGAAGATGTATGTGACGTCGGAAACCACTGTAGAGTACGGAGACCGGTGAGCGGATATTGCGAGTTAGCTACGAAAGGAGATACAACCGTCGCTGGTGACGGTGAATTGATCATCTCGTTCAGCTCAAATTGATTCGGGACTGCGGGGGACTTGCTCCCTTGGGGAAGATCACGGCTGCTAGGGGCCATTCCGAGGGTCATTCCGCCCGAGTTGCCTTTCGCGGTGCCTGAACGCATACGCATGATAGGAGGGGCTACGCCATCGCACAGTATGTTTTGTGGGTCACTAGTCACGAGCAGCTCTCTTAGTGGCTGAAGTGGGTCCCAACCCCGCACAGCTTGAATCTGGGGAAGGCGCACGGACCCTGGCGTGAGCATGAAGAGCTCCTGCCCCTCCATCTGCCCATCCTCACACGAGCTCGTACGTGTACCTATTCCACCTCACTTTCATCTCCCACAACTCTTCAATCATCACCAGAAACAAGCAGTCAAGATGAGTGCAATTGCCGACAACAACGATGGGCCTGTCGAGACGGTACAGGTGCTCTTCGCCCTGTACCCTGGCTACAACACCCTCGATGTAGCTGGCCCGCTTGAGGTCCTCAGCCGTTCCCTTCACAACCCCAAAGACAAGGGTATGTTCTTGCACTCATCTCATTGAGCATCAATTGGACTTCCCCACACCCCACTTCGCTGCTGACAAGCTTCGACAGCGAGCAAGGCGTTCAAGGTGCAGTTCGCGGGAACCGCAGCTGCCATGACATCCGTCCAGGGCCTCACCATCAAGGCCGACATGGACTACGAGGACGCCAACGACGAGCTTGAGGACTTTGATGTCATCATTGTTCCCGGCGGCGAGGGTGTCTTCGACGTGCTCAAGAACAAGTCCGAGCCTCTTGGTCTTCTCTCCAAATACGTCGAGCTTCAGGAGAAAAATCCCGCCAAAGAGCGCACCGTACTAGCGGTCGACATTGGCACGCTTCTCCTCGCGCAGCAGGGCATGCTCGAGGGCCTTGCTGCCACCACGCACCCTGACTATTATACCCGCCTTGAGCAGGCTTGCCAGGAGGCTTCGAGCCGCGACCTCTCCATGCGCACCGACGTTATGGAGGAGCGTTACGTGGTCAACAACGCTCGATTCGATCTGGGCGAGAAGTAAGTGTTTCATCGAGCCAGGCTCGGTACTGTTCCCTGACTTCATATAGCCCTGACGACAATCCGTACATCATTCGAAAGACCCGCGGAGGTGACGGCGATAACACACAGGGTGGTCGAAGGAAGTCGATCGCACGCAAGGGCAGCAACGCCTGGCAGGAGTCACGCCGCCGCGAGTCCATCGCCCGGCGTGCCAAACTGCCGCTCGGTGGCATGCGTATCATCACCACCGGCGGCGTCACTGCCGGCTTGGATGCCAGCTTGTATCTGGTGGGTTCTTTGGTTTCCCACGATTCGGCCCTGGAGGTCGCTCGTGTTATGCAGTATTCCTGGGTTAAGGGCGTTACGGTCGATGCAATTGACGTTTGAGCGAGCGAGGCATTGCGATGGCGTTGGAAGCATCTTGAAATGCACCGGACCGTACTGGTCGGCTGGTATGGAATGTCGGGTAGATTCGGTCATCTGCTCTGACTTGATGTAAGGTAACGAAGAGATCACGAAATCAATGTAAAATATCCAAAGAGATGCCCGAGGGTTCGTGACTGCGTTGTTTCTGGTGAGTAAGGGAGGCCATGGCGGAAGTCGCACCAACTCTCGACGCGGTCCCTTGCCGCCTCGCACGCGCAGGTATTTCCCAAATGCCGAAAAGAGAACGCTCAGCCAAACAGAACCTTCCGCGAAGCAGAAGTGTCGAGACGAGAGAAATTCTTTCCCCCTAGCGGAGCTGGAGGCACCAGACGCAATATTCACTACGGTGGCTCGGAAGAAGAAGCGAGCGACACTGCGCGTGACGGTATCCGCTCGCCTATTCTAGTTTTCAAATCAGCTTCAGTGCCGCACACTATATCAGTTTTTGACGCTCGTGGTAACCAGGGCCGCCACCGCGTCATCTAACGATGTTTGGCATTGCCCTCCGAAGTTCCGCCACACATCGACTTGCAAAGACTGGCGCGTTTTCAACTTTGCTGCTCAACGAACAGGCGTCCCATCGGAGTCAAGACCGCCCGCAGTAGGACTCACGTTTTCTGGGCCCTGGGTCCAGCAGTCAAGGTCAGCATCGCCGCTGTTACATTAAGCTCGCAAGAGCCGAGTCATCTCGCCGCTAAGATGCACTAGTGAGCAGAAATCGTCAATGCACCCACGCTTCCCATGCGGGTACCCCCGTGGCACACAGATATCTCGAATGTGTATATCAGGGTCTACGCGGGACGCCCTGCAGCTCGCCTTCGGTTCTGCAGTTCGGAATACCCCGTCTGGCGGCTTCTTGCGTTCGGGCCGTGATGACGAGGAGCTTACAGCGCGAGGCGAGCAGTCGAAACGCGATAATCTGCTGGCTGCGGGGATCCATCCGCAATGTGAGGTTGAATGGAACGCGTTGTGATTGGTTGAATGCGCGGATGCGCTGCATCAAGACGCAGTGGCTGTGTAGGTGAGCTCGAAATTCGCGCATGCTAACCTCCAACAGCCTAAGCAAAGCGACTTCGCCAGTACATCGTCTGCCGCTTTGGGAGCGGAAATTGCATCTCACATGCTGTGCGCTTGCTCTTTCAAACAAGAGACTGGTGACGGCGCTGATGGGCGTAGCTTGAGCGATTTTTCGTCGAATCGCTGTGTTACCGCGCGCGGCAAACAACACAGCCTGCTTGCAGCTTTGTTCGCTTCCATCGTAGCTATGTCAAGGATTTTGGCGACATTCTGTGTCACCGCTTCCCGTGGTTTCCATTACGTGCGGTATGAGACGGTGGCTGGTGCGGTCATCGACAGCGCTGTAACCTGGGCATGAGAACGCGCTGCACGTGGGTACCAGATTGTCGTCACGTAAGGCTGGAAAGGGTCTACAGGGGCACAAACCTTTGCCGCGAAGGGTCTGAGCAGTAGCTACCTTTTCACTGCGTGATCTGCGTGATATAAATACAATCAACCTCCACTCGACACTCTCCTCCATTTCTACCTTCTTTCTTCGCCTCTTCTGCCGCTCCCTCCTTACTGCCTCCCCTTCAACACGCGCCCGCCCACTCAAACAGGCAGTTTACTGTCTCTTGAAGGCGCTCAAATTCCCTGCAATGGATAAAGAGGAGATCAAGCCGTGCGTGTCTCGAGGTGGTATGCGCTTGTACGTTCAGCTTACAAGTCTGCAGGGCTACCCGGATTCAATTCCAGGGCGACGAGGAAACCGGTCGAGTTGGTCGCGAACGCGACGCCTACCGTCATGACAGGCGCTTGTCGCGTGCATCCAGCGCGGGAAGTCTCTCGATCCACAGTGCAGGTGGTGGTACGAGGACTGTGCAACCGGAGACTGCCTTGCCTATCACCTACCGTACCCTGTGAGTGCTCACACTATAAGCAGTGCCAATGCGCATCACTGACGCCCCACAGCTCTATCGAAGTCGATGAAGCCCGAGACCAGAAACAGGAGATCGTGAAGAAGGCGAAGGAGCGCGCTGGTGTTGGTAAGTCTGTGCCTTTCTTCGTACAATACATTTGTCTAACCCATCGCAGAGCTCGTTGACCTAGAATGGCACACCATCTCCATTGACGAACTTCTTCGCCGCCTTTCGGTCACCCTCGGGCAAGGCCTCTCTCCAAACCAAGTCGCGCGCCGCCTCACTGAGCATGGCAAGAACAAGATGACGAAACCTCCATCGGGTCGCTTCGCAAAGATCATGGGCTACTTCTTTGGTGGCTTTGGTTCGATCCTTCTCATTGCCGGCATACTGGTATTTATTGCATGGAGGCCGCTTGGAAACCCACCCGCGAAGGCTAACCTTGCGCTTGCCATTGTCTTGATCATTGTCTTCTTCTTTCAGGCGGCGTTCAACGCATGGCAGGTGAGTCGCTGCATTTTATCTAGAAACTGTAGCTGTTGACAGGAACACTAACAAGGCATATCAGGACTGGAGCTCGGCACGAGTTATGGCTTCCATCGGAACCATGCTGCCGGACCAGTGTATCGTCGTTCGCAACGGATCTCAAGAGAGCATCTCGGCAATTGACCTGGTGCCTGGCGATATCGTGATCATCAAGCAGGGCAACAAGCTGCCTGCCGATGTTCGGTTCGTTGAAACGTCCAGCGATGCTATGTTCGACCGTGCAATCTTGACAGGTGCGCTCAATGTTCAACATTAAATATCAATTCCAACTAAAGTATGTCAGGTGAATCCGAACCTTGCCCTGCGACCACCGAAGCGACCGAAGACAATTACCTTGAGACACACAACATCGGTATGCAAGGTACTCATTGCATATCCGGGAGCTGCATTGGTATCTGCGTCGCTACCGGTGACAGCACTATCTTCGGTCGTATCGCAAAGCTTACCAGCGAGCCCAAGACTGGAATGACGCCGTTGCAGAAGGAGATCCTTCGGTTTGTGCTCATCATTTGTGTCTTCATCACATGCGTGGTCATCCTCATTGTTATCCTATGGGCAGCCTGGCTCCGGAAAGACTACCCTGACTGGATCGATGTTCCGCTCCTTATCGTTGACTGCGTCTCCTGCGCAGTAGCATTCATCCCTGAAGGTTTGCCCATTGCGCTCACGACTAGCTTGACGATTGTCGCGAACATCATGAGGAAGAACAAGATCCTTTGCAAGTCTCTGAAGACAGTCGAGACTCTGGGTGCTGTGTCAGTCATCTGTTCAGACAAGACTGGTACTTTGACCAAGGTACGTCACATCGTAACAACGTATCGGATTCTTGACCAACCTCAGACAGAACTCTATGGTCGTCACGGACATCTACGCTGGAGGGGAAGAATACACCCCTGAAGCAGCCCGCGATCTCATGGCAGTCATCCGATCCGAGAACAACATCGCTGCTCTTAGCAAGAAGCGTGAAGACGTTATGGAGGACCTTCGCATGTTGTCCGGTCTTTGTAACGCTGGTGAATTCGATGCTGCGACCATGCACCTGCCCATCAGCGAGCGAAAGATTAATGGTGATGCAACTGATCAGGCTATCTTGCGCCTGTCAGAGGGCCTCGGGTCCGTGGCCGAACTTCGCCAGACATACAAGAAGGTTTTCGAGATCGCTTTCAACAGCAAGAACAAGTTCATGGTGCGATTGATGGCGCCGGCATCGCAGGACGCAGCCAACAAGCAATGGTAAGCATCGAAAAGCTGGACGAATTTCAACCTACTCGGTTCGCTCACATTCTCTCAGCACACTCATGATCAAGGGAGCCCCGGACATCATTTTACCCCGCTGCAATTCGGTCGTCGGTGACCACGGGGAGGTTCTGCCATTGACTGATGCCCAAGGCCAGCGCATCGAACGGATCAAGGACGACTGGTCCCGACAAGGAAAGCGTGTCATCCTTCTCGCTCGCAAAAATACCGTGGCTCCTTTCTCCTCCAGCCCCGAGAAAGAGGTCCTCGTCGCAGCTCGCGAAGGCTTGACTTTTGTAGGCCTCCTCGGTATTGTCGATCCGCCGCGCGATGAGATCCCGTCCGTCGTCAACATCCTCCGTAACGCAGGCATCCGCATCTTCATGGTCACTGGTGACTTCAAGCTCACTGCTCAGGCTATTGCTGAAGAGTGCGGTATCATCTCTGACTCTGCGTCGGTTGATGACATATCGGCTTTGAGCAGGGAGGAGAAGAGCGGCTTCTCGCGTCGAGCTATGGTGTTGAGCGGTCCCGAACTAATGACCCTCAACGAGAACCAATGGGACCAGCTGTGTGATTATGAGGAGATTGTGTTCGCGCGAACTACGCCTGAACAGAAGCTTCGTATCGTCAAGGAGTTCCAGCACCGAGAGAACATCGTTGGTATGACTGGTGATGGTGTCAACGACGCTCCCTCGCTCAAAGCTGCTGATATCGGTATTGCCATGGGCAGCGGTAGCGATATCGCCATCGAGGCCGCTGACATGGTTCTTCTCGACTCGTTTGCCGCCATCGTCGCCGCCGTCGAGTACGGTCGTCTTGTCTACGACAACCTGAAGAAGACGATCTTGTACCTTCTGCCTGCTGGATCCTTCAGTGAGCTCTGGCCCGTCGTCACGAACGTCGCCTTTGGTATCCCGCAGATCCTCTCGTCCTTCCTGATGGTAAATCTTCATGCCCTCAACCCGCCCTGAACGTAGCTAATTCACCCCAGATCGTCATCTGCTGCTTCACCGACTGCGCAGCCGCCATAACCCTCGCCTATGAGAAGCCTGAATCCGACCTGATGTTGCGCCCGCCCCGCAGCCCCAAGAAAGACCGCCTCGTCAACACGCGCCTTATATTCCACGCATATTTCGTCGTCGGCCTCCTCGAGTGCTTCCTCTCCTTCACCATGGCCTTCTGGTACATGGAGCGCAAGGGCGTCCCGTTCACCGCCATGTGGCTCAAGTTCGGCGAGTACGATCCGCAGTACAACACCGACTACATCAACCAGACGGCCAACGAGGCTTCGAGTATCTATTTTGTCACGCTGGTAGTGATGCAGTTGTTCAATCTTCTCGCTACCCGCACACGCCGGCTCAGCATTTTCCAGCAGCCGCCGGTATTCAATAAGAAAACGCAGAATCTGCTGCTGTTCCCTGCGATGATCTTTGCGATTGTTGTCGTGTTTATCTTCTGCTACCCGCCTAGTGTGCAGGAGGCTATTGATACGACGACGATCCCGGTCGAGTATTGGTTCTTCCCTGTGGCGTTTGGTATCGGACTGCTGATGTTGGACGAGGCGAGGAAGTGGGCGATTCGGTCATACCCGCAAGGACTACTTGCTAGGTTGGCTTGGTAGAGTGGGAGGGAGAGGGCACCGGGCTCGAGCAGGCGGAGGAGCGTTGTTGATCATGGAGTAGGCGAGCATAGCTTGTATATGTTTCGATGGATTAAAGCCTGCTCGCAGTCACTGGTAGGCCCAAAATGGTTATAAAACAAATAACATCTTATACAATTCGGGGCGCTGTTACTTCAGCCTACAAATGGTGTCGTCATCCAACAGCAAGGCAGTGCTGCTGAGGATAGTGAATCCTGAGCTCCCGTGTACCCCGCAGAGCTGTGTTCGGTCATGGTCCAGTGGCCGAAGGCAAAGGCGGTCGAAGGGGTCAAAAGATCCACATTCGCTGACAGTAAAAACTTAGCTTTATCGCTATGGATCTTCTGAACAGTCTATCAGATAATAGTTCTATGCCTGTGTTTTGTGCCAGTCAGTGTGATCACTAGGACTGGACGGCCTCAGACAGTGCTGCCTCGGGGCTAGAGCTCCTACAAATCTCTTAACTTACTACAATGTACAGCTGTTATGCTTGAGCGGTGAGATCCAGCGCTAACAGTCCCAACTTTTCGTATAGTATTAGGTCAAAAGTTTGAAACCCGCGTTCCTCCACCTGGGGCAACGCAGTATGATCCAAACTCTGTTCAGGCGATGCGTCCGCCGGTGTGATGCAGGCCTCGCGCTCGCACACATCACCAGAGTCATCCCCTCCTCCCAGACGCGCAACCACCTCTCCAACCCACTAAGCACACCCCCATGATGCAAACACATCTCACCCCTTAGATACCCCCACCCAGCTTACTTTCTCCATCTACGTATTCTTCAGCAACCCAGTCCAGACGCCACGTCGGCAATTGCATTCCCTTCGCTCAGTACCCTATTACCACCTTCAGCCGCACGCATCGCCCCCTGCTTGCCTTGAATAATATTCATATTACGTTCCAAGGAACTTAGCATCAGCTCCGCATCCGCAGCCTGCACGCCCCAGACCCCACTCAGGACTTATTGCGCCACGCCTGTGAGAGGCCGGCTAAACAGGGGTTGTGGATCTAGGGTTGGCGGCGCATGGGTGGGGTGGGAATTTCTAGGTGGGACATGTGTGTGGATAATCGGGAGTCTCTCGCGCGAGGCCGATGTGCTCATATCTGGTGGATTGTTGGGCTGGGAGGTGTTGAGGTGGGTGACGGATGGTGGGTGACGGATGGTGGGTGACGGAGGAGTAGGGATTGGTAGGGAGCAGGCGCTGGGTTCGCGAAGGGCGCCTGCTCCGTAGACGGTGGTCTGTATGCACCCCACACGCAACTTTGCTTTGACTTCACACTTGGCGCTGATCGGCGGTCACTGTGCTACGACCGGATTGTTGAAATCGCTGGTCGGCGGAATGCTGGGAGTGACTGCGCACAGTAACAGAAATGAGTATTCGACCAGAATCAACGGGTTCCGATTTTGCAAAGTGTGTTGTCCGCACTCGCTTCGAAGTTCTTCACCAGTCATCGACAATAGGCATGATCTATGCGTGCATCATCGACGATGTAACACTTGAGCATTGATCCAGGTGCGCTGAGGCTCAAGAACGGACTGTGAGCCTACGGTACCCTGAAGCAGATCTACCCGAATCAAGAAGGAGGCTCCTCGAGGCTAAATCTACGAAAGACGTTTCGAACGATCGGAAATATAACGTTCCACGTGAGAAACGCTGGCTATCCTTGACCCTGTCCGCCGCCTGGAAGGAGGAGTTTTCCGAGCGATTTGCTGGAAGTGACAGCTGCACGGTCCATCGACTACCACCTTCTACCGATGTCGCTTCACTCGGCCGTCTGCCGTCTGCCGTCTGCCGTCTGACGTAGCTGCTCGTGGCTGTTGATTGTTCTATGATATTCCTGCAGCTGTGCCCAAGGGTAAGACTGCATGGTCAGAATCTTCGCTGCACACCTTTTCAGCAGCCTCCCATGCAGGATGCCTTCTCCACATGGATGTCCGCAACCCGATTCGCTATGCCAAGCTTCTTTACAACCATACATGGAATACCCGTTGCTTGGACCACTGTCACGGGATCGTTTTCGTGTCTTTCGTATGGACTGCAGGCATCCGGATCTCCGGACATCGAGATGACCATGCTGCGGCAATTTGATGCGAGCGCGTGGCAGAGCTCTGCCGTAGAACAACGCTTAGACAATCCAGAAGTCGGGGACCCCAGAGGTACCATGCGAGGAAACGGAGCTCATATCGGATGCGCCCAATCATTAGATGACTTAGATTAACCCCATATCTCGAGAAACTCAGCGACCAAGTTTTGGCGCTACCGGCAGTTAGCCTGTTGGTGGCAAATATCCCTGGATGTTGTTATAAGGAATCACTGGTATACATGGAGTCGATGTTCTCTGCGCCTCCGCTCTTTGAGATTCTATTCTACTAACCTTCGCTGTTCACGCTTTTGGTCAGGACATCACGACAATCACTAGTCACGATGCAGTGGGCTACCTTCACGGCTGTGGCCGCGCTTCTTGCACAGAATGTTAACGCTCAAGGCAACATGTTGCGATTCGCCTGCTCGCAACTTGTCGTCGAGCGAACGGATCCGCTCGTCAACCCTGGAATGAAATACACTCCCCATCTGCATCAGATTGTTGGTGGCAACAGCTTCAACGTTTCCATGGACCCCAACAATGATCCCGCCAAGCTCTCCACCTGCACGTCATGCTCCTTCGTCCAGGACAAGTCCAACTACTGGACAGCTGTTATGTTCTTCCACCACAAGAACGGATCGTACATCCGTGTCCCCCAGACTGGAAACGGCGGTCCCCAGGGCAAGCTCATCAACAAAGGCGGTCTTGACGTCTACTACATTCCCAGCGGCAAGACGACCGCTTTCAAGAAGGTAAGCTTTACATCTTACATGGAGTGGGATGTCACTGACTGATTGCAGGGCTTCCGCATGTTGGCTGGTTCCGCGACCAACACCGATGACAACAAGGTGTCAAAGGGCAACATCTGTCACCGGTGCTGGACGTCTCCCAACGAGAACACCTTCGTGGGTGCTCAGCCCTGCTCTGGCACCGACACTGTTGCCATTCCCTCGGATCCCAAGTGCAAGATGATCCGCCAGACCATTATCTTCCCCACGTGAGTCAACTTTCACACTGAAGCTTGGTCATGACCTAACAAAAATTTAGATGCTGGGACGGCAAGAACCTCGACTCTCCCGACCACCAGAGCCACGTCGCATACGGTCAAGGCTCTGGCGCTAGCGGCGGTGGTGCTTGCCCTTCGACGCATCCCGTCAAGCTTCCCCAGGTCATGTACGAGCTGATGTGGAACGTGACCAACTTCTCCGACAAGAGCCAGTGGCCCACCGACGGCTCCAAGCCCTTCGTGTACTCGATGAACCTTGGGTACGTACCTTCCTGTCCAAATCGTTTGCAGGACGTATGTTAACATTCTGACAGTGGCGCCGCCGCCCACGGCGACTACGTCTTTGGTTGGGAAGGCGACTCGCTCCAGAAGGCCATGGACAACGGCTGCAACCTCAATAACGCGTGCCCCAAGGCCGGCCTCACAACCCAGTCCGACGCCCAATACAGCGCGTGCACCAAGCAGCAGCAAGCGCCCGAGGACGTCGACGGCTGTATGTCTCCCTTCTCTCCTTGCTACCTCACTCTCATGCTAATTTCCTATCTCAGGGCTCAAGGCGCTCCCCATGGGCGACATGGCGATCAAGGCATAGGCTGTTGCTCGTTGGCACATTCAACCCATACCCCTGCTGGCTCCTCGCGTGCCGTCCCCACATGCTGTATATTGCGGTCTTCGGCAAGCACGCAGGATCCAGGCTAAATGCGGCAACGCGGATGTGGGGAACGTGGTGACTACGGGAGGCTGCATGGGGCGTTTTATAGTTTATTTTCATCGCTCGTCGCGCGCGGTGGTGTGTTTTTATGAGATTGGCTGCAAATAGTTAGAGTTGCATGCATCTTTCTTCCCTAGTCTTGACTTCTGCTTCGCGATTGTGTTTCCTCAAAGACTATTCAGTGAGCAGATGACCACCAAAGACGTTCCACACGGTGCAGTGGTCACAATGCTGTGAAAAAGCGCGCACACGTCATTGCTGAAGTTGCAGTACCATTGAGACGTACGGGGGAGTGAGTAGCAGTGAGAAAATAGGGCGGCGACCTAGAGACACCCTACGATGCATTCCGAAGCGTAATTGCCAAGCGCGTTTCGCCATAGTGTCGCATGCCCGAGATCCCATATGAGCTACACAAGAAGGCTTCGTGGTTCAATGCAAGACATGTATATTGAGAACTACGTACTCTACAACGCCACTCGCTACATTCCACCTCGCTTCTCCCTCAAAGCGGTCCATCGACAAATACCACACCTTCCCTTGCAGCAGAGACCCCGTTCCTCGCTAGCAGCGCATCAAAGTTCGGGTTCTGGCCTTGCGAGAAGTCGTTGGTGAAGTAGTTCGGCGTGTCGTGCACCGGAATCGTCGACGTGTTTGACGACGGCGACGACGCCTTGCCCGTAGAATAGGCAAAGGCAAGGCGCGAGCTGCCGGTCGGCGAGATCCGTACGGATCCAGAGCTACCGGTCCAGGTGGTGCAGCCGGCACATTTGGCGGTGAACTGCCAGTGCGAGCCGTTGACTTTGTTGCCTGTGTTGAGCAGGGTGTAGGTGGCACCGGTGTAGGCCATGGGGGTGCTGTGTCCACTGTCCCGTGTATTAGTCTCTCGCATGTTTTCGCGTGTGGGAGGCGGGACTTACGTAGCCCATCGCGAGGAAACGGTTGCTTTTTGGCCGTTGGGGTATGCGACGGTCAGCGGGTTTTTGACCATGTTGCCGCCCCAGGCGAGACCTATCCAGCCAAGTTGGTTGGGAACCACGGCCTGAATGACGGCGTTGTAGGGGCCCGAGGGTGCATTGCTAGGGAGCGCGAAGCGGAAGACAATGTTGGCCGAGAGAGAAAATGCGGCTTTGTACTCGGAGAAGGTAAATCCGGTCTCTTGGTCGACGTATGTGATGGTTCCTTCAGCTCGTGGCTGCACCCCAGTCGACGGACGTCCAAAAGCTGTAACTTTCATGAGTGAAGACTCAAATAACGGTTCTTTGGCCAAGACCCACCAAGACCAGCCAAAGCTGCGAGCGCGAGCGAAAACTTCATTCTGAGCGATCCAATTTGTTCAGAGGGAACTTGCTATGAGTTCGGAAGATGACGAGTGCTCTTGTGACAGGTAAGAAGGGACCTCGTATCACTATCGTCACAAAGAAAGATGGGCACGATCATGATTTTAGTACCGTACAGCTTGCCAAGATCTATCTGTCATTATCCTGCTCAAGTTCCGGGTCTGGGGCTCGAGTTCGGCTGCGATAGACAAGCACATGCGTACGATAGACTAGTAGGACTTCCAGGTGGCATCCCAGTTCACGCGTGACTATTGATGACAACCTGGGTAGGAAGGCGGTTTTGCAAGCGAGACGGTGGTCTGGTCTGAAGAGGAAAGCTTTGATTGCATACGGTGTGATGCCTGCCTTTGGCATCACGATCTCTCAGTAGTCTGACAAGCCGCCGTGGCGAAGTGCTTGGTTCGAGAAGGTCATGGAGAATCGCGTAATAGTGATTTGGAGTGTTCTGAGAGGCCAAGTGATTTAACCGTATAGTATGTGGAGTGGCCGTTAGATGGAGTAATAAGTAATGCTGGCTTTAAATAGCCGAAGTCTGCAACTTCATACCTGGCAGCCACGAGGACCATGATCACCTTGTGAAGCTGATTCGACAAGAAAATTGTATAAATTGATTCGATTCTTAGCGAATGTCAGCGCACCTATGATGTGGATTTGCATTCGAACCTTGCGTCGGCGGCGTAGACTTTTCAAAGCCTCCTCCGTCCTGGCAAGGGGCCATGCTTCTAGAGCACGAGGCTGGCGCATCTGGAATCTAGGGAGCTGTCATGGTTCTTGAATCCCTGGTCCCTGGTCCATGCAGTGCTTGACAGGCCTCCACATACTTCTATGTGGGGCGTGGGGAGAGAAGGCCCTCGTTGAAAGAGTTATAATTTGGAATCTTCAGCCTTTCGGAAGCCGGTGCACTGTACAACGGAGGCCTCTCCCGGGTTTTAAGAGTCAAGATTGACAAAAATAGATCCTGAACAGTCCGATCCATCTGCTATCCATATTGTCGCATGGACGGCTAGGAGTCTAATCTCTGAGTCGCATAGTAGCGGCCGAAGTCGCGTCGAAATAGCCTCGAATACGATATATCCAAGCTCAGATGCTTACCTCAGGTATCGTTATTCCCAAAACGTTGTCCAAGAACTTTTGGGAATGAGTAATTTAGAGGTGTCGAAGCACTTGGACTGAGGAATCCAGCACCAGCCCGGAAGGTGGGATGCCGCGTTGCTGATTCCGGCTCAGCATAACAGCGACGTTGTTGGGATTTCTCTTGAGAATTCTTTGCTAGAACGTGTGCAGTCCCCGAAGTATCAGGTGACTGTCATTTAAAAGTTGCTTGGGGTGAGAACATGATAGTTTGTGGATAAGACCCCGGCCCTCCTTCTCCGGCTCACCAAGAAGTTTAAGTCCGCCCACAACATATTCAAGCTAATTTAGCAATGTATAGTGTTGACGGTCAGCTACCTCGATAGTCAAGTGGTGTCAAATCCACAGAGCTAGTTCCTTCAAGGAGAGTGCACAACACAAGTGATCGAGACGTTTAGTGGTCGACCAAGCGCACGCCGTTTTCTGGAATGATCACCTGGCTGGTTATATCTGTGGTGTAAAGGGAGAGGACCTCTTTGACGCTGGTGGATCGCCTTCTACCACTAACAGGTCTTCGTCTGATTGAAATGACAAAACATCTTCACCTTTGTGGGGCTTTAATCTTTAGAAAGTTTCAATTTTGGCTGTCCGCCCTGGCTCCAACTCACAGTGGTGATGTCTCTCGGTCAAATTGAAACGAGCAGTGTCTGTCTTCGTCAGTATTGCTTGACGTAGGCTAAGATAGACAACATGCTGCTAAATGGTGTTGAACTGCGTGTTGTGGCACCATACATCAGGTCCATGCTTACTGACAGGTTTTTCCTCCTGCCAGGCTGGGCGGGGCAGTGTTGCGGAATGAGTAAGGATATTTGGCGAGCGTGGTGGCATATGAAAGAGAATCGCCCAACGCTGATTAGGCATGATACGCTGTTCGAAAAAGCTCGTGACGTGTGTCACAAACGGAACTTTTGTAGAAGTGTAGGCCAACTTGCAGTCGGCAATCCTATCACTGCTGAGGAAGGCTGGTGACCACGGTGGACGATGCGCAGAAGGCCCAGAGAGGACACCCCGAGGATAACATAAGCTTTCCCGACAGTAAGACAATGTTGAGAGCAGAATTGCGTGGAGGCCCTTTTGAACGCAGCTGCTTCTCCCTCATGTTGAAACGCTCTTGGCACTCCAAGCGGAGAGCTACGCTTTCCAAGAACGATCCATCTTTTGGCGAGTAAGTCGCAGCTTGCGACCCCCTCGCGACCGATACAAAAGCTAACGAGTATACACAGAGTTCTACATAGCAAGCAGCTGACCTTTCTCATCGGTCCAGAAGAGACACCCGTTGTTCTAGATGCTGGCGCCATCGCTAGGCTCTCCAAGCCTTTGAACTGCCTAGTGAACGGAAGAAGTGCTCAAAGCTGAGAAAAAGTCGCTCGCTTCACAGATCTTCACGTCCAGGACTTCCAGCGCATCTTCGAGTTCTCTTACCGTGGGACCTACACAAATCCCAAGCCCGAGCGGTTTTCCAATGAAGAGGTCGATACATGCAAAGACGCATTTCGCCTAGCTGACCCGATCTTGACGATCCACAAGGACGATGTCGAAGACGATATCGAAGAGCCCGCTGAGCCTCTTGAACCTTCTGAACCAAGTCTCGATCCCAGCGTCTTCGAGTACGCCTGGAGCCCCAAGCACGCATTCTGGACTTTCAATATTCATTCCGGCGCGAGGTTCAAGTACCCTGGTGTCTCCCAGGAGAGCAAATCGTGGAGAGAAAACTTTGCCCCGGTGCTTTTAGCCTATGCTCGTTTGTATGCATTTGCAGAGCAATATCTGGTACCGGCGCTCAAGGAAATTGCTCTTTCAAACTTATGCTAGACACTGTCGGTCTATATACTGTTCGCATCCGGTCTCGAAGCGATCGTGCAGCTCGCACGATTCGCATACGACAGTTACTATATTCCGGACAGGGAAGGCAAGACTGTTGTTCCGCTGAGACAGCTTGCGGTTGCCTACGTGGTTGCACAACACAAGTATTTCCTTGATTTCCCTGCTCATCGGAAACTACTGGAGGGCCGCAACGAGTATGCTACGGATTTCATCAACCATATTACGAGATGGGCTGACCCCGACTGTATATATTGGGCCTCTTGGGGGGTGTGAAGGAAGCGAAAAGGAAAATCGGTACATTCGCAAGCTTGGGCCGTTCCAGCAGGCGTGGCCTTGTCGACAATCGGGCACAGAACATGCACGTGTTGTTCCTGTTCGCTCCAATAGCTGAAGTGTTGGTTAGCAGGCATTCTTGGGTAGTCGTCCATGGCCAAGCTGGACATCAGCCCGGTAGCTCACCTGTCCTTTCACCGAGAAGACAAGCAACGAACTCTTACTTCGCCTCCATGAGGCGAGCTCTGAAACTGCATAGTCATTCGACCCGGCCCGTTCCCAGGTGACTTTGCTAGCGTAGACATTACCTATACTATCTGATTGGGATCAGCAATTGGTATGACGTGAGTATGATCGCAACCTTGCTCAGTCACGGCTCCATCTCATCTAGGCCAAACTTGCTCTCCAAGGCCAATGCGTGCGCCTCGCAAGTGCAAGGTGGGCATGCGCTTTCATGGGCGGTCATCCACGCGTGAACCCATTGATCACGTAGGTACTACCTCAATCAAGAGGAGATGCACAACACGCATACATATCAACATGGCGTCATAGCTAAAGAAAACTGAAACTGCAGTCACGAGGGCGGCCGAGGGCAGTAGGGCAGGGAAAGAGCAGATGCGAGACGACTGCCACGAGCAGAAACGCGAGAGATCTGACCCGATCGAGCATGTCGGCGATTGCAACGAGGGAGAAATCCGCAGGCTGCAGCTGAGCTGGGCCCGGCGCGCCAAGATGCGGCTAGGGCGCACGGGCCCGGGGCGCGGCATCGTTCTTTGGACGCTCCGCGACTTTGACAGTTTATAACAAAGCCGCCGCCCGCGCACCGTCGACGACCCCCTCCTTCCCTTTTCCCTCAGCTTCTCTTGCTGCCAAGCGCTGGTCAGCTCTGCGCCTCGGAACCAATCATCGCGCTTCTCCGAATCCGCGAGCCCTGGGCCTCGCTCGCTCACCTGCGACGAGCCACTCGCAACCCTCAGTGGAAGGGGCCAGCCTCCGCGCGACACGCGCTCTCCTGCCACCATGTCCGACTATGAGTCCGACGGCGAGGACTTCAACCCGCAGCCCGAAGTAGACGAGGACGATGTGGCCCCAAGGAACGACCGCATGCCTGCCATCGACGATGATGAAGACGACGCGCCGGAAGAAGCTGGCGAAGAGAACGAAGAGGACGACGAGGACGAAGAGGATGAGGAAGACGAGGAAGACGAGGTTGTGGTAAGACGAGCCGCGACCGCACTCGGGAATGCGCTGACATGAGACAGACACGCCCCAAAAAACGAAAGAAGTTGATGCGGCGCAACCAGTTCATCGAGGAGGAGGCCGAAGTTGACGAGGACGAAGATGAGGAGGAGGACGAGAACGACGACTTCGCCGATGAGGTCCACCCAGACGACTTGCTCGAGGCCACCCAGGCCGACCTCGACGATCGCCATCACCGCGAACTAGACAACCGGCGACAGGCGGAGCAGAACATGGATGCCGAGGAGGTGGCCAGGGCAATGGACGAGAAGTATCGCCGGCGCGAGATGATGAGCGCTCGTCGATCAGCGGCAGGCACAGTACCGACATCGCAACCCACCGTCGATGATCCTTCGATTTGGGTCCTGAAATGTCGCCCGGGCAAAGAGCGCGAGGTTATCATGTCAATCATGAAGCGAATCGACGAGCGGCTTCGTTACGGACGCCCATGCCACGTCTATTCCGCTTTCGAGCGTGGAGGCTCCATGTCAGGATACATCTACGTCGAGGCCGACGCAAAACAAGACATGATGGCTATAGTGGACGGTGTCATCCACCTTTTCCTGGGAACACAGCCACTCTCCATCGAGGTAAAGGAGCGACCAGATCTTCTACGCAAACGCAAGCGCACGACGCTAGAGCCGGGCAAGTTCGTCCGTGTCGCCCGCGGTCCTTACAAGGGTGATCTTGCGAAGATATACGAAGTTAGTGAAAACGGTATCAGTTGCACCCTGCAGATCGTTCCGCGTCTCGACTATGGTCTAAACGAAGATGCGAATGCTGCTGATGGCGGAAAACGCAAGCGCCCGGCTTTCGGTCGTGTCACAGATCGTCCCCCACAGAAGCTTTTCAGTGAGGCCGACGCGAAGAAGCGGCACGCGAGTAAAATGCGGATGATAGGGGGAGGCAACCAAAGAACGATCGAGTACAAGGGAGAACAATACGTCGGCGGCTTCCTTTACAAAGAACACAATGTCAACGCCGTTTCCGCCGAGAATGTCAACCCGCGAATGGAGGAGTTGCAATGGTTTGCCACTCCGACCACCGATGGGGCAGACGGCATGGATCTTCTGGCAGTCCAGGCTGCACAAAAGGCTGGACAATCGGGCTCCAACTTTGTCGCCGGCGACAACGTGGAGGTCTACGATGGCGAACAAAAGGGTCTCAAGGGTACCACTGTTACCTCCAAGGGCGACATCGTAACGATCCGCGTCACAGAAGGTGATCTGAAAGGACGACAAATCGATACTCCGGTCAGGACCCTTCGTAAATTGTTCCGTGATGGCGACCACGTGAAGGTCATCGGTGGGAGCAAGTACATCGACGAAGTTGGTATGATCACCAAAATTAGGGACGATAAGATCACCCTGCTCTGCGATTCTACTCAGACCGAAATCACCGTTTTCAGCAAGGACTTGAAGCGCGCCGCGGACTCGGCTACCATTGGACCAAATTCACAATTCGACCTGTTCGATCTGGTGCAGATTGAGTATGTATCACACATCTTCGTTTTTGTATATTCGCTAACTATACAGTGCCTCGACCGTGGGTTGCGTCATCAAGGTTGATCGCGAAGTTTTGCGTGTTTTGGACCAGCAAAACGAGGTCCGCACCCTCTTGCATACCCAAGTGTCAGGTATCGTTGGGCGCAACAACAGGGCCGTTGCGACCGATCGAGATGGTTCCGAAATCCGAAACGATGACTCTGTCAAGGAGCATGGTGGAGAAAACCGGACCGGAAAAGTCATCTACATTCATCGCGGTCAACTTTTCGTGCAGAACCGGGAATACAACGAAAATTCTGGCGTGTTCGTGACTCGTAGCACGAACGTCGTTACGATGGCCGCCAAAAGTGGACGCGCTCAGGTAGGTGGGCCTGACCTCAGCGGCATCAACCCTGCCCTACAGCAACCAAATGGCGGCCCCGGAGCCATGGCTCCACCCCAAACGCGGACCTTTGGAAGAGACAGGATGATCGGCAAAACTGTGACCGTTCGAAAGGGTCCCTACAAGGGCCTGCTCGGTATTGTCAAAGACACCATGAATGACGAAGCCCGCATCGAATTGCACACCAAGAACAAGCAAATTTCGATCAAGAAGGATCTCCTCACCGTCAAAGACCCCATCACGGGCAACAGCACCGACCTCGGCGGCAAGTTCCCGAACCGCTCGCGGGGCGGATATGGTGGTGCTACGCCCTACAACGGTGGCGGCGGCGGCCGCACGCCTGCCTGGGGCGGTGCGTCTCGGAACGGTCCGTCCTGGGGCGGCGCGACACCCGCTGCTGGGGGTGGTGGTGGTGGACGCACTCCAGCCTGGGGCGGAGGCGGCGGCCGGACACCCGGATGGGGCGGCGGCGACGGCTCGCGGACAGCCTACGGCGGCGCAACTGCATACGGCGGGGCGACTGCGTATGGCGGGGCGACTGCGTACGGCGGGAACGACGGCTCAGGCACGTCGTACGGTGGCTTCAACTCAGGCTCCCGGACGCCGGCATGGGGCGCGGGCGCTGCCTCCTCATCTTCAAAGTCGACTTCGAACCTCAGCGCCCCGACGCCCGCCGCGTACTCTGCGCCTACGCCTGGCGGGTACGGAGCGTACAGTGCACCTACGCCGGGCGGACCCCCGCTGGATGCGCCGACGCCTGGGAACTACAGCGCTCCCACGCCGGGTAACTATTCGGCGCCTACACCGGGTGATTACTACACTACGCCTGCTGCGGCGCCGACGCCGGGGGCTTGGGGCGGGGACGAGGATCCGCGGTATGATTAGGGACGTCAAGTCCGTGCAGGGGGAGAGATGGGAGGGGGAATCTGTATGATAGATGGGGCTTGACCCTGAACCTGGGTCAACAGTGAGGACGGGTCTGCGGTAGTCTCGTAGCGTGTGTCTGCGTTTACTTGCTGTGTTTGCATTGCGGGCGTCACACGTCAAACTGACATTCTGAAAACGGAGAATCTCGAGTCGCAGCGGCATACATGGCTCGATCTTGTAGGAATTCCATCTTTCATTATTGACTATGAAAACCGTCTTTTGTGCGTGTGACGAGGGCTTCCGCGAACTACTCGTCGGCACCCAGCAACGCATGGCATGTCATGAGGGCTGGGACGTGCGGGGTGCTAGAGGACCAAGCCCAGCCAGTGGGTGTGGGAGGGAGGGAGGTGGGGACTGAGGGATGCTGAACATGGCCTTGCCGTCTCTGCTGTTCCGGCGTTGGGCTAGGATTTTCCGCCTGCGACGTATGCACTGTTGGCTAGAATTTCAATGCTCGTACCGACCTCCTTAGGTCACGCTGGCGGGGATCTTCACGTCTATCCAAAGAAGGGGACTTGAAGACGCTGGTGGAGGTAGTTGGTGGTCAAGCTTGCGTGGAAGTAGAATAGTCGAATTGGTGGTGAGTGTTCAAGACTGGGACGGGATGCGAGATGAAAGACCAAACTTTTATTCAGCTCTACCTACAGATGCGCATCGCGTTGGACTGAAAGAACAACAAAGTGGGAAGAAAGAAGTGTGGCGCTGCGTCCAGAGTAATTCAGCTTAGTCGGGTTGCGGGCGAAGAAGGGGAAGGACGGAGAGTGTCATTTACACCCAACCGACGCGTTGTCTACTATGTGATGGGATGGCTGCTGTCTTTCGCCCGCGCTTGTTTGGCTGTCGCATTATGAAGGAAGAGAAGAAAGAAGCAACAAGTGTGTTAAGGTACAATTAGGTCGAGAGTCTGACAAGGTGCTGTAGTGCGAAGCGAAGAAAGGAGAGCTCGACTTGCAGCCACTGGATTGTGCCGATTTTTTTTATGTGCGGGGTCAGATTCGAGACGCGGCTCCGACGCCGGAACTGTCAAGATGGAGAGAAGAAGCGGAGGACCATACCAAAAGAAGCAAATACTGGCAGTGCAAAATGCGTCCGGTCTCCTGACATATGCAGCACTGGGCGCGTTGTTGGTGTGGGACTCGCGTGCAAGGTGTGACGCGAAGAAATTGCTTTGTTGAACGCGAAACCTGCGCACAAGCCGAGACTTGCGTCGGAGTTGGAAAAGCAGATAACTGATGCTGCAGCAGCACCAGCTCCGAGTGCGGCATCAGGGTGGAGAGGTGCTTGTGCGGGCCAGCGACTCGCTGCTCATAGGCTAAATATATGCCACGCGGCTCTCCCTCTTCCTCTTTGCGAAAGAGGGGAGATGTGGGGCGCGGAAGCGACCCCCCATGTAACCTCTGCTGTATAGGCGTCCGAGTCTACCCTGCGTCCACTGTGGTAAAGGCTGCCCCCCAATCACTTGTTGCAGTGCTCTGTGCACGTTTTCCGTACGACCCATTTCTCCCAAAACTTCCTTTGTGAGTAGGTGACGACGACACCGTTGTCGCCGAGGACTTCCACGCTGTCAGTGTGGCTGCAGTTGCACCAAGGGACCGAGGCTGGCGTGTCGGGAGACATTGGTGGGAAGTGGATGTCGCCGCCTTGCTCTGGCTCATCAGCATCTGAGTCTTCTTCGACCGAGTCTATACTCTCCTGGTCGTCGTGATCGCTGTGTTGATAGGCCGAGTGAATAACATCGTCGTCCTCGTCCTCGTGAGGGTCGAAGCCATCGCTGTAACCATCGCTGCTGCTGTCACTGGCCATGAATTGATCGTCGGGTACCTCCACACCCATGACCAACTGCTCATCAAAGTTCTTTTCGTAGTCGATACGCCGCAGGCTAACCCAATCTAATCTCGGCATGTCCGTTCTCAGAAACCCGAGTACGTCCTGCCACCTGCTACCATCCTTGAGTAGCACGTCTCTGAGCCTAAGTCCGCGAAGCTTCTCTCGATGCCTTTGTGCAAAGGCTATGATCTCGTCAGCGTCAAGTCTCCAAGACTGGATGCCGAAAGCGAGCAGCTTATCCCATTTGATGTTGTGGAAGACCTCTTCGAGAGGCAGACTCAACGGCCTGTGTGACGGAAACCCTATGTGCAGGGCTTGCATGTTTTTAGCGGCGCTAAACACTGCCCTAGACAAAGTGGAAAGTGCCCGCATACGATTGTCTAGATCCGTACCGTCGTCAAAATGCAGTTCTAGGCAAGTCAATCGTTCCGCGAGAACACTTAGTGTTGATGGCGGATCGTTTACGGCCCCTAGGACGCTTTGCGGACTCAGCATCGGCGATGAGAAGCGAGAGCAGGGGGATTTGTTCGCAAGTAAAGCGGCACCAATGGTCTTGGTGGAATGTGAACAGGCTGGTGCCCACCTGAGCTCGACCAAGGTGCTTAAAGGGTCATGTTCCCGGATATAGGATATGAGCATTCCATCTTGCTGGTCTTGCAGTCGAAGTATCTGCACATGTTGAAGCGATGTGAAAGCCGATATTGCTTTATTTAGAACACGGGCGTCCTCTTCGGTCTCGACGATCTCTTTCTGCTCTTTAACTTTTTGGACAAAGTGTCTGACCTGCATGGACTCAGCACAAGCGATCAGGCGATGTTCATGAGACGCACATCGAGTGTTCCGAGATTTTGGGGTAGTGCCGGCAACAGTTCGCGCACGCGTGCTCGTCCTGTGATCTTGTCAGTCACGCGTGCATGTTTGAGAACAGCAGGTGGACCACAACCTTCAACGTAAAAAAATGGTACCATGTAGCTGAACTTTTTGACATGTTCGGCGAGGTGCTGCTGGCTGGCGATGTTTTCTAGACGCTTCAGGCCTTTGCGTGAGAAGCGTGTGGTGACGCGCGAGAACTGATGAACCGCCCCCAAATCGGAAAACCTCTTGCATGCTAGCCGGAAGTTGGCAATATCCTGAGACTGGTCCGGGTCCGGGTCTGGGGGCAGCTCAAAACTTTCTTGGGAGAGATAGGCGCGCCGGTCCGGTCCTATGGGCTTTTCAGGATCGATGTGATCGAGTATCTCGCGTAGGAGCTCGTTGGAAAGGTTGAGAATACACATAGCGTGGCGATTGCACCATCGACTGCCGAGGAAATCAAATCAGAGGCAATACGAGGGGAGGAAACACCAGGGTGAAGGGAAGGCGGATTTATGCTGGACGGGGGAGATTGTGGCCGGCGGCGTGGACGCAAAGGTTGCTGCAATGGCGCTGTCCTTCAGCTGGCGGCGTGGTGTTGTCGCTGGTCTCCGGGCGCCTGCGTCATGGGGTGCCCAGGACATACGGAGGAGGATAAGGGCCCTGGAGAGCAAACGGAACTGCAGGCATGACCTCTGCCCCAGCGTCAGCTAAGCGTTGTTTGAAGGTGTGGCCTCGGACTAGGAAAGCCTGCACTTGTACGCATCCAAGACCCGCTAGTGTGCATGTGGGCGAATAATACGGACTGAAGGGCGACGCTAAATAACGTGACTGAACGCTCATGCGCGTGAGGCCGGGAAGTAAAGGCTCCTCCCGAGCGACCGGTCGATTGATGGATGGCAGCGTGCAGGGCGGAAACGGTGCGGCCTTCTGATTTGAGGCAGAGTCGGCGCTCTCCACATCCCACCAGCGAGGTCGAATCACAACTTGGCGGGTCTGCTGCAATGCCAGCGAAGCACTGCGTCGGTAAGGACGCTAGAACACCAATCGTACGCTACCAGCAGCAAAAGGCCTGCCGTGCACTTGGGTATCGCGTGAATCCTGTGACGACACCATACGCAATTGCCTGGGAGGGCTGAAACATGTGGCATAAGATATAATGTGTGCAACCCCCGTCTGCTCATCTAACGACGGGTGTAGACAGCGCGTGGACGTCGGGGCCGCTGTGCTGTCACTGATTGCCTGCATAAGAGTACGGTAGCCCGACCATTGGCCCGTGAAGTCTCGTACCCTGCTGCCCGCCTCACTGATGTAGGTGCGTGGTGAAGGATCGCAACATGCATTTGCTGCGGTCATCCTGTCTCAATCAATATGACACGGATTTGGGTATTGCAACGCCATCGCTCCAAGCTGCTCGGACGAGCCTGCAGCGCCACGCTACGAGTTTGTGGCTTCTTCGAGAATAGCCGCTAGCTCTGTCGTCCCACTTGTTGTACCCCGGTGCAACACTTTCTCGGTATCATGCAGCTTCACGGAAGGTTGTGCGGCTTGACCGCCCCTCGAGGACACGGAAACGTCGCACAGAAATATGCCCCCGCCGCTTCTGCACTGAGCAGTCTCCTTCTCGCACATGGCGTGAGTGTACTCGCCCTGGCGCTGCGAGCTGTCTCATCCTGTAGGTGCAGATGCGGCCATGCTAAGCTATCTAGCCCCTCCGTGGAAACCACACAGGCACACGTCACTTCTGGGACTGGCTGCGCTCACTTCGATTTCGGCGAATCTCGGTGCTGCTCAACTTACTCTGGAACGTTTCGTCCACGCGCTCTTCTTCGCTCGCATCTAGCACGGATACCTCAAAGACTTCAAGCTCACGCCAACCCTTTTCAAGACGCTTGCTGTTGACGGCTTTGCCACCACCGCGAGTCTCCAAAGAGAGAACCAGAGCTGTAATGGCCACATCTGTTATGGTGGGGCCAAAGGGATCCCAAATCTCCACATACTTGATGAGTAAGCCGAAGGGGTAGGAGACGTGCACGGCGTGTCCATTTGGGCCTGGTTCGTTAAGTTCCTCGACCCCAATTCGGTTGTCATCAGGCTGTCCGAAGTAGATGACGGACATGAGAAAGTCGTGAACCCCCCGCTGACGGTCGTGCCAGCTTTCCAGGAACTCTGCATACTTCTTGTTCTTGAGCAATTCGTCGCCCGTGATGCCGACGGTGAGTACGCTTGGCGCCTGGTCGTCATGCGAGTGTCTTCTGCCGAGCGCGAAAGCAAACATGGTCAACAGCAGTTTGTGGCCAATGTGCATGTGGTCAAAGGTGCCACCGACAGCCACGGAGAGATGATTGACAGGGCTGACCTGGCTTTCGCTAGGGGGTGTGCTTTCGACGGTGACTATGCCGCCGCGTACTCGCTGCACGTTGCGTGCAACACCGGACAAGGCGAGGAAATGTTTCAGCAGGCCTTCTCCTTCCTCGCATTGTACAGAGAAGATGTGATCCCAAGATCTCGGGCTTTGGGCGAGCGTGTTGAGATCGACGGCCGGTCCCTGCAGTTCATGTTCAGGCGTGCTGTCGGAAGCTGGCTGGTCCAGCCTGCCATTGCGTGGGTATGCGACAAGTATAATGCGGGCGTCGACGCCTTCCGCATCTTCTGTGTCGATGGCGTTCTGGGCAGCTATGATACAGATAAGCTTGTATAGGCCCGCAACGAGGCTCTCGGTGGCAGCATAAAGAGGCCCTCGTGGCGCGTCAAGCCGGCCGTAGAGGTGGGGACAGGGCAGCGCAATCTCAAGGATAGCACGTCCATGGGCCCTCTCCGGCGACCGAGCAAGCTGCTGGAGCACAGTGAGCAGCGGCGCGCTGTAAGCGGCTTTGAGGGCCGCATAAGTGGGCGGCGACGGCGCGGGCGGGAGCAGCAGCAGGGCGCGAACAGACACGGGCTGCTGGATCGGGGGCATTGCGGCGGGAGACGCTGCCGGGGCAGGGCGAGGCAGGGCCGAGATGCGTGAGCCACGAGAGCGTGTGTATGCCTGTGCAGAGCGCGGCAGAGTCGCAGCCCAGCGGTGGAGGAGGAGGGAGCGTTCGTTGCAGGGAGGGGGAGGGGCTGGGCGGGCGGCGGGTGTGGGTCAAACCATGGCAACGTCGGACGCTCCTGCACCACGACTGCCCACGCTGCCCACCTCCTCCGCACTACATCCGCCCCCGAGGTGCCATACGCGCGCGGCAACATGCCGTTCCATGGCCACCACCACCAGAGCTCGGCCTTCACCCCGTCGCAGGGCCTCGGCCAGGCTGCACAGGCTTTGGGCAGCATTGGCGCGCCCGCGGGCAACCTCCGCGTAGCCACCTCAGGCACCACCAACGCCGGCACCGATGCCCTCATGCCAGGCAGCGGGAGCGTGCAGTCTCCTGCCAGCAGCGGCCCGCACGCCGGAGGACACACTGCGCCGCCGACGGCCGGGGGTCTTTCGAACCCACCGCCGCAGCAGCAGGCGCGAAGCTTCGAGCCGCGGCGGGCAGCCACCAACGAGGAGCTGCACATCAACACCATGCAGTCGCAGTCGTCGGCATCCATGTACAACTCGCCTGGCGAGTACGGCGCACAGAACGCCAGCCTCCACCACGCAGCCCCAAACACGCAGTACGGCAACAGCAGCGCGCCGCCCGTCCCTGGCAGCCTGCAGCCGGGCGCCCAACAGCAGCAGCAGCAGCAGCAGCAGCAGCAGCGACCCGGCGCGGCGACCACATACACTGCACCGTCGGCCGTGCCTACCATACCCCAGATCAACACGGTGAACGCCAATTCTCAGCAATACACGCTCCCCACGCGCACAATGAGCCAGAACCAACCCCAGCATTCCTCCTCGCATACCTACTCGCGATCCAGCCCGGCTGGCCTGGGGCCCGACCAGAAGTATATTCCTTTTTCAAACACCCCCGAGAGCTCCAAGTACGCCGCCGGTACCCCTGCCCAGAAATACTACCCTGCGACCCCGTCGGGCGCAGCTTCCAACTCACCGCTGGGCCTGGCCGACATCCGACCGCGCGCAAACTCCAACATGGGCGAGGAGGCGACCGGCGCAGGCACCTTGTTCGTCGAGAACGACCGTCAGCCTTCCAACAGTAGCTATCTCACGCCCTGGCCTGCATACGCATTCGACTGGTGCAAGTGGAATGTCCATGGCGGCAATGGCGCTGGCAAGATGGCCGTGGGAAGCTACCTTGAAGACACACATAATTTCGTATGGCAGACCCAAAGACCAGTCCCCCGACCCATCGACTAATGATTTGCAGATTCAAATTCTTGATACCCACCTCGTGCCGCAAGACGTCTCCTCGCCGGGCGCCCCCCAATACGGCCTCGAATACACGCGCGTGGCCGAGGCTACCTGCTCCTACCCCGTCACGCGGATACTGTGGGAACCGCCGTCCACCCAGAAACAGTCGACCGACTTGCTCGCAACCTCTGGCGACCATCTGCGGCTGTGGTCGCTTCCCCAGAGCACTGGACCAACACCTAGCAACACGATCACACGAACCTCCACGGTCAACACGAGGGAACCTCCGCCGCAGAAGCTGACACCATTAGCGCTGCTTTCCAACTCCAAGACGCCCGAGCACACCGCACCACTCACTTCGCTCGACTGGAACACACTATCTCCGAAGCTCATAATCACCTCGAGCATAGACACAACCTGCACCATCTGGGATATACCGACCTTGACGGCCAAAACACAATTGATCGCGCACGACAAGGAAGTCTTCGATGTGCGCTTCTGCGCAGGTAGCGTCGACGTGTTTGTCAGCTGCGGTGCAGATGGCAGCGTGCGAATGTTCGACCTCCGAAGCTTGGAGCACAGCACCATCATCTACGAGCCGTCTGAGAAGCCGCCTGGACAGGGCGACAAAGGTATGTGCGCCGCTTCTCAATTCGATCCCTGCTAATCTTCAAAGATTCTCCTGGTGGTCGCATGTCACCCACCAAAGCCCAGCAGACCATGTCTTACGCGCCACCCCTTCTCCGCCTCGCCGCCTCTCCCCACGATGCACATCTCCTCGCCACATTTGCCGCCGACTCAAATCTCATCCGCATCCTCGATGTGAGACAACCCGGACAAGCGCTCTTGGAACTTCGAGGCCACTCGGCATCCGTCAACTCCATAGAATGGAATCCTTCCCGAAGAGGGATGCTCGCCTCCGGCGGAGACGACTCGCTCGTGCTCGTCTGGGACCTCCTGCACTCGCAGAACGGCGCAGTGATAGGCGGCGACCATGCTGCTCAGCCGCCCACGCCCGCGAGCGCACATCCTCCCAACGGCGGACAGGGAGCAGCTGCTCAGGGCTCGGGAGGCACAATGGGCCAGAAAGGGCCGTACGCTAGCTGGAGGTGCGAGTACGAGGTCGGCAATCTCAGCTGGGCACCGCAGAGCGCGCTGACGGGGTCGGGCGGCGAGTGGGTGGGTGTCTGTGGCGGCAGAGGTATATGGGGCGTGAAGCTATAGGAAGAAAAGCGTCCCAAGGATCCGTTGGCAAAGTTCTGCACTGTGTATGATTGATAAAGCGGGTTTTGGCTGGCATTGGGAGACTGCGCATGGGTCTATGATGGATCGATTGCAATGCGATGCTTTGAGAGCGTTGGGCGGCGTTTTGCTGTGTTGTCTGTGTTGGGGCTGGCTGTGAGGGCTGGCGGGGCGTGGCGAGTATGATACCTCTAGATGTGGTGTGTATGTGCATGATGGACTGCATGGAAAAACAAGGGCTGATGATGGGAAAGGCAAGCTTACCAGACCAAATGAATAAAATCCGATGAAACGATCGCGGAGACGTGTGCTGCGATGGCGTGCACCATTGATTGAGCGGAGTCTCCCAGCAGCGGTTCGACATGCCCCAGGCGCCCTTCTCCTGATCAGCGCTCCAAGGCCCGTCCTGCACCCGCGGGCTGCGAACGACTGGCCCTTCCCCTTCCCCTGCCCTACCGAACACCTCCCACAGACACCGTTCCCTGGGGCCGCATGACAGACACCGCTACCGTTTCCTGGGGTGCGACGCGGTGATGGCTCCGCGCGAACGGGTCTGTGTTGTTCTCCACCGGTGGCTGGGCGTGTTTGGTGTTCCGCCGATCTGATCTTGATACGAAACGACCACGCACCCAAGATAAGGGCTCAGCTTGGTGCGTGTCGGTCCGGTGGATCTGCAGTGGAGAGCAGGGCTGTGCGGTGGGTGGGTGCGTGGGTACTGGGGAGTGGGAGTGGGTGGAGGGGTGGGGGAGGCCCGGGGGAAGGGGAAACAGGGTCTTGGGCTGGGGCTTGGTGAGCTTGTGTTGACGTTGGACTCGACTTTGGCTTTGAAGCGTCTCGCTGCGTCTGGCCTGGCTGGTAGGGTGGGCGTCGGTGCGAAGTTTTTGGCGCGTGGAGACGAGGCTTTTCGTTTGGCCTTGGTGGGTGTGGTTGTGTGAGTTGTCTGCCGCAGTGAAGCAGAAAGGGCGTCTGGGCGGCATGTTTGTGCGTACGCTGGATGTGGTTCCGGTGCTGGAGAATGCGGAAATGGGCTCTGGATTCGTGTCTTCCCTTCCAAACTCAATTTTTGCTTCGCATCGGCTTGCAGATGCGGTGGCCTTGGGCAGCGATGTTGAGAGCTAGCGGCCAGGGTGGATGAGGCGTGGGTGACGAGACTGTAGAACTTGCAGCTGGTTTGATTCTGTCGGTTCTGTATTATGCTCGTTATTCGCGACTGTTTCCTAGGAGGAAGAGAGGTTGGTGCTGTTGGTGGATTGTTAGCGATGTGTGAAGCCACTTCAAACTTTGACTTACAATGAGTGACTAGCGGTGCGAGTCACATCGATACTCGACTTGATCTTATACAGTTGCTTGGTCTTACACAGCGGATTGGAAAAGTGGAGGATCAAACGACGTCGATGGATGTTGACGGACCGCCCGGGCCGAGCACTGAGGGTTTCGCATCCATGGCGTATACCAGACCAGCACTCCCAAACACCACAAAAAGCAAGACCGGCCCAAATCAAAAGTAGAAGCAAGTAAATCAAGATTGAATTCAAACACCAAACACTTCTGGGATATCAAACAGAACACGCCCGCTCGTACGATACACACGCGCTACCCAAAGCCCAACACTGAGGAAAACACCAAAAGCTAGGTAAACATCTAGAAAGAACGAACAACACGTGTACCAACGCCGTCACTATGCATTCTCATCTATGCTCACGTCATACCCTACACCCTCGCACCCACCCACCGCACCACCGACGCCGCTCCCTGAGTGTCCAGCTCCTCAGTGCCTAAACCGCATACCCCTCTGCACAACGCCGACCAACGGGCTCGCCATCGGGCTCCCTGAGATCTCCGAGATCGCAACCGTCGACCCGGGCATCGGCGCACCCTCCACCGGCGTCGCGGGCGCGGCCTCCTCCGCAACCGGCGCTGTCTCGTTGCTCGCGCCCACAGCGCCGCCGCTCGCCGCCGCCACCGCAATGATGTTCTCACCGCCCAAAGTGTTCTGGCTCAGACGCGAGTTGTACTTTACAATCTTCTTGATGGCGTTGTAGTCCGGGACGCTGATCTTGAGGGGCGTCTCGACGGCGAGGAAGGTCACGCCCTCGGAGCAGGGCGGGGTGGTGAGGCTGCCCGAGTACTGGAAGATGTTGGAGGTTTCGAGGAGGGAGAGGACGCCTGAGAAGTCGATGCCCGTCTCGATCGGGGTGCGGGAGCCGGGCTCGGTGATGGCGGGGAGGTGAGGGGCGATGGAGGCGATTAGGGGGTCCGAGCCGGCGGTGCACATTTCGAACATCAGGGCGAGGACGACGATTTGCGTGGGGTCGGCTGGGAAGGGTTAACATGCATTATTTGGTTTGGTTTGGGGCGTGCCTGAGGCAAGATGTGTGTGGGGTGGTGGGGGCTGGATAATGCGTGGGGGATAGAGTTTCGGGAAGAAGAGAGCCGGGATGGAAGGACGACGTACCAATGCCTTTGTGCACCATGTGCACTTCGAGGGGGAAGTACTCGCGGTTGATGCGGTGCTCGGAGGGGGTGTGGATGTGGAACTGGGCGAGGCCGAACTGGTTGCCGCCGAAGGTGGTGGTGCCGTTTACGACGACCTCAATGGTGGTGTTGAGGTTCTCGAATTCGACGGCTTGCTGGGGGATGTCGAGGATGGGCTTCTCGGTTGCGAGGGAAACGGTGCTGTCTGGTGGTGTGTCAGTGGAGGGGAATGGTAGTGAGGTCGTTTACATACCGATATTGATGGGCGACTGGTTCTTTCCGGTTGCGCAGGCTTCGTTCTCAGGTGCGAGGGCAGCCCAGTTGAGAGGACCGAAGGTGTCCTCGTAGCCGAAGTGAGGGATCTCGACCTCGCCTTCTGCACGCCGGTAGAGACCGTGGAGGCAGGAAGCGGACGCCGTGCCGGCGATGAGAAGTGACTTAAAAAGCATGGTGTAGACGGCAGTGCCAAAGGAAGAATAAGGTATTAAAAAGATGTGATGCAACGAATACTCTGAATGAAGTGATGGTCTAAAATTGATGCAGAAAAGAAGGTATTGAATGTCGACTGAAGCTGAGAATGAGTTCGTGCGGCGAAGTATTATAGACGGCGATCAACGCACGGTGTAGAGCAGGACGGTTCAGGATCTACCTGAATACCGATGAGATAGGAAATGAGAAAAGACCAGGCTGCGCCCGAGCGTCGTAAACGAGAGAGGCTGAGAAGGAAAGGAGTAAGTGAATGGAAGGAGTCTACAACATTACCAAAGCACAGTTACTTATATTGGTGATGAGGTGATGGAGGGATAACGCCCTGCGAGTACGTACTCCGCCGCAGCATGCTGAGCCAAGAGCGGTGCCGGATTTCTCACACAGTTGAGGCACTCCTTAGGGGCTCTAGCGAATTGAAGGGGTATACGCCATCACTGTAAAGATGCGTGTAGACAGCCGAGTGTAGGCTGCCAAGTGGCGGAGGCGGCTAAGAACAGCCTAGAGAAATTTGGCAACGTTTGACATGGCGCCGTGCACCCGTACGAACGATTTGACAGGTGCTTACACAGACCAGGCTCGAGTGCTGGCGGAGATCTCAACGTGGAGAAACGGTCAGTACTATGGTCCATTGGGAAAAAATAGTCGCAATCCCGCGCGAAGTGCCTGCTTCAAGTCCGGCGGCGAGGCTGTTCAAGTCGGAATCGCAGTCGAAATCGTACGATATCCTTTCATTCCACCGATGGGCTTTGCTAGATTTGACCGAGACCGCCGTCCACGTGTGCTGTACTCCGGCAACTCAGAAAACATACGATCCCAAGAACGTGGAGAAGCAATGCCCGGTGCTGAAACTTCTTGGAAACAACTTGGCCACTGGGCGGAGGCCAGAGCACGTAGTCAGACGCCCTGTTCACCCCGGGCTGGACGTCTTGGCTCTTCCCGCCTCCAGGTCACCGCCCGTCTGTCACCAGGCAGCGAACGGCCCACACGACTGCCAGACCCTCCCGTTCGCCCACAGGCTCCTCCGCCCGGGTCTCCTCTGACACTGAGAACCGTTTCCCCTTAGAATCATGCGACTTTCGAAACGCACCACGCATTAGCCACATACCCGCCACTGCATCGTTGCGTCAGGACCCTACTCGCGCCAGGGTACGCGCGGGGGCCTTGATTTCGGACCATGAGCTCGCCGCGCAGAGGGAGGGAAGTCCCTACACTGTCATCATGTCGCGCGTGAGCCGCGCCTGGGGGCGCGCTGGCACTTCGCACCGAGCGGACATTGTTGCCAAGGCTTCCGCTTGGCGAAGGATCGCGCTGAGCAGCAGGGCCGCTGCGCAGCCTGGCCGTTGAGGAGAGCGGGCATACGCGGGCGGTGACGGTCCAGACTGGATGGGCGTGCGAAGTCGTGATGTCGGTACTTGGAGCGCAACGGCCCGCGCGCTACTTTGAGGCGCTGCGCATCTGTCATCACAAACGCTATTTTTGGGCCGAATTGATAGGTAGGGCTGCACAAAGTACACGTGTAGAAAGGCCAGACTGGTAATCTGCGTGCACATGTACGTCGCGGCATCTGGCATCCAACGTCTCCACCGACGCCTTTTCCTCTGCCTTGAACACAACAACATTGTGCCATTTAGGACAACATACAGATGCGCGGCCTCACAAAGTTGCATTGTCACGTTCTCAATCTCACAAAGCAGCATTGGCAATACTGATGTTTCGACTTCTCTGAACTATCTATGGCTCCCCATCTCTGTAAGCCTGCAACTTCGTCCACACCCACCGCGGTTCCGCCCAAGCAAACATTAATGGGCACACAAGCCCAGAAGCCCTAGTATACATGCGCAAGCAATAAAAGTAGCAGAACCGAAACGTCCGAAATAATCCCGCTGCAGAGCACCCGAGGCCCCAGACCACCACGAATGCGATGCGGTGCGAGCAGACATTGATTCGCCCCAATGCGTCTTCCCAGTACGCCAACGCCCATGTGTCCATGATAGAGAGTAGAGCAAAAGTTTCGAAGGAAAACATAATTGCGACAACGCAATCAAAGGAAACATTATGTGAGGAAGCCGAAGCCCAAAAGGTGTATGTCCCACGATCCACATTACCATGGAACCTTGACGGTGTTCGATCTGGTTGGTTTCTCTGGCTTTTTGCCAGATTCACTGTAGGGTATCGTCGGTGTCTCATCGGTGTCGATCCAGATGTGACCGACAAGCTTCTCCAACTCGTGACCGGAACGGGGACGGACAGGAAGGACGCTCGACTTCTGTGGTAAAGTGGATTCCCAAAGTGCACGTCTGTCTTTCACGCTCATGCCGGCCACCTTCGAACTCTCGGATCCATTGTCCGATGTGTCGTCAAGCTCTAGTTCGCCTACAATCTCGCCCGCCGAGACTTCAGGTGGAGCGGTTGCTTTTGCCGGATGTATCCCGGATTGATCAGCCAAAACCCTTTCCAGTGCTTTCATAATTTTTCGCTCTTCGACATGGCTCGGGGTACGTTTCAGCGAGACGTGTCGGTTCATTCTCTTCAATCTTTTGCGTTCTCTCTGCAGGTCCAAGCGACGCTGACGTGCCAAATCCGAATCCGCTTCTGCTTCTGCTGCTTCTGCAGTAGCCACAGCCTGGGCACACCTCACATCGACGTCGCTCGATTTATTGCCCTATCGATGAGCGATTAGTAACTCTGGGGATATTGCGATGCAGGCTGAAGGCAAAGTCAGTCACGATTCTAAGTATAATGTAGATGGCTCTGCGACAATTCGTCGGTTAGTACCATCATTGCAATACGTACTGGGGAGTTCAGCATGCTCTGCCGCTTGTTCCTGCTCTTCTTAATATGCTGCTTCAGCGCACTAGAGTCAAGGGGCTTGAGAAGCTCAAAGCTACACAGCAGTTCCGCCGAAACTGACATCACAGCGCCCCAATTATCGAATTCGCCACAGTACTGGCGCGCATTAGCAACAATCTCATAGGACTAATCGTGCTGCTTACATTGGGTGCAGAAAAGACCGTCACCAGGATGCGATCGTTGAAGAACTCGTACCCATCTTCAACCACCATGTGTGCTCTGCATACAAGGTCGAAATCATGACGTTGCAAGAACTCCATGATGACCTTCTTTCCAAAACAATAACTAACACCTCGTTCATTCGATTCCCAGTCATTTTCCATGTCGGCAGGATCACTCCACAACAGGTCGTTCAGCAATCCGTAATCAGGAACGTCCGTGGGCCGCGCGATTTGGCGGATGTCGTCCATGTGGGACAAACTTGGAGAAAGTCCACCATGCACGCAGAAGATCTTCTGCGCAACAATCGCAGCGATCGGAAGTGTGTTGAACGTGTCCACGAAAGCCTTCCAGACCTTGATGTTACATCTCCTCTTACACTCATCGTAGAACCCGTACACGCGGGTGACGTTGGCGCATTCGTGGTTGCCCCGCAGAAGGAAGAAGTTCTCTGGGAACTTGAGCTTGTAGCACAACAACAGTAGGATCGTCTCTAAGCTCTGTTTGCCTCGGTCGACGTAGTCTCCTAAGAATAGATAGTTCGAGTTGGGCGGGAAGCCACACATTTCGAACATGCGAATGAGATCAGTGTATTGTCCATGTACGTCCCCAACGATCTTCACAGGCGCGGAGAGCTCGAGAAGGGCGGGCTGGGTGAGGAAGACCTCGCGTGCTGCCGAGCAGATAGCCATAATTTCGGCATTCTTCAGACAGACAGTCTTGGTGACTTTGCCTGCATAACCTGCATCCAGTAATCGCTGGATCATGTCGTCCAGGTCGATCGCTTTCAGCGCACTGATCTCCATGGGGGAACCAGCGCCGTCGTTCGCAGGTGGCGCTTGCTCCACTCGCGGGATGGGCTGGTCCTTCTTTTGCAGGATAGACTCGCCTGGCTGAGCTGTGGCCAGCGGCAGCGGGACTCCCGTGGGACCAACGTCGGATACCTGGTCGACCTCGCCTGTCTTCTGGGCCTCGTCGACATGCTTGTGGGTTCCTGTTCCTACGGTGGCACCATGTACTGGTGATGGAGGCGGCTCTGGGTCATCGGGGACGTTGTCGGCCATGGCGGCGCTGTTGAGGGCAGCTTCTTGCGCGGAGGCTGTGGAGCCGCGGCGAGATCTGATGCCTCCCTTGCTGTTGGTCGACTTCATCGAGGCCGCATCCGACTTGTCGGGCTTCGCATTGACATCGTTGGGCAGGTTGGACACGGATCCGCGAGGGCTGTCTGATTTTCCGACTGGGATCTTCGACCTGATAGAGTTACGAATGGAGCGGGTGGACTCCCTGGTGTCTGCTCGCTCGAATGAGCGGTAGTTCTCGCGCTCAAGGGAGACGCCGTCCACGGTGCCCTTGTCCCCCTTGTCCTTCTTGCCGCTGGACTGCTGGTTGCCCATGGCGGCGGTTGTAACTGCGGAGCGAGCGAGTAATCAGGAAGTTCGTGTATGTGTCGGTCGAATTGAGGTTCGCGGGGTGGAGGGGAAGGCGGTGCGAGGATTGGTGCGGGCGGGGCAGTCGCTGTGGGCGTGCTGTCCCCAACGGCGAGTTCTAGTGTCTATTGCTACAAACAGCAGTCGCGACACACGGTAGGTGTCGCTGCAGAAGGAGGGCCACGGGTTGTGTCGGCGTTAGGGCGGCTTGAACAGCCGTGAGAGAAAGGCAGTCAAGCGAGCCTCCGTCGGCGCTGTCACGATCTGCTGGGCAGGACACTGGGCGTGCCAGGTCGGCAGACGGGAGGGGACGTCGGGGGGCGAGTCTGTATCCCGCTGGCGAGCCAGAGCGATGGATGTGCACGGGTGCAGTGGAAACGTGGAGTTATCGACGAGCGGCAGCACGCATGGGGTGTGGTAGTGGTGACTCCCGGTGACCTCAGAGAGCTAGAGCTGGAACCCGGCTGTGGTAGCGCGCAGTAAGCGAGCAGCTGGCTAGTGTAGGCGCTGATTACGCGGGCTGGATATGGCGGAAGCGTGCAGATGCAGCGCAGTCAAGGCGGACCGGTGAATGCGAAAGTTCAGTCGGGCGCGGCGTCGTGATCGACAGTGGACGACGGAGGCACTTAGCGCGGGGCTGGTGGTCTGGATGCAGCCTTGGAGGCGGCTGCAAGTGATTGGGATAGACAACGTGGTGCGGAGAGCCTGAGGGGCAGGCGGAGAGTCGAGCAGCCGTCGGTGGTGCTGGAGTCGCTGGCTGTGCCTTGTGAGTGGCTCCGGTGTGAGAACTACCTGTGACGACGAGCGAGCCAAGACCTGGCTGGAGGAACTAGCGGGTAGCGCCTTTAGGTATGCGGGCACACAAAGAGGCGGCGTACGCAAACACGACGCACTCGACAGTCTACAGGTCTACGTACTGGAAGCAGCTCGTTCAAGCTCCCCGCTGCCGCGACCGCTGGCTCTCAGAGTTCTTCAGCATGGAAGGACTATGGTCACGCGGCCCTCGTGACGGTTCACCCGAGGCCGGCGGCATCCTAGCTGCAGATACCACCCGCCGTCTCGTTCGTGATAAGCCGACATGATTATGTACAAGTACAAGCTTGGAATGACTACGCTACAACAGGTTCCTGACGAACCGGCCCGCTGAGCCTCACGTCCAAGATCCCCAGAAATTCACGCAAAATTCTGCTCCGTTGGGCGGAATGAGCCTTTTTCTCGGATAAGCCCTCACGTTGCGGCCCAACGCACAAAAGAAGTTGGCGTACCAGAGCTTGGTCTGTCAGGCGATCACTTGGTGTTCGAGGATGAGTAACTGTCATTTGATCTTATTTGATTCTGCTGGTGAGCTTCGGAGCTGCTTTCAACAGCTTGCTATGGACCTCCGACCTGCACGCTCAGAATGCCCAGCACATTGGCGCCAAGATGGAATTCCGACAACGAGGCCTTGGAACAAGAATATACCGGGAATGTACCGGTCGATATGGAGATGATTGGTTTTTGCTTATATAAATCCACGTGGCGCTCACCGTCCGCCGGGCGCTCGACCACGCTCATAGTCTGCTCCCGAGGTTGACGTGGATAGCCTGCTATCATCAGTATCACAAGAAATATGTCGTACAGAGAGCATACCTTTTTGTTGGTGTACGCTTCTAGACCGGCTTCGCCGAGCTCTCGTCCAATGCCGCTCTGCTTGACACCTCCGAACGGCACGCGCACGTCAGAATCGTTGCTCGAATTGATCCAAACCATTCCCGCTTCGATCCGTCTCGCGACGGTGTGAGCCTTTGTGATGTCCTGGGTAAACAAAGCAGCTCCCAGACCATAGCAGCTGTCGTTCGCACGTTCGATGGCCTCCTCTTCAGTTTTGAACGAGGATACCACCACAAATGGGCCAAAAACCTCTTCACGGTAGATCTTCATATCATCCTTGACATCGGTGAAAATGGTAGGTGCGATAAAGAATCCCTTGCCGCCTACGTCTTTGAAAGCTTCGCCTCCAGAGATCAGCTTGGCTCCCTCGGACTTTCCGGACTCAATGTAGGAGAGGACTCGCTCAAACTGTGTCTTGGTGACCTGTGGGCCTTGAAACGTATCGTCTTTGAACGGGTCACCGACTACCGAAGCCTTGGACACATATTCCTTGAATGATTCCACAAACTTGTCATAAATGCCTTCTTGAACAAGAATACGGGACGTCGCCGTACAGACCTGGCCCTGGTTGTACACTACAGACACCCAAAGTTAGCAGTCGTGAGGAAGGCATTTGTACAGATGCTTCACTTACTGATCCCGACATGCGACCACTTGACCGCCTGGTCCAGATCGGCGTCGTCAAAGACCAACAGCGGCGATTTCCCACCGGTCTCTAGGGTGATGTTCTTCATGTTCACAGCGGCCATCTTCATGATTTCCTTTCCGGTCGCCGTTGACCCAGTGAAGGCAATCTTGTCAACGTCCATGTGCTGGGCCAACGCTGCACCCGCCTTGCGGCCTTCGCCGTTAAGGATGTTGATGACACCAGGTGGGAACCCTGCCTCTTTGACCAACGATGCGAGGTACAGAATGGACAACGGCGTCTGCTCAGCAGCCTTCATCACTACGGTGTTACCCGTACACAAGGCAGGACCCAGTTTCCATGCCGCCATGGCCAGTGGGAAATTCCAAGGGATAATTTGAGCGCAAACACCAAGCGGCTCTCGTACCGTATAAGCGAGTTTGGCGGGCGAGGTGTCAATGACTTGTCCGTGGATCTTGTTGGCGTAGCCGGCATAGTATTTGATCGTGCTGATAACCTCGCCGAGATCGTCGTTCAAAGAAACTTGATATGGCTTTCCATTATCCCAGGTTTCGATTGTTGCGAGAGTTTCCCTGTGCTTCTCGATCAACTGAGCGAAGTTATACAGAAGGTCTGCTCGCGCATTGGTGTCCATGTCGCGCCATGAAGGGTCTTTAAATGCTTTCCGCGCCGCAGCCACTGCAGTGTCGACATCTTCTGGGCCTGCAGCATAGACGGATGTGATCTCGCTCTCGTTGCTGGGGTTGATGCTCGTGATCGTTTCTCCAGACTGTGACTTCACAAACTCATTGTTAATGAACAAACCTCGCGGCTGCTTGTATTTGTGGCCGTTAGGGGCAGTCAGCTCGACGAACAGGTCGGACATCGTGCTGTATCTGTGATTGCTCTGATAGCTTCCGATGCAAGATGGGCGGGTCAGAAGACGGAAATTGAAACGTAGAGAAGGAGACGAGTAAGAAGCTTGAGACCTCAGAAAGAAGGGAAGGGGGAAGGACATCTCGGTACGGAACGAGTTTATCTATGCACGATGTACGTGATGTCCACCCCGCAGATGACACGCTGGAGTAGGCGCGATAGGTGCACGGCCGCGTGGACCTGCCGTAATCGGCTGCCGTCGCGTTTACAGCGCCCGCTAGAGGTGACAATCCGTGGGCTTTGTAATCATCATAGACAGGCTGCTATTGAGGCCGAATGTCCTCGGCCCGAACGCGTCGACACTCTCTCGAGACTGCTGGTCCGATGGGGAGCGTTTGGAAGGAAGAACGCGTGGGGCTATTCGGCGCGTGTGCAGCTACCCCACCTCATTACAACATGGAATCGATTTCTCCAACGTAGCACCACTAGCGATTCTTTTGCAGTTGTACTCACGCACAACACTCAATTCCTCTTTGCTCACAACGCCGGAACGATCCAAACAATCACGCTACGCGTCTGGAACCTGAAGCCGATTGCGCCACTGCGCCGTACCGTAGAGTGCACCTCACAGCGACGCGCTGCAACACGCATTCCCAGCATGAGCACCGACATGAGCGCCGACCCCCCTTTCCCCGATGCCTCCGCCCCTGACGCTCTCATCAACCACGACCGCTCCATCGAATACTGGAGCTCCGTCTCAGCAGACACGACGGGCATGTTGGGCGGCTACCCACAAACCTCGCGCATCGACCTCCAGAGCTCCTCCAACTTTCTCACCAAGCTGCGCCGCGCGAAATCCACACTGCCCCCCAAACAACCATTACCCCTGCTCGACAGAGTCGCAGACTGCGGCGCCGGTGTCGGCAGGATAACGAAGGAGTTTCTGCTCAAGGTGAGCAGGCGCGTGGACGTTGTGGAGCCGGTGAAGAAGTTTACCGATGAGCTGGTGCAGAGCTTGGGGAGCGGGGAGTGGGCTGGGGATGGCGATAGCGGGGCGGGCATTGCGAGGGGCCAGGTCGGCGAGGTGATAAATCTGGGGCTGCAGGACTGGGAGCCCGAGGTCGGCGCGTACGATGTGATATGGAACCAGTGGTGTCTGGGACACTTGACAGATGTGCAGCTCGTCGCGTATCTTCGAAGGTGCAAGGCGGGGATTACACAAGCGGAGGAGGGTGCGCGGTCGTGGATCGTTGTGAAGGAGAATCTGTCGACGGATTTCAAGGGCAAGGATATCTATGATGAAGAGGACTCGAGTGTTACACGGTCGGATGAGAAGTTTAGGCACTTATTCAAGGAGGCGGGGCTGAAGATTGTGGCGACGGAGCTGCAGAAAGGATTTCCGAAGGAATTGTTCCCTGTGCGGATATACGCTTTGAGGCCGGAGTGAACTCGGTGACCATCATGTCCTGAAGGACACGAGATCAAGATGAGCCTTCGTAGCATTATACCCAAAACATGTTCGATTCAGTCCTACAAACCGATTGCCATGCCTTGGCAAGACCATTGGTATCATATCTGCTCCGTTACGCCGAAGCCATGCCATCCATCTTTCGCTCGTTACGCTGCCACAGAGTTTTACAATCCGAGGCTACCGAAATGTCGATCCCGTCGACATGAACCTGTGAATCGTATCGAGCGACATCATCGGCTGCTCCTCCTTGACCTTCTTCTCCTTCTCGCCCCCTACACCCTGCACAGGCGTTCCCGTCTCTAACACATCCTCCATCTCCTCATCTTCCTCGTCGCCTGACGCGCTAGAGTCGTCCTCCTCCTGGTTTTGGTTGGAGACCTTCGCCACCTCATTCACAATATCATACACATCTCTCCACAGGTCCGCGAGCTGGTCCTCGTCCAGATTGGCCTTCTGTCTTCTGAGCTTTAAGCTACCCTCTCCGCCCTCGTCCATATCCTCGTCTTGCTCATCGACTGGGGGTTTCGCCTGAATATCCCAATCACTAGGCACGTGCGCAAATTCGGCGGCTTTAATGATTTTGTCAAGGATCCAGTCTTTTTCCTTTGCGCCGGGCTCTTTGGACAAAATGGCTTCTATGATCGTTCCAAGCGACTCGTTTGCGGCTGGGAAGGGCGGGATGGGGAACGAGTGGAGGGCGCGGAAGGTGGAGTGGGTTTCGGGATCTTTGTTGATGAAGGACTGGATGGAGGTTATGGTGTTGCTAACAGCGGAGATGCTGCGCTGAATAGTGGGCCTAGTGTAACATGTTAGCCATAAGGATAACAGCAATGCTGACAATCTGTAGAGCCTCTGAGACTGGGACAGGAAGTCATGTGACGCAGTAAACAACTGGGCAGGCGAGTGACATGACTGTGCAAATCAATAAGAGGTTGGAGAGCTGCTGAGCGAGTCCCGTAAATGCTCAAAAACCGATACGATCCCATGCGCGACTTACCAGTCCGGCGGTGCTGTCGGGTTTGCCATGAGCTCTTTCTTCATCTGCTCCAGAATCCACACCAGCGACATCAACCTGGTCCGCAAGGACTCAAGCAAGGCGATGTCCGCCTTCGCAGGCTCCCCGGGAGGAGCCTGATTCGTATTTGATGCCATGCGTGAGACTGATCACGGACGAAAATTGAGAAATGCAAATGTTTTGAAGTTGATGGGTTAGGCGTGGTCGGCGAAGCTGAAAGGCGATTGGTGAACAAGAAGCTGCCTGCTCCGAAAGAATTCCGCCCTCAAGGCTTGGCACTCATACCAACGCCTCTGAGCTCTCGCTTTCACTCCCAAACCTCTAAACATTTAGTTCCCTCTTGATCACCTCCTGCACCGGGATACCTCTGCTCGCTTCGCCTGCCTTGCCACTAACTCCGGTGAAGTTGTCGGACTGCATTTAGTGTATTCCAGCTGGCCTGAGGCATGGAGCTCGGGTACCTCAAGCTCGCATTGCGTCTCATCGGTGCCTCGCATACTTCCATCAGAGTGCTGGGCGTAGTCCTACAACCCAATTCGTTCGTTCTGTGATTGCTTTCCCGCTTCCTGTCGCGTGGCGTTCGTTTATTCCCCTGTCAATAACTTGCCTGCACGTGATATGGTCAAATCTGTTCATTGCAACCTTCTTTCCCGTGATCCATGCTTCGTCCTCTCACTTACCCTTCAATTGACAAGAGCTTCGTCCCCACTCCACTGTTATAAATCCTACCGCCTTTGGATGATGTCTGTCATATACTAGACGTCCTGCATCAGAACACTGTCAACGTTGGTTCTCCTTCGCCTACAGATTAACAACATTGCCGCGTGGAAAGACCTACCTTGATTACTGAGGCTCGGCGTTGAACCTCACCTTGAGGCCTGCCCCGCAGGCTGCAACCTGTCGCTCTTGTGCTAACGGCACTATTGTGAAGCGATTGGGATTCACCTGTCCAACAACAAAAGCAACCCCACCCAAGATTAAGCACCGGTGCCTTACGTAGTGGTCTGCTTCGGGCTCGCTTTTGCTGCCTTTCCACCTCTTCTTTCTAACGATAAAAGCCCTGGGCCGGTTGTTCGACAATTCGGACGGTCAAAACTTCCCCTAAAGGCTCCACTGCTAAGATTGACCGATTATCGCATACGCTCGCCCACGTGGAACATGGCTTGGCCCGGCAGAGGCCCTGGTGCCTCTCGGGGGTCGCAAGCGTGGATGTTTGCGACGGCAGAGGAGATGCTCGGCAGAAGAGCCTTTCGCGATGACACAGTATGGGCCAGCCCTCCAACGGAACTAGAAGCATACTCGCGCGAGTTCACTACTAGGGCCTGGGATTTCGCGACAAAGACCGAGAGCCAACCCAACAATCAAAATACCCGGAACAAGAATGTCAAAGCAGCCGCTCCACCCACGCAAGTGCACAAAACAATGAAGGCAGCGGAGAAAGCTAGCTCACAAGCGGATGGCCATGTCAAGAAAAAGACACATGCCTGGAGACACGGACAGAATGGTCACAGTGCTGACAAAACTACAGTCCAAATAGCTGATATTGCCCCATCCCGAATACAGAGCAAGCCCAAAGGCAACGGGAAGAAATTACAGCAGTCGAAACCCCAGGCAATTGCAGCCTTGACAGAATCCAGCAACGCGAAGGATACCTACAACCAGGCGAATGAGAAGGTTCTACAATCGGAGGACACCATCGCGAAGAACAAACCGAAGAAGAAAGAAAAGAAGATGGCGGGCACGAAGAAGATGGCAGGGAGCACAATTAGTCCGGAAGCCAATGTGCATATGGACGGCAAGGTGTCGGAGGCTTCAAAGACCGTAGATTCGCCACTGTTCACCGTGACTGAGCCCAAAAGCAACGACAAAGACGAGTTCCAATCGCCAATGGCAACAAGCAAAATCATTGCTTCCGAGACAATGGACTCGACCCCAAACACAAGCAGATCAGAGGCTATGGAGACAACGAACACTACAGCCTCGGTTCGGGAGTGCATGTAAGTGTCCCATGAAGTTGCATCGCGTGAGACTTAGCTAATAATGAAATTGCGGGAGATCACTGTTCGCGATCGTCAAAGACAGTGTGAGCAAGTACTGCATGCAGTCTCCGGCCCATTTCGCCCTTCACATTGACGTTCAGCTTGCGGAATCTGGCCACCAACCGAATCATGATGCATCCAGGTCCCGGCTAAATATCACGTTCCAGAACTACAGTCAGAATTTTAATTGGCTATGCAAGCGTTATTTCAGAAAGGGACGTGTGACCTGCAAGGTTATGGTGTGCACTGCCAAGTACCCGGTGCCGCTGCAGAGGCTCCTGGCCGAGCATTTCCCAGTGAGTGAAGCAGAGACGATAATTGAAATCGGAAACACTGACGATATATCAGGTCTCGGATATGATGACCTCAGAAGGCACACTGAAGCAGTTCTGGAATGCCAACGGCAAAAGCTTCAATTGGAGTGATCTCCCCACGGAATTGAAAGAACATGTCATTCAGTTCTGCATCATTATGGCTCCAAAGCACCCTGATCATTTCCACAGCAACACACGCGTAGACCGACTCAGCATCATCGACAAGCACTCCTGCGAGCTGGTTGATAGACTCAGCCAGTGGAAGTCCCTTTTGCGCGTCTCGACCCAGGTCCGTGCAATCACACTGCGACTTTGTCACAACGGAAGCTTGGTAAGCTGTGTCCAAACGTTGTACTTGCTTGTACTGACACTATAACATAGATCTTTGACAAAGGCCTTTGCATGACCAGCTACAGCTTGCCCAACTTTTCGAGTCGAATCTCCAAGTTGGAGCATTTCTCTCAGATTGCGGAGCCAGACAGCGCACCTCTCCATCCGGATGGCTCTCGTCATCTTCTTGCAGTGGTCTACCGAGATGCTCCGAAGATCTACCCTGAGCTGAAGCGGTACGGCGATTTCTCCCAAGGAGTTCGCAAAATTGATATATCTTTCGATTTCATCAGCTTCTATCGCTTCTTTAAGGTCACAGCGGGCGAATTTGGCAAAGATTGCCAGCCCCGTTGCACGCTCACCTACAATGTGTTCGAAAGGATGCCGTATCTCAACGAAGTAAGCTTAAATTCAAAATTTTCGGGCCTTTCGTTGACCGTGTACCCATCAGATTATCGTTCGTCTTCCTTCAGATCGAATGAAGACCTGGGTCAACAAGACCCATCAGATGGAGTGAGTTGTCTCCAACCTCGGCAAGCAACGGTCGCTAATTTCATAGGCGTCCCTTGTTCCACATCACCTCCCCTTGTCCTCGAATGATCTATAGAATACTTTACGAGCGTATTGCCGAGGCGCTTGCGACGTATGAGAATGTCAGCGTCAGGAACTTCTTGAGTGAGACCGAAGAGAAGCGATTCTGGCGTAAGATAAAATTGTTTGATGCGCCGGAAACAGTACAATACTAACTTCACGCAGGCTTGCGCCAGACCGCGATGAAGACTCTCCGAGACACACCCGCACCAGAACCTTTCAAGCTCACAGTGAAAGAGTTGCAAGAAATCAATATGCACGATAGAGGCGGTGGTGTCCAACTGACGCCAAATGAGATAACCGAGGCTCACCGGGAGAGATACGAACGTTTCATATTGCAACAAGAGAAAGAAAAGATCGAAAAGCAGCTGGGCTCGCTTATCCATAAGGGACCTGAGGTTGAGCCGTTCTACCCGATCCGCTGCCAATGCTTTGTGCCTTGCCAGGAACGATACGAATTTTATCCTAGTTGGCAATAGCTCACAACAACGGCGAAGATTAAGGCCTTTCTAGATGTCAAGAATCCCAGAACAATAGAGCGGGTGGGGCCACGTTGGGGAAATGTTGGCTCGTTCCTACTTCTTCACGACATACCGGGCCTCTTTTGAGCTTTTCATGCTAGCTTCTCGACTTCATGTGGCAATGCATAATTCTGTATAGAGTTTGGCCCGAAAAGCTCTGTGATACTTGTCGCTTGCATCGTACCGGTGTGCAGTGCATGTTGGGAAACACCATACGTAAGAGGCTCACGATTATATCGAGTCTAGCAAGTACACAATGTTTTGGAAGTACGGAGTGATACTAACGACTATTGGTAGTACTCTACCTTCCGTTTGATCAGAGACTTGCAACAATGCAGTATGTGTTGGAGCCACTAGCCCAATCAGGCCTTAGCGTCAGGTGTACCTTTTCGCCACCCACCTTCAACAACTACTCACTCGATACCAGTGCCCTTGCAGCACAATCCTCATGCCCTCAACTCTGACCCGCGCCATCTCACCTCCACCTCGACAAACAAAACGTCGAAAACAATCAGAGACTGCACATGCGACTCGGCAGCGACAAAATGACGCAAACCATCCGCTCTCGACCCCACCAGAGCACACGCTAGCGGCCGTGGAGGCAGGCAGAGTCAGAATCGAAGGGCATCTAGAGTATTTCAAAGAACGTCTATCGAAAGTATGTCGGCCTGTGGAAGAGGGTGTACCCAATATCTCGATCGAGGATTGGGCAAGATTGTATAAGGGGTGTGAGTATGAGTGTGGGAATCACTTTGTGGTGCATCAGCATAACCATCCGGTTTCGGGTGTGCATTGTAAGTTAAACTTTTGGAATTAAGCTACTCAAAAGAATACCACACAACGTGTCTCAATGCAACGCCTTGATTTTGCGACTTTGTTGCTTGTGAGGAGAAGCGCTGACGGAGCTTAGATGATCTCCGCTTACAGTTTTCGGAAACAAGCAGCATGTCATTCGCTGTGCCCAAAGGCCTGCCGGGGAACCCGAATTCCAAGAGCTTGGGGAGGATGGCGATTGAGACAAGAGTGCATAATCTATGGGTATATTACCATCGCCTATTAGCCCTAACGATATTGCTGACATCTGCCACAGAACCACCTCATCGAATCCGCATCCACGAGGACAGGCTCACTTCTCATCTGGGACACTGGGAAATACACAGTCTTGCCTCGGAAGAAATCATCCAATAGACCCCCATCGCTGCAGACCACGGACGAGGATTCAAATACCGATCTCGAAGACCAGAGTAGCCGAGAGGACGAGGCTAGAAACGAGAACGAGAGGCTCATCGACGCCTTCAAAGCACGCTACATTCGCCTCCGCCTCAACGGCGCAAGGCTCCCCAAGGATTACACCATCACTTTGCGCCTCCCCTCCGCTAAGAACGTGTCTAAACCGCGGCCCGCGAAGAGAAAAAGACCGAGAAAACCTAAAGCGAAGAATGCACCCCAGTCCACCGACTCTGAACCGGAAGACACAGACAAGGGCGCAGAGTTGCCACCGGAAGACGCGCAAGACATCGATACAGACTCCAGCGAAGACGCCCACATACGCCTTACCAACGCGTATCCCGGCTCCACGAACAGCATAGGCTCTGTGCATCAGCGGGCGTGGTTCATCCTGCTGGACCGGGCATCGAGCGGATTCGTGCAGGACAGTGAGACGGGGAAGTGGGTCAGCCGAGAAGGTAGCGGGTTTGAACCATTTCTTGTGCTGGGGAGGGATGTCGAGAGGAGCGTTGTTACAGGGCGGTTGGCGAGGGAGGTAGAGGGTGATGAAGGGGTGGAGGGTTTTGTTGGGAGGGGGGGATGGGTGGGGATTACTAGATGATATAGGGTGGATAGCTAGCCAGCGTGGAGGTGTTACATTTGGGAGCTTTACAAGTCGATGCCGTCGCGTCAGTGTGCACGAAGACTAGTGAGCAATCCGCAAATGTTGGAGCCACGAGGAGGTATGATATGACAGCATAGTACGGGAATCTTGAATCTACTTGATCCTGTTAAGTTTTGATTCGCGGTGATACATGTCAGTCTCTGGATCTCAGTGGGACGATATGAGCCTCGAATTGCCCTTGTTGTAGATCGGACTTGCCCCATCAAGGAGACATGGAATGAACACTTCCACGCCCATGACTCATCTCATGCCATTGTTGCTATTCGCGCCATTAGAGGACCGCCACCAATGAAGCCCAAATGGACCGTCTGCATCGAGCGCACCGGAGATGGGTACTGACAGAACGAAGCAGGTTGGGCGTGAAAACTGGGGTGGAGCTGAAAGCTCGTGGAACATTACAAATAGCTCTGTAGTCAAGCTTGTGTGGCGCCTTCTGCGTGTAGCAGGTTCTGCGTATTGCCCATACCCCGATTGGCAGAGGTGGTCATACGCATCTGAACTGTGTGGATGATCGTTATCATAGATCTCAGCCAGGCGCGCGGCCGATGTGCGGCACTGATTGGTGTTGCTGCTGCGAGTATATAAGAATACTGAGAAATCAAGGTCCCACGCCGCGAGCTGGTGGTGGTAAACCAGCGGCGATGTGCCCAGTCTTTACGACTTGGTAGAGCGCGTGTGGGCCAATGGTAGAATCATGGCCAAGCATGACGTCAAGCCGTCATATGGCCACACCAGCCACACCAAAGTTCTGAACGCTCTCTTCCGTCGTCTCCTACGTTCTGTTCCGGGAGAAAACAACCGCTCCAGGCCCGGGGTCAATCTGCCAGAGGTGTATGCGTGCAGGCGCCGGAAACGGCTAAAGCGCGCGGGCTGGAGCTCCCCATCGAGTCTTGCGACGAGCATCCCTCCGCACATGCGTGGTGCGCCCCAAGACGATGCGGTTATCGCCGACGCGCATCCTGTGTGCCGCCATCCTCCTCCTCACGCTGCTCCTCGTCTCCTTCGTCACGCGCCTGCTCTTCGGCCAGCGCGGCTTCGACATCCTCCCCGAGCGCCCCGACGCCGCTGCCGCGCGCGCCCGCCTGAATAGCAATGCGCCCGTCGTCCAGTACGGCGAGGAGTGCGCCCCCTTCCGGGCAGGCGCCCTCGACGATGTCACGATCGTGTTGAAGCTGGGCGCGGGGCAGGTCGCGACGCAGCTGCCGGCGTACTTTGCGCGCCTCAGCCGGTGCACGCGCAACGTGCTGCTGTTCTCAGACCGCAAGGGCGAATACGGCGGCTTCGAGATCGTCGATGCGCTCGCCAACCTACGCCCGGAATACAAATACAACAACCCCGACTTCGACATCTACGACAAGATCCAGTAAGCACCCCACCGGGCCCAAGTTGGGCGCGTCTTTCCTGCAGAACAAAGGACACGCGCCATCCTGTCGTACCTCGCACTGACTCTGTCCCCGCACCTTAGGCATGCGGTCGCACTCGAAGAGAAGACAACCGAGGGCTGGCGCCTCGACAAGTACAAGTTCCTTCCCATGATCGAGCTCGCCGACGCGCGGCGCCCCAAGTCGAACTGGTTCCTGTTCCTGGAGCTCGACACGTACGTCAACTGGGACAACATGCAGCGCTTCCTCGCCGCCTTCGACCCCAAGACGCCCTACTACTTCGGCTCGCCCGTGTGGCCGCGCAAGAAGCCCGTCTTCGCGCACGGCGGAAGCGGCTTCGTCCTCTCCCGCGGCGCCTTCAACAAGCTCATGGCGCGCGGCCGCATGTTCGCCGAGAACCATCGCAGCCCCGGGACACATCTGTTCGGCAAGGACGTGCGCAACGAGTGCTGCGGCGACCAAGTCCTCGCCAAGGTCCTCAAAGAAAGCGGCATCTCCATCCGCGGGTACTGGCCCATGTTCAACGGCGAGAGTCCCTCCAGCCTCCGCTTCAACAGCGAGCAGTGGTGCGAGGCCGTGCTGACGCTGCACCACCTCTCCCCGGACGAGTTCGCGAGCCTGGAGCGCTGGGAGGCCGCCCGCCCCCAGCGCGCGAAGCCGCTTACTTTCGAGACGCTGTTCCCGCACATCGAGCCCGCGCTGCAGGAGCGGCGGGACGACTGGACGAACCTGTCTGAAGACATCACATACAGCGGCAAGAAGACGGCCGGCAAATCCTGGGAGGCGTGCCGCGCGGCCTGCTCCCGGGTCCACAAGTGCATGCAGTACGAGCACGTCGGGGACACGTGCCGCCTGTCGCGGAGCATCCGCCTAGGCCATGCGCAGCCCGCGGGCAGCCAGGGAAAGGCGACGTCGGGGTGGATGACGAGCCGGATCGAGGCGTTCAAGACGAAGCACGGCAAGAGGTGCAAGGGCGGCGCGCATTTTCCGCATGCGAATCCACGATGAGGACCGAGCCGGACCGAACTGAATCAAGGACATGTGGAGTTTCTAGCATGGGAGGCGTTTGATACCCGGCGGCTGACTTGGCTTTGCGATTCGCACATCGCCATTATATACCCACCAGGACGTTGCGTGCATGGATTGGAGTTTTGGAGTTTCCAGGGTGGGTTGGGTTGGTATACGTCACAGCGCCGGGACAGACAGATGTCTGGGGGCAGTACGCCTTGTTTCCACAGGATACGCAAGTTTAGGGCGAGGGGTTCGCACCTTTGTCACAGTACCGTGTAGCATAACCTTGGAGGGGCCGGTGATGGAGGAGACATGACGGGAAAGCTTCGATCGAGCACGCCGGGACAGATACAATGAACCTATGTACCTTTCCAGGCATGGGAAATGCACTTCGCTACGGACGGTGATTTTACTGCGTACCTGTACCGCGTTTCTCACGGCTGACTTTCCTCCATCCAGGTTCGTCGAAGTCGCCAGGCCAGCCCTCTGTACCATGCCAACCACTCTACAACTTCACCCTCCGATCCTCCCGCTCCAGCGAACTCAAGCCGCTCCTCGCCCCCCTCAGCTCCGCCCTCAAAACCTTGCCCGTCGCATTCCGCGGCAGCCGCTGCACCTCCCACACGCCCCCCCTCAACTTCTTATATCCGCTCACCTTCCCGTCGACATCGCGCTGAATCGCTACCAGCGCCGCCTTCCGCGCCGCTTCCCCTGCAACATGCGCCTTCAACACCACATACCCCGCCGGCAGCTCCGTGAGCTGGCTCTCGTCCCACACCGCGGCCACCCCCGCCTCGGCCACGTTTGGGTGCGAGTTCAGATACGCTTCGAGCTCCGCGGGGGAGACCTGGAAGCCCTTGTACTTGATGAGCTCCTTGGTGCGCCCGACGACGCTGAGGATGCCCGCAGCGGAGATGGTGCATACGTCGCCGGTGTTGTACCAGCCGTCGTGCGGAAACGCAGCGCGGTTTGCCTCGGCGTTGAACGCGTAGCCGCGCGTGATGTTGGGGCCACGCAGCCATAGCTCGCCCGGGCCGCCCTCGGGCGCATCGTCGGCGCCGGCGTTGACGCGCAGCACGGCGGAGACGTTGGGGAGCAGGGGGCCGACGGCGGTGGGCGGCTGCAGGGCGGCAGCGCGCTGGTACGCGACGTACCCCGCGGCTTCGGTCATGCCGTAGACTTGGTTGATACGCCAGGGCGCCTTCTCGAGGAGGCGCGCCAGCATGTCCGCCTTGAAGGGCGGGCCGCCGCAGTCGATCTTCTCGGCCCGGCTGAAGTCGAAGCGCGTTGTGATGTCTGAATTTGCGAGCGCGAGCACGACGGCGGGGACGCCCTGGAAGATGGTCGGCTTCACCGAATCGACGAGCGCGGCGTATGGCTCGAGGCCGAAGACGGGCATCGCGTGGTGGTGGATGCCCATATAGGGCCCGAAGAAGAGCGGGAACGTGGTGTTGCCAATGTGCGCGAAGGGGGTGAAGGCGACAATGGCGGAGCCGCGGTGGAACTGCGGCGCGTCATGGGCTTCGAGTTGCTTGACGTTGGCGACGAAGTTGTGGTGCGTGAGTTGGACGCCTTTGGGCGCGCCGGTCGTGCCCGAGGAGAGGTGGATGGTTGCGAGGCGTTGGCGCGTGTCTGCGTAGTGTGGTATGGGCAGCGGGTCGCGGAACGATGCGAAGTCGTCGGGTATGTGTTTGTATTGGGGCGAGCTTGACGCTGCCCGCTCGACAATGGATACTATGGTTGGTGGGCTCCAGGATACGCCCTGCGCTTGGAGGTCTTTCACCGCCAGCGCAATCGCTTCTTCCACCTTCGACACCACAGGCCCGTACACGACGGCGAAAGCAGGTCTCGTGACCGTCAGCCCGTGGGCAATGTCCGCCGCGACGATGGCATGGTTGATCGGGCAGACCACGCCGCCTGTCCAGAGGACCGCGTGCACAATCTCGACATAGTCGCAGGAATTGGGCAGGATAACAGCCCAGTGTGCTTGGTCGCGCGGTCTGAACGTCTTTGCCAGGCCGTTTGCGAGGCGTCCGGCGTTGGTGCGGAGTTCGTGGAGCGTGAGGGAGCGGTGCGTGAGCGAGTCTGAGGCGATGAGGTGCGATGGGGGCAGTGGGGGCGTGGTTGAGGTGTGGAGGAGCTGTGTTAGGGACAGGGTGGTGGGGATGTCGATCTGGGTCGGAGACGTGTAAATCTTCATGTTTGCGGAGGAATGCGCGACTGCATGAGCGCGGAGAGAGCTCAAGACTGGATGCTCAATCAACAGCACTTGAATCGACCGTCGGATGTGCGCAGCGCTCGCCGTCCAGGATGCAGAAGCACGACGCAGCCTGACTCACGGCGTCCTGCAGCCCACAGCACCCCGACAGCTCCGGAGGATGCGCCTGCTCTGCGATGCTTTTCCGCTCGTCAACACGAGGCGCGATGTGGAACAGCTCCTCCAATATTATTGTGGAGCCCCTGCCCGACCCCGCTGCGGCCCGGGAACGTCGCGCCCACATCCCCAAAATCGAGCTATACCTCCTACGAGGTAGTGCGGATCTAATGATTCAGACGGCTGGGATCGCCGTCCGGACGAGCCGAGGACGCGAGCGGGGAGTTCTTGTGCCGGCGTGCGGCGTGGGCGGTGAGTTGGACATGGAGGCGGGAAGGATAAATGATGTTGAGGAGAGGTACTGTCGAAGGGTCGTACACCTGAGCTCCAGTTGGAGGCCCGTCACGTGCATTCACACCATCGTCGACATAGGAGGCCATCACGCCTGCACTTGAGCGGTCTCGGACAAGGTCCTGCTTGTTCGACATCAGCCGCCGCCACAGAGCTCGAAATGCCGTCGAAACGACCGATTCGGATCGGGAATGCGTCTGGGGCCATTGGAGATGGGATAGACCAAGTGTATGCAATCTACCCACTGCACACCAAGCCGCATACCTAACCAGCATCACAGCTACCGTCTCGCACGCGACGGCGAGGTAGACGCCATCACAGCAGACTACCTCGCAGTAGGCCTCATTCAGAATGTCCTCCGGGAAACACCCATTGACTTACTTTTAAGGAATTCAACATCGCCTGGAAAGCCATCGAGCTCACCACGCGCCCGGATCTAGGTTACGAGCCCAACTTCCTCGACCAGCTCGCCTGGCAAGATGGTGCCGCAGCGCAGCTCCTCGCACGCAAGAACATCAAGGTCGTGCACGATGGCGGGGCGCTGAATCCAAAAGGCCTGGCGCAGAAGACAGATGAGTATTTCAAGAGTCTCGGGATCGAGGGCGTGAAGATTGCATGGGTCGATGGGGACAATGTCACGGGCCTTGTCAAGGAGGGAAAGCTTGGAAAGTTGATGCATCTCGACCAGCGCGGCCTGGAGCTGGGCGAGCTCCGAGACAAGGTCCTCGCTGCGAACGTGTACACGGGGATGGCGGGCGTAATTGCTGCGCTGGAGGCCGGCGCGCAGATAGTGATTTGCGGGCGGTGTACGGATGCGTCGCCTGTGATGGGGCTGGCGGCGTGGTGGCACGGGTGGAAGAGCACGGATTACGCGCAGCTGGCGGGAAGTTTGCTCGCAGGTCACATCATCGAGTGCGGAGCGTATGTGACCGGTGGGAACTTCTGTGGGTGGAGGGAGATTGAGAGTCTGCACCATGTTGGGTATCCGATTGCGGAGATCGCCAGGGACGGCACGTGTGTGATCACAAAGCCGGAGCATACGAATGGCGCGGTGACGGTCGACACATGCAAGGCGCAGCTGCTGTACGAGATCCAGGGTCCGTTCTATCTCAACCCGGACGTCACGGCGCGCATCGACGGCGCGCAGCTCGAGCAGATTGGCAAGAACCGCGTGCGTCTCACAGGCATCGTGGGTACCGCGCCGCCTCCGACGTCCAAGCTAGCTATCTGCCTCCTCGGAGGCTGGCAGGCCGAAGTCTGTGGCTACGCGGCGGGCCTGGACACGCGCGAGAAACTCGCCCTCATGAAGGACCAGGTTATGCGGGAGATCGACCCCAAGGACTTTTCGACCTTCAGCATGGAGGTGTATGGGAGCAGTCCCGAGGATCCAAAGTCCCAGCAGGAATGTACAGTCACGCTACGCATGTTCGCGCAGAGCGAGGATAAGGATGCAATGCTCAAGTTCAAGCGTGCCATCTTCTACAACGGTATGCAAGGGTACTGTGGCCTGCATCTGGCGATGGACTGGAGGACCATGGAGCCGAAGCCGTATGTGCGGTATTTCCCGAGTCTGGTGCCGAGCGTGGGTGTGCAGTTGACGGCAAGCTTTGTCGATGGGAGAGTCGTCAATGTGCCACCGAAAACGAAGGAAGAGTGCGCGGAGAAGGTTGCTGAGCAGCTCAACTACGATCCTGAAGCTCCTGCTTCTCTGTCTTCGTTTGGGCACACGGCGCGGAGACCGCTGGGCGACCTTGTCTTTGCGCGCTCGGGGGACAAAGGTGGGAATGCGAATGTAGGATTCTGGGTCAGGGAGCGTGCGGCGTGGCCGTGGCTCAGGAGTTTTCTGACAAGGGAGAGGTGCGTTGAGCTACTTGGGGATGATTGGAAACACAGGTACAGCGTGGAGAGGTGTGAGTTTGGGAGGCTGATGGCGGTGCATTTTGTCATCAAAGGCCTGCTACAGGAGGGGGTAAGTAGTAGTAGTGTGCTGGATGGATTTGGGAAGAGTGTTGGAGAGTTTTTGAGAGCGAGACATGTAGATGTTCCCGTGGAGTTGTTGAGAGCGGAGGAGAGGCGGCGGGCTACGATGAAGGGGAAGTTGTAGCAAGACCTACTTTTCGACATCACTGTCACACCATGGAACAATCACCATAGCTGTTCATATATCCTAAATCTCACACGCGGACTTGAAATCGTCTATGTCACGTGGTCATGATTGGCAAAAGCCGAGGTCGGATGTTGTACCCCGAACGACTGTTGCTCTTCCCCACATCGACACCGACGTCTGCAGACTAGCGTGCATCATGCTGCATGATCCCTGCCCATCTGTAGCTCCAGTGTTTCTTATATCCTGTGTCACCATCCCGCGAGACAAAACACACCAAATTCCAATTTTCCCACCGATTCAAGATATCCAACGAAATGACAGCCGCCAAAGACAAACCAACCAAACGCCCAGACGGCCGCTACGACAACGTCGATTTCACAAAAGCAGTTGGCTTCAAGCTGCCCACCGTAAAAGCGAGCTACCTACGCCGCGACGTGCTCCTCTTCGTACATTCCCCCATCCAATCACCTTGGAAAACAATCAAACAATGGATGCTAACGCATCCAGGCCAACGCAATAGGCTGCACCAAAGATGAACTCCACTTCCTCTACGAGCTGCATCCCAACTTCTCCTGCTTCCCCACCTTCCCCATCAACCTCCCCTTCAAGCAGACAGACCCAGACGTCTACGACTTCTTCGCCCGCGCCCTGCTCACCGACGTCCCCGGCGTCCCGCCCTTCGACCCCCAGCGCTCCGTCGACGGCGAGCGCGGCATCGAGATCCTGGCGCCCATTCCCGTGTCGAGCGCGGGCCTGGATCTCGAAATCAGCCCGCAGATCGTGGGCGTGTACGACAAGGGCGGGAACATGATTCAGGAGATGGTGCAGCGCGTGGTGGATGCCAGGACCGGGACCGTGTACGCGGAGCTGACGAGCAAGGCGTTTGGCATCGGGCAGGGCGGGTATGGCGGGCCTCCTGGCCCCAAGACGCCGAGTTATAGCCCCCCGCAGAGGACGCCGGATGCCGTGCACGTGTTCCAGACGACACCTGAGACGACGCTATTATATCGGCTGTGCGGGGATTATAATCCCATCCATGCAGATGATGGGTTTGCAAGAGAGGGCGGGTTCAAGGGCGCGTTTCTGCAGGGGCTGGGCACGTGGAATATTGCGGCTCATGGGGTGTTGAGGGAGTTGGGGGGGAGTGAGGCTGGGCGATTGAGGAGTTTCAAGGCGAGGTTTGCAAAGATTGTGTATCCTGGAGATGCATTGGAGACGAGAATGTGGAGGGTCGGCGAGAAGACGGTTGAGGGGAGGGTGTTGGAAGAGATCATCTTCCAGACCGTGGTGCAGGAGGATGGACGGGTGGTGTTGAGCAATGGGTTTGTGGAGTTGTGGAAGAAAGGACTGGAGAGCAAATTGTAGCTTTGGAAGTGCAAGATGATCGCTTGACATACTGATAAGCCATTCAGGTTTTACACTTGTACAGATCCTTCATAACCGACTCCCTTTCCACACCGGCTTTCTCTTCTCACTAAACGCCTTCAGACCCTCCTTGATATTCTCCCCCTTCTGCAGCTCAGCCCACTCTCTATCCAGGACCAGTTCAACCGCCCTCTCCACGCTTGCGGTCTCCCACCCCTCTCTCAACCCCGCTCGGGTACATATGATAGCATCGGGACTATTCTCTGCCATCTTACTTGCCAACCTCACTGCCTCATCGACAACCTCCTCCTTCTTCACCACCCGATTCACAATCCCCCACTCGCATGCTTTCTGCGCAGTTATCGGTTCGCCTAATAATGCAAACTCGCTCGCCCTTTGTAGCCCCACCGTCCGTATGAGTCGCGGCAGCGCGCCCCCGATCGGCGCAACACCGCGCTTCACCTCGGGCAGCCCAAACACCGCATCCTCACTCGCAACAACCAGATCGCAGTTGACCACGAACTCGCACCCGCCGCCCATCGCGAGCCCGTTCACCGCTGCGATGACCGGCTTTTTCCCGAGGCGTCTGCTCAGCGGCGTGAATGCGGGCTTGTTGCCCATCCGCTTGGACGGATCCGCGTCGTCGCCCATGCTGCCGTTCCACTCCTTGAGGTCTGCGCCCGCGGAGAAGGCGCGGCCTGTGCCGGTGATGACGGCGACGCTGAGGGTGGGTTCGGCGTCGAGCCAGGCCCAAACCGAGTGCATTTCCCACTGCCCGGCAGTAGACATGGCGTTCAATGCTTGGGGGCGGTCCATGCGGATGAGCAGGACGCGGGGGGCGGGGAACGAGAGTTTGAGGAAGGTTGGGGTTGGGGGTGGCGGGGTGGCTGTTGGGAAGGACATGTTGGAGGTGGGTTACGGGAGTGAGAGGCTCGACTCCAGAAGTCACTTTCTTGTCATGAAGTGTGAGATGGAAGCCGATCCCTGGTGCCTGTGTCGCAGCGTGAAAGTGAAGGTGTGGCGAGTCAGGGAGCTGTCCCTTCGCCTCGGTACTAGAGCTGCTTGACTCAGTGCCATGCACGATCTCATGATTCATTAGCCCGCGCTGTTCCCGTCCTCCGCAGCTCGTGGCCAGAGCTTGTGACCCGCGATGCGCCGCTGTTCGGCGGGGAGGAGAGTGCGAAGTTGGCTCGCCGGGCTCGGAAGACCCCGCGGGGCCGCTGCCGCAGTGGACCGCAGTGGACCGCTACTGAGTCGCCGCAGGGCACCGATGATTCAGCGTGGGGAAGCTCGGCAGGCACAACCCGAGCAGCTTGCAACGCGTCCAGCATCTGTTGGCGACTTGCGACTCCGAGAGCCTAGTTGGCCTTGCATTGATTCGGATCGTGCGCCGTAGCATCCTTCTCCGTCTCTCATCGCGACGCCCGCTTTCCTACGCATGCCCTCCCGGTAGCAGCCCAAACCGCCAGAATGACGACTCCTCGCACGAAGAACCCCATGCCCGAGTGGATAGAATCGCCACATCCGCACGTCCAGCATTCCCTCATCACATTCCCAGCGAAGCACATCCTCCAGGTGACCATCAACCGCCCAGAAGCGCGCAATTGCCTCCCGGTGGAGGGCACCATCGAGCTCGGCGCATTGTGGAAATGGTACGATGCAGAGCCCGAGCTGCGCGTGGCCGTCTTCACCGGGGCCGGCGACAAGGCGTTTTGCGCGGGCATGGACTTGAAGCAGCGGTTCGACATCCTGGACACGGGCGACATCGCGCATGATTATCCGCCCGGGCAGTTCGCAGGCATGAGCAATCGGGCGGGGAAGAAGCCGATTATTGTGGCGTGCAACGGGCATGCGCATGGTAAGAAACCCATTGCTCACGAGTTCGATGCGGCAAGGAGTAGATCAGGTCTGACAAAGTGCACCTAGGCGGCGGCTTCGAGGCCATCCTCAACGCCGACGTCATATTCGCCTCGCCCAACGCGACCTTTGCACTCCCCGAAGTCCTCCGCGGCGTCTCAGCCCTCGCTGGCGCCCTCCCCCGCGTCTTCCTTCTCTTCGGCAACCACCGCGCTATGGATCTTATCCTCACCGGCCGCCGGCTCTCCGTCGAGGAAGCACACGCTTGGGGCCTCGTCAAGGAGATCGTGCCGCAAGAACAGCTTCTAGAAAAGACATTAGAGTATGCAAAGCTGATTGCGAGTCTGAGTCCAGATAGCGTTATTATTAGTCGGATGGCGGCGAGAGAGGCCTGGGAGACGGGTGTTAGTAGGGCGACGATGAGGGGGCAGGAGTTGTGGGCGGAGAATATGCTGAGAAGCGAGAATGCGAGAGAGGGGCTGTTGGCGTACAAGGAGAAGAGGGAGCCACGGTGGAAGAGGAGTCATTTGTAGGGTCGGATGGATGACGATGGTAAGAAATTGGGCAGTAGCTAATCGCCAACCCATACATTAGGCGCTTTTCGGATCTGACCTGGAAAGTACATAATCAAAATGGACTGCGCAATGTCAGGTTCAAGAACTGTGCCGCTGCCCAACAGGACTAGTGCACGCGCTTGAACCGACTCACATCATCATGACCTCAACATCTGACATGCCACACAGCTGTCGAGCCCTTGTGTCCATTCTATATTCAAAAAGCTCAAGCAGTCTAATGCAGCTCATATGGTACATGTGTTTTCTTTGGAACTCCAATGGCCCCTCAGACCTCATCCACCTTCTCCTGCCTCTCAACATGCTGAATGTCCGCCGTCTCCTTGACCCCCATCCCATGCAGCTTCCTCTCCACCTTATCCGTCAAATGCTTTTCCGGATCAACAGTCAGCAGACTTCCAATGATGGCAATACCTCCAAAGCCCAACGAAGCAAGGTACACCGTCTTGAACGCCTGGCTGTACGCAGTCGGCACCGCCGCGCCGATAGCAGCGAGGATTGAGGGAGTGACGCCGGGCGCTTTGGCGACGGTGCCGGCGGTCACGGCGGCGAGGACAGCAGGGACGTCGGAGGTAGGCAGGCCTGCGGCAATTGCGGCGCCGCCAACGACCTCGGGCATGGTGGTGGAGAGGCGGTTGGTGAGGATAGTGGAGTAGACGGCTACGGCAATGGAGCCGCCTGAACTTCAAGTCAGCAATGTTCAATTATCAGCGGAATGGCATAGTGGACTTACCGGCTGCACGGATCGACGCCAGCATGCCGGACGACACGCCGATTTCTTCGGCTTTGCAGAACAGCGGGGCGAGAGAGAGGGCAGCGAGCTCGATGAAGCCGACGAAGAAGGGTCCGATGATAGTGAATGCGATGCCCATGTTCTTGGTTGCTGGGGTCAAAGAAGCGCACGACGAGACGAAGGCGACCATGCCGAAGGCGGAAAGAATGAGCCAGTATCGCGTTTTGCCGAAGAATTTGATTAAGCCTCCAGCAGCGATTTGGCCCAGGGCGGTAGCGGCGGATACAGTGCACTGGGGATAGGTTAGCGGGAGCGAACTGATGAGTGGGAAAGCAGTGACGCACGGAGAGCCAGCCGGCGTAGTTGATGTCAGTCGTGTACATGACAGAGACTTGCTGCGGCCATAGCAGGACTGCGGAGTAGTAGAACATGGACGCGACTGTAGCGCAGGCTACGAGCGAGATGAAGCCGCGGTTGCGGAAGAACTTCATCGGCATCAGGGGGAATTTAGTGTTGCCATAGGCCTCCCAGAAGCCGAAAGCAATGAGGCAAGCAGCGCCGATAACGATTGCACAGATAACTGCTGCTGACTTCCATGGGTAAATACCACCTCCCTACTCTGATTAGTTTGAATTTTCTCAACGAGACGCATGAAACGTACCCAAGAGATACCCATGAGGAAGATTACGAGTCCTGCAGTCCACAAGAACATGCCTGGGTAATCGAGTTCCTTCATCTGCTGCTTCTTTGACTTGTGCTCGTGAAGGAGCTCGAAGTTCGGGGGGTGGTAGCAGAAGAAGAGAAGAATGATGGCTATGCTGACAACGATGATGTCTATTATGATCAGCTTTGGCGGCATTTGTTACCTAGAGAGGTGATGGCTTACTCAGGTAGTATGTCCAGCGCCAGCCCAGAGATGGATTCTGGACGAAAGCCCTCGCAATCTTGGGACCAAACGTCGCAATAGGTGCAGACGTCGCGAAGATGAACGACATCTAGAATGATCAGCTTAATTCGAAATGTTCAATGTGAGAACTACTTACGACTACAGGCCTGTGCTTGTTCTTCACGAGTTCTCCGATAGCCACGCCGAAGCTCAGCTGGATGCACTCTCCCAATCCGTACACGGCAGATGCGACAATTAGTGTGTCCATGTTCTTCGCGCATGCGCCGACGATAAGGCCGATCAGACAGATGACATTACCGCCGATGAAGAACCACCGACGGCCGAACAGATCGCTCAAGCGGCCAGACACCAGGAACATTGTGCTCTCCGCCAGTGTCCTGGCGATGTTGACCCATGCTATATTTTTGCTGGGACCGATGTCCTGATAAAGCATTAGCATTCCAATCGTTCAGGAGAGAAGTGTCTCTTACCTCGTTGATGAAACTGAGTACGTTTGTCGGCAGAATCAGAAAAATGTACGCTGCGATCTGTCCCAGACAGAGGCCAACGACAGTCCCAATGAAAGCGACGCTCAAAAAGTAGTTCTCAGGGAGGTTGTCGCCCCGAGCGGCATCTTTGATCGAGAGCACGTCCGAGTCCGAAGACGCGTACTCCTCTTCGACCACATGGTCCTCCTTGGGTCGTTTTTCATCTGAAGATCTGCGATCCATCACGGCGGTGTGACAACGAAAAGAGCTGGGGAATCGGGAAGGGAAGATGTGCGAGAATTGGGATCTTCAGCAGTTGCACTGGACGCTCAGAGCGAGGTGGTCCAGGGTAGCTTCCAATGCAGGGACTCTTTACTGGCCTTGTACGACGGCCAGATTAAGGAGGAAGAGGAAGGCCGCGTCGCGCGTGAATCAGTTGTCTCGGCTCCTACGTCGTATATGACAGGTGCGCCAGGGCATGCTGGTCGGGGTGGCGCTCAGGGTGTGCTGTGAGCCTTTCTCTTCCTGGCTGCGCCTACACGCGTCGATAGGTTGTTACAGCGCGCGGGGTCCCCGCATAGGTAAGATCGGATGAGTAGTTCCGTTCGATTGGCCAGCCACTGCCGCTTGCTCCGCGCGCTCCGCGCCTAGTCATTCGTGGAATGAAAGCATGGGTGGCAAATTGTTGAACGTCGCAAGATCCTGCGACAACCAGATTGTCGGTATCCGCGCATCCTTCTCGTTGGGTCGGATTAATTCCAGACTCTTTAGAAGAATGCACGCACATGGAATCGTACGAGTGTTCTCGGCATAAAATGTTTTATCTGCGCCACGATTCCTAGTCCGCGTTCTACGCAATTCCCCCTTCGCAATGATTCATCGCGGTGGTTGAACAACACCAACTCCCGTTACAATGACGTCTCCAGCGGTCCAGCGCATACATTCAGCCCATATTGTAGAAGATGAAGGCCTCGCTCATGTTCCGAGCAATCAATACCTCCCCCATGCACGCTAGAACAGCTCGCATGGAAAACAACAACCGAGGCTAGTCACTACCCTGATCATCGCGGCCCACAACCCGCCCCTCCGCGCTTCCTCCCACGGGTCCTCAAACGCGCCTAACCCCCATCGAGCACGGGCCAATCACCAATAGAACATGCATGCTCTCCAATCTCGCAGCGTCTGCGCCCGCATCAATATTGCAGAGCAATGTCCACAGTACGACCATGCACTCTCCCAAAATCTACACATCTCCCTACCCGGCCCCGGTAGTCCCACCGAACTTGTCTGTTTCGCAACTGCTGCAGTTGTATAACCCGGACGATGTCGAGGGCGACAAGGTGATTTGTGAAGACGATTGGACGGGGAAGAGAATTACCTACGCTGGGATTAGAGTGGATAGCGCAAGGGGGGCGTATGCGTTGCGGAACTATGTCGGCGTAAATGAGGGAGACGTGGTCTGCATATGTGCTCCAAACTCGGTATGGGTCTGCTTCTGGGCTGAGTGGGATTGACTGATAGGAGACAAGGTCGACGTTGTCAAGCTGATACATGCGGTCTTGTGGTGCGGAGGAATTGCTGTGTAAGATGTTTTGGGAACCGCGTACTGGAGAGTTGCCATTGACGCATGCTAGATTGATCAACCCTCTGAGCACAGAGTATGAAGTCGCACATTGTCTGGAGGTATCGCAGCCCAAAGTTCTGGCCGCAGACTCAGATACATGGCCGACTCTGTACGGTGCTGCGAAGAGGCAGGACTTGACTAGGTTACCTACCATTTCATTGCATGGCGCCCAATCCCCGTTTGATGAGAGTTGCTCTGCGGATAGTCTCTTCGATCAGAAAGCTTCACTCCCAGCCTTTGACTTGTCGCAAAGAGACGGTCGGGAGCACACTGCGGTTGTGTGCTTCAGTTCGGGCACGAGCGGCAAAGCAAAAGGCGTCGAGCTATCACATTACAATCTTATAGCCTCAATGCTCGGTGTTCGCGCGACTGAGCCTAACTACTGGTCTGCCAGTATTCGCGGAGTGTTTTTTGCACCCCTATGTCACATCTACGGTACGTTCACTGACATGGCACCACCACGTATATCCATCGCTGACATCACAATTCAGGTCTCGTCACCGTAGCCCTCATGGGCACCTGGGTAGGCTTATACACCATGCTACAGAAAAAGTACACATTGCCATCATACCTTGAGCTCTCCGCCCGAATCAAAGCCACCGCTCTCCGCATACTCCCCACCATTGCTGTCCAGATCTCCAAGCAAACCTCCTTTGACCTCTCGCGCCTCCACAGCGTTAAATACATCATGTGCACTGGCGCCGTGCTGCCCACGCCCACCATACAGCACTTCCGGAGACACCTTCCCAACGCCCCAGTCTTCCAGGGCTATGGCATGACGGAAACGAACATCACCATGCTGAAGCCCGAGTCTGCGCATCGCGTGGGTTCGGTGGGGAAACTGTGTGCAGGGATCGAAGCGCGCATTGTCGACGATGAGGGGAGGGATGTGGAAGACGGCGCACAGGGCGAAATGCTCGTCCGGGGCCCGAGTGTATTCAGACGCTATATGCGCAATGTAGGGGCTACGAGGGAGACGTTTGATGGCGCGTGGATGCGGACGGGGGATGTGGTAAGGGTGGATAAGGAGGGATACTGGTGGCTTACGGAGCGGAAAAAGGAGCTTATCAAGTATAAAGGGTATGATTGTCAAGTACCATGCTTTGCGTTGCGCGCTTACTTGGGCCTAGGAACCAGGTCCCACCGGCGGAGCTCGAGGCACACCTCAACTCGCACCCGTGTGTGAGCGAGGGCGCAGTTTGTGCGCTGTGGGACGATGCCCAGGGGACGGAGGTGCCTATTGCGTATGTCGCACTGACTGCGGAGGCGAAGGCTTCGAAGCAGGATAGGGATGCGATGGTGGAGGACATACGGCAGCATGTTGATTCGAGAGTTGCGGCGTATAAGAAACTTCGGGGAGGGGTTGTAGTACTGGACGAGATCCCCAAGTCTGGGAATGGAAAAGTGCTTCGTCGGATGCTGCCGGCTCGGCTTGCACGAGAAAGAAAGGGCAGGCTATAGCATCAAAGAATGACACAATACCTGGGCAATCATTTAGGTTCCGGGTACCTCCGGCCGCCCACTCTACATGTCGATTCTTGACAAACGCCTTATCTTTACGTCCCGAGGCATCCCGAACTAGAGTTCATATAGATTGTCTACTATGTCGGTATCCAAAATGAGCATGAGTGACAGTTGATCGTGACTAGACAAACGAAAGGCAACGCAGTCGGTGTATGTTTCCAATGCCACGTTTCCAGCTATCGGATGTTCTTGGTATCGCTTTCTTCCCTGTCAGCTGGACTCATGTTTGAACGGCCCAGATTAGAAAGTCAACAAAGACAAAGCGTCCCCATCACAGAGACACACAACATGAGCCTGCCATCTAGGGAGCGAAAATTACGGAAGCTACGATTGGCCCACAGGGGTGCAGCGTCAACGCGTTCAATCGGTGTTCCGCCGGGTATTGTCAGCCTAGTCTTACACGCCCCACGTTATGCAGCAGCGGGAGCTAAAGTTGCCTCGGGACACTTCTCTCGCATACTTTCTGTCGCAATTCTCTTTCTACAAATCTCAATCGAATAGTGAGAATTGTATAGGCTTCACTTCGCAGCTATCATCTCGTCGCGGCGTCAACTCCAGAACTCCCTTTCCTTCGGACGGAAACAAATCATCATGCCTAATCTCGTGGTCGTCGCCAAACTACCTTTCGCGAGCAGTGCAGCTAAAGAAACGGCAAGGAAAGAAGAAGGAACGTAAAGTGCATTACTGATAGAGAACAGGCGTTGGAAAAGCTAGTCAAGATCGCACAATTCGCAAATGAGAACGAGCCCGACACTGTCAAGTACTTCGTCTCTTCGCCTCGAAACGGATCAGAAGAGAATGCACTTTACGTAGTAGAAGAGTGAGTTATAGCCACTTTGCGAAGCGACTACTTAGCTGATGTAAATAGATACACTTCGCGAGCGGCCTTCGATGCGCACATGTCTATCGACCCTGTGAAGGATATGGTGGGCTGGCTCACGTCCAACCCCCAGAACATCGACGGCGAGGCAACCGTAACAATATCAGAAAACTATGCATCTTTCACCAGACCTGAGGTCCTGAAAGTGGCAGATCCATGGATCTGCTATGCTTCGATTGAGTACAAGGAGGGGAAGCGCGCGGAAGCATTAGAGCCTTGGAAACATGTCACGTCTGAAACGGAGAAGAATGAGACGGAGACGCTGAGCTACAGTATCTTGAAAGATACGGGACACCCGGAAACTATCAAGACGATTGAGGTTTACCCAAGTCAGGAGTATTTCAAGGAGGTACATGTTCCTAGTGAGGCGGTGCAGGAAAATGCGAAAAAGTATGGGAACGAAATTCGGCTTTCACTGGCGCATGTTTTCTTGAGATATCAAGCGGGTTTCTTGGGTAGATAGACGTTTGCTTGGAATGCAATAGGGGACATATCACCGAAAACAACAGATTCCATCTGAGCCTTAGCACTGTCAACGATTGTCGCGATCAGCGATTGTCGACTTTGTGATGCTTCAACGCATTTTATCAAAGAGTAAATCATTTGCAGCTCAGCCTATGTGAGCAGCTCCGCGGAGCATGGTACGCGTCCCTGCATGCGTGTCAGAGCACCTAAATTTTCTAGACGCGCGATTGTTCACAGCTCGATAAAGAGGAGGGTCACAAGGCCGGGAACGAGAGGGGTAGCTCCAAGCTAATGCACAGTGAATCATTAGCTCAACCCCGCGAAACTGAGAAAATGATTCAGTAGTAGCTGCCTTCGCCACGAGGCGTGCCCGCGCAAAGCATCTCTTTGGCTGTCGGAAACGTTTTGCATCTTCTCTGACTTCGAGACCCTTCTTCATGCATGATGCCTGATATCGCCGACCATTGCCAAACAACCGGCGTGGTTCCTCTAACCAGTGTGATAGGGGCTAGGCGAGGCTTTTGCGGGGATTTTCAGCTGTGTGGTTCGATTAATAACTGACCCATGTGTAGGTGTTGGCATAATAGAGGCGGGTGGCTTGGTTATGTCCGTACTTAAACCCCGCCTGCTACCGCGCTGCGATATCTTTCCAGTTATCCCACTGATACACGTTCACTTGTTGTCTTTCTTCGAGTGACATTTTGCTTTCATTGTTCAAGATGACTCCTCCAGTTGAGAATGGGGTCAACGCCTCAGTTACAAATGGTACAAACGGAACGAATGGCGCCAGCGGCTCTCAGAAGAGACCTATCTATGTTGCAGGGTGCTCCGGAGGTGTGTATGACAGAAAACGAGCCATCGAAGACATGGCGAAGGTTTGTTGCAACCTATCACCATGATTGCAGGAGTTGCTAAATGTCTTAGAACGAACCACATGTTGACGTAATCACCGGTGATTGGATGTCCGAATGCAACATGACGCTGCGAGGATCAGACAAGAGAGATAAGCTCGCAAAGAAGCAACTCTCGGCCGTCGGTGCAGCCTACGAGCCGTACTTCTTGGAGGAAGTCGATCCTGCTATTCCATGGCTCGCAAAGAACAAGACAAAGATCTGCGTGAACGCAGGCGCAAGTGACGTGGAGGGACTCGCTGAAGAAGTAAAGAAGCTGGTCGCGAAGCACGGCGTAGACTTGAAAGTTGCGTACGTCGATGGTGATGACTGCACCGACGCAGCGCTAGAGCTTTATCGCAAGGGTGAAAACTTTCCCAATCTCCCTGCCGGAAAGAACATCCAGGACTGGCCTTTCGAACCGATATGCGCTCAGTGCTATCTTGGTGCAACAGGTATTGCAACTTGCTTTGCTGGTAAGCCTTTTCCCTCCGCTTCTGTAAACGAAGTCTAACAGAAGTTTAGCTGGTGCGGACATTGTTGTTTGTGGTCGCGTAGCTGATGCTTCCCCTACCGTTGGTGCGGCGATGTGGTGGCATGGCTGGACGCGTGAGAACAACATCCAGGAGGTTGCTTCAGCACTGATGGTTGGCCACGTCATCGAGTGCTCGACATATGCTACAGGCGGGTATTACAGTGGCTTCAAGGACCTCGGTGTCAATGATACCGACATGGGATATCCCATTGCTGCCATCGAGGCCAACGGTGAGGCAGTGTACACTATGGAGAAGGTAAGGTAGCCACGGTTCAATTGCTGCGCAATGATTTCTAACCTCATCTATAGGGCAAACATGGCTTGGTGAACATCCAGACCATCGCCAGTCAGCTTCTCTACGAGATTCAAGGACCATATTACTACAACTCCGACGTTACCGCGCAGATTGAGAATGTAAAGCTCGAGCAAGTTGGCGAAAATGCTGTGCGAATGTCCGGAATCAAGGGTTATCCTGCTCCTCCGACGACCAAGGTTGGTATCACAGCTAAGGGCGGTTACCAGGCCGAATTCCATTTCTATCTTACGGGCCTGGATATTGAAGAGAAAGCCAAGATGATCGAAAGGCAAACGCGTGCGGCCATGGGAGACTACGTGAAAGAGTTTACCTGCCTCAAGTTCCAGCTCGCGGGTGCTGTACCGGAAGATCCTCAATCTCAGAACGAGGCTACGGTTGATTTGCGGATCTTCGCCCAGACCCAAAATGCTGATCTGCTCTCTGCTGGTGCCATGATAGATTCTGATCGCGGCTCATTCGCGCGCTTCTGTATAGAGAACCTTTTACAGGTAAGACATGGCCCTTTTTCAAGTATTGGTGTGGTGTTTTGAGACTCTCGGGATTCCTGTCGTTGTGATAGAAGGGCTTGCTAGCCCGTCACTTTGGTACTTGAAGGCCTTTGTACCGTGCATAACTAACGACCCTACAGGGCTATCCCGGATCCACCATGGCGCCCGATATGCGGACCGCGATGGGTCGGCCCTTCTTCGAGTACTGGGTCAGCCTGATGCCTCAAGAATTCGTGAAGGAGCAGGCTCACCTCCCCGACGGGACTGTGGTTGACATCCCGCCTCCCAAGGTGACGCAGGAATACGACTTTAACCAGCCCTCATACAATACGCGAAACCCCGTCGATCTTGCTTCCTTCGGACCAACGACTCGTGCACCCCTCGGTTACGTTGTGATGGGCCGATCAGGCGACAAATCATCCAATTGCAACCTTGGGCTCTTTGTGCGCCATGCAGATGAGTTCGATTGGCTGCGCACGATCCTCAGTGTTGAGAAGATTCGTGAGCTTCTCGGGAAGGATGACGAGGGCAAGAATATTGACCGATGCGAGATGCCCAACATTTATGCTGTCCATTTCTTGCTCAGAGACCATCTTGACCGCGGATTCAATGCAACAAGTGGATTCGATAGCTTGGGCAAGAATCTCTGCGAATACATAAGGTGTAAATACGTCGACATTCCGAACAGATTCTTGGAGCGTGGTCGTATTTGAGCGAGAGGAGATTGCATGTCTACCCATCGGCGGTGCATTGCTAGGCGTTTTCAATATACTCCAAACAAATCAATAGCGCGCTCATAAACTTCCATCCTGTAACTTTGATCGTACTGTGCCCCTCGCGAACGTGCTGGGAACCTGAGTTAATCACGTGCGGGATGGCACGCGCCCTTGAATGCACGCCAATCATAGCCCATACGGACGTCGGCCGTTGCATTACCCCGGAAGCGGGGCTTCCGGAAGCCGTCTCCCCCAGCCTTTCTCCACTTCTTCGATCATCCTTCCATTTTCATACCTGCATTCACTCTTACTTTGTCGATGAGCTAGAAAATACGCGGACGCGCTCCGCAGGCGTTACGCTTGTAATCGTGACCACAACCTCTACTGATGAGAAAATGGCATCGACGTCACCATGGGACACAACATCGCCCGCGAGTGGAGGTGGAGGCCAGCAGCGTACCACCCAGGATGTCGAGAACCTAGAGAAAAAGAGGGCGAGAGATAGAAAAAGCCAGAAAGCGATGCGCGAGAGAACGAAATGGAACATACAATGTCTTACCCAACAAGTCGAACAACTGCAACGTGCACTCGACATCGAAACTCGCGAGAAAAACGACCTGTACAACAGATTTCTTGCCATGTCGGAGGAGAATGACCACTTGCGCGTTCAGAAAGCAGCGCTGCAGTTGCGGCTTCTTGGGAATGGGCAGTCGCCGCCCGACAGCGCGGCCTCACCCACTGGCCTTGCACCCTACGAGGCCATCCCTATGAATACCACTCCTACATGCATGTCAGACCAGATCTTGCAAACATTTGTCGAGAGGCGATGGGAAGCGTACGCTTTCCAGACAGCCGGGCGCCTCGAGTACTACCCCGACAAGCCTGATCTTAGCGCTTTGTTCGACGGTCGGCCTAATCGCCAGGTAGATGAGACCAGTTCAATCGTTGGCGACATTGTTAGGAGCTACACAGAAATCGATACGTTGCCCAAGAAGGTGGGAGTGCACTACATCATGAGTACGCTCCTCAAGTGGGAGGTGTTGAGAACCAAAGCCAGTTATCAGGCCATGCCGGAATGGTTGCGTCCAGAGCAAATCCAGCTTGAACGACCACATGCAAGTTGGATTGATAGGATACCATGGTCAGTTTACCTGCTTCACCTGTAACATAACTGACCCGGCCCAAGGCCCAAGATTCGGATTTATCTAATCGAACACCCTGAGGTGAAGTTCGATGACTTTGCCTCCGCCTACAGCGTCTCATTCGGCATCAAGTGGGACTATGATCCGAATCTCGTCATCTTGGCTGCAGCGAACGATGAGCATGGCAATATACTCATCAATCCCATCTACGAAGAGCACCTGAGGCAGCTCAAAAACTGGACTGTTGGCGATAATTTCCGACGCAAATTTCCTGAGATGACAGAAATCATTGACAGCTATGCCAAAGAGGAGAAGTAGGTGCTCTAACTCCATTCAAGTGAAGGGCTGGCACTAACCGGAAAAGGCACGCCGGAGGTTTTCCAGAGGAGATGCTTAACCCGGTACCTCTGCCGCGCTACGCGATATGAAGTAGGAGTGACAGCAAGACTACACCCCGCACACTACAAAGGCCAACAAATCCATGTTGCGATCGATCCATGGCGCTTCTTGCCACATGCAGTTGAGAATTGCACACAACTGGAAGCACCGTAGCCGAACCGTCTATACACGCGCTACGAGAACCCATCGAGGACACGATGCAGTAGGGCGAAACCGCCTACACATTGCGTGATGGTACCCCCAAGACAATGCCGACCAGTCATCGCCGCAATTTTCTTGCGCGTGGTTATGACGCCGACAAATGTCTGCTTGGACCCAGAACCAAAGATGACACAAGTCGCGTACAACTTAAGATTTGAAAGCAATGATGTTGCCCATTCTTCGGCCACGCGGCAGTGGTGTAGTCATGAGAACAAAGAAACGCACAAGGCCCGGCCAAGTCACATATGCTGTACAACATGGGCGTGACAGGCTCAGAAGCATCGGATGGTCCCTCTCTAGAATCGTTCCCACCGAGGTCGGTGGTTCAGTTGGATCATGCGGCACCGCGGCAGATGCGGTTCCGAGGAGACTGGTTCAGATACCTGATTGTCCTGCTTGGCGATTATCTCACCCACAGAGGAAAACGAGTGGTCGATTGACGAATCTGCACTGAGTACCTGGCTGGAAAAAAGGGCCATTCATTTGGGCGAGTTTGTTCGTTAACGACGTTACGAATCAAAGACCATCAGCATTGGGCTTGTCTGTGAATGCCCAGTACCATGTCAAGCTGCAATAACAGGAGGGAACCGCGCGCCTACCAGACTTCAAGGATAGTTCCAGGTGAAATGATGCATAATTCCAGATAGAAAAAGCTTCCAAGCCATAATGCAAAGGTAAAAGACAAGGAGAGAGGCGGCTTGATATACAATCTAGAAAATCTTCGTATGTTCACCACATAGGTGGGCTTACTAGCATTGTCAGCACCGGCATTATTCGGTACATTCCCGTTCAACCTCGATGTGCATAATGCCTTCCCCAACGGATGCCAATTCCGATCTCGCATGACGTCGCGCGTGATGAGTCGAGAATTGCATAAGTCGTGCTTGGCAGCCATCTCCGCTTACGACACGCAGCCACTCGCAAAGCCCTAAAGCAATGCAAGCTTCTCTGACAGAATGCTAGTCACCACTATCTCTGGTCGCTGGGGAGAGCTTGGCGTTGCAATAATGAAACGAAGCGGAGATCGACGCTCTCCCCGCGTTCTCGGTAATAGAGGTGGATATGCGGGGTCCATGGAGATCTGGGGGAGAGAGTGGGAGTGCATAAATGTGTGAAGAGCCCGGTTCGGTTTCTGTCAGAGCGACAGTCTGCTACAAGGAGATATGAGCGTTGGATTCACGATGTCTGTTACCGAGAAAGATTTGGAGGCAGAGAGAAAAGAAGACGTGCGTATTTTTTGGGCTTGAACCGACGCATGTAATTAACCACCAACTATAGATCCTCAATGATGAACGACCCCGTAAAGGCAAAGACGGCGGCCTTGACGTCGCAGACGTGCTCGAGTCCACAAATGACACCTCAGGCCCGGCGTCTGGCGCACCTGAAAGAGAAGATAAAGAGACGCGTCGACTGATTCGGAAGATCGACTTACGGCTTCTACCCACTCTCGCAGTCATCTACGCCTTCGCACTTATCGACCGTGTCAACCTTCCAAATGTGGGTTTACCTATTCATGGGGCCATCACATTCCACTGACGCCGTCAAGGCCCGCATCGCCGGTATGGACGAAGACCTCGGCCTCTCCATCGGCGCCCGCTACTCCATCCTCACCATGATCTTCTTCATCCCCTACGTAATCTTCCAGTGAGTGATGCTGGCGTACATTCTGGTTGTTTCCGTTGTTATCACTGTCTGAAGACTTCAGACTTCAATCCCGAGCTCAAGACAAAACGACCTGCTGCTATCTAGTTACCCTTCTTTTGTGTGCATTTCACTGACTTTGAATCTCACCCTTGTAGGTTCCCCGCCAACATTATAATCCGCAAGCTCGGCCCCGCGGTCTGGCTGCCCAGCCTGGTCGTTTGCTGGGGCGCAACGACCATCGGGCTCGGCTTCGTGAGCGACTGGACGCAGGCGCTCGGGTGCCGCATCATCCTCGGCGTGCTGGAGGCCGGGTACTATCCCGGCTGCGTGTTTCTGCTAAGCTGCTGGTACGTGAGGTTTGAGGTGCAGAAGCGGTTTTCGGCGTTTTATCTGCTGGCGCTGTTGGCGTCGGGGCTGTCGAATATCTTGGCGTACGGGTTGAGTGAGATGAAAGGCATCCAGGGGCTAAACGGGTGGCAGTGGATCTTCATTATCGTAAGTCCACCCCCCCGTCTCTCCCCACTGCCCATGTAACTGCTTCCCAAGACCCCAAGCTGACTCGATCCCCGTCCCCAGGAAGGTGCCATAACCATCGCCCTCGGCTTCCTCGGCTACATCTTCATCGTCGACTTCCCCGACAAAGCGACCCACCCCTCCCTCATAACCCGGCGCCCCTTCCTCACCCTCCCCGAAGCCCGCCTCATCCTCGCCCGCATCCAGCGCGACCGCGGCGACGCCGTCGTCGACAAGCTCACACCCTCTCTCATTCTCCGCCACCTCCGTGACTGGAAGATCTGGGAGTTCGCCTGGCTCTACTTCCTTAACAACGTCGTCACCTACTCCTTCGGCTACTTTCTGCCCATCATCCTGCGCTCCGACATGGGCCACAGTGTCGCGATGAGCCAGATCCTGAGTTTCCCGCCGTATGTCGTGGCCGCGGTGTGGATGTTCTCCACTGCGTACGTAGCAGACCGGTTCAGGATGCGTGGGGCCATCATCATCCTCAACTGTGCGACGGCCGTGGTGGGGGTGTGCATGATGGCGTTTCTGGACAACGCGGATGCAAGATATGCGGGCGTGTTTTTGGGCGTCGCTGGCGCGAATTCAAACGTGCCCAGTATCCTGAGCTACATGCACAATAACATTGTGGGGCAGATGAAGAGGAGCGTGGCGAGTGCATTGTTGATTGGGGGCGGGGCGTGTGGGGGGATTGCGGCGGCGAATATTTTCCGGCAGCAGGATGCGCCGGCGTATGTGTAAGTGGCTCGATTTGTTGGTGACGGGGTTGTGATGTGGAAGTACTGACTGTGTGGTAGGCCGGCCATGGCAACGGTGATTGCGACACAGGTGCTGAGCATATTGCATGTGCTCAAGAATTTTGTGGTGTACTCGAGGGCGAATCGACAAGCTGACAAGGGTGAGAGGGTACTGGAAGGGCAGGTGGGATTTAGACAGACGCTGTAAAGAGATGTAGCATCTAGCAGTTTGACATGCTCAATAAGCTATGGCCGTGGCCTGATGCTGTGATAGTATCGCACCAGCTGAGAGGCCTCGACCCCTCCATTTATGCTGGTCAACTGTTTGGGGCGCCGATGGAACTCGGTGAACCCAACGACATCAAAAGTACTCCACACATGGACATATCGAAGTCCAGGCCACAGAAGTATACCAGATCAAGTCAAAGAAGAAGATGCAGGGGGGTACATAGACCAAGGGTATCTCGATACTTCACGCTAATTAAATCACTATACACCTGGCCGCTTGTCTTCCTATCACACCATACCATTGCCGAGCATACTACCGCCCGGTGCCGCTCACCTGTGGTTTGACAGCTCGGGCACATTAGGATTATACGGATCCGTGTGCACCTCGGCCGCATTCTGGGGATACGCCTGCTGCTGAGGTGTCGGGGGATACGCAGGCTGACCAGTATGCTGCGGTGAGCTCACGCCCGACACACTGGGGTTGTGTGCGTATCCGCCAGCATGTGAGACAGGGCTCACAGTATCCTGGCGCTGCACGGGGTCTTGGGCGTACGGGGCCCCAGTGAACTGCGGCTGCGCGGGCTGTGCATACTGGGGTTGCGGACTGGCGAACTGTGGTTGCGGCGTACCATACTGCTGGCCGGGGGTAGGGGCGGCAGGCTGGTCGTACTTCTCCATTGGGACGGCCTGACCGTTGTTCTGGTACTGTGGGGGTACGTTGGGATTGGCGGAGGTTCCGGCGGTGCGGTTCTTGTTCCAGGCGAGGACGAGAAGGACGCCGGTGAGGGCCCAGGTCACGCTGGGGGTTGTCAGTTGTAAGAAACGAGGGGTGAGAAATGGACTTACAGTTGGATGGCTGCAAAGATGGCACCGGCGGTGAGGACGCCGTAGTAGGCGCCGAAGGTGGTGTAGTCCCTCTTAATGAGGTCCCTCTTGGTGTAGCAGTAGGTTGAGCCGACTGCGAGTTGAAAGTTTGATCAGTGATTACTTCTGCGAAATAAGTACAGGTAGTACGTACAGCCGTAGGAGGTGGTGAAGCAGTAGTCGCCTCGTCCCCACATGGCAGCGAGGTTTGCAACCAGGCCAAGATCAACGAGCCAGAAGATGAGCAGCCATACGTGGACGGCTAAGGCAACGTATACGTTGTACATCTTGGGGAGGATGGTTTGGGAAACAATCATGTAAGCACCAACCGCCATTGTGCAAAGACACTGTCGTCGGACATCAGTGACGATAGTTGGGAAACATAGAGCAGTCGGCTTACCACTACAAGTGAGAAGATGAGGGCATTGTACGCGATGTACTTGATGCCGTACGCATCGAAACCCAGGATGATGATCGCGAATAGGATCTGGACGGCATGTACAGCTACGGTCCAGCGAGGGACGAGCGATCTGAGTGCACACGATTAGCCTAGCTCACACTGTCTTTCAACGCAGAACTTACGGGTGTTGTCCGTCAGCCATTGTAACGGTCCTGCAGAAGCCAAGAATGAAAGGACTTTGGTCACTGCTTGGAAGGAAAGTACGTCTGGCCAAACACCAAGCGGACGCAGCGTGGGTGCGCCGTCTTAAACGCACCGCAACTCGACTCACGCAAACGCATGATGTTTCTAATTCTGGCCTGCGCCCTCCGTGTCAATGTCTCCGACGGTCGTACTCGTCTGCAATCGCCGTCCACAGCCAATGATCTGCGCCGCGCCAGTCCTCTCTTCGCATTGCTCGCTCGTCACACAGTGACCGGGGCTAGCGAGCGTAGACGGCGTGATCGAATCGCAGGTGGTGTGGCTCGGGCGCGCGTGGCGCAGATGGCCTTGTTGTGGCATGGCGTAGGCCGGTCAGGGTGGGACCACCCGTGTTGGGAGATAGCGGGCTGAAACGGGGCGACGTGGTTTGCTCAGAGCCCAAGCTGAGAGCGGGGGCTGAAAGATACGAGCCTCAAATTTATGGGGAGCGCTTGGGGTGTTGCGGGTCCGGGACCGGTGAGCGAGAGAGGAAAACCGAACCGAAGCAGCCCACGAGTTGCTTCGTACTGGTCGTGCAGCTCTTCACAATGACACGCGTTGTATGCTTGAACGTATACTGCGTGAGAAGCAGCGGGGCCGGGTGCAGGTGATGGGGTTGTTCAGCAGCAAGGGGTGAGGGCGGAAGCTGCGGCCTGCTGCGCCGCACGTGGTGATTGGCACGAACATGCACCTTGTCCCGTGGACGACCGACGTGCCGTACTGCACATCCTCGCATAAAAATACGTGACAAAGATGCCATCCATCGATTCGTCGAGCATGAAAAACGATTGCGTTGGGCTCGTGCAGCGGCTCTTGGTTTTGTCAGACTGTGGCTTCTCAGCCAATGTCCATTGTTCCGTCCCTCATCCAAATCCGTAGGTGGCTCAACACTCATTACCGCTTGCGGCCGACGACAATTTTACAGTACATCGTCGAGATACTCTTCAGACTGCAACGAGAAAGCTCCCCTAAGTTCGAACAGAGTTCTCAAGACTACCAGTCCGCCGTCTCCACAAACCTTGTCAAAATCAGATACTAAGCCCTTGTCAAAGATCTATTGCTGACACCTCACAACTAGACTACTTTGTCCTGCTCCTCAACTTCAACTTCCATGGTAGATGGAAACCTTTTGTACAACGTACGGCGCCAAACATGACCACGCATCGTCTATCGACCAGCATGTACTGTCCGCGACCAGGCTGAATTTTCCACTAAATTTGCCAGACCTTCATCTGTGGAAAGTAGGCAATCATGCCAAGTGCATGTAGCGCTTCATTGCACCAACCGAATTGGAATGTAGCGCTCGAACGCAAGGCTGAGACATATCAATGCGGATATTGCGATAGATGGATTTCAGCTTACGGGTTGGGGGCCGCTAAACGTGAAGAAGGCTTGCGTTCACGTTCGAATTGAAACCGTAGCTTGATGGAAAAGCTGAAGGAAGGGTAATGGCAATTAGCACTTGGGTGATAACCCACGACATCACCTCCACGACTGGTCATGTACTGGCTACCGAGCAAACACCTCTTTCAACACGGAAATTGTTTCTGCAGTCTCTGGAGTTCCTTACTAACCTGCGAAGCACCAGTTCTTAGGCATCTAGTGTATTTCGCGTGCTTGGCTATTGGGGTGACATCTCGGGGCCAGGTCCCATCGAAGGTGGTAGCATTGAAGTTGGTGATGCGAAGACAGAGCAGCCAACGCGAAGACTCGCGCATGACCACCTTCCGACTCCATTCCACCCAGCCGCCTGCCCACTTCAGCAGAAGAACCCCCAGAATCAAGACATCCCACAGCACATACAGCATCAAGTAAGAATTGTGTCATTGAATTCGCGTTGCGATGGTATATATCCAGTCTCCCAACCCATACTCCAACAATGCATATCGCGACGACAGCGCGGTCATTACCAAGCCCAACCCAACCAATCTAAGAAATCTATGCGTCGCGCGAGCGTTCAAGCAGAAGCACAGCTTCACCTCGCCCCTCAGCTAAAGTCCACCCGCTCACCTACATCCTCAGCATCAGCATCCCACACCACAAAACTCGGGTTCGCATTCCCACTATCATGCCTCTTACCATTGATAGCATTGCCGCCCACGACGCCATTCACCTGGGCCGGCGCGCCCTGGACCCCAAACCCAGGATGCAGCGCCGGCTCATCGTCATCTTCGTACGCCTCGCCCGCGTACGTCGCCTCAGCCGCGCGCCGCTCCAGCACGCTCTGCAGCCGGCGCCCCGGCGTCTTCTGCAGCTCCACGCTGCACTCGACGCAGATGCGGAGGTAGCACCACACGCACGCCCAGCGCCGCTCCGTGTCGTTCTTCGCGCAGATCATGCACGCCATCGGCTGGAAGTCGTTGCGGCTCCACACAAACGTCGCGTGCTGGCTGTAGCACCCGTGGTGCTTGTGCGTGATCGGGGGACCCGAGACGGGCCGGGGTGCCTCCGTGAGCGGCACGAAGGGCGGCGTGTCGGGCGCGTCGTCTGAGGACATGCCCGTGTCTGTGTCGTCGCTCGTGGTGGATCGTTGCTGGGAGGGGAGGCTCGCGAAGGCGGGTGGGGGTGGTTGGCGGGATGCCGACCGGGGGGGGGGGAAGGCTGGTGGTGGGACGGGAAGGGGGGATGCGTGGGTGGGAGGAGAGACGGAGACTGCGGTGCGAGGTTGTGTTTGCGCGGGGGGAAGCGGCGCGTTGATAGACGCGTCGTCGCGGGCGGCTTCTTTTAGCTGCGGCGGCGGCGAAGTGGGGACGCGTTCGAAGCTAAAAGGGCGACGTTGGCTGTTTGAGACGTCAGGGCTGAACCTGGCCGCCTGGTCCACTAATTCTTCATTTCCCATTGTTTCTATTTTGCGAGGCGTGGGAGTGGGGCCGGGAGTTATGGTTTGTGGTGGTGCCGGGAGCTGTGGTGTGCTTGGTGATGTCGCACTGTTGAGTACGTCGAATCCTGTGTCGCTTTTGCCTTTTCTGTGCCTGGGATTAGAGGGCAAGCCCATTCCTCCGAAGGGCTTTTTCGATGAAGGCGGGGGTGCAGGAGTTGTCGATTCATCTGTCGGAGTTGGTGGGAGGAGATTGACAATCCGAGGAGCGTCCATTGGAGTGAGTTGATCCCTCAACTTGGGAGGGGCATATTCACGGGGTTGTGGTTCGACAGTGTCATTTCGTGACGCGGTTCTTCCGCGCTCTTCATCTGTGTCGGCCTCGAAACTCTGCTTTCGAGCGCGCGGTTGAGGCATTGGTCCACCTTTACCGCCTCGAGGGCCATTCCCCAAATCTGCTAAAGACGTGAATTTTGGGAGAGGCTTCCTTTTCACAGGCTCCATGTCCTCTTTGCCGTCTTGCGAGTGTAGCGAGTCCTTTCGTGGAGACCGCGCAGTCGAGTTCTGATTTCCCATTGCCGACGGTTGTCTACGCGTGGATTTCTCCGGTGGCGGCGGAGGAAGTGCCTTCTCCTCAACAGGCGTGTGGAAGGGATTTTGCGGTTCAGGTTGCGAAGCAATCGTAGGGCTTTTCGGCAGCTCAGCTGTGGATCCGTTGCTGACGGTCAATGTCAAGGAGCGTGGTATGGATCTACGCTTTAAGCGCTTGGAGACGATTCTGGATGGAGAACCCTCCGAGTTACTGGACCCTTTCGGTGACTCGGGCGATGCCGGTACGTCCACTGAGAAGTTGTTAGCAATCGTGGCTTTGAGAGAGCTGCAGATTGCAGGTGATCGGACAGTGAAGCGGCTTGAAAAAGAGGCGGACGAGCCTGCACTCGAATATCGCGTGGTGGACGGTCGAGCAAAAACAAACGATACGCCGCTATCCACTGAAGCCATGTGTAACATCCCCCAAAAAGCCGGAGATATTACTTACCCCGAAGGCGAAAGGGCGTGTTCATCTTCTGAACTGCCGGAGACGAATTACCATTACTATAGTCCCTTGCTCTTGATCTCTCCGGCGGCGGTGGAGGTGGGAGTTCTTTGAAAGCTGATACCGGCGACGACTTATACGGCGAGCTGCTACCGTCCTCAAACGAGCTTCCATAATCGTTCAGCAGGGCGCTGACAATGTCCTGTCGCGAGGATGGCGGTAGGCTAAGCCCCGGCTGGGTCATATAGTCCGTCATCGTAGCCTAAGTTCACTATGGTATACCGAAATGGCGGGAGGCTGAAAAGCCAAGGAATGACGTTAAAGCGGATGCGGTAGAGAGTGTGGGTAGACCGAAGTCTGTACTACATACGAAAGGAGCGAGGTAGAGTGGGCAAAATAGAAATATTACGGGTACATTGAAGGAGAAATGGAGAACGATTACGTCGAGATGGGGCTTGGGAACTGGCGGTCGCATGTACAAATGTCAGACATGGATGTCCGCTGCTCGCAGGGTGACAGACCATCAAACGCGTAGGCGTCTGGGATTTGCAGCGATTTGCGCCTGTCACAGAGTCGATCCGTCCTGGCTTCCCGGCGTTCCCGCCCACACAATGGCCCGGCGTAAGATGAGAGGACGTGGCTCCTGGCTTGACCCATGCGATTTTGTTTCTCCATAATCAGCAGCGAAAGTAATAGTACCGATTCTTGAAAATGAACAGACTAAAGTCGGTCGCCGCACACGGGCGAACAGTCTGCGCAGACAACGGCGTGGAGCCTGAGGCTCACGGACAACCAGGGGTCGTGTTGCGACGTTGAGACTCGGATCGTGGTACATGAGATCCCCCGCAGGGCCCACACATGGAGGATCTGCCCACGTGACTGTTTCAGGCCACTGCATTTGGTGTCTGAAATGCCCTAAGACATCTTGGGGACACGAATCGTCAGCACACAAGACGCGTTGTACCGCGCAGATACCGGTAGCTGATGCGTCCGCATAAGGGAGCTAAGGGCGACCAAAGTCTCGGAATGTGTGCACGGTGAGCGACCTTGGAATCGGGTAATTTGGCCGATTCTATTGTACCCCGCGAGCGCAGGAGGTAGATGGTCTAATATCTAAAGTGAAATTCAAGGACCTTCGTACGACCCTTCCGCCACGCCTCGGTATCCCACCTCACCCAGTTCCAAGGTTCCCCAATCGACTGCGATAGCGCCGATAGCGATAACACTGTTGGTAAGGATATCCCTTCCACGACTAAAATTACTGCCTCAATGACATCGTCCGTCGCTTGTCTGCCCAAATACCTTGCCACAATGCCTGGCATTATGCCGCCCCTCCTATTTTGATTCTCCAATGGGTATCCCGCGTAGTCAGCCTTCCCTAATGGCCCAGTAAACACAAAGAAACAAAGTCATCCCAAACGCCATCGCTAAATGGATCGACTTGATATAGTCGCAAATATTGAGCCCTTAATATGTACATTAGAATTAAACAAAGTGCATCTTCCAATCACTGGAAGAGGAAGAAGAAAAGCATGATGAACAGGGATATCGATGGTGTAAAGGCAACGGTCGAAGTGGAGGCAGCGCCTTTGAGTGGGGCGGCGGTGACGTTAACGAATGCGGTCCCACAGTACATGGAGATGGTATCGGCAGCGCTCGAGTACGTCTTGCTGACGGGCTGCGTGGAGTTGGCAGCGAATTGAGAAAAGATGGCCATTTCGTCCTGGAGACAAGAGTTGCATGTAGGGCGCGCGCCGCCGGTCATGCCCACTCCCAACGGTAGATAAAAGGGAATCGCATCGACGCCTTCGGACGTGGTGTTGGTGACGGCATTGGCGTAGCAGTAGTCGCCTTCGTTGTCCTTCAAGCAGCTGGCCAGGTACATGGGCTCGTACGAGATGAGGCCATTGTAAGCCTGTACCACCTGCGGGTTGTTGTTGTCGTAGTCAACTTTGCACGCATCGTCTGTGAGAAGTTGGATCGCAAGATCGTTCATCCCGGTTGTACACTGCGTCGAATTTGCAGCGCATGTTGCCTCGAGGGTTTGTGTGATACGAATGAAGGATTTGGAGGCCTTGAACAGCGCGTTCGAAGTCTGTAAGTTGTCAGTCGTGGCTTCGAGTAGCATCTGTCAGGGGCAAACGCACTCGCAGCATCAAGGAGAAAGGATGACAGCTGGTTACGGTCTCGCTATGTAGCATCGTCTTGAAGAAAGTCGCGCAATTGTTTGTGAAGTTGTTGGACAGCGCCGAGTCGAAGGCTGTGGGAATCTGGAAATCGCCGCTGGCGCTGGGATCAGTTTTGACGGACCGCTTCGACGGCGGCGCGGAGGTGGTCTTTGTCGCATCTCCATAGTAGACTGGAGGCATGAACGGCGCGACGGATGGTGGCTCGCGGGTGTCGATGAGGAGCGAAGGGCCTTTCCACACGGGTACGAGAGTGTCTTCCAACGGTTCGGGGAGGCGTGCAGATCTTGCTCTATAATGTCGATCACCATGTGGAAGTACCGAGGCAGCAGTTGCGCTTCCGAGCAGGGACGTCCACGATAGCAGCGCCACGAGCAACAACAGCAAGCCAGGAAAGCGGTGGACGAGGGGTGCTGTTCTCGCACGGCGGCAGAGGCTGCGTCGGCACGACTTCAAATGGCAATGGCGCTCTGCCGGCCGCGCCGCGGTCGCTTGATGGTGAAACAGCGTTGCTCCCATCTCGCGTTTCGCCCAGAGTTCTCCCAGCAACGCGTCCATTGAAGGCCCACCAACACTTCTATGATTACTTGCAAGCCCCTCGTGGCAGTTTGCACACCATGACCGTGACGCTGCGTGCAGTGCGGCGAGCGTCTCCGTTGCGGTCGTGCAACAACGGACTAGAGTGGAGGTGAAGGTGCCCCTGCGGCGTTCCTTGCAGCAGGCGACGGTCCGTCCGAACGGGCCGGTAGCGTGTCTTTGGCGACCTGGGACAGGAGCGACGAAAGTTGGAGAAAGGCGATGGTTGTCGAGCGTCGATCGTCACCAGAACTGAACGTGCTGGCCGGAGGTTATCTGCTTCTCTCCAACAGCCTTGTGCGCTGTGCTACGGGGGATGGGAGCCGCGCCGTATTTCATTGCGCGCATAGCGCCATTGAATCGGCGCACGCTGCAAGCCACCACGCTGCCTGCTGCTCGACATGGATAAAAAGGTCAAGGAAAACATCTCGGCTGCCTGCGAGTCGGGTAAAGCGCCGCCATGCGTCTTGCCCACAAGTGGTGCTTCGGGGGTGCAGGGGCGGATACTGGCTCGTGCCAGCCAATATAACCAAGCAGTTGGGCGAGGTCTGGACTTTGGTCCTCCCCAGGAGAGCTAGCAGCTGAGAGAAAGCAGTCGTCACCCCTTGACGGTTTGGCCCAATCCATCCTTCAAGCCAAAGGAGACTGTATCCCCGGGCTTTGTCAGGCACACGTGCTACCCCCTCATGCTTCGTCGGACTAAATGCTGTGGTCGCGACGCTCAAAACAATAACAGAAAAGCTCCGCAGACAACCCGCGTGGTATGGCAGTCGCTATGGCACGCGCGGGGACATTTTGAAGAGAGTCAGTCAGTGGGTAAGCAATATCACCATCAATCAGTTGCCTGGGGCGCTTCCTTCAAGCCTGCCAAGCCAATATTAAGCCACAAAAGGACGACTCCCTATGGGTGGGGATCCACCACACCACGCGGCAAGCCGTCAGCACACCGAGATGCAGACCTTTGGTTGACTGGCCTTGTGCAGCAACGGCTCAATCTAACTTCCAGCTGCCCCGGAACTTGGATAATTGAGCAGCACGTCTTGATGGCTGTCTGAAAGCCGATCCTGGGAGATCGGACGCGACCCTGGCCCATGCTCGGGATTCTGGAATATCCCCTCGTTCGCCTGTCATTCGGTCTTCAAAGAATGGATCGATGGAGGGTCTGCCTTCTCAAAGCGAGCCACGCAATACCGCTCTCATCTCCAAATGCGCTTGTCTCAGTTTTGCATTCTTCCCAAATTGCGTCAATACTCCTCGTGGCAGCCACAATTGTTAGACCCCTCCATCCCTTGGGTGCGGCGTAGGAGTATTGCCAACATCTGTTGACCACTGACCAGTATCTAACAATCCCAGATAGCCTCGTTGGGGCATACACACAGGTGAGAGCTCGGCGCTTACCTGCTGCCGGCCGCTAGTTGCAAGCGCTCGGTAGCACGCCTCCTGCACAACTCTGCAAGCCATGGGGCCGACATTGCTCGTGTCTGCTGGCTTCCAAAGTGCGTAATAATATCGACCCGGGAGCCCCTCAGCTGCTGGTAATCAGCCATGTACATGATCCTCCTGTCCTTGCTATATCGATTCCGAGCATATCGAAGTCGCACCTCCCCGCACCGAGCTTCGTACATCTCATATACCGTTACTTTTTACCCCTCCACTGTGGGCATATGCCGTGTAACTAATCCCTTGCCCGTTCATGTAAGTCCCGCAACCCCGCAGTCGGGATCCCTGTACCACCTTCCGCCGTTCCAATCACCGGCCATGTGATCTCCAAATATAGGGCTAGGATCGGAGGTCGGTGGTGCGCAGTCTACGGGAGCAAGCACGTTCATAAATGTCAACGAGCCGTGAACATCACTGACACCACTCCCAGCCAGCGATAGAGAAAATTGAAACAAGTCGCAAGTCGCACTGCTGCGATTCAAGCAGAGAAGCAATGCTAGATGCGACTGCCCTGTCTACAACGTTCGTGCTACACTTCTCCCCCCAAAGCAGCCCCCCTCCTTATGCGTCCCCCGTCCCTCGCCCTTTCCTTCACGGAATGGCATCTGGCAGGCCTGACGCCTCCTTGTGGTACCTACAAGCTTGTCAGCCGGGCCACGCATTGGGATAAAGTACCCACATTTTGAACAGCGGATCCCAGACCGTGACGGCTCTCCTAGAATAGTGCCCATTCGCCAGCGTCGGCGGCTCGAGGTCAAATTGCTTGTCTGTGGAGCACTCAATGACCCTGCCATATAGAGAGGCATCGTCCAGACACCGCTCGTATGCGGCGACGATGGTAGAGACCGGGGTCATGCTGGTAACATCAGTGTGGGAAGGTCTCTCCATCAGCCAGAAGCTTACCAGTCTGGCGACACGGCATCGACCATTTCCTGCGGGATGATCGAAGTGTGGACGATGCCCGGACAGACGGTGTTGATGCTGATGTTCTCCTTCTACGAGCAGTTAGTTTTAGTCTCCATGTCGGTACGTGAACGCAAAGTGTAGCTTACAGCCTTGAGTATCCGTGCCGTCGCTCTCACAAAGTTGACCACGGCCGCTTTGGCGCCGGCATACTCGGGATACGTCTCGTGCGGCAAGATAGCAGCCACACTCGCCGTCGCGATGATCTTCCCGCCCGGTGTGCTGTTCTTGCGCATGAAGTGGATCGCGAGCTGTGTCCCGTATACCACGCCTTTGAAGTCGACGTCTGTGGTTGAGAGGTCCGGCTTGGGAGGAATCCTGCCGTGCTCAGCTTCAGAACCTCACGCTTCTTTGCAGAACTTACTTGTTCGAGCCCCGGTGCTCAAAGATGTAGATGGAGCTGCTGACGTTTAGCCAACTTCAAGTCCCGTGGGTGGTAGAAAGAGACGACGCGCCTTTTGTCGACAATGCCGGCATTCGCGCAAAGCGCATCGATGCGGCCGTACGTATCCCACACCTGCTGGAACATTTCCGCCTGGCTGTCGTAGTCGGCGACATCACACTTGTGGAAGCTTGATGCCGCGCCGAGCTGTGCCGCGAATTTCGCGTTGGGGTTGATGTCGGCGATAGCTACTTTCCATCCTTTTGCGACCAGGCGCTCTACAATGCCCATGCCCATGCCTGAGTTGCCGCCGGTCACGATTGCTACTGGTACCGAGGACGCCATTTTGTAATGTAGTTACTAGGAACTCGAAGTTTTGGAGTCGTAAAGTGGAGATCTGGGGAACGTTGTAGTCTGTACATCGAGGCGGATCGCATTTCCGAAGAAAAGACGCTACTTGCTCCTCATGTACCACGAGACACAATGCGGAGTGAGATCTCCATCGTTCCATTTGTTTGCTGCAGTTTGCTGTAGTGAGGGGTTGCGAGCTGTGCTCGGCTATGGCCCTCATAGGTAGTCGGCATCGGGCCGACGCCCATCAGTTTCCTACATGAAATAGCCCCCTTTGAGGACAATGCCCAAATCATCAGTGCTGTACGACATGTATAACTCCGACAAAATGCTGACCGATGAACATGCCATTCACAGTGTGCTTTCTTTTTCAAATCTTCGGGAGGCAGGTGCGATCAGCAATACATATCCAGGAAAACCTTTCCCGCAGCAGGTACCAGATATACCGATCGTACTCACACCATGAATTATGATATTAAGAAGTTGGTTGGCATGGGCTGATAGAATATGCTCTCAATGATCAAAGTAAGCACATGCATGGAAGCAAGAGTATCGCTCTACTGTCACCCAGAGGCTCGCAACGCCACGCCTTATCGGCTTAGCAAGACAGAGTTACACGTTTAGTTGTGCTCACACTTATCAATCAACTCAAAGGCAGCATGGCAGGGTAGATACACACTGATCATTCGCGAGATCTCTCCCCCCTGCGCACCTCCTTCAGGGTCGGCTCCTCTTCCTCGTACACCTCCTTCACGTCCACGCCTGGAAAGTCCTCCCTCAGCCGCCTCGACATATAACGAATGCCCCAATCCTCTGCTGCACGATGACCGACGCACACGACCCGAAGTCCGTACTCTTTGGCCGCAGCTACTCCACTCTCCCTCGGCTGTCCGGTCAAATACAGCACCTGCTTGCCGCCTCCATGCTCCTTCGAGGCAATCCAGCCCCTCCGCTCAGCCAGCTCTAAAACTCTCCCCACCTCCCCTGGATTAAAAGCATTCATAATCGCCACCACGCGCACCTGCTCGTCTCCACCCTGCCCCAGCCTCGCCTCAAACGCGCCAAACTGCTCCCTCAGCACGCCCTCCAGCGCCACCGCCGTCGTCGCCGTCGTTCCCACAATTCCCATCTTCCTCTCCGGATCCTCCTTGTAGCCCTGCACGCACTCGCTCGTCCCGGCATCTACGCCTAGCAGCCCCGCCAACGCGACGTTCCACCCCACCGTCAGATGCTCGTCAAACGATGTGTGGCTGGCCAACACGAGCGTGTCTCTGCGCACGCGACGGCGGTCGAGCGCGAATGGGCGGTGCAGGAAACACAGCGTGCGCGGCAGGCGGGGGACCGTTTCGCCGCGCGGGCGGTGGCCGCTGGGCGGCGCATAGCCTATCAGATCGTAGACACCCGGGGTCGGTGTGACGCTCAGGACGATTTGGTCTACGCGCGCAGTGTCGGGGGTGTAGCGCGGGTGTCGGGGGACGTGGTAGAGGAGGTTGACGTCGGTGGGTTTGGGCGGGAGGAGGGAGGAGATGAAGGCGGTGATTGCGGCGTGGGTTGGTCGGGGCTGCATGTCCGCGACAATCATGTCTCGAGTCAACGGCAGCTTGGACGATGCTCCCCGTGTTAGGGAGGATCCGAAGGTAGCTTGAAGCCTCGCGCGGCCTCGACTACGTCATTGATGTGCTCTGCTCTTGCTCTAGATCGTGGGCTAGAGTGCAGACGAGACAGGAGGCCATAGTGGCGGAGCATGGGGGCACACGGTCTACAGGTGAGCGGGATGTAGTTGACGTGCAACACGCGTCGCTACCTTTTTGTGGAATGGAGAGAACAGGTGGGATGATGGCCTGGCGGGAAGCCTTGCAGCAGGGACCCGGCAGGCTAGCCTGTAACAGGGAAACCGCGCCTCGTGCGTTCGAGCGAGCTGAACCTTGAGTGACCGCTCCCACCCACTCTGCGAGCTGCCTGTCAGCATTCTGCGGTACAGAAAGATGCGCCAGAATCCCCTTTGGAAAGAAAGCGTCACGGACTGGTGATGAGATCAGTCCGCCGGCGTTGTTCATCGCAACTGCGACAAGATGCCCAACGAATAGAATCCTCCATTGCCCAGGGCAGACGTGGGCACTGCGACTGGATAGATCCGCCTCACCAAATGCATCTGGTACGCAGAGATGCGTGGCCACGTGCGCGAGGCTTACAGCTCAGATGCCGCGAGATACAGCCTCGTGCAGTCACCTCGTAGGACCGGTCGGTCAGCCGCTGCCGGTGCCTGGTGATCAACCGGCCAACCTCGAGATGGCTGTGTTCTCACGCGTACCTCCGTTTCAAAACTGTTTACTCTCATCTTCTCTTGCACGGCGACGACGCTTTTCACCATCCACCATCCCCCATCCACCGTAATGCCAGAGATATCCATGAAGAAAGAAATCGGAGATGTACGCTGACCTGATTGCGGACAGTCCTATCATGTCGCTGGCAAACTGGCTAACTTGTCACCAGACCAAAGACGTACTACAAGACATCGTAATCGTTGTCTCGCTCGTCTCCACGCTGGCGAAATCATTCGGCTCAGCGGGCGACCTCTACCGGAAGCTCAAGAAGAAGACGAAGAACACGAAGAAAGGTCTCAAGGAAGATATCAAGCAAGAGATAGAAGAGCATTTGTCTGAGCCCGAGGGCCCTGCTCGACGGGAGGCGCGCTCCGAACGTGGCAACAACCATCACCGAAGAGAATCCAGGAGTCGGAGTAGGCACCCACGCGATAAGTCGTGCGACAGCGACAGAGAGTCTATTGAGCATTCATATGAGCTCGTACGCGCGGAGTATGACCGGGGATATCATCGCCTGGGCGAGAAATTTGCTGTTGGGGATTGTACGTCTGCCATACTTTGCCTCGACCTCTGCAACTACTAAACCTTCGCAGTGATCACGCGGAACCAACTGCAGGCGCAGATCATCCTTCTGCAGCAGAGACTCCTCTACACCTACGAAGATGTCATCCTCCACTCTGACTTCCCACGCCACACCCCTTCATACCATCTGAAGGAGCTGGTCCATACCACACGCACCGCCCGCTCAGCAGTCATTGACGCACTCACAATGCAGTACCAGCGCATGCTTCCAGCGCTAGGCCCCACAGCCCCAGACCATCTGCTCCCCGGCGCCTACCCCTCTCCACCCACGCCCACCGTGCACACGCCCGACGACGTCCTCCACGACCACCATACCAAAACCTTGCAATATCAACACCACCACCGCCCTTCATCCCGCAGTCCCGCCCGCAGTCCCTCAAAATCCAGAACCCCCCATCCATCCCTCTACTGCTCCTACGCCCTTACCCTCCAACGCACGCCAACCCTCACCCTCCCCGCCCCCTTCCTGCCCGACGGAACCAACCGCTGTCCTTCCTGCTCAACCCACATCCCCGCCTCACCCAACAAAGCGTGGGAGATCGTCAAAGCTTCGTCACGGGAGGGGGCGCTCGACCGCACGTTTTGGGTAGGGACAAGGTTCCTAGCCAAGTGTCATCGGGAGGGCGGCGGGCTCGCTTGTATTTTGTGCTCGCGGTGGCGGGAGGCGGATACGGTGTGTGGGGTGGCAGAGGCGCTTGTAGAGCATATTTGGAGGGACCATGGAGTGCGCGAATTGGAGGGGGATGAGGACGTTGGGGAGAGGTAGGGGTGTGCAGGTTACTCTGGGGTGGGCGGAGCATGTGGGCATTTGACCAGGCGCTATGGGCTTTGAGACTGTAGACTGGGAAGGGATGAGTAGTTCAGGAATAGGGTGTGGGTTGTAGATAGTAGATTGGCGAGTGACGATGTATAGCTATCTGCTCTCACCTCGACAAGTGCCCGGGCACAATGTCCCGTTTCTCTCAAACCTCAGCTTTGCCCCCTCCATCTCTGCCCGCATGTCTACCTTCCCTCTTCTCTTTCTCCTCCTCCTCCCCATCTTGCTCGAACGGCCTGATCCACCGCCGGAACACCACCGTCAAGACCCCTCCAATGGCCACTTGCAACGCTTGGAATATAATCGCCGGAATTTGCAGCTTGGACTGCTCCACAGGACTCACATCAATATACATGACCGCGCTTAGCGGCACCACCATGGACAGCGCCTTACTCGGACAACAGTAGCAGCACGCAATCACATCCCGCCGGTCCAGCCATATCGTCGCCGCCACAAAGCATATGCCCAGCCAAACACCATAGAGCGCAACGTTAATGAAGACGACGAAGACGATGTTGGAAGGCCGCACGGAGGCGAAGGCGTCGCTGCGGAACGCCTGATCGAAAGTCTGCCAGACGAGCGTGAGCAGCGCAACGGAAGAAAGCTTGATCAGCTTCCAGTCTACGAAGACCTTTTTTGTAGCTGCGGGAAAGAGGTACTGCACCGCCTGCCCGAGGGCCATGGGCAGGAACAGCGACAGACCCAGCTGCTTGAACACGCGGCGGTAGATCTCGGCGTAGGCACTGTCGCCCCCGCCGCTGCCCGCGAGCACGCGCGTGTACCACGCGCCGCAGGCGAGGTACATTTGGAGGAGGACGGGGGTCAGGAAGGGGCACAGGAAGTTACCGATGACGGACTGGACGACGGTGAGGGCCGTGTTGCCGTGGGCTTGGCGCGTCATGACGACGTTGGAGGACATTGTTGTGGGCGCGCTGCCGAGGAAGAGGAAGCCGATGAGCAGCCAGGGGTCCATGAAGGAGGGGTTTGTGGCGCAGAGGCTGACGATGGCGAAGGTCGCCGCCGACGTGACGAGATAGCATTGGAGCTGCACGAAGAAGTGGATCTTCCATTTCTTGTAGTTGTCGAGGAGGACGCGCGTGGAGAGGGTGCAGCCATTGATGAAGAAGATTACCGACACGGAGAGGTAGGTTATGATGGTGCGTTTGATGGGTTGTTGGGAGGAGGGGACTTGGACTTGGGATGCAATTAGGATGATGAGGCCCATGGCTATGAGGAACCATTGGTCTTTGGCCAGCCATAGTAGGTTCTTGACTATCGTTTGGCCGTTCGTGTTGTTCGGCTTCTCGTCCACTTGTTGCAGCTGTCCAGCATGCTGGCTTTGGGGTCTTGAGGATTGTTGAGTGGACCTCGTGACATCCACATGACTCTTCTCTGGCCCGCTGGCGACCTCAAGTTCAATGTCTTCTGAACGGGGTGCCCCACTGCTTGACGCGATGGAATCATCCGGAGATGCAGTCATTGGAGACCGAAGAGGTAGGGCACCGGTTCATATAAAAACCGATTTTCACCTTCTATATCAATTTGAAGACGGCACAACAAAGGGAAATGTTCTGTTTACAGGAGAGGAGGTCATTCCCCACAAAGTGTTGTTGATGACGAGGTCGCATCTCGCACCCAGATGTAGACCCCGGTCCGGATAAGCATCCGCGGGAATAAGGCCGGAAAAGCGTGAACGGCAAACCCCATGAACGACGTCCTCCAGGATGTCGCCCTAGTCGACATGTGTGCGATAGACTCTCAGGCTACAGATGATGTTCATGAAGACGACGATGAAGGCTAAGGCCAGCCGTGTTGGTCCTCTTTAGTCAGCGAAACCATCACGATGGCAGCAGTCTCGTGAAGCTCGCCCGGTACCCCTCCATCGTCCACTTGCGGCATGTCTCGAGCGATCGATTTTTGCCTCCTCGTCCTCCACCCAACGCAGCAGCGCCTCTGCCTCTTTCCTCCGTAACAGACCTACAATCGCTTCCCCATCGCTCGCTACTTAGACCCCGACTCCAATGACGGCGCCGCCCTCGCTCCACGCCGACCGCAGGCAGCTCATCTGGCAGCGCGTCTACAAAGAGCTGCTCAAGCACGCGAAACCAGACTCTCGCTTCCACTACGACTTCCTCTCGTTCACGCCCGATTTCCGCGGCTCTTCGGCGGCTGTGGACCGCCTGGTCCAGTTGCCATGCTACAAAGCGGCGACCACCATCCTGGCCACGTCGGACGGCAGCCTGGAAGAGCTGAGATACCGCGCGCTCAAGGATGGGAAGAAGGTACTCGTGGGGACGTACAGGCTGCGCAGGGGATTTGTGCTGCTCAGCCCGCAGAGGATCGCCGAGGCAGAGCTGCAGGTTGCGAGCTGGTTGGACGGCATGGAGAGGCCTGGGATCGGGCGCCACCTGTCGCTGGCGCAGCTGCAGGAAGAAGGCATAAAGGTGGATCTTTGCGTCTTCGGGGGTCTCGCTTTCAATACGCAGGGCGTGGTTGTATGGGAAGGCCAGGGCCTCTTCGAAGTCCAGTGGGCGCTCCTCCACGATATAAAAGTCATGCGGGAGCAGGTCCCTGTGGTGGCCGTCGCACATGACTGCCAGGTGGTCGACGAGGCCGAGCTGGGCCTGGAGCGCATCAAGCCTAGAAAGGCTGCCGAGGTGCAGTGCGACTACATTATTACGCCCGAGAAGACCTTTGAGATCAAGGACGCCGTAAAGCCATCCTCGGGCGTGGACTTTGACGCCGTTGATTCAGCGGCGTTGGAGAATATCCCGCCGCTGCAGGAGCTCAAAGGCATTCGCATGATGGAGTCTATCATGAAGAAGGGCGGGTTCAAAGAGGACAAGAAAGCGGAACAGGGGCCTAGTGCTGAAGAACTGACGGGCATAGAAATGATGGAGAAGATAATGAAAGGGTTCGCGGACAGCATCTCACCGTCCAAATAAACGTCAATGATCATCCTCTATTCACGTCATCTCATCTGGAATGACTGGACTTGAGCATTGCCGCTCTTTATTGTTCACATCCTACTATTTCCTAGAACTGAGTGGTTACACAGAGTTGACTCGATATATCGCACTGCCGATAGCGGTGGTTATTATTACCACGGATGGTCATCTCCTCGCTCAGCACAGCATCAATTTACCTTCTTCTCCACCCCCTTACAACATCTCCAATGCCCGTCCCCCATCCCGTCCCCCTCGCCCCGAACTGTAGCGCTCTCGCCCTCCTCCTCATCCGCGCCTCGTCAACGGTCACGATCCCTACAATACAAACTCTCACGCCCCTATCAACGTCAGCCCCTGCATATCACCACCCCACTCGCGGAAGGACGCAATGACACTTACACCAACCCCGCAACACCCACCCACAGCCTCGCTCCCCACCTCCCCTCTTCCGTCAAAGCAAAAGACGCCCCGGGCTTGTAAAGAACCCACCCCACGCTACACAGCCCGACCGCCAACGTCTCGCCTACTACCATCGCCCATGTCGGCGCGCGGGGCATGCCGTCCTCGGTGCGCGTGATCAGGGCGAGGATCTCGGCGGTGTCGGCGGCAAGGCCCCAGATGAGGGGGGCGTAGAGGAGGGGCGTGGGGTGGGTGGGTGCCGGAGCGGTGGAGAGGTAGAGGGTTACGGTGAAGAGGAGGTGCGTGGCAAGGAGGGTGATTAGACGGGCGAGGACTGGTATGGTGTCAGTAGTGAGGGGTAGAAGAGGAGGGAGATGTACGGTGGAGGATGGCGAGGCGAGAGGGGAGACGGGAGCGGTCCATGAGTTGGATGTTGGATTGTGGATCAGTAGATAGGACGGGGAGGTTTGGTGACTTGAGGCACGCACGATGGGCGAGGCGCGGCTTCCGCTGAAGCAAGTGCGACTGCCGCCAGGGCGGAAAGGCGGGCACGCACATCACCCAATATCATGCATCTTGCAAAGCAGTGAAATTCAGGTTCTGGCGCGTTCAGCATTGTCTCAGTGGAGGGTTCTTGTGTCTCAAAAGTGACGTTTATGTAGCCAGCAACGGACTCGATTGTGCCGCTCTAGGTCGCTGCATTCATCTGAGCAGGCATGAGTGTTTAGGTTTTGTGGGTTTGGCACCGTAATAAGCCAAACCAACTGGCATGCTCGAACGTGCTTAGAACGCTCCATGTAAAAGGCCAGTAAGACGACCACACTTGTGATGGAGACGTGGCTGAGAGAGGATAGGAAATGCCAACCCGTTCTATTGCCGTCTATGGGGTATCTCAAGTTCAGTCCATGTCTTCCAGGCTGCTCGTCGGGCGCGCCTGCTCTTCCGTCACCATGATGCCGACCAGGCACTCGCCAAGCATATTGTCCCAGTTCACCCACGGGTGCACTTCCATGAACAGCTTCCGCCCGTCCTTCCCTGCTGCCCTCCGCAGCTCTCCTTCGCCGCCCGGGTGGAAGGGCAGGTAGGGTGTGATGTTGTACACTTTGCCTTCGTAACTCGACCACGCGGGCTTGCCTTTCCGGCCGTTGTTTTCCTTGAGCATGGCGGGAGTGACGCGGATGAGCGAAGGTACACCCGCCAGATTTGCTCCCGAGCGCTGAAGATTCGCCCAGTCCAGCGGTGAATGCCCGGGTGAGAGTAGCACCTTGCCTCGCGAGTTTGGTGTTTTGACTGTGGCGGTTGGCATAAGACCGCCGTTCGAAGCTGGGGGCCCTCGATTCGGCACGGGTCCGCGATTCGGCAGAGGGCCCGTGGTGGGTACACGCAGGCCTTGCGTAGGTGTGGGTAGGGCGCGCAGGTTGGAGGCCTTCAGTGTAGGCGGGGGCATAAGAGAGGACGCGGGTCTGACAGGAGGGGCCATAGGCGCCACTTTGGGCGGCGCTGGCATAGCTATCGTTGGCGACGGTGCAGACGCCCTCTGCGCCGAGTTTAGGGCTGGGAAAGAGGGCGGGGGAAGGTTGTCCTCGTCGTCCTCGTCGGAGCTCTCGTGCGCCGCGAGAGTGAAGGTCGGGACGGCGCCATTTGCACTGTCCTTGGGAGCGATCTTTGGTGTGCCTTCGGACGACGAGCTTTCGCTTGGGCGCCTTTTCTGGCTGTCTGGGGGCTCGACTGCGGGTTCCTCTCGGTCTGCAGTGGGTGGAGAAGGCTTGCGTTCAGTGCCTACCGTAGGCGGGGGCGCATTTTGACGAAGATAGGCGAGCCATGTCGAAGGGGGGCGCTTGAGGAACAAGAATGACAGCGAGATGGCCAGTAGCGAGAAAGCGACCAACATCACTGTGCGTCAATGTGCGAGGGGTGCAGCGAAGGAGAGCGCGCCCATTATTTCGCCTCTGCCCGCTGCTCAGGGTCCAGCCCGCCGCGGCTCAGCTAAGCTATCCTTATCGATAAGGCCCTTGATCGGCCTCGGCTTCCTTGCCGCGCCCGCTCCCGCTACTTGTCTGCATGTTGGGGGCCGGGACGTTGACCAGTGTACTAAACCGATGCCGTCCGTCACAAGCACCTCTAGACTGAAGTCGTGGCCAGGTACGAGAGTCGTGTTGACGCCACTCGTTGCTTCCTGCCTCGAGGGGTGTCGCATACACGCGCAAGCGCTGCCTCCCTGCTTGCAGTCATGGCTAAGCGCTGTGTGCGAGCACGGCCTGCAAACCCCTGCCTCAAATTCATGGCACAGCATGCGGACAGGCTGCAGCCCCCGCTCCTGGTTTTAAGGTGAAGTCTGCCCTTGTCAACAGCTTTCCACAATACACTCCGGTCTCCCTTCGGACTACGAGAACTCTTCTATGACTCGCGCCAAAACTCGGCTTGATGCGACTCTTATACACCGCAACCGATGGCAGATTCGAATGGACCAGAAACTATATCAAGAAAAAGGATATTCCCAACTATGCGATCCTCTCCCACACCTGGATGGACGGACAAGAGGTGACCTTTGAAGATTTGAAGAACATCAATAACGCAAAAGATTTTAATAGCCCAAGTAGCGAAGGATATCGGAAGCTTCGCTTCTGCGCACAACAGGCTAAGCAGGATGATCTGGACTATTTCTGGGTTGACACTTGCTGCATCGACAAGTCAGATAGCTCCGAGCTTCAAGAATCGATAAATTCCATGTTTCGCTGGTATCAGCGCGCAACGCGATGTTACGTCTACCTTCCTGATGTCGAGCACGATACTCTGGATGAGGATGGCAAGTTGGCATTCAAGCAGAGCAGATGGTTCACAAGGTAAGTGAAATAGCGCTCGTACGGTCCGGTCATGCTGATGAGAAGATTCTAGAGGTTGGACGCTCCAGGAACTTTTGGCTCCAACATCGGTTGAATTTTTCTCTAGGAACGGAAGGAGGCTAGGTGACAAAGATTCACTCAGACACATGATTCGAGAAATTACTGGAATACCGGTTGACGCTCTCCACGGCCGCGAAATATCGGAGTTCACGATCGCTGAGCGTTTCTCTTGGACAGACAATCGCCAGACGACACGTGAGGAGGATGCGGCCTACTGTCTGCTGGGAATCTTTGGTATCTACATGCCACTCATATACGGCGAAGGCAAGGAGCATGCGATCAAGAGACTGAAGAAAATGGTACACGAAGACATCACAAGTGCTTCTGTGGGCGAAAGTCAAAAAGAGAGGCTCGGCAAGATCTGCAAGTGGCTTTCGGCACCTGACCCATCCATCAACTACCACAAGGCCCTCAAGCAGCGGCAGGCTGGGACCGGAACCTGGCTCGTAGAGGGCGAACAATTTACGAGATGGAAGGTGGGTGTAGCATCGCGGCTCTGGCTGCACGGGATTCCAGGATGTGGAAAGACCATCCTGAGCGCTACTGTTATTGAAAACCTGCGACAGCACTGCGGGTCCGATACCAGTATGGCGACAGCGTACTTTTACTTTGATTTCAAAGATGCACAGAAACGAGATCCAGATCTAGCAATCCGCTCGTTGCTCTCCCAGCTGCTGCAGCGCGCGGCCATAATACCGAAAAGCATTGACGAGTTGTTCGCCTCGTGCGAAAACACTGGACGCCTGCCAACACTGCATGCATTCTTGGAAGTACTACGGCTAACGGTACAGGAACTGGGGCAAGTCTACATCGTTCTTGATGCTCTCGATGAATGTATCCTTCGCCCGGAACTGATGGACGTAATCGAAACTGTAGCTGGATGGCAACTAGACAATATGCATTTGCTCTTGACTAGTCGGAAAGAGCGAGATATCGAGAAATCTCTAGAAAAGTTTATACTGGACAAGGACACTATTCGTCTTCGAGAGGATAAAGTGGACATGGACATACAACGATACATCCAGCAACGGTTATCTGACGATAAAGATTTGGCAAAATGGAATAAGGACGCTGCTATCAGGCAAGAGATCGAGACTGCGTTGATGGGTGGAGCTCGTGGGATGTATATATGTTCTGCCAATAGTCTATACAACCCAAGCTGATATTGATACAGGTTCCGATGGGCTGTGTGCCAGCTTGATAGGCTGGGAGTGTGTCGCAATCGGGCGATGCTGCGCAAGTCACTCGCCACTTTGCCGCAAACATTAGACCAGACGTACGACTGCATACTTTCTGCTATAGGCGAAGAAGACTCTAACTACGCAATGCGCATCTTGCAGTGGCTAACGTTCTCACAACGTCCACTGTCCGTCGAAGAGATCGCTGAAATTATCGCCCTCGATTCAAAGCGCGACCAATCGTTCGACCGCGATGAAGTACTCGAGGACCCGCTAGAAGTTCTGAACATCTGTTCTAGCTTAGTCACTGTCACAGTTGTTATGACGAAGCGGATCGTTGCTTTAGCACACTATTCAGTGCAGGAATACTTGTTGTCGGACAGAATCAGGCAAGGGCCAGCGAAAAAATACGGCATGGGAAAGGTTGAATGTCAAGTCCTGATAACGGTAAGCTGCTTGAAGTACCTGGCCCAGTTACCGCAGCCATTATCGGAAGAAACACTGCAGACCTTCGCCCTTGCACTATATGTAGCAAGGTTCTGGAGTCACCATCTTCGAGAGACAGAAGATGAGGAAGGAGTGAGTCACCTTGCGCTGAATCTATTGTTAGAGAACAAAACGGCCTATCTTACATGGCTTCAATTGAGTAATCCGGACTGGCCAGAGGACAAGCCCAATCTAGAAAAGGGGGCAGAAAGCATAGCTGCGCCGCTCTACTACGCTGCCCTGTTGAATCTGAGCACAATTACGAAGATGCTGCTGGATCAAGATGCTGAAATTAATGACCAGGGTGGAGAGTTTGGGAATGCACTACAAGCAGCATCGCAGGCAGGCCACGAGGCGATAGTCAGAACACTGCTTGAAAGCAAGATTACCGACGTTAACGCGCAAGGTGGCTATTACGGCAACGCACTGCAAGCAGCATCTTTTGAAGGCCATGAGCAGGTAGTCCAAATGCTGCTTATCAGCGCCGATGTCAATACGCAGGGCGGATTCTACGGCAACGCTTTACAAGCAGCTTCATTCGGAGGCCACGAGCGAATAGTCAAGCTACTACTTGATAAAAACGCAAACATAAATGCCCAGGGCGGAAGATACGGCAATGCACTACAGGCAGCTTCATGGGGACGCCACGAGCAAGTAGTCCAGTTGCTGCTCGATCATGCCGATGTCAACGCGCAGGGTGGAACGTTTGGCAATGCACTCCAGGCAGCTGCACATGGAGGAAATGAGCGAATAGTCAAGTCTTTACTTGATAAAAACGCTAACATTCATGCGCAGGGTGGAGCCTGTGTCAGCGCACTACAAGCAGCTGCAATGAAGGGCCATGCGCAGGTCGTTGAGACGCTACTCGACCGTGGAGCAGAGGTCAACGCACAGGTTGGATTTTATGCCAATGCCCTGCAAGTGGCTGCATCAGAAGGTCATGCGCAAGTGGTCCAGATACTGCTTGACAGGGGCGCTGAGATCAACGCTCAGGGTGGATATTTTGGCAGCGCGCTACAGGCTGCTTCATATGGCCGCCATCAGCACGTGGTCAAGATATTATTAGCGAACCAGGCCGATGTCAATTTACAGGGTGGATATCATGGCAATGCGCTACAAGCAGCTGCAAGACGGGGTCATGAGCATATTGTTCAGATACTGCTTGACAATGGAGCAAAGGTTTACGCTCAGGGTGGAGCCCGTATGACTGCATTGTCGGCAGCTGCAGGAGAAGGCCGTACACAAATAGTGAAGATGCTGCTTGAGACTAAGGCCAATGTTGGCACGAAGGAGGGACGCTGGATTATCGACGCCATGGAAGCAGCTCAACGAGCGGGGCATCGGCAGACACGTGAGCTGCTGTATGCATGGTCTGCTGAACATCAACAAGAAGGGATCACAACAAAACTCATGGGCGCGGTCGATGGTTCCAGCACCTCGACACTGACATCAACTAGACCCATCAAGTCACTTCGTCTTCCGCAGGCGCTGACCAGCTGGCTGCATGCACCTCGTGCGAATAAGCTGGGACATAGGTCCGGCTGTTGAAGCATCCTTTCATTTCTTCTCATTCGTTGGTCGAGGTTCCCTTTACGGATAAACGAACATAACAATAGGCAATCTCCTAGTAGAGGCGTGGCATACACAGTGCAGAGCAATGTGATCTTCAAAGCGAAGCTACGATTCGATGGTTATTGGTACTTTTTTTTTTGTGGTGTCGCCATAACGAGGCACGTCTCAGCTTCAGATAGAGGACTCTCGTCAATCTACATGAGAAACTAACAAAGACATGTTAAGTAAGCAAAAGGTTACTCAATGATACAGGCCAAGAAACAACGATTGCACGTGATAGGTCTTCTGCTGAGGCGGGGAAATAGCAGGTTGTTGCCGCGGCCGAGCTAAGCTATCGATAACACTCATCGGTTTCCGCACCCGTTGCCTGCAGCTGTAAGGCTGCAGATCACGCTAACCTTCAAGATGACGCGGTCTGTGATGCGCTACGGCGGCGTCGACATGCTTTGTATGTATCGTCGCGGCCGATTGTTCTGTTCCTTGTCTGGAAATCGTGTCACGTTCACTGAATCGAGCACCGTCCCACGTTACGATGCGCCGCAGACCCGCCTGCTAGTTTAGTACAAAAGCTACTCTGCCCCACCACCCCTCTGTCTCGTCACAACTCCGAACTTCTGCTCGATCACATTGCGACACCATGGCTGAGGCGACCTCCGCGCAGCTGCCCGAGGGCATTTTCTCGCTGCTCGATACGTATGGAGGCCACTGGTTCTGCGCGACCGTAAGGCTGACGCGGCTAGGGACCTCTACAAACTTACCATGCAATGTTGCGTACTCAAGTTCTTCCCGGATATCGCCGTAACCTACAGCTTCACCAATCGAACACCAGACAAGAAGCTGAACCGCGCGGCTTTCCGCTGGCTGCAGGCACAGGTCGACAGTGAGTTCATTGTGTATTGGTGAGAAGATCCTCTGACAAGCATAGAACTCGAGAACATTGCTCTTTCCGATGAAGAGTACAAGTTCCTGAAATCCACATGCCATTACCTGAATGACCAGTACCTTCATTTTCTCTCGAACTTCCGCCTCCACCCGTCGAAGCAATTGAAGCTAGTCTTCAAGCCCATTAACGATACAGGCTCCGACGACGACCTCGGCGATTTCAGCATACAAACTGAAGGCTTGTGGGTGGAGACGATTCTGTACGAAATACCACTGCTCGCCTTGGTGAGCGAGGCGTACTTCAAGTTTGTCGATAAGGACTGGAGCCACACCGGCCAGGTTGAGAAGGCATATGAGAAGGGATCGAAGCTACTACAGGAGGGATGCATCTTCTCCGAGTTTGGCACCCGGCGGCGACGCGATTATCACACCCAGGACTTGGTGCTCCAAGGACTGCGCCGTGCAGAAGCCGACGGCGCTCCAAAAGGATGGCAGGGCAAGCTCACAGGCACCAGCAACGTCCACTTTGCAATGAAGCACGGGCTGATGCCGATTGGGACGGTTGCACACGAATGGTTTATGGGCGTCGCGGCCATCACGAACAACTACGAGCAAGCCAACAGAATTGCTCTGGAATATTGGACGTCGACGTTTGGCGAAGGAGTTCTAAGCATCGCGCTCACGGATACATTTGGCACCCCTGCGTTCTTAAGAGCGTTCAAGGAGCCGATCCCGGAGATCACAACGGCTGCCACCACACTCGCGTCCGCCGCGGCTACGACAAACCCTAACAACCAGACACTGGCTCACACGGAGCCTCCTATCCAGGCGGGCATCGACGGTGCGACTAAGCAGCGGAGGACTTATGCTGAGGTGTTCACCGGCGTGCGCCAAGACTCCGGTGACCCGCTCGACTTTGTCAAGATGATGCGCCAGTTTTACGACGAGCAGGGGATCAAGGCGAAGAAGACGATTGTGTTCTCGGATTCGCTCAACATCGATCTGTGTCTGAAGTACAAGGCGGCAGCGGAGAAGGAAGGCTTTCAGCCGACATTTGGCGTTGGCACTTTCCTGACTAGTAAAGCACTGGTGCCTCTGCCCATGTGTTGACATGCTAACTTTGAGCAGATGACTATGTTCAGGAGTCGACGGGCAACAAGTCAGTGCCGCTGAATATTGTGATCAAGATCGCTTCTGCCGCAGGGCGACACGCTGTGAAGATCAGCGATAATATTGGCAAGAACACCGGCGACAAGTCAACGGTCGAGGAGGTCAAGCAGCGGCTCGGCTACACAGAGAAGACGTGGGCAGGCGTCGACGAAAGCACGCGATGGGGTACAGCAGACCAGAAACCTACGTCATAGTTTGATGCGGTCATCAGGTTGTGCACTACAGCTTGTAGAAGAGCAACAAGATAGAGAAGGGCACACAAGTGCGTGACATGGCGTTCGTTTGCTTTGAACGGTCGGGGTCGGCATGCGCAGCCCCCAACTGGGTCGGATAAGGCTGAGCTTACACTGCCCTTCCGATTCGGACACGGTTGCGAGGTCTCTCGGGCGAAAGCGATCAGCGAAAATCGCAAAGCTAGCCGCAAGAGACCACACGGCGATAGTTAATGGATCAATGTGACCAAGTGGAAACATGTGCGCATCGCGCATAGGACTGCGCGTTCTGTGGCAACCAGTGTAAGGCGGTGCAAAAATAGAAAGCAGAGCGGCGAGCTACTGTTCGGGGCTGCAGTAAGCAAAAAAGTGTCTTCGACTTGCAGAACGTCCGCGGCCAGCGAGTGCGGCAAAGCAGCACGCATCTCACAACATGGCACGCACAGTTTCGGAGACGCTCGCGCAATAAGATCTGGCATCTCATGTATCGTGGGGCAGGCAGATTAACGCGGCGCGTTTGGCGTCGGACGTCGCAGGCATGCGAATAGGGACCCGTTGTTTGGCTGACGGGCTCTGCGGGCAAGGGGCGGCTAAGCAGCGTTGGGGGACTAGCGCACCGGGCGGCAAGGCTTAGGGGCGCGAGCGGAGCTGTCGTCTTCAGCTCACAGCCCCAGGCACCGCAGACACAGCCAGCCGACGCGAGCCAAAACTGCCCTCATATCCCATCTCACTCCGGATTCTGCTCTGCATTGGTCTTCCACAGCCGTGCTCTCCCACACCCGCGTCTCGCACCATTGCACCTACCTGCCGACCGCGTCTGCAGCAGCGACAAGACCAGTGTCTCAGGAGATCCACCGCCCACACACCACACGTCGGGTTTCAGCATGAGTGTAAGCCGCCTCCGTTTGCGTCCTGAGGGCCCTCAGACCACTTCCGTTCACTTGTGCCTACTATCACACACACCTTCACCAGCTAACACAACATGGCATCGCAGTACGGCAACGGAGGCTACCAGCAGATGGGCTACGGCGCGAACCCGTACGACCAGCGCGAGGACGGCGGTGCGCAGGGCGCACGCTTCAACAATTACGCCCAGGGCCGATATGACGATCGTATGTATACCAGCGTCGTCTTGCTCCACCCAGTCTGACAAAGTGCAGCGAGCGCTGTTGAGATGCAGCCCTACGGCCAGCAGGGCGGCGCAGACCCCAATGCCATCCTCAACGAGTGCCGCGAGGTCGACCGCGCCCTAGACCAGATTGATTCGCAGTTGGACAACCTGGAGCGGACCATGCAGGCTCAGGCCACGAGCGCGACCCCGAACAACACCGAGGTCACCAATCTCACCACGCAGATCATGGCCGGCTACCGCGCTCTTGTGACCCGTGTGAAGAACATCAAGTCGAAGCCCGAGTCTGGCAATCCCCGGAATGCTCCCCAGGTCGGCAAGGTCGACCGCAGGCTGAAGGCGGTGATGAACCGCTACCAGAACGTCGAAAAGAAGTTTCGACAGGACCAGCAGGAAGCTATCAAGCGCCAATACCGTATTGTGAACCCCAACGCCACCGAACAGGAGCTTCAGGAAATTGCTGCAGATAGTTCCAATGATGGAGTCTTTGCACAGGCTGTAAGTTTGGGCGCCCTCTGTCTCATTTCTAGCTGCTCTATGCTATCATGGCACGGGCGAGTAGTTTGAGATGTTCGATATCTGTCTGTTCAACTGCTAACAAATCTCCAGCTTATGAACTCAAACCGCCAAGGCCAGGCGAATAGTACTCTGAGAAACGTGCGGGAACGACATGAGGCCATTCAAAAGATTGAGCAACAGATGGTCGAACTTGCCCAGCTCTTCCAGGACCTCGACACGATCGTGCAGCAGCAGGAGCCCCTCGTGGAGAACATCGAGGCAAAGGGTGAGGAGATCCACGAGAACGTCGTCCAGGCCAACACGGAAATCGGCGGTGCTATCGAGAAGGCCCGCAGCGCCCGTCGCAAGAAGTGGTGGTGCCTCCTCATCTGCGTCATCATCGTCATCATCATCGCCATTATAGTCGCCATCGTGGTCAGCATCAACAACAAGAAATAAGCTGCCTGGACTTCGTCCACACACTCGCCATCCATAACACACCCAATCACCATCTCCTTTCATATCTTCCACATTCTCATGGCCGGCCTGGTGCTCTGTATAATACCCCGTGGTGGCTATGCGGCGTCGCCACAATCATCCATCCATCTCTAAGCATTTCTTTGATTTTTGAAAATTGCGCACGGAACGGTCACAGGGTTGGAACTCGAGACCGTATTCTTCTTACTTTGAGCGGCGCCGACGGCGCCTGATCTGATATCTTGTAATCGAACACTTTGGATGGCGCGCTTGTTTCCTTTTGGTTCGGAACAACCTGGGTCTGGAAGATAGACCTGCCCGCTTGTGTGGCTGGCAAAAGTCGTCTTGTAGCGATATTGTTAAAGTACTTGACTTTTGTTCTATCTTAGACTCTACGTGGTTGGTGATGTTATATGTGAACTCGGTGAACTTACTTAGCTCTGTCCTCTACACTTGCATCAGTTCTATCTTGATGGTCTCCGACAAGGCGTCCGATGTGGTCAATCTCTGTTCTATCGCTACCTCTCAACGTTCGACTCTTCGCGAGCTTCTGCAAGACACGGTAGAACTCAGTACACGAACTTGTGCCATCTCTACCTGCAGGGCAGTCACATCATGTCCGCGGGACTCGCTCGTTACCCATCTCTTGCGAATGTTTGATGATTGCTCCAAGGCTCTGTTTAAACCCACGAAGACGCCCGCCCGAGGAGCGAGCTCGAGGTCCACGACGTCAACGCCTCTCGACCACTCACTCCCTCACCTTCACCTGGTCCCCCACCCCCCGTCTCTCACCCGCAGCTGTCGTACCCTCTATATAACGTACCCCGCCCTCGCTCCCTGCCCACCTTCAAACCCAAAACATCAGTGTCTACTCCACAACGTCCATGCCTGATATACTACCAAACCAACACAAAAAAACAACTCATCCAATCTTAGCCAAAACAACCACAATGTCGCACCTTCGTCTCCTCCCACTCTTTGCAGACCTGATGGCGCTCTTCGCCCTCATATTCGCTAGCCCGCTCGCGGCTGACGTCGAGGCGGTGAACGGTAGCGAGCCAGCGCCCGATGCGAACGGCAAGCTGTGCGGGTATTCCGCTATCCAGGAGGGTGGGTTCGTGGTGGAGCTGTACACGGTGCGCTCCAAATTCTCGTTCTATTACTGTTAAAAGAACTTGGGAGAAAGACGCTCGAGGGATAGGGATTAACGAGGGCTAATGGTACTAGAACCCCTGCACCGACGCCGACCAGGCCGAGCACTTCCAGACCATCTACAACAAGTACTGCACCCTGTGCATCATGTTCACGGTATGTATCTCCCTCCCCTTCTTTCTTTAGCCTTCCGGGTGGGAGGTCGAGGGGGTTTGAGGTTGAAAGGATATTTCATATCGGATAGGGCTGATATCGGGCAGGGACGCGGCTGCACGGGCGACACGACGTTCGTAGGCGGCGTGATGCAGGACAGCAAGTACATCGCCCCGAGCCAGAGCTACTACTGCCCATGGGAGAAGACAGACATCGAGGCGGCGAAGAAGAAGTATGGCATTGAGTAAGTGATGCGGTGGAGAAGAGTTAGGAATTCCTCTAGACAAGTGGGCAATGGTTGAATGGACTGGTGATACACGAGAGACATATCCAGGCATCCTGTAGGGAAAATCAAATACCTCGGAACGAGAGCTTTATCCAGTGGCTGCTTCCAAGGACTTCTCGCAAGTCTGTCACCTAGCAAGCTGGCAAACCCCATGTCTCTCGCTTTACACAAACTTTCATCTCGTCGTTACCTTGAAGGCGTGCAACACTCCTTACACAGGTCCCGCAACACGTGCACAGATCTTTTCAAGCTGCTATCGCCTGTGAGGAGTTCTGCTACTGGGCACGTAGGCGGGTTTCTGGCTCTAGGGTCAGCCATACCATCATCATTCGCAAAGCAGTGTGCAATCTCTTTCACGGTGATAATCTACCCACCAATCGTCCAACTCGACCCGTTTCAGCCGGGGATCCTAATCATCCAGGTTGTCGTAGGTCGGAGCTTCTGCGCTGAACTGACGGACGTGAAGCATATATGCCAGGGTGAGGACGAGCGCTCGCTTGTGGATTGTTTTTTTTTTTTTGCGGGGTTGCCATCGTGGCTGATGCGTCGCCATGTTTTGCGTATCTCTGCGTCGGCACGCTGGGAAGGCAAGATGACATCATTTCCTAGGCCCGTTTACTATCGATGTTGGACTGAGATCTTTGCTACACGTCAGACATGCAGCAGGTAATCATCTGCGATCCCCTTAGCCAAAATATATTATGAAGAAACCTCGCGCCTTGCAGAAATATGCAGACAAGCCTTTGCCAACTCATAGCTGCTCGTAGTTTTCAGGAACATATGCCCAGACTCTTCTTCTTGCGAGATGGTTGCTTGAATAATTGGGAGCGTAAGGCGGACATCTGAGGCTAGCACGTTATTCACTAGAACTGTTCCCTATTCCGAAAAACAGATCACACAGAGATGGCAGAGCGGACGTGTGAATTGGTTTTTAGTGCCCTATGTTGTGTATGAATACAATACCGTTGAAATAGTCCAACATACTAGTGGCACAGCATAGTATCTTTACTAGATCATCATCCCAAGCGTTTTATTGCCTCCAATTCCCTTCCGATTTAATATGACGACGTACCCGTCTGCCGCGCGTCAGTATTAGTGAAGCCACAACGCCGTTGCTTTATCGAATTCTCCATGGTACTTGAATGTCCCGTATTTTAATTATTGTAGTAGAATGCTATGACTACAGGCCGGATCCGAAGCAGTGTCGGATTGCGTCTTATTCGCGCAGGGGCGCATGATATATTATTCACTTCGTCCTTTCCTCGACGACGATACTATTTGGGGTCTTGTGGCCTAAGCAACTATACATCTCTCGAGGGTACAAGAAGCTTAGTATTACTCCCCGGAGATCCTGTACAAGAGCGTCCCATGTCCAAAAGCATCGAACCCACCCGAATTTGGCCCATAGTCGCCACCACCTCCTTCAACCTTTGCAGTGATGTTAAGGTTGACGTAATCACGATAGGCTTTGGACCACGATGCGTTGAGCCCGCGCGTGTCGGCATAGTGAGCAACGATGGCCTCAAATCCAGGTCGCACGGCGAAGCGCGATTTCTCGGAAACAACGGGGAGGATACCTTCCCAGCTACGGTAGGGAGTGTAGGGCACTGAATGATTCGTGTTGAACTTGGCTGTGTACTCAGCACTACCTCGCCACGTCAGCATTGTTTTCAGCCCTTTCATGTGCCGTGGCACACTGAGAAGACGCTTACCTGTTCAGAATCTGATTTCCAAACGCGCCATAGAGATCGAGTCCTTGGTTTTTCCCTTGCTGGCCTATGACGCCCAAGAGCGCCGTGCACAACGTGGCATGGCCCTGATCTCTCCCGCTTTCCTGCATCTCCATGAGCGTTTTCTTGCTGCCTTCCTCGGTGAAATTGGCAATGGAAAAGTACGGTAGAGCCCCATTCACAACAACGCTAGGGTCTGGAAGTCCATTCAGGAAAAGATTGACAGCCCAATTGTACATGGTGGAGTTATCGCTGTAGATGCCAATTGCCATGAGAGAAGCGATATTGCACAAGTCCCAGTTGGCGTAGTAAAAGTCGGGCTTGCCGTTGTGCTCGGTGAGAAAGAGGTGATTGTTTGATGCAAATACGGACGTGAGCATCTTGGAGAAAGCTCGTTGGTCCTCTTTTAGCCAGCCTGGGTAGATGCGCAATAATTCGGCAGCATTGGCAAACTGGTAGCCATATAAGCCCGCAGCCAGGAATCGGTCTTCGCTTCCATTGATCGATTTGAGGGTTGTGCCCCAAGCGTTCAGAATCTCCACCGCAGCATCGGCGAAACTGACGTTGTTGGTGACGATCCAGCGTAGCGTGAGCTGGTATGCCGAGTGTGCGTCGCGGTATGCATCGCCATAGTTTTGAGTGAGATTGGTACTGGGATCTGGTGGACCTCGGACAAGGACGGTTTGAGGGGTGGCTTTCCAAGTGGATTGGGCAAGTTTACTCGTCGACAAGTGAGTATAGGCAGCATACCAAGGCTCATCCTTGTTCTTCACACGCAATCTGATTCGTTCGATATCAGCAAAGGAGTGAAGCGCTCCTGGATGGTCAAACTTGACCACTTTGAAAGGGCCAGGATGAATGGAGGATGCGTGATGTGCTTTTGCGCTACATAGCGCAGCAACGCTCGCAATGGCGGTCAACACAGAAAAATGCATGGCTCAAAAGATGATATAGTAATGGTCCTCCTGGGGCATTTCGCTCTTATATGCTTGCTCACAACCTGGTAAATCCTGGTGGCATCGTCAAAGATATCCCGAATCTTCCCCACTCCTTTCTGCAAGCAATCTGCCACTTTCTCATTTTGCGGGGTATCCGGGGATGGTGAGGTGTCTGGGGATGGCGATCGTTCGACATGCATCGCGAAAAGTGCGGGCGGAGCGCGGCCCGGAACATGCCCCGGAGTCCGCTCCTAACGATGAGCATCGCTCCGAATGACCCCGCCTTTCCCCACGCCACTATTACAATCGCCCAACCTTTGCGAACAGTTCCTGCGGAGGAAATGCGGAGATGATGTCCACGGCCAACGTCTTCCACTTGATGCAGGAATTTAGCAGCATTTCTGCACATGTAATACCTCTTGTTTCCCTCCCAGAGATCAATTCGACGCGACTCAAGATTGCTCAGAGTACTTTCTCTACAGCTGTATCAATAGCAAATCCACTAGCCACCATGTCTCCTAGGGTACTTGAGACCAGTATCAATACGCCCGATGACGTGGAGAAAGACCTCGCCACCACGAAGCATGCGACCTTGCACTCCGAGATGGTCGATGGAGAGACCTTGAAATATACCACAGGACCACCGGTTGAAATTGATAAGGCCACAAACCGACGCCTTTTTTGGAAGATCAACCGCCGAATCCTGGTTATCCAGCTGGTCACATATTTCTGTCAATCACTTGACAAAGGGACTTTGAATTTCGCGTCTATCATGGGTATCAAAAAGGACGCACATCTGGTAGGACAGGAGGTACGTAACTCAGAACACCGTACATCTCGATCTTCTGACTCCCCTTGTAGTACCAATGGCTCGGCACAATCTTATACATCGGTATTCTTTGTGGAGAATGGCCTCAGAACTATCTGCTCCAAAGACTTCCCCTGGCTAAGATGTTGTCCGTAAACGTCTTCATATGGGGCGCTGTTGTCGCTTGCTCGGCTGCATGTTCCAATTTTGCATCCCTCATGGCGGTCCGATTCTTGTTGGGTTTCTTCGAGAGTTGCATCCAGCCGGCCATGATGCTATTGTAGGTCTTTATGTGCTATGGGATGCGCCGCGGCTGACAATCCTGCAGAACGTCAATGTGGTACACTCGGGAGGAGCAATCACTGCTAAATTCTCTCTGGTACTGTATGTCTGGGGTACAGCTGATGGTAAGAACCATGAATCTCAAGCAAGGTATACACTGACAACTGTAGGTTGGTGGACTCTTAGCTTTTGGCGTATCACACTTTACCGATGGACCGATCAAGAACTGGCAACTTCTATTCCTCGTACTGGGTCTTGCGACTTGTGTCTGGTCCTTTGCCATTGGGTATCTTCTTCCCGACAGTCCAATGGCAGCTAAATGCTATTCGGAAGATGAGAAGCGCTTGTTCATTGAGCGTGTCCGGCACAACGAGACCGGTATCAAGAACAAAGAGTACAAGAAGTATCAGGTCAAGGAAGCCTTCACCGATCCCTTTGTGTGGTGTTGTGTCGCGCTCATCACAGTCGCAAACCTCATTATTGGTGGCCTTGGCGTATTTTCAAACCTGATCATCCGCCAGTTTGGGTTTTCTCTATTGCAAACCCAGCTCCTGAACATCGCACAGGGAGCATGGTTGATTATCGTGATGATAGGATCTGCACAAGCTTGTCAACACTCGGGGCAAAACTGTCTGATGATGATTGTGAGTCATACGCTTACAGTCGTGAGCAATATACTGATGCTTTCCAGCTCTGGACCCTGCCTGCAATTGCCGGGACGATAGTGATCCTTATCGTCAAGCCGAACCCAAAGAACTCTGGTGGCATGCTCATCGCTTTCTACTGCACACAGTTCTTTTGCGCGCAGGGCAATATGATTATCTCGCTCATAACACGAAACATCGCCGGACAGACCAAGAAAGGCATGACTATGACCCTAGTTTTCATTGGGTGGTCTGTCGGCAATCTCATTGCGCCCCAGATCTTCCAAGAGAAGGACGCACCGAGGTATCTCCCTGGGTTTCTAGTACACATTGGAATTTATGGGGTGTATATCGGGCTAGTCATTGCCACACGCTTCGTCTTGATGGCGAGGAATCGTCGTAAGGAAAGTGTTGTGAGCGAAATTTCCCACGAGCTTGCTTTTGAGGATCTGACGGACACGGAAAACCCCAATTTCCGTTACGTTTATTAGGCTAGAAGCCTGAGAGAACACTGGTGAGGGGAAGTGGACGCTTGGTAGTGAGTGTGGTAGAGGAAGGTCTTTGGTAGAATAAAGTCTTAGGCACGGATGCAAAGTCTGGTTGATAGCCCCTTAACAAGCCCACCACGATTTATTTCACGATTGATCGTCTCCTGTATCGGCATTAAATATGTTGTTAGACGACGTGCGTGAAATTGCCATGGTTTGACGACACGTTCACAGTCGATCGTACTGCGCACAAATTGAGAGAATTTTCATTCTTATTCACCTGGCAAAGAAGAGAGCTTTACTCGGCAATACGGGCGCGTGAACCCCATTTCATACATGAATCCGGGTCCATTTAATCGAGCGCCAATGCAGAGCTGTTCATCGCCAGGGAGTCATACATTGATACCCTCAAATTGGTATTCGGAGTCGGACTGACGAGACCTTTGCTCTTCTTGCAAAGTGTGAACGGATTTTGCTCGCTTTCCAAAACCACACGTGCCCATCGTAGACTCAGTTGTACTATTGCGTCATAAATTGTGGGGTACATCGTGTGTCCAACGCCGGAATTCAGAGTCCGGGCTACGATAGCATGCCGTCAATGGGCAGACTAGCGCCCCTTGGGCGGCCCGTCACTTTTCCCGCCCTCCGCTGCCTCTTCCAAGACCGGCAAGATTCGCCGGAGATAACACCGGCTCCGCGTAGCAATAGGGTCGTCTAGATATTCCTCATGAACAAAGTAATGCTTTATTTTCCCTTGAGATTGTCCAGTTGCATACAGAGCCTTTGTGACGTATCTTTCCTATTGGCTACACATCATGTCGATAATCGCTGATAGACGTACGTTCGGACCAGAAAAGCATCCCATTTTCCATGAAGATATGACAGAGATAGTATTATCAACATCTTTAGAGTTTGCAAAAGAGCAAGAATCGGTAGATCCTGTAGGTGTTAAAGCTACTTCTTTTTCACCCTGGTCAGCTAACATGGCGAAGAGCTCGCGTTCGAATCCACTCGACAAATATTTATTGAACCTGTACACCCCTTCTGTCGAGGCGAAGATCTGGAGCATCGCGGCCAAAGGCTTGCAGCAATCATCACCGCCTACGTTATACCCAGAGTACACTAAACCTGGCGGCACCCATTATATCTATCGAAAGGCTGATTTCTGGACTTCTGGTTTCTTTCCCGGCAGCCTATATTTGTTGTTGGAGAGAAAGAAGAAACACTCACATGTCCTCGGCCAGGCGGGAGACTTGTGGGCAGGCAACCTACACCCTTTGAGTCTTGAGTAAGATCATTGATGAGTTATATCAGAGGTTTGACTGACATGGTTGCACAGATTTGCCTGCAAGTATTGGACGGAAAGCCTCCATTCCAATGCGCTACTCAGCAACACACACGATCTCGGCTTCATGATCATGCCCTGGGCGAAGGTGGCCTACGAATTGAATCATGACCTCCGTGCTCTGGACACCATCGAACGTGCAGCGCAGACATTGTTCTCCCGATACAACAGTAGCATGGGCTGCATCAGGTCGTGGGATAACTGTGTGACGAAGAAGTACAGTTTCCAAGATGTGAATTCTGAATTCATGGTCATCATTGTGAGTGCTCGGCTTTCTAAGTGTGGAGACGTGTAGTCTAACGCTGGCGAAGGATAATATGATGAATCTGGACCTGTTGTTCTATGCAGCTTCGAAAACTGGGAACGCAGATATGTTTTCTGCGGCAGTCCAGCACGCTCGTACAACTTCTCGGACACATATACGAGCCGATGGTTCGACTACACATCTGGTAGTGCTGGACCCACGGTCTGGCGATATCAGGCATCGTCTTACCAATCAAGGTCACTCGCATTCGTCATGCTGGGCACGTGGTCAAGCATGGGCGATAGCTGGATTTGCGGAGACTTATCACTGGACGCACGATGAAGACTTTCTGCATATCAGTCAACGAGTCGCAAATTACTTCATCGAGCATCTGCCAGATTCTGGAATCGTTCCATGGGACTTCGATGCGATTGAGCATGAAACCACATCCCAGCCATCGGACTCTAGTGCAGCGATGGTTGCAGCATATGGCATGCTGTTGATTCACGAAGGTCTTGTTCATCTAGGGCAATCTTCCAATTACCTCAGGGAGGCACTCAAGCTCACTCGGGCCGTCTGTGCTTACCAGATGAATCCTGAAGCCTCCTGGGTCGTTAGTGAGATAGTCATGGACACTGTCGAGTGTGGGTCCGTGAAGAAGACTGCCCAGGAGGCGAGCGTGGGCATAGGGGACACGATCTTAACAGGTGCTACGATTAACAACTATGAGTATGCACCAAGAAGATGGGCTAACCACGGCCTTGTGTATGCTGATTACTACTTTTTGCTCGTGGGGAATAAGATGCTGGAAATGGGTATCGATTTGTGTGGCATCCTTGTATAGTAGCAGTTATGAAATTGTCGAAGAAGGCAAAATAAATGTTTGATACAAGAACGTGTCAACCCATCGAATGCGAGAATGTGGATACTCGTTGATCGGGAAGAAATGGGTAATCGAGGAAAGAAGCTAAGTCTTCTAATGCTGAATCCTGTGCGAAGCCGGCATGCGCGTGCGCAAAGCTGGCTTGTTTCGTCGACTCTAGAGTTGGAGATGACATAGCAGTCTGATTCTTGCTTGACGATTGCGCTTGGAAAGCAAGAGGTAGCGGAGGGAAAGCCAATGTGATGCTGTCCGGGGTCTCGACCTGATCTATCGTCATTGGAAAGGCTTCACTCATTGAGTCCAGAGCATGCGATCCCGTGCCTGTGCCATTGAAAAGGCCCTCCGTCGACGCCAAGGTACCGCTAGAAGCATTAACGTCAAGGTCGGGTGGATTATCGGAGTAAGCTGCTTGTCGAAGATCTAAAGTCTGTAGCCCCGATTTTCTAGCGTGGACAAGCCGTATTGCGAACTTAGAGGCCAAATTGGTTTTCAGTGTAGAGTATTCTCCGTTCCAACGTTGTGCCATAACCTTGAGACTTTGAACAAGGCTGTTGAATGCCGGGGGTAAAGGGATCTCGTAGTAGAACGAATGGGCGAGGAGCATGCGACCGCATATAAACAGGCAGAACGCGAATTGTGGATTTGTGAGACACTGCGTGTTGAGGAGAAACTGTTCCGCAATGATCGAGACCTCTACGCTTGCTGCCATGCAAGTCTCAGCACTTGAACTGGTGGGTAATTTCATCGGGATCAATTGCCACTCTTGCGGAGGATAAGCTATACCTTGATGCAAAAGCACCACGGCAGTGTTGTGTGTAATGTGAGCCAAGGTCAGGTTTGGGTCCATGTTCCCGTCTGCATTGAGCGCGCATGCTTCGCGCCAACGCTCTGGCAAGAATATTTTCCATCTGTACAATGTTAACAACGGATTGGAGGGCACCAGTGCCATTACTTACTGAACAAGACGAAGGTCCAGTTGCTTGAACCTCATGAGCCAGACCTGCAAGTCGTGGGCTCTGGCTACGTCTACTGCTTGCTGCAGAAAGAAGGAGGTGACGAGGCTCAAACTTTCGGTGGCTTCAATGCAGTATGCAAAGCCACCAAGAGAAGCCTGATCTGCTGACTCCAGTCGGGCTGTAGGTAGCGAATTGACTGTAGTACCTGGAGGGTCTGATACACCGAAGAACGGCGTCGGCGTTTCCAAAGGACGGCCTTCGCCCCACAGCGCTCCCTCGCACGGTAAACGTCTTTTTACATCAGCACTTGTGAGACAAACATTCCACCCTGTCGCGATGCTGCAAAAGCGATCCATAAGGAAGACGTTCCAAAACACGCGTCGTCGCTCCTCGGCTTCGCTCCATGTCTGACACGGTCGAAGAAATGCTATTCGTTTGACCAGTGCATGCGTGTCCCTTCTGGAGAGACTGTCTGCCCCGTCTGCATCTTCTTCAATGCTTAACTGCAGTTGCTCTACTGTTCTTGCCATACTCCCCACTATAGACCAGGATGAAGGACCACGACCACTCCCTATTGTATCAAAGGCGCATATTATGAGAGCTTGAAGGCCCTCGACCGAGAAAGATTCCATGCTTTCCAATATGACTGCTTGGTGGTTGGATTTGGCCAATTTGGATCGAGATTCAAGGTCGCCAAGTCGTGGATCGTTGGAGAAGCGGATGCAGGTTGCTGTGATAGCACGCAGGATGATTCCCAGCTTCTTTCGCTCGGCCTCAATCCTCATCTTTCCTCGAAATTGTCGGACATGAAGAATGGGGATCCAAGGATGGATATGTACAAAGTAGAGGTCGACCAATGAGTCGACTAGCTCTGTAGGTAGCTTATAACCAGATTCAGTTGTGTCGGATCTTGATGCTGGTGATACACTATCGTCTTCAGCGGAGGTTCTTTGTCGCTTGTGTGCGATCGATAACCCCAATGCTTCGCTATTCCCGCTGCAGCGCTTCCGACCAAGAGCATCCAAATTCTGCTTCAGCTGATCGGTCTGGTCGCAAAGAGCATCCCTTAATGGTGAAGAGGATGTGGCCTGGCTATCGGTATTTTGTACATGGTTCCAAAGTCTTTGCCACAACAGACCTTGCCCGAGGAACATGTTTTCCAGTGCGTCAAGGCGACGATTGATGCGATCGATGGCACCAACCTTCATGCCGGGTTTGTTCTTTTCCTTGTCGTAAACGCAAGTTAATTCATTCTTGACGCATTGTGAACAGGGCATTTGCCGTGAACACTTCGACTTTCGCGTACGGCATGGCTGGCACGCTGGCCCAGTGCCCTTATCTTTCTTCGCATTGTCATTTTCGGCTTCTGATACCTCGACATCCAAGGGATCACAATCTTCCATCGATGCGAGGGTGTGCTTCGTAGGAGCGTGCCAGTTTGACCAGGATGCAGACCTCGCGTGCCGCGTGTTTCTCCACCTGGGCACCAGATCTAGGGCATCGCTGGATTGGGTCTAGTGGCGGGGTCCGGAGGAAAGGCGGGGGCTGCGCCCGGCACCACTCTATTATGGACGTCGCGTGGAACCGAGGTCCTGCTCACGCTAGACCGGTGCTGGCCGTACATTCCATGGGCATCACGTCGCTCGCACCTAATACGTCCTCAAGATTCTCCAGAAATACTCACTTGGCGTAGACCGTACTGATGTCTACTAAGATGGTGCAAGCTTTGCTTCTGTGGCGGTGAAATCCCGGACCGGAGCCGACACGAGTATTAGCTATGTTTAAACTCGACCCTCTTATGCCTTTCAACGCATCAATTCTTCAGGCATGAACTGCAAGAGATGAATGAGTTTCCAATTACTTTTCACACTACACCGTCCTTGGTCATGTCAAATCTTCAAGTGAGTGGCCGGGGCCCTATACCTCGCAGCATCACATACGACAAAAGCTTTGACATTCTCGCCCGGCTTGCTGAATCCGAGGAAAGCAGCGACGACGCATGGGTTCCAGCCACAGCATACACCACCAGAGTCGCAGATGTCGACACCACGAGGAATGAATTCAATACGTACCCAGTTGCTGTCGCATCTTTGAGTGTAACGCCCAGGAGGAACCTGCACCTTAGGATCTGTTACAAAGCCGGACAAGTCGAGACTGCCTCCGTACTTCCTGCCTCGCATAATATTGTTCCAACGATAGAAGGCAACACTATCACCTTTAGTCTGGACCGTGCGCTTGACCTGATGCTTGAGATTAACGGAGATAAATGGCAAGCGCTACATCTTTTGGTCAACACAATCGACGATGGGGATCCTAAGGGAGATGAAGAAGGAGTCTGGTATTTCGGCCCGGGGGTCAACAAGAGCTCAGCGACTGAGAAGATATCTGACGGGATGTTGGTCGTGCCCTCGAATACAACGGTATATCTCGCAAGAGATGCTTTTGTCACAGCGCAAATTGTTTTCGCCAACGTCGAGAACTCTGCCATCAAAGGGCCTGGATTCATATGCCGCGACGACTACGATGCATCTCTTTCTTCCAGACCTAGGGAATTAGCTGGGGGAGCCATACTCATCGAACGGTCCCGGAACATACTGGTGCAGCAAGTAACTTCTCTCCGCTCATTTGGTTTCAGTCTCCCTATTGGACAAGGACGAGACATCCACATTGACTGCTACCGTTCTTTCTCTTCACACGGCAATGGTGACGGCATCGATCTGTTCTGTTGCCAACACATCGTGATAGAGAATTGCTTCCTGCGCAACTCTGACGATACCATCGCCATCTACGGCCATCGGTGGGAATATCAGGGCGACACCGAAGATATTCGTATCAGAAATTGTACACTGTTGCCGGATATAGCCCATCCCATACAAATTGGTACACATGGCCACCCTGAAGTTCCAGAAACTCTTAGCAACATTCACATCAGCAACATAGACATCTTGGATCATTCCGAAAACCAGCTATGGTACCAAGGCTGCATTGCGATTAACGCAGGCGACGCGAATCTAGTACAAGATATCCTCGTTGAGAACGTCAGAGTTGAGAGAATTACACGAGGCCAACTGTTCAACATACGGGTGATGAAGAACGCCATGTGGACGACTGCTCCGGGCCTTGGAATAAGGAATGTGACTTTTCGAAACATCGAATTCAATCTCGATAAATCGAAAACAGTCAACCCTTCCCAAATTCTTGGCTTCGATGCAAGCAGACCAGTTGAGAATGTCACCTTTGAAAACCTCAAGGTTGGCGGCTCATTGATTCACGATCATATGTCAAAGCCAAGGTGGTACCTAACGTCGGACTTTATTCCCATGTTCGTGAACGAGCATGCGAATAATGTCACGTTTAGGTTAGGGAACTAGCTTACTGTTATAAGGGGTTTCTATTTACCTAGACTAGGTTCGGACCTTATAGGTATTTAGTAATCTAAGTGTTAGGGATAGTAGTGTTACAATCAGAACACGAAACCATCAGTCTTCTCTCAGTATCGTTGTATCGTACGAAGTATGATGTCGGATATTCACCACACCCTCTTTGGTACCGCCATCCCTCACGCTAAAAACACCAAATACCCTCCAGGTCCGAACCTGGTCCAGGTAAGTGGAAACCCCTTGTAACACTAGGCTAATATAGGTAGTTTCAATATCTATATTAATAAAGGCGAGATTGAGTAGGAGTGTAAATATGTTAGTGGGAGTATAGCGAATAATCCCTCTATAAAGGAGTAGCGGTTAATGGTTCTGGGAGGAAGAGAAGGGCCATAAGGTGTTTTCGTATAGACCAGCACTAACTTATGTCAGCATCCTACACTAATACAGCGATCGTGCGTACGTTTTACTAAAATTTTCTAGAAAGATCTAGAGTTTATGGTAGAGATTTACCCTATCGGTCGCAAATTAATCTAGACTGATGAAGTCTCGGAGGTATGTGTACACACCAATCGTCCCACTCCTGGCTGGGACTAGGGTCGCATCACACGCTACCACATATCTTCTTATCATTTGTAGTTGATATAATGGAGACGTTGTGACTCGTCTGATGTATCATTCTTAGGGAAGTCGTGCCCATTTCGTAAAAGGATGGCGGCGTAAGCATGAGATGATGCAACATCTGACGACTAATTCGGAGCGTCTGGATATGCCACATGACCACTTCGTATTCCCCTTCGTGGCGAGGCACAGTCATCTCGCCAAGGAAGATGCTGCCTGGGTTGCTCCAACAATTATAAGGACAGTTTACATTCTCGAACATTTGCGAGGCCATGTTTCACCGAGTGATATCAAGTCTTTGTGGCAGAGTCATTTTTCTTCTCGGTGATTTGCGACGTTGCCTTTCTCATAGGATCAGAAGGCAGTGTCTCAATGTTTTGAAGTTTCAAGAGAAGGCATAACTGCTGATCGATAATTAGAGGGTTTCCAGTCAAGGAAGTTTTTGATAAGAGCACGTTCAAGGTTACATACCACACTGGTAAAATGGTATAAAGTGGAGGCTTAGGATTGCTTATAGGAAGATCTATAGAGAGAACAATGAGCTCACATCAATCTTACTTTGCTCATCATCTTACAACTGTTTAGTTTCAAGCCATACTACTGCATTCAACTAATCCCTACACTTCATATTCGTTGCATCTCTCGTCCGCAGACCGCTGAAGTACTTGTGGCCACGATGAAATTTCTCACTCTGAGAGCGTTGGCGGGCCTCCTTGTAATCTGCCCGCTCCTTCATGCTGCACCTACGGCTACGCCGGCTGTATTAGGTCATGCAGCCATCAAAAGCCCAACATTGTACCAGCATCGCTGGGATGATATCCATGATAAACCCATCCCGAACTCTGTCACAAAGGAGGAATACAACACTTGGATCGGAGAGACGGACAACAACATCTCATCCAAGCGTTCTTGATACAATGGCCCCGATATTTATGCCGCGTCTGAGAGGACTAGCGCCTCGGAGCTCATCGAGGCGTCTGGAAGCACAACAATTGTCAAGCGTCAAAGGCAACCGATGCGACAATGGATCAACTGGGGCGATACCTGGATTACCTTCATTCCCGAGGAGCCTGGCTGGACGGGTGATAATATCAAGGAATTTTCCAGGTTGGGCTATGCCGATATTGTAAATAGGAGAGGTAGTGAGTGGACAATGGTCGCTGCCTCTGGATCCCTGGAAGAGGCTGCTATCTAGGCTCCATCCCGAAAGATGATGGAGTAGTTATGTTCGAACGAACCGCTGCCAATGTCGCACCAGTACTATGGCACCAGATCGGAAATTGTCAGATGTTCACCGGCATCACAAAGTAGCACGCTGAAGACATGGCCTGTTACTTACACGAACAGCGTACAGGCACGTAACAAAATGGCCAGTACCCAGATGGTTCTGTGGTCTTTACCTATGGCCAAAGCAGATAGAGGCCAGGCCCAGGTCCAAGGCCTGCTTACAGCCCAGATTAGGCAGGAATCGATCCGTCTTGCAGAATCGCCATACAGGGATTGAATGTCGGAACTAGTTGGAGCGGATAGACCTGTACGCGCTGGTAGAGCAGACAGTCTTTGTGTTGCATGCGCGATTTCCTATGGGTAGGGTATTCGCCTATGCATCCGCTCGTTTCGTTGGGTACTTGTCGCAATCTATTGGATGTCTTGCTTCACAATCTGGCCCCTAAATCTACTCATCTGTCATCGAATACCAGAACTTTCTTGGTACCCATTCTCCCTGACGCTTACTCTTCCCTGGGAGAGCGTACATGCAAGTATCATAGAACAACGCCCTTACTTTTGACTCTCCACTTACAGCTGGATCCAAGGAGATAAGCAGTTTCGGCCTCCCGTCTACAACCCAGAAATCCTGTCTCGGGTTACAGCTGTTCACTGCGCCACGCAACAGTCGTGCCCAATATTTCCAGTGCTCAACAGCGAAACCCGAAGCCGCTACCATTGCCGCCAATAACTCCGGAACTAGGATGCCATCGTCGTTTCGTACGTTAATATTGTGTAAAGCTTTCCGCACTCGCGGCTTATTCATCATTGGGATCCAGGTGCTGACGTTGAGGGAGACGACAGGTGGCTGGGTTGCGACTTGTGTGGCGAGGTAGCTCATCGCCGCTGATGGCAATGCATCCCAAGCCAGCCCGCCATTTATGAAGCATGAAGGCTGTAGACTGATCTAACACAGGCCGTTAATCACCTCAAGTGAGTGTTGAAAGAGGTCCGAGAAGTTTGGATTGAGTTTGAACTGCGTAATATCGACCCACTTCGGCAAATGCACGTGGTCCATGCGATACCAAAAGGAGGGCCGGATGTCGTTAAAATCTAACTGGATGCAGTACGCTAACTTTACTGCAAAGATCGCGTGGGAAGTCGAGTTTGGAGCCATAGTGATTCGACCAGGGTGGCAGTTTCGATGATGTTAGGTTCATTGGGGTACTCGAAGCGTGCCACGCTTCGAAATACGTTTCCTCGTTTTGCACCCCATATAACATCGAGTAAGACGTCGGAAACGACCCATTCGAGTTCTTCGGCTGTGGCGGGAAGCCAGTTGAGATGTCGCGGGACTCGATCGCCAAATTTGACTGGAGGACATGGGTAGGGACGGGCGAAATCATATTTTGCGCCGGATGGCTTCATGATATACAAAGCTACGTCTCTCCACGTATGGAAGACACCCAGAGCAGTAAGGTGGGCTGAGCTATCGGCCTGGCGGAGTATCCTTTCTAGGAGTTCTGTGGTTTGGAAGACGCGGTTGCTGGCCGAGCTGTTACTAGGGGTAGAGAGAATCTTAGCCAGCGGAGACGATTGTGTGGACTGCTTAATCCCATTCAAGTCGTATGAAGCAATGCGAGTGTCGACCAGCTGGAGCCAAGTACGTCTGCATTCTCTCAAACGTTCTTGCTCGGTGTCTATGATCGCCGAAAATTCTTCCGGTTGCAGGCTCCACGGTACCTGGCCTTTTGAGTAATCGGTAGGACTCATGTACTGAAAGTCGCCTATTGTGTCCATAGTACTCTTCTAGAGTCAACTCGCGGTACGTTCGGGTTTCGCTTAGAGTTCAGTCGAGTCTTGAGCGAGGGTCGTTCTACGGGTGCAGACGGTAGGTCGAACAGGCTGTTTGGTCAAAATACGTCGAGATTGCTGTGCCTCTTGAATAAAAAAAAGGGCGGAGTCGGGCGCTTATCTTTACGGGTTCTAGAGATGTTCGCCGATATCAGACCCAATTTCAAACAGGACCCCTCACCATCATTTATTACTTTAGCATGTGTACACGTTAACGAGACCAACTAATCAAGACCGTGCCACAAACATGATAAGCTGGCCAAGCAAGAGCTGGCGATCCCTTGGACAGAGAGGCCGCATAAAGGAGGCAAGGAACTATGCCACCGAACGCCTATCTCCCTGGGGCTGTTGCGTATCTAACCTAATGCATCTCATTTAGGAACTACGCTTGGATCTACCCCCTATGTATTTACTATTTCTCCTGAAGCTCGTAGAATAGCTTAAGTTTATCTTATTTAGCTATTACGTTAAGTCTCCTTATAAAAAAACTGAACCACTGCCCCAGCCAGCGCGGCCAACAGTCCGTACTACGGGCCATATTATATGGCCCGTAATTAACTTTTGGCCGTCCGTACCGTAGAGATCTCGCGTCTATAGAGTTGTCGTACTGTAGTGAAAATGAAGCCGTAATACGGCCGTATATTACCTGATTAAGAAGGAGGCGTGAGTGGCGTCGGATGTGGCAGATCTGGGCTGCTTTAGGCGTAGGATGTACCCACATCGGGCGAATGTGGATCCTCAACTCTTGACTTTTCGTCCGCCTTGTTTCCTACACGGACGGAGGATTATTTTGACAGCCTACTCGAGGATCTGCAACTCGCCGACGAACACATGTCAAAGCTCCTCGACGACCGACACCGTTGGTGGGTAGAAATCGGCCAAACAATGTATTCTATACTGTACAAGATGGCGATGAATTACCTTGCAGTGCTAGCGACGTCGTGTGACTGCGAGAGGTGTTTCTCGTCCGCCAAACGTACAGTCACGTGTGATCGTAACTCACTATCGCCAGCGGTAATAGAAGCTTGCCAGCTACAAAAGAACTAGCTGAGGAGAAACACCGTCCCGAGTTACCTCAAGGACCTCACGGAGTATATAGATGGACGAGATTTCTCCTTTTTGGCAGTCGACGAAGCTCCGGACGACGACGACCTGGACGCTTAACCCACGCCACCTTCCTAATTAGGAAATCTATATATTATTTTCCACCGCATTTTCGCCGTAAAAAGCTCAAATTGTTTATTACGGCTCACTCACGGTACCGTAGAGGTCTCTCCGCCGTAACGTACGTACGGTAATAACTAGCAACCGTAACGTAACCGTAACTAGGTCTCACTAGCCGTATTATCTCTCGTTGCAAGCGCTGGACAGGAGGTCCGGGCTGAAACGAGTTAGCCACATCTTGGATACAATTGCCGACTGCATAGTAGTGCGTCTCACTTCCTAGGTGATGAGCCTCCAGATACTGATGCTACCATCCAACCTGCCGTCTGGGGCACCTGGGACTGAACTATACCCCGATGCGGCAGGTCGTACGAGAAAAGGCGGGTCGGTATAGTGGGCCAATTTTGATATATAAAATTAAATTTTCGTTACTTGGTGTAGACATGCCTGCCTACTACGCCGCAGAGCCGCATTTGTTAACATCGACTGAGTTTAGCTTAGCGAACACAGATTTCCGTCCAGACCTGCAGTTGACCAGAGTGTTCGGCAATTCACGTAGGCCTGAGCCAGACCTTCAAAGCGCAACAGCCAACTTGCGTGCTAGACGACCGGCTTTGGCTCCTCGTCCACCTTAGTTGATGCGCTGCTAGTGTAAATTGCTTTCCGCGCTGTCGCATCATGATTAAGCGTTGTATTCGTGATACCTAGCCAAGAACGCCCCCAAATTTCTTCTATTGTCTGTGCCCAGGTCTCCACTATCACTTTTCACATACAGCAAATCTCAGTCTGCTCGCACACTTGCTCGGATACCGAATGATATACCCAGACAGGTAAGAAACATTCTTGATACTTACGGTCCGCTGTCTCCTGCGTCCGTCCCTATCTATTCTCAGAAGCGTCAGGATGCCTCCGGGGGGTCGTGTAGTTTAGGCGAGATGAATTATCGACTAAGATTCTGTAGAAGTATCACGCCACGCGGAGCGAATTGGGACGTTTCAGAGATCCAGTTTCACATTTTAGTCGCAACACCATAGAAAGTCAATCATTCTTTGGGTGCAAGTATCGACGCCACTAGCCATAGCAGGCATTCGAGGGACGGGACAGTACCGCCCCAATCACCTGAGCACACGAGCCAATCTTCGGAGAATGGCGACCTTCCATCCATTTCCGCGTCTGCCAATCGAGCTCCGTGAGCGGATTTGGGAGCTTACCGCCGAGTCTCGCGTTCTCGACGTGCTAGTGTACAAACGCCGCCTGCTGAAAACGTCCACGTCGGTGCCAGCTCCGCTACAGACTTGTCAAGAGTCCAGACATGAGCTACAAAGGCTCTATCAGCGCGGGTTTTTTGAGCTTGATAAACGCCCTGAGAAGCGTTATATCTGGGTCAATTTCGAGATCGACATAATCTTTGTTGACTCAGACCTTTTCGATATATAAAAACCAGTTGCATCATTGATACAACGTCTCCAATTCGAGGGGGAGAATACCGACACTATTTTCTACCACTTCAGCATGAAGCGCCTCTCAATGTTCAAGAACACTAAAGAGGTGTATGTCATCTGTAAAGATGGTTTCAATGGCTGGTGGGGTGCTCTTGAAGACCACGAATGGCCTTGCGACGTGGAAAGCATCTGGATGATCGATTCGAGCGATGGAAAGATGATGAAAGGGATCGATGTGGAGGCAATGTGTGAGAGGGAAGCTAGGCAACGGAACCTTGAAGTTGGATATGACTATGACACAAGTTTGCCCTTAGGCTGTACGGAACTTTGTACCAATTGTCTTGAAGTTCATATACTTGAGCTAGACGTTGTTGGGGAAGAGAGTTTAGGCAAGACTTGATGTTGTTTGAGTTAATGCTACAACCTGATCCATGACCGCTAGCATGATTAGATGTTGAGGAGAGTCGTTAGAGAAATGGATAAGGATGTAGGAGCCATATTGAGTTTAGTCCAAGGAGTATTGAGGAACGAGAGTTGGAAGACTAGAGAGTTTGCTGTTGAGAAGTGAGCATTGATAGTGTGAGTGTAGCGCTAGGTTGCGTAGCAAGGTTAGCACAAGGTGTAGGTAGAGCCGCGGCTTCGTAGCGGAGCGCGCGAGCTAGGTCATTATGGATCTATTATCATAAAAATAGCATACTACTAGCCCAAAGTAATCCAGGTGTCAACTGGATTGTTTGCCTCCCAGTACTCTGTGAGAATCCGGCCACAACCGGCTCTATACATAATCCCGTCACCTCCATGCTGTACCCAGAGAACATTGTAAAAATCGTACACCTGATCCTTCATATACTCATTATCTGACACCTTCAGATCTATCTCGTAGTCTCCTGTTGCAACAACTCGGTGATGACTCTCTCCAGGTGACGGAGTTATATATTCGACACCGATCCACCGCTCCTCGTCATCGTGTACAGGCCGAAACGCCTTCGCGTCACGATATCTGCTCATTGCGAATACTCTTTCCTCAAAGGAATGTCTCAAGTCCTTACCATTTGCACTGCCTCGTGAGATGGCGACAAGCTCCATAGGCTCTCCTCGCTTACAATCTGAATTCCCTGTAATACAAAGTAGGCCAGAGAATCGCATCATTGAGTCTCGAAGGACAACCACTCTGGGCTTTTTGCATATGTCTTTTTCAGATAAGACTGGGTTTGCGAAGCCACCGAGCAACCCCGCTGCATCCATGAATTGCCATCCCTCTTGGAAGCGAATTTCTAGGGTAGCTGCTGGGAAAAAGGATGCGTGCATTGCTAGGGCTGAGATATGGTTCGAGTGTGTCGATACACCAGAACCATTGTGTAATGGCGATTGGAGTGACGAGATGTTCTGTGTCTGATTCCTGAGCCTTTGTAGTGGCTCATCAAACTTGAAGGGCTCTTGTTTTGAGGCTGCTGTATATTCCCACGTGATAATGCTGCAGAGTTTCCAAGAGCTTGTAGTATCTCTCATACAATAACTATCTCCGCCCAGGTTTAGAGCTGCCTGGAAGCTCCGAGGGTCGACAAAACATTGCCATCCACACCAAGCCCAAGATGGGAGGGTATGTCTCCGACTTGATAGAGTAAGACTTCCAGGGCATCCATCAGCCAAAGCTTTACATTCGGGAGTGTCAAGTTGCCGACTCAAAGGCTGCCAAAGCAGTGCATAGTCAAGGTAGATCCTTGGCAATCCAAATAGGAAGCCACTGGGGAATGCTGGAGCCAGGCGATTCAGTATTCCCAAGCATGCGGAAAGGCCGTCTTTGTCATATGACAGATCTCGCCCGTTGTAGGGACAAATCAAATCGGCATAAAGGCCAAAATCGGGCCATGACGGCACTGAGAAAGACCTGGTGTGCCCTGAAGTGGAAGAAGGTACAGTTTGAGCTTCCATGTCCTGTTTTGGTTGAAGATGGTCCTTATCCCAAACTGTGCACTCACACTGCCAGAAAATTCGAGTGTCAAGAAAGAAGATGACGCGTTTGCTGAGGATATATTCTTGATAGGTCCATGCCCTTTTCGCCCATTTTGATCGCGAAACAATACCATAGTACTGCCTGATACGAAGATGCTGCGGGATCTCAAAATTCGCAAACCAATCATTTGGAGATGCCAATGCAGGATCGTGAACAGTTCCGCCGCGGTTGCAGTACATCCCATGTTTTGCAGCAGCAACAATTGTCATATAAGCACCAGAGTAGATCTGATCCATGCGCATGAACTCTTCTTCCTTCCTCGGATGGTCTTGCACGATGCAAAGCCTGTCCACCCACAAGTACCTTTTTTGAATCGCGATCGTCAGCTCCATAGCGTCTCGAATGGTCTTTGGTAGCTGTGATATGTATTGCCTCATGGAATTGGGTGCAGTTAGGGAGTCGGCATTATCAAGGGATAATTGGAATTGCTGCTGATCTTCGGTTTTCATCGTGTCGTCTTGCCAAACATAGCTGAGCGCAAGGTATTCGCCTTGGACATTCCCTCGTACTATGCACTGCTCCTCAACGTCGATCAGCCGATAAGGACGCGATGAAAACTTCGTGCTTGAAGTGTTTGATTCGACACATGAGCCGATGTGACGACTGTCGCAAGTCTTGAGCCATTCTGTTATTGGTTCGATGATGTCTGCTGTAGGCAAAGGATTTCCCATCTCGGCAACGAGATCTGAGCTGTTGAATGACTGAGTTATTCAGGGGGGAAAGATATGGCATAAACTTATATGGGAGTAAGTATCAATGGACGAAAGCTCGGGGAGTGCCAAAAGTCGGCACTCATCCTCTAATTTTGTACGCTTTGGCTACGACTGGTATGTAGACTAAACTCAGGTCGGAAAGCTGAGCTGAGCGTATACGTCGTGCCACCACTCAGCCACGCCGAGAACAAATTAGTACCACGGTGGCTGGTAGCTTCGAAGCTCACAGGAACGAGACCAACCACAAAATCCCTTTGGGACAAACACACACCACCAAATGTTCAGTCCGCACCGACAGCCACATTTTAAGGCCTCCCTTACAGCTGCATACTCCCTTCCACCGGCGCATATTCTGGCAACAGCGACATTCATCACAGCTCGTACTACTGCACACAAGGTTTCCCTTGTAACACCCTAAGAAAAATCACAAGATTCACTCGGTACCTCGCCATCCTATACATGCAATTGCTACAGGAAGCGAAAGTCTTTAAGGGTAACTATCCTGTTTACTAGTGTTAAGGATGGTTCTAAGTGCGCAAGTACGTTAGGCTATATAGGCCACCATACGTTCCTGTCACACCAATCATGCCGCAGGACTTATAAATCTACTTTTTGGACGCATCTCTTCGGTAACATGAGCCGTATCAGTCATACATCATAGTGTTACACTATCCAACGGCTTCCTGGCATACGTTTAGCGACAGGAATGTACTTTTCGCCGCTATTGAGGTACATCACAAGAGGTCGTACAAACATAATCTAGACCACAGTATCGCCCAAAGTGTTCTGAAGATGCACAGAAAGGCTACTACTAGATTCGAATATCGATTATCACCAAACCGATAAGCAGCGACGGATTTGATAAAATCCGTGCTAAAATAGATTTAACGTTAGGGTTCGAGCGCTCTAGGATTATGTCACGGTAACCCCAGGCTACCTGACAAGCATGGATATACTGCTGACAGTAGTATATCTCAGAGGTATCGCGCGCTGGCAGCTAGCCAATAGAACAGAATACGGGTGACCCGTCTGCTAGTTGATTGGCCGAATCATGGCGCTAGCTACCCTTGGTAAGGGCACGCGACGAAGCGAGATGATAGATCCACGTTGGCTAAGGGGAAGAGGTCCTTTTCTCCTTATCCAACGTCTTGTACCTACACGTAGATACCGAACGCAGTAATATCAGTCTGGCCTACCAGACCGCAGACGTCTCTACTCGTTACTCTCGTGAAATCCTACATATAGCTTATATACGCATATAGGACTTACTCCATTACTATATTTATATTTTTAAACTAGTGAGCTTGGTGATCTATAAGAGCCGCGGAGATGGAGTCTTGGGCCCTAATTGCTGGCCGCTATGCTGTGTATACGTCGCTGGCAACGGGCTGGATTTGGGGACGACGATTTGTGCGGAGGCAAGCTATCTTAACGACTATATTGACGACGTATACAATACCAACTACTCAATTGGGAAATTAGCAGCTAAAGATAAAAATACACCAAGGCGAACAAGCCGACCAAGCCGACCAAGCCTCAACTCCAACTAAGCCTATCAAGCCAAGCCTCAACACCAAACAACTCCATCAGGCCAAGCCGGAGCTGTTGGCTTGTTCCGGTAATACCGAGCCTAGTGTTACCACTGTAGCATTAAGATTCTCCTAAGATACAGCAGGTCGCACCATGCACGCACAGGTTTTGGCAAGACCCCTCAAATTAATACCAAGGTGCTCCAGAAGCTGATGATGCAGATGCAGATGCAGATGCAGATGCAGATGCTGAAGAGGTGCTTCGTCCGTAATGAATCCGTGGATCATCCCTCTTTGGTGGCTCAGGCACACCAAACCTCGGACCTCGATTGAAACTCGCATCCTCTGGCGATGAAGAAACCTCGATTCTGACTTTTATTGAAGGAGACAGAGTTGTAGAGACGTGCGCCAAAACCGTGTAGTTGTGACGGTAGTCTCTATGAATGATCGAGACGGCTCGATCCTCTCTCTCCCCTGGCCGCAGCACAGAGAGACTGAAAGCGTCCCCCAAAGGACCATATTGGTCAATCTCGTTGAATGGATCGATGAATTCGGGCGGCTTTGAACTGCTCTGGAGACCTGTCTGAGCATAAAGACTGAGGCGGAAGTCCGGTCCGCTGGTCAAATCGCAAACCACGAGGAACCCCGTAGTTTGCTCAGTGGTTGTTCCCCACTGCGACGAAGCCCTCGATGTGATAGAAAAACGGACAAAGCCGTCAAAGTTTGAAAGTGCGCCTATGGAGAAGTACCGCTCATGCATATTCCAGTAAGTTTCAGGAACGGCTCTGAAGTCGTGTAGCATGTAATTCTGCGTGGTTGAGGGAAACTCGAAGATGATCTTTCTGCAGTCCTTCTCCTTCGCCAGAGAGTCCCCGATTTCCTCATCTGCAGTTGATGCAAGGAAAAGAGGACGAAGAACCCGCACTGATGGAACCATCCCTCCCAGAGCAGTTTCGTGCGGCAGGTATCGAAAGTAAGTGTCCAGGGCTCGTTGCAGATAGATGCCCAATCGTTGCGATGGACCAGTTGATAAACTCTCATCATAGCAATGCAAGTCCATAATATATTTGCCATTAGACTCGAACTTGACAGGCGTCCGAATCTTCACTCCACGGTTGGTTAGATTTATTTCGTCCCGAAACCGGAATTGGTCATCACTTAGCTCGACAAATCCGCAGTGAAGAAATTCGGCTGGAGATTCCGCAAGAATGCCTCGATGCTTCTTTGAATCATCTCTAGCCTTCCACGCAAAGATGGAGAGGTCTGTGGTTTTGGATAGAATCGCTTCTTGCAACCGGATGAACGCCTTTAGTTCTTCGCCGTAGATCATGGGTATGTTGACATCAAAGATGCCTAAGAGGCAATATGCCTTATCTTCGACACGCGTAGTCTCTCGCGCAGCTGCCCATGACATGCGTTTCGCCAGGGATATGGACGAGAGTGATTTTTGGCCGTCCAATACCCATCGACTGATTCCAGTAATCGACTCGATCATGACTGCAAGATCAGACTTGGTCCCTACGAAATTCCAGCTCTCATCGACGAATACGAGATTGGTCGGCGCAACGAGCTCTTGCAAAGTCCAGCCCCTGGTCCACCATCTGCATTTCTGCAGAACTGATAACTCCACACTGTTGTCGCTGGCTGGCAGATCGAAGAGGAATGCAAAGCAAACAGTAGCATTCTTATACCAGCGGAACATTGAATTGATACATTCGGACAGCTCGGCGCTAGAAGATTTGTCGATGCAGCAAGTGTCTATCCAGATATACTCAAGACCATGGTCTTGTGTCTTTAAGCAAGCCGAGAGGATCTTAGCATATCCAACACGTGTTTGCGCAGTCGAAATATCTTTCATACAGTCGAAAGTCACTTCTTCGTCAGCCCAGGTGTGCGACAAGATAGCGTAGGGAATACTCTCTGGAATGGGATCAGGAAACACCTCGAGCTCGAGGGTGAAGGCGTTGAGAAGCCTCATCTTATCCTGGGGCGGGAGACACGATACTACAATTCGGAGATTCAGCAGAAAGGGAGTATAAAAACAGTAGAATTCGTACGACAACCTTCTTGAGGATTCGGAAGGCTCCTTTTACCTTATAAGTGCTGTAGTTAGACTTGAAAAACACAGTGGATAACTTGGTGAACTCTATTGATGCTTCACCAATGCTGCGCCACCACACTCGCTCAAGCTTCGCCACCACACTCGCTAAGCTTCGCCTCCACCACCTGAGCATCCACTGTCCAAATGCTCCGCCAATACGATGCACGTCGCTCGTTGACTCAGCCCACGAAATAAAGAAGACGGCGGAACTCCGAATGAGTGCAACTCTACACTAGAATTGCTCCTACTTTGCAGGACCATTGTGTCTCTGAACAGGACCTTCCTCCGAGACTTCCGAAGTCCAGGCAAAACTGTTCAGCCGCAGTCAAGCCAGGGCTAACTTTTGGGACATGATTAATTGCGGAAAAGGTGATGAATATAAGTTAGACTTCGCAGCTTGGGTCCCTCCCCCAAGGTGCAATCCGATTGTGGCTAAAGGCTGTGCTCGGAACCTGTTGGCGTCCGCCCGTTACAAGCGGAAACGATGCCTAAGGTCCTGCACGACGTCACGAGGCACACAGTGTAACGAGATACTTTCCTTATATATACGTCGACAATCATGGTAAAGCGCAGATACATGCTCGTTACTAACGAATTTAGTACACTATGTCTGTACATGCACCCCTGGGCCAGTTTGTAACCGGATCGCTGCAGGGCTGGCAAATACTCGTCGAGCTGCGACGTACGTTTCTGGCGCTTGTGTCCCTTCTTGCCCGTGAGAAGGTGGTCGTCCACGAGCATTGTGCGGAGTCTCCGCTCGTCGCTGGCATACGCACCAGGCACCTTGCGCGTGCGCGGGACCTCCGGGAGCTCGTCGAGGTCGCCGTCGTCGAGTTTCTCGGCCGCCAAATATTGTTTATATACGTCCCGAATCGATTTCTCCGCTGCTTTATGCCATACGGGGTGAGCCTTCCACTGAGTCTTGAACCATGAGAGGCGTACGCTGGGGCGTATGGCCGTCGCCACGCAATAGAGGCTCGGTGTATGGTCGTCTGGCAACATCAGCTTTGTGAAATATGTGATCAACTTTTCGAGGGCGAGATTTACGCCAGAGACCATATAATCCCTCTGCTAGAAGCTCTCGATTTGATAGACGCTCCGCTCGTCGCTGCCGCTGAGAAATGCACATATTTCTTGTATATTGACCACTGTCTGCCACAGTGAGCCGAAACCGTTGGCAGAGGCGTTGCCTTCCAGCGAATTCGAATTTTCATAGAAGATCTACAAGACCTCAGCCATGACGCGGATCTCGTCCCACTCGTCGTCCGTCAAACTGTCGACTGTACGATTATATTTCCCATCCGTGGTGGAGCTGTCGGCGCGGGCGAGCTTGAAAAAACGTCGGATGCTATCGCGAAGATCGAGGCAGCGGAGCAACATGAGATAGACGCTGTGCCACCGGATCCCGCCGTCCATTATCAAATTAAGTGTGGAGAAGCTGAAGAGCTTGTCCCTATCAAGCACGTCTCGCTGAATTGTCTGAAAAGCTCGTCGACGTTTGTGGGAGTTGCAGATCGAGTGGACGAAGTTGTGGAGCTTGCCGACGGCACCGCGGGCCCGGAACATCACATATTGATCCTCAGGCGACGCCTTTGCCAGCTCTGCTTCGAAGTTGCTCACGCCGCTGCCGTATATAAGTGCTTTCGACAGGAGGTTGATTGTATGGCCTGCACAACGTATGCGAAGATTGCTGGCGATGTGGAGGTCTTCTGGGGTGATATCGTCGAGCTCGCGGAGGACGGTCGTGCCATTGTTGGCGGCATTGTCACCCACAAAACAGTGGAGTTTTTTGACGAAATCGAACTCGCTGACGACGGTAAGGGTAATCTGAGCCTTCGCAGCGCCCGTATAATCACAGAAAAGAGGCCGAAAGGCGATAAGTAGGTCGCGTTGATGGTGGAGAGAATCTACAGAAGCTGCAGGGCAGCGATGCGGGACTTGGTGTTGTGCCAGAGATACGCTAAAGCGTGTAAATCCGATTATCTCCGGTCGGCCCGGCGTTGTTCCGGTTGAAAACACCGACTTACCGACGAAGTGAGCGACAACTCCAAGAAAGTCCATATTGTTCGGCGACGTCCAAATATCGCAACTCACGCTTGTTTTACTTTCTGATTCGGCCAAAAGCTTCAGAATCCCCAGCTTCCTCTCCGCCAGGCGCATCCCCACGTATTTTGACAGTGTGGTGTGGCTTGCCGGCAGGCGCGCAGCAACGGTGTTCGGTTCCATGTAAGTAACGTTGAGCCCCTCGTTGTCGGATGAACACACATCGAGAAGCTCAAATCGTTAACAACCACCCCGTCCACGTACGCAAGTTGCAATTGCTCCTCCTGCCAATCGTGATGGGAGACAGAGCTCGACGACCCAGCGGCGACGACGGCGGCATGTTCCCCTGGGGTCTGCGGCTGTAATACCTCAGCGATTGGCATAACGCCGGTGTCCGGATCTACGCGGTGCAACTTCTTGAGATGCCTTTTGATATGAGCTGTACTATCGACCGTCCAGCAACTCGGGACTCTACGCTCAATATGGCATTGCTGGCAGAGAAACAGCGTTGTCTTTGTACCGTCATCCTCGACGTACTCAAGCTCTGCACCATATCGCCAGACGGATGCCACCGACCGCTTGCCGAGTAACTGTGACTTGCCTTTGACCTTATATCCGACGCGCGCTGCGACGAGCAGACGCTTGCCATCCCACAGGCGGCTCCACTCAATAGGAAATTGGGATCCCATTGTCTTCAGGCTGCCAGGAAAGTCTTGCGTTAGCTGGGCGGATTCCACTTCGGATGGAGAGTCATCCGAGCTCTCAAAGCTCTCCGCCATCGCCATGACGGCTGCCGTACGCGACCCGGCATGGTGATAGCTGTCAGATGCCGACTGGGTCGAGTGGGTCGAGTGGGAGGCCTACGAGGCCTGTGAGCGAGTAATAAATTGATCCATGACAATATACGCTCACGGCTGGCGATGAGAAACAGGAGAAGGCAAGTCGACGAGAAAACCCAGAGTTTTTTCTCCTATAAGAACGTTGCATAAGGTACTATACGACGACGCCACCCGTAGCATAAGACCGGCAGAACGCACTACAAGATTCCACCAATAAACTCAGAAACCCCATACAAAATCCACCGAACATTATATCGAACAGCCGAACGTTCGGCTCAAAAGATGCGTTCGTTCGGAGCCCTGTACGGGTCGATATGCCTGTACGTTCGTTCGAGCCAAAACACCCAAAATCGCCGTTCGGATCAATTGTTCGGAGCGAACGTTCTGTTCGTTGGCAGCGCTGTCTGCAGATGCAACCTGAGAGAGGAGGGGGACTGCGTTGTTCCTTGGTTCCGGCTCCTGATCGGAAGTAGAGATCATGGGGGCTTCTGTAGGACTCGCCTCAGATAGCTCAGGCCCCAAGGCCGAAGCCAGGGCCTGATCCATTCCTTGGTCCATTTCTTGGGCGGAGCTTTCTCCCATCTGCGAAGCGATGAGGGCTACAGAATGCTCTAGAAGGCATGATTCTGTAGCCTGGCTGGCACATTCACTGCCTTGGCTTCCGTCAATGGCCTCCCTATTGCATAGTAAATCTGTCTCTTGCATCTCCGCAGGGTCGGTTTCGGGCCAAGCTGTCTCCCCACTATTCGAATCAACATCTCCTTCAGCATCCACGAGAGGGTCAGGGCTCAGTATCTCCCTAGTCGAGATGTTTGGCAGCATCAACACAAAGCGTTGTGAGCCACTTTGCCATCGTAACATCCCCCACTGTTGGTAGAAAAACACTGTTCGTCGACAAATAAGCGAGGTACCTATCTTCAAGTAGTTCAATCTCTATCCACACGTCTTAATACTATGCTAGCACTCTTGAGTTTCGTGCTCTAGCTATTTCTACACACTTTGAAGTGGTTTTGTCTAAGAACTACGCACCCTTACAGCGTTCTTGCCTATCTTACGAAAAGCCTTGTATCATGCTAAAAGCAATAAACCCTCGTTATAGAATTTATCAGACTCTACCCAGCTGGGAATATATAAGTGAAAGGGCTTGAGAGTTAGAATACTATTGCGATAGCAGGAAGCCATCAGGAGTCCTGTAGATTCTAATGCACCCGGATTCGTGCACGACCGCTACCCCTTGTCGGTAATTTCATCTTCCCTACGAGTGTCATCGGAGGAGTTTGTCAGTTTGACGAGGCAGAAGTGACGAACCCTCAAGGCGTGTGGAACTTTCTAGAAGTAGCCGTCTCACTATGAACTCGATCTAGACTCGCAGCGCGGCCAACAGTCCGTACTACGGCTGGTGAGACCTAGCTACGGTTACGTTACGGTTGTAGGCAATTACTATACGGACGTTACGGCAGAGACATAAGTATAGTACTATTAATAAGCTGTACTGTAGAGTTATATGGCGAACTTTATACACAATTTTCCTAAATAGGAAGGATGCCTGTAGAGAGGTCTGTGAGCGACAACTCCTAGAAAGTCCACATTATTTGACAACGTCTAGATATCTGTACTTATACTTATCCAGCTCACTAAGAAGTATAGGAGCTCCCTTACTATGTCCTTCCTCTCCGCAATCGCTGATTTTATGTATCTAGAAAGTGTGGAGTGGCTTACTGGTAGCGCGCGCGCAGCAGATTAGGCCAATTCTATATTATTAAGCCTCTCGTGTTGGCCGCTGTCACCACCCAGAAGCTTAGATTATGGAGTATTGCCCAGTTAACGTACGCCTTTAAGAGCTCTACTTCTTGCCATGGTGAGTGAGTAATACCTAGCTGAGCTCTAGGCGTGGCAGCAGCCTTCTGGAACAGATCCGATAGCATGCCAATAGCTGGTGGCATTAAACTAGTACCTAGATTAATATTACACACCTTCGTGATGTGGTTAAAAATATGAGTGGTGCCAGATCTAATATTATAAAGGCAGTTTAGTGTACGACTTATATGGTATTTTTTTTATAGAAAGAACACCTTCTTACTTACGCCGTTATTATCTAGGTAAATAAGCTCTACTCTATATTACTATATCATTGAGGCTTTGCGGCCTCATATAGCCATTAACTTATAGAGTATGGGGTAACTAAGCCGTCCACTAGTAAGCTTCGTCTATTTATGCCATAGGTTGTTCCAATTAATATCCAGCTCCCTACCTAAACTGCAGCCTTTGAGATGCTCGTAAGAAGACTGGCCTAACGATGACAAGGACGACACTCGTGAGGAGCTGGCTAATGGAAGCGCTCGGCGAGCGGCAAAGGCATAATGCAGTATTAGAGTTGATGGCAACACTTAGGACCTATGCGTACTCCTATGTGCTCTGTAAGCCCATTCATTGACTCAGCATGATAGTAATGGCAATAGAGATAATTAAGCTAGTTATTGTATAAGAAACATAGCGAAAAGTCAGATAGGAGTCATAGTTCCATATATGTGCGATATGGGTACATCCTACACCCACCTAAAGCAGCCTAAATATGCCATATCTAACGCCACTCACGCCTTTTTTCTAATTAGGTAATATACGGCCGTATTACGGCCTCATTTTCACTATGGTACGACAACTCTATGGACGCGAGATCTCTAAGGTACGGACGGCCAAAAGTTAATTACGGGCCGTATAGTACGGCCAGTAGTACGGACTGTTGGCCGCGCTGATCTAGAGCATGCTCGAAGCTTCGCTATGGCAAACCCATAGGCTATATCATCATCTTGATCCCTTGCTCTCTATGAAACAGAGGGAATAATACAAACATGATAGGAACTAAGAACAGTTCGCTTAGTCCTAACGCTTGTTACCCACAACACTAATATCCAGACTCTTCCATGACTCGTACCAATACCAATCCTATTACTAGAAACTATAAACAGCGACGGTCGATGGTCTAATGGTAGCCATAAGATGCTCTCCGAATTGTTGGTTATCCACATACTATCCGAACTTATGCCTATCCCTTGATAGTCCGAGTTATTGCCGGACCCCCACGGGTCCAACATGGACTTTGAGAACTCGAAGGACCGCCCCGAGTTCGCCGACGAGGCAGGCCGGGATGCGGGGTCCATCTCCGGGCCATCCAATATTAGTCGGCCTGGAACGCCGTCGTCTGTACTTGGCGGCAGCGAGCGCGGATGCCCTGCCAGCAAGGGCAGCGATAGAGACGAGCGTAATGCCGGGGTGACGTACCCTACTAGGTACCACACTACGCCGAGTAAGATGCGCAAGTATAGTCCCAGTCCTAACTCCTGCGCGGCGGGTTTGGGGTCACCAACATGAGTTAGGGAGCGGGAGCGGGATGATGCTACGCGATTGCCTAGTGCACAGCTGATAGGGGCGTATACTCTACTAGTTAGTCCTAATTAGATGGGGCCGAATAAGAAGGAAACCCAGTGTCGAAGACATACCAGGCATACGACAAACTTCCATTACAAAAAGATTTGACCGCGGTCAAGATGGCTTTTCTGGTCTATCTTATTCGTAGTGTGACAAGGATATTGGAGGCGGAATACCACGTGTAGTAGTTGAGTGAGATATTGACTAGTACCTTAGGACAACATGTATTTCTGTACACAGTGAGTCGTGCCAAATAAGGGCCGTTGGGAATGTCTCGCATTCCTCAAAATTGACAACACGATGAATCTCGCATCGGCCAGGCGACGGGTATTAAGGACATATAATACACTTCCCATAGTTATACATGTTCAATAGCTTTATTTACTTTTGCGCCACAGTGTCAATGATTCTTTTCCACGATTTCCTTCGCAAAAGCCGCAAAATCTTTCCTCTAATCCGGCTCGGCGATGTCTTTACAATTGTGACCTGACCTGGCGTGATCGAATGACTTTAAACAGGCATAGGTAAAGCCTAGACCACATTTGATATTACCCGTGAGTCTTGGCTGCAGGAACGATTGGCGCGATCCAGGTGCACTGGACGCGCGATAACAATCAGCGGATATTGGTGTAAAATGATAGGTTAAATCATACAGTAGAAGTAAATATAATCATATTCTAATTAATGATTCAATGGTGGACTGACCATCTTAAAGCTACTCGATCTCCTTGAAATACAATTTATACGGAATTAATTATGATAGCATCAAAGCACGATCACGTCGCAGCATAAGTTGTATCATTACAGCTCATCGAAAAGTTACACAATCACGATGCGAAGAACTGACGATATTGTATGTACTGAAGGCACGTTCTACGCATTTAATACAACCTTCCCGATACCAGATGCTGATATTACTGGGATTGGGGTGAGCGAACTAGTGCCTTCAGATCAGACTCTAAATAATGGGTTTTGTTAGGTTATCGTAGCATTTTCGGCAGCCGCATACATATCCTTCTTCATCAGCATTATCTTCTATCTTCTCGGATGCGTGCCTCGCGAACGCTTGGGCAACTTCGAAAAGCAAATCATTCGAAGACAACCAAGAATCCAATTGATTGAAGCTTTCCAAGAAGGGGTTTTAGTCGTAAGTGAGCAACAATTGGTGACCGCCTTAGGTGTTCTTGGCGCTGCCCTGAGACACATGCAACAGTACACGGTGTTTGAATTCCAAACGGTCATATACCTAGCTTGGATGGCAACCAACATGCACTTATCGACACTAAGCATCCTTCGAGCTTGGTTTCAGAAAAGACCTCGCCTTCGCGCTTTCCGATTGTTCAACATGCTAGCTTTGCTGGTTATGATGTGCATCGCCATATATCCTACGACTGAATACGACTGGGCCGATCACACCGTGTACGACTTGGGATTCTGCTCCAATTCTCACAGCTGTTGGGGTCTCACGGAAAAGGTGGACCTCCACTGGAATGCCGCACGCATACACCACAGGCTCGTGCCGCAAGGCGTTTCTGCTTACGCTATACTCATCATCAGTCATTTATGGCAGTCTGCGATGTTGTTTCCCACGATTCATGACTTCATCCGCAGCCGCGCTCACAAACTGCTTGATGTCTTTCACCGATCGCTTCTACAATCACGACCTATTGCGGCTTCCGAAATATCACTCAAGCAAATCAAGTATCGATTCATCCTTGGGGTTTACTTGTTTGTTCTTGCTATCATTGAAATTTTTGGATCGTGGGCTTTTATCCAATTTCTCGTAGGCACGCACCTTGCTTGGAGCTCCTTTCAGCTTTTTGTTCCGCGGTTTAATCTCCTTCCATCATGCATTGCAACAGAGCTAAACAAGTGGAATTTTGGGCAAATACTACCCATGTTACTTCTAATTTCTCCACTTTATAGTCTTATAACCTACTATCTACGGCATCTTCACTCTGGACCGAGTAGACCTCCAAGTGGTGATGAGGGGAGCATTATCAGTTCGACTAGAAGTGGAGCTGCAAGTGGAGATGGGGATGGAAACACCTCTAACTCTGCTCAAAAGACACTTGACGAGCTTCTCTTCTCGACACTGGCATTCAGATTTATATCTTCCTTACTCTGCATTCTTTGCGTTCTAGGCATTGCTGGTTATTTTGCGTCTGCTGCTTCTGCTCTGCTTACTCATAACAGTACAGCATGGCGAAGCCAAAAATGGAACGAAATAAGTTGGAGGTTATGGCCTGATATAATCGCAACTTTTATCTCCTTAGTCGTGATTTTCTTACTTTCATTAGTGTTCGCATCTTTGAGTTCCCAGTTACAACTCAAGATACATGAATTCAGATAACTAAGAATAGAAGTGTTTCTGGAAAATGTTTTGAGGCGCTCTTACACGTGCACTAAACATCGTTTGATTCATGCCACAGCATGAATGATTCTTCTCGACTATCTCTTTTGCGAAAGTCGCAAAATCTCTCCTTTCATCCACCATCTCCCAGAAATTCGGCTGCGTAAACACAGCCA